ATATCTGTCAAGATCTCCCTCGTTGAGAGATTCTCGTAGTAAGACACCATCGGTCATATCTTCGGGGAAGTCGTCAACGAATTTGAAATGAGGAGGCAAAAGTCAAAGAGCTTACACTTGATTTTCGTCTCAGCTGAAGTACAATCCTCGAAACGAATAGCATATCCAACTGTCGAGCCCAGCTTGCACTATAAAGACAGGTAAACATATTGCGCCAGCTCATCAGAAATAGCGACGGACCTCCATCTCCTCGCTGACACGCTTCGCCACAGACATAGCTGCCACACGACGAGGTTGTGTACACCCGACGAGCCCGTGTTGACAATAACCGTCTTCATATAAGAATTGCGCAAGCTGTGTCGTCTTTCCTGAACCAGTTTCCCCAACGACGATAATGACTATATAAAAGGCGTTACGATAGGTTAGAGAAAATAGCAAACAGGGTCCAACCTTGATTCTCTCTGATGACTTTCATCAACTCTTCGCGGCAAGCAAAGGCAGGAAGATATTCTCGTTGTTCCTTGAGAGTTCGCGTTTTAGCGAATGAGCTAACACCAGATGACGCCTTGAGATGTGTCGCGAACTTAGAATCCCCCTTGTAGTCATCCTCTCCCTTGGCTTTGGCCTCACGTTCCTGTTTCTCAGCCTCAGCTGGAAGAACCGCAAAGCTATGTGAATGTCCAAATTGATGGAGCGATTGAACTTGAACTGATCTCACCTTCTGCTTCTGCTTCCTCGTCTTTCACACCCATAATGTTTCCAAGAGCCGTTCCACCCAGGGCCGCCAGTTTGGCAGCTGCTTTCGCCCTTTCGGCCTGTTCTCTCTTCTCTTTGACGAGGGCACTGCCTTTCTTGGAAAATATTGCCATGTCGCTAGTAGGGTCTCGAATGGGATTGATAGGATCAAGTTGCTTCGTGAACACCGTGCGACCGTCAAGGAAGGGTGGTTTCAAGTCGTGGACCATAACATGCACCGTTGATTCAGAGTCGTCCTCAAAGTCCAGATCGATGGCCTTGCGAGTTGCAACCCCCGACGTCACCATCCGATTGGCCTCCCACAAGTCATTATCGGCGTTCTGTATGAGTGGAAATTTTAGACTTCGTCAAACGAAAGGAATCAAATGTTGCCTACGTATTGTGCTTGTCGAGCCGATATTTTTCTCTAGCACGAGGCATAAGTTAATAACATATCCTTAAGAATGAAAGGAGGACACTCACAACTTGCTTTTTGGCAATCTCAGCTTCTTTCCGGATGCTGAGGTCTTCATACTGAGCGAGAGGGTTATGTTCATCGTCGCCTGCCACCCCGCCTTCCTCAGCTCCTGTATACCAGTCGCGATCCAACCTGAGCTGCTCTTCCTCCCATTCCCTAGCATCAAGTCCGAGAGCCCCATCATTGCCATCGGGACTTTCACCTCTCGCCACTCGAGGCGTTGGCGCATCCCAGCCGCGGTTTCGTTGCCTTCCCCAGCCTCCTCCATTCTCGCCTCTCGAATCTCGTGGAGTCGAATCCCAGCCAACGTTAGGCACTCGCACGCTTGGCGCATCTCGCGAGCCAGAAGGATGCGAACCCCGGGGTGTTGAGTCTGTACCGCGAGCGTAAGACTCCTGCTCTCGTCTTCCACCCCAGCCTCTATCTCTATCTCGGTTGGAACGGCGTTGAAAGTCACCTAAGCCCTTCGGGGCGTCTGAGCGATTGTCGTTGGCGGCGATTATACCCTCTAGAGTTCGAAGAAAATAAAATGAGCCAAGACAAGTTTGGGTGAAGAATGTGAGCTTCGCACCTCGTTGTTTTTCTCGATTACGGCGATGTTCCTCTAGCCTCTGACGACCTATTTCAGACAAACCGCCTGGGTGCGACGGTGTCTCTTCTCCTCTTTGTCGAATATTCGTTGCTCTCGGAGCAGGGAGGCTGGGAACTGAATGAAGACTCAGCACAAGTTCATTAATGATATAACAACCAGTAGGAACACACCTTTGAAGAAAGGTTCATCTCCGTCATCTAGACGAGGCTTCTTCCTGCTTCCTTCAGCACTAGCACGATCGTTGACCGCAGCTGCTCTCTTTTCTTTGGCCAATCGGTCGAGCCCTAGAACAGATGTTCTCGGAGTAGGTGGTTCAAGCGGTCTTGCAGGTTTTCGAAATGTATGGCGCTACATCGTTCTACATGAGGGAATAGACTATTCAGTAAGATTAAGACACACATACCGAATCTGACACTTGAAGTCCACCAGGTCGGATAGGCGCTGGCTCGAGGACATCGCTATCATGGACTGTAATGCCTTCTACCGGTTGATGTGGGACACCTGCAGCCTCCTGCCTTTCATACGACACAATTTCGGCATGTAGTTCCGACAGAAAGGAATCTTTGAACTTGCCGAAAGTTCTGGCAGCTGCAGTACCGTGAGCTTTCACGAACTCTTGTGAGGACTCTCGGGCTACCAACCTGAAATGAACCCAGCTTCCGAATTGGTTTTTGCAATATCAATCACTCTTTGAGACAAGAGGTCATTCGGATTGAGGGTATTGAGAGCTCTTGATAGTTTAATCGCGATTTGGTGGTTGAAATCGTCGTGCTCGCTGCTGGCAGAAGACATGGACGAACTGCGTAAAGTTGGTGGGTGGAGTTGAAGCGGTGGTGGATTAGGTAATCGTCCTGCCTTCGCTTCTCTCCACACCACCAGAGGCCTTGCCCTGAGCTTGCGAGTCGCAAGTCTGACATGGCATCGATCATCCAACGCGCCGGACTCTACTTAGAAGCCTGTCTCTGTACCGATTCGTTCTCCTTGCAAGGAAATAATCAAGAAACTCTCAGGTCTCTTGTGAGGTACACAAGCTTCGTATATCGTCTACTGATGATTCGTACTGAAGCGTTCAAGTTCCGCGCACAAAGTCGCATAGAATATGCCTCAACGTGACTGGGACCAAAAAGTTGTAACTTTCCTTCTGACCCGGCCCCTCACCCGCTCTCCTTGTTCAAGCGCTATTTATCTTGGCCAAAATCTACAGCTTAGCATGAACGATCCTCAGCACACATTCTGAATTCTCGGATCGTATTCAAGCGAGCTCCTCAACATCCCAACGATGTTGTCTGCTGAACAACTTTCTGTCTGCCTTCAGCAATCACACCGCGATTTATCCTCTCTTTTTCCGGAACGGAGACACGACGAGAAAACGCCTAATTATCTGGTACAACCTATAACGCCGAACATGTAGCGTTAACACCGGCGGTACAGCATCCACTGTCTCAGAGATCTTCGTAGGACCTATTTTGTTCCTCCATCAGAAAAGTAACGAGTATATTACCCCGCATTTGCTAAACTGCTAAACTCACTGAACCCTGATAGTCTTTCTGAAGCAGGAGTTTTCTCGCTACACCCGGACCTGCTTGCGGTCCTTCAGCAACGTCTTTTCCGTCCGTTTTGTTCACTGTATGGTGGGCTCCGAGGCCCATGAGACAACCCTCCGTCGACGGCTTAGTCCCTGTCGCCCGACTCCATCGCGGAACAGAGACGATGCTTAAATCCGTTCGCGTCAAACGGATAATGCCGAACGTGGATCTTTACGTTCTAGTGTATTGCCTCCTTGCAGAAGCTCGTGCGAGCTCGTTTTGCGGGGTTTCTCCGCGTTCGCCTCAACACCTCGTCAACCGTGGATATACTCCCATCTCTGAGGCCGCAGACACCTCCAGAGGCTACTCATCTCGGTCTGTCACGCCGGTTTGCCCTCCGGAATCCCACCGGGCTCTGTCAGGACGTCCCAATCTTCAGACTGATCCCGTGAGCCCCAAAGGTCCCCAACCTACCCCGCTATCTTTCTAGTCTTCAACTCACTTTCCCCGCACCGATGCCGGTCCGGTCAGCGACTTGTATGAAACCTGGTCGACACCGCTTGACTTCATAAACGGATGACTTCTGCCCTATGACAGGCTATAGCTCGGGTTATCGGACCCTCTTTCTTGCGCAGATTGCGATCCACGAATCGCGTAGAAAAGCAGACATTATCGGTGCGCATCTATTATTCTCTAATTCCATCGATAGAATCATCTTCGAGAGTGTGGCAAGCGACCCAATGAGAGGGAGGACATATTGAACCAAGTGCCTCCCGAAGCACTTGGATCAAGAGATCGATTAGATGGCTTGTACGTTTCGTTGATTAATCCCTCTTCTGTGATCGTGATAATACTACTGATCAACGAGCTTCTTGAATTTTGGGGCCGGTAACAAACGGCAAATATGCTTGTTCATCCGATTCCGTGTTGTGCACCGATACACGCTCCAAGGTGCCTTACTGGATTATCACGATGGTCGAATACAAGGACAAGGGCATCCCGGAAGATGCTTTCCAACAAGATAGCCTCCTTTTCGTTTTACGTCTTCCATCCACCTCGCCTGACCATCTCAAAATAAAAACACCTCGAACAAAATCCCACAACCAATAAAACGTCGACGTCCACCAAACCCAGTACTGAGGTTTCTGCGTGTCGTACCCTGTATTCGAGTGGAGCATTTCTCTAGGTGATTCTTACGCCTATGTGTACATAGGATCCGCTCGCACTGGCTATATGCTCGCCACCTCGTTCGTCCAGCTCCATGCACATCAAGATCAGTGATGTGTTCCGCCGGATCCAACGAGTAGAGAAAATGCCACGCGCACGACTGGTACGGGTGGCATTTGGAGGCATTTGGGTAGCATATGGTGTGGCAAAGTAGCCGGTATTGCGCCAAGAGGTGCCGCGAGCGTCACGACGCAGCGCGATCGGATTCGTGACATTCCGTCGGAATGTCTAAAACAGGCTCCGTCCGCCTCCGCGTGGTCGTCTCGGTACCGAACACGCGAGCACGCCCAAAATAGCACACAGCGCCCTCCGCCGTCGATCCCACAAGCGCCAACGATCGCGGCTCGCCCACAAGGCAGCTACATTATTTTCAGAACCTCCATTATTTTATCGCTCCAAGGTCCGGAGCTCGTGAAAACCATGCGGGCGTGGTCAAACAAATATGCGAATAAGATGCTCATCAAAGTCCCATAGTATCTCCTCTGAGCACTACAACCTGGCAGAGATCTCCGAGCATCGTATTCCAGCACTACAGTCAAACTCCTCATAACCCATACCCCCTCCGTGGACGGCCCGAGCTATGGGTTATTGGGGGTTATGGGTCGTGAGGGGAGTGCTAAAAATATCCCGGAAAAGTGGACGAAAAATGGGGTGAATATGTGAGTAAAATAGTGCACATAAACCCCACCAAAAGTGATCCAGAGGAGTCCGGACGTCTGACTCGTAACAAAGTCAGCCTTGACTTAGGCGAAATCACACTCTCGAGATCGCCTACATGGCTGCCTCTATTCAATGAGCGTACAAGCGCCATTTTGGGGCGAGTGGACACAATTTAGAGTGCCCATGGCGCCCTGATGACTTTTTACTTTCACAAGTTTTCGCTATGGGTTGCCGAATATGGAGCGCTTATGTGTGATTTGTAAGCCAGCTTTCATTCTCGCGGTCCTTTGGGACTACTTTTATCAGTTTTCGGCTGCTTTTCGGTGAGATCCAAGGCCTTCCCATCAATCAGCACGAAATGATGCCCCCCAAATGCCAGTAATTGACACCAAATATGGCCTGATGGCCGGTGAAATCTATGGGTTTTGCCTGCGAAGGGGTATGGAGTATGGGTTATTACGGACCTATGGGTTATGAGGTGCAAATCCCCGCCCACCAAGTTGGTGGACAGAGAATCCTATGGGATAAGAGGGGTTATGGGTTATCAGGATCATGGGTTAAGAGGAGTTCGACTGTACCACGAAATCTCTCTGAACAGCCAATGGTGTCAGGATGTCTCATGTCGCAGTAGAACCAATCTTGTTATTTGTCCGACGCTCCCATCCAAACTCCGGCCAATGCCCTACATCCTCTTCCCATTGAGTATCGCAGGAGAAGCCTCTGCCGTCGGGCGGTAAGTGGGTCGGCTCAGGGCATTGGACAGACAGAGACACTCGACAGCGTGGGCGGAGACAGCGTGTAACGATCAGCGGTGGGTATAACCCTACAGCGTTTGGGCAAACCGAAAGGATATTCGGGCCCAATGCGCCACAGTGGCCCTGTCGTAAGCTTTCCTGTGTTGTGATTCGTCCTCGGGGTTCCTTGGCCCAGTGCCCGGCGGCCGCCTTCGAAGACGACGAACGCGCGAACCTGGTGAGAAGGGTTCCCACTCCTGCAGTCTCCAGATAACCCACCCCGGCCCAGCAAGGCGGTCGGTCCACGATAGGTTGGTGCATTTCGCGAACGCGCGTCCATGATCAGGGTGGGAGTGTGACCTTCAAGTAATAAGGTAATGGGGCACGCACTACGCGGGTTCAGAAACCCCGTACGGACGAACGTTAACAAGCTCACGAGAGCAAGCAAAGTGACATGTCAAAGCATTACAGCATACTCCAAGTCTGACAGACAAATGCTAAGAAGTGATAGTCCTTGACGAGACACGTACAAGGCCTCTACAACCTCCGAGCGAAGGGCACGGGCATTGGAGGCATGAAAGGTGATGAACACCGCGTTACGTTCAACGTTCATTATCGAAGCTAAACAGAACGGTCGAACAGAAATGTAATCACCTAACCGCCAAATGTTGGCACGAAAACAACAACGAATGAAGGCCCCCAGAATGAAAAGCAACGATTTTAGCACAGTTAGGAGTGGGGACAAACCGGCCTTATGAGCATGGACACGGAGTTACTCCTCCGTCGAGCACGAAACGGCATCTTGGAATGCTACTAGAACTTTGCTGTCGACGTAGAGGCCGACCGAGCGGCGAGCATAGGCATAAGAGACCGGGCGGATTAACCATTATATAGCATTGCGCAGTCCAACACCACGAGCTCTACAATGAAATGCAGTGCGCATGCATAGGCACACGATCTACGCGATATACTTTTTCTTCTGCTTCACCTCCACGTACGGGTCGGCCTTGGGCGGGCGGCTATAGCGCGGCTCGGGCTTGTCTGTACCACAAAAAAAAGTATGTAGCAAGGTCAGGAGGGTCACCCAACCACGTATCACAGAACCACAAAAATACGCACTGAGGATATCTTTATACACGGCCGAGACGTCCTCGTCCCAGACCTCTCGCCACATATGCGCTCCGCCCCCCTTAGCCGCGTTCAAGTTCCATCTGCGGGTGAACTCTCGCACATTGAACCCGAGCCGCTCTGCCTCTGGCACGACCGGGATGTCGAGATGCATCGACGTAGGTCCGGTGGCCCGGGACGCCGCGGTTAGGGTGTACTCTGACGCCCCTAATGGGGGCTGCGGAAGCAGGAGGCAGACGTAGCGATGATAGGGTGTGCCACGTTGAGGGTGAGGTGGGATGTATTTGGTGTGTGTGTTGAGGTCGGAGAGCTTCGAGGGAGAGGTAGCGGATAGAGGGATGTTAGGTCTGTGACGAGGCTGAATTAGCGTTGGGATGAAAGCATCTTGGAATAACTGACTTCATCCAGTGCAAGTATGTCGTGAAGCTCTCCGTGTCTGGCTGGGGGACATCTAGAGTAGAGACATCGATTAGAACGCGAGCACATTTCTACCAGCTAGGTGTTTGACACACCAGGATCGACCAAGAGCATCGTATATAGACGTGTGTCGGTATGGAAGACACTCGCAAACAACTTTGGAGGTACCAATGTCTGCAATTCACCCTCATAAGAAACTCTCTCAGCGCATTCATAGAGCAACTTACCTGTTTGGGCCGAAGAAAGGTGCCCGGCTCGACGTTCATCTGCACCTTCTTCGAGTCCGAGTTCAAGAACTCCTTCGGTTTTGTGCGTGCCACGACGTGAAGGTCGAGACTCGGGTGAATCTCAGGCAAGACGTCCGGAACGACGTGCATTTGGTATAGACGTTCCATCTGTACCGAATATTAAACATTGAAAATGAGAAGAGAGCTTGAAAGCACATACCAGCAAGTCTAGGTCCCCATCCTTCCTCCACTTCTGCTCAAGAAGAGCCCGGTGCGAGACCTTTGACATGTCCGCTACAGAGAAGGCAATCACATTAAGCAAAAAAGAACCTCCGGAAGCCGACACACATCCAGACGCACCCATAGCATTGCTCACGGTCCACCTCACATCCGGGAGGTTAACCTCGCTCTGCACCTCCAAAATATCCGCCTTCTCCAGTAACTTCTCCAGCTCCGCGTCCACCGCGTCCAGCTCGCTCCTCGCCTTCGTGCGCTCCTCGACACCCGCCTCCTTCTCCCTCAGCTCCAACACCCTCTTCTCAAGAACCTTGTATTCCCCCTCCTTCGCCTTGATGACCCCGCGGAGCTCCTCCAACTCCTTCTTGAGGTTCGCGCTGTCCTGGCGGAGGTACGCGAGCGCGAGGTCGTACGCGGGGATGACGCCTGGTGTGAGGGGGCGATTCCACTTGCGCGGGTTCTCGAGGGAGATGGGAGGGCGCTTCAGTGGGACCTTGCGTTTCCGCCGGCCTTGAGTCGTGGCTGCTTCTAATGCTGCTGGCTCTTCGGGAGTGGACGGAGCGGCCTCGGAGGTGGATGCTAGGGTAGCATTGGCGCGTATTGTGCGTGCGAGTGGTCGAGGGAGGGCAGTGGGCAGCTTGCGGAGGGCGAACATGGCTGGCAACCCTCGCCTTATTGGTGAGAGTCGGGTCGACGATTTTTTTGGACGCGATTCAGTCACAATTTGCGCTTGTTTACTTACGCCATCTTCGATCGAAGAGCAGAGCGCGTCAAGTCGTGTCGTTGACACAAGTCACTCGTTCTGACATTCACGCTTGACACCGGATTTCTAGTAAACATAAGTCTATTAACCCAGAGGGCTCAACAAGGCATGCGGCAAGATAAGCTATGTAAAGTAGTGCAGTACGCAACAACACCCAACTAAAACAACAGAGTGAGAGTTCGGAGCGCATCAGTGGAGGGCTCTAATAGATAACAGGAGGGCATAAGGTGGAGGGACATAGCGGACAAGCCCCATTATGGGACGGTGGGATGACGGTGGATAACGCACGGATGGGGGAAGATGAATCCAAGAAGAGCCAAGTATGTATAGCACAAGAGTGCGCGAGGCCAGCCGTGGGGGGGGGAAGAAAAGCCATAGGGTGATAATGCATAGAGTTACAGTGATGGCAGAAGCAAGCAGGAAAGGACAAGCAATATACAGTAATAAGGATATGCGAGTGACAGCAAAAGGGGCAGCAAGTGGACAAGCAATGGTATGGCGTATGGTGATCACCTATAGGGAAGGGTACTTTTGCAGCAGGATTAGAAGGTGGAGAGGTTGAAGAGGGAGCAGGCGACGACGATTGGCTCCGGCTCTCTGGGGAAACGATACTGGAAGTCGCCGTCTTTGACGACGGGGTTGAGTCTGCGTTGACGCTCGAGCCTCTCGTTGCGCTCCATCTCGATCTCGTAGGGAGCCTTGCCGCCGGGAACTGGTTGACGGTAGCCATCCAAAATGGGACACTGTTTGGGCTCCCAGCGACCACCACCGGTAGCTTTACACAGAACGCTGGAGCGACGGAGGGGATACGCGTCGAGCTCGCCGTAGGAGCGCTCGAGATCCTGTGGAAGGGGAAGTTGTGCGGTGCGCAGCGCAGCGCGTCTTGAAGAGTGGCTTGGTGCGCTGTTGGAGGAAGATTGGGTGTTGAGGCTAGAGGAGCTTGGAGAATTGCAGAGAGATTGTGTTCTCCGCTTGAAGGATGGGGGTAGGTCGTCGGACTGGGGTGAGGTAGGGACGCTGAGGAGCGAGGCGGGTGATTGGACGGAGAATGGTGTAGGGGAGCGAGCATGCTTGAACATGGCGATGGGATGGGAAAGGACGCGTGAAAAGGACGGGCGGATGACGTCGGGGGTGCGTGGAGTGCTGGGGCAGCCGTGGATCTGGTCGAAGCAGTCGTCGCAGACACGCGCGTCGAGGATGGGTGCAATGGGGGACTGGAACGCAGCCAGAGGAATGTTGCGTGGGGGCGTTAAGAAGTCGAGATTGGAGGTATCGAGCAGAGGCGTTGTGCGAGAGGTGCACGCGCTGCAGAAAATGCCGCCACACTTGCGACAGTGCTGTCGAGGACGTGAGCGGGGGTGGCATGGGCAGCGACGCGGTATGACGTACGTGTTTGCGCTCGAAGAAAGAGAAGGGGATGTGGCAGAAAAAGTTGTCGCACACGACAGACGACGAGTCGGGCTGGGGACGCGGATGAGCATCTGTGCGCATATATGCGGGCGGGTGACGTACCTTCCAGAGATGCTTGGGGAGGAAGACGGCGAGGTGCTCGTTGGGGCGTGTGGGGAGCGGGCCGTCGACGGGGACATCGAGGAGACTGGACGACGACGACGACGACGGGGACGAGTCGTGGCCAAGGGCCGGGATAGAGGGGGACTCTGAGCGGGCGTTCATAGCTGCTGGGGGCGGGCAGATGGACGCTCTCCGGTTGGCTATATAAATCTCAGGCAAGTGGCAGGTCCTGCTGCTTGCCCCTTCCGGCCCTCGTCCGAATCTCAGATCTCGGAAGAATCTGTTACGCAGTCACGTCACACGGCCGGCCGGAGTGTGTTTTGGCGTCCGACGTTATTCCAGTCCGCGGCGTGGCCTGCCTTTACGTAGCCCTGTCACAACTTCCATATCGGGAACACTTACCTCCGCGCTCCCTCCATGTGCTGCTGCTCCTCCGCCCCAACATACTCCCGCCCCCGCCGTATGCCTCACCTCCCCCTCGCCCACTGCACACGACCGCCCGCACTGCTCATCATCGCCCCAGGCTAAACATTTATCTTCCGCATCTTCAGGTGGGGCCCTCCTGGCTTTTTTCTCTGCCAGCGCGACAAACCACGACCCCTTGGCGTTTCTATATCCATCTCCATCACCTCAGTTCATGAATGCACCCACCGAACCCCATCGATAGCGTTCCTCGATGACCACCGACGAATGGGGTCCCACACATTCCCAGCAACCACAAGGGTCATCAATTTCTAAATCCAACAGCAACCGTCACGTGCTTCCTCCCGTCCTAACCGTGAGTTTGCCACTTACCCTTTTCGTCTTCCTCAGCTATCTTCGCCTCCTACCCACTTTCCGCTACATATTCCACCGCCCCACGCCCCTCACCTCCCTACACCCATTAGCGCGCCCCAGCCTGCACGCCGCGTCCTCCCCTCCGTCTTCCATTCCCCTCCTCGCGCTCCTCGACTCGTCATATTCATGTAACCCCGTCAGGGAAGTCTTTTGATATGTCAGAAAATCACCTTCTCGAAACCCGTTTCTGCAACATCCTTATTCCATCCCCTGCTTCTTCTTGCCCATATGCAGTGAAATCCATACACTCCACAAGCGCATAATACATTTGGGTTTAGTCCACACTTTATTTAATTCCTCCCTGCCTGTTCGCAGAACGTCAAGGCGGCCGCCAGCGTTTACGCAAGTTCTAACGTTGAGTTTCCCCCAGCAAGCTAGCCGTCGCGCCCTCCGCGCCGAGTACCGAGCCCAATCCTGCACGCCGTCGAGGGACGCCGCCGGCTTACTCACTAGCGTCCTCGCTCAATTGACGTGGAAACGGAGGGCGACGCCTACCCTGACAGAAAGCCCATCATGTGTGCGCCTACCCGACGGCGCGTCCCCACACACCGTCGCTCCCTGAGCCCACCCTCTCCAGGGAGGGCGCGAACGGCCCGGAATTTAATGAAATGAAAGCCTATGAAAGCGCGCATCCTACTTAACTAACTTACCTTCCTTCGAAAAAGATATAACCCGACGTTTAGCGAGCGCACACGATGCACCGCACCTTCATAGCCGCGCCGTAACATACGGGCGTAGTCCATTCCGGGCTAGTGTTTCCCGAACTCGCTCCGTAGTCCGTAGCAAGTCGCGTTTGTGGATACCCCTAAAGGTTTACCAGCAGGCGGCGCTTCGGAACGGGCTCTCCCGGTACCCAATGGCGCCGCACGGAATGGTGAAAGCAGTGCGCCCTCATGTACGCTCCATAGCCAATGCACCGCACACTGTAGGCGCCTCATCGATGAGGCACACCCACACGACGCGCTTGAATTCACGTTCTCTGCGAGCATTCGATCCGCCCGGCGCTTGTGGATGCCCAAGCCGCATACATATGCAGACAGGATCCATATGATGGCGTTGATCGACATCCAGGGCCCATGCTGCTGTCAACTTGAACCCTCCCAGCCAACATGCCACCTCTCTGCGGTGCCATGGTAATCATGTCTTGAACGATCTCCCGGCCCGGTAAACCCCCTCGATCGAGCGAGGCGACGTCGCTCTCAACGACGACGACGCGCAGATCCATGTCATATTTTATTATCGTAGTCTCCAGCGACGCGCGAAGCGACGACGCCTTGCGACTCGCCTCCTCTCGCCAGCTGTACATCTGGAGATATCTACCGACCAAGACTCGAGTGCACTGGACTGGATGTTTTGCTGAGTGCTCTGCCTCCGGCTACTTACCAATGATCGCCATGAAGACAGGCACACGAACCTCACTTGCAAGAGGAATCAACGTTGAACGTGAGGCGACCCGGAAGGAGGAGGAAGACTTCCCCAGAAAACGCGTACGGTATTGCGATATCGCTTCACGCTGTAGACGAGCACATGTGGACTTGTCGAGCACTCTCTCACCTCCTTTCGCCAAGTTCACAGCTGTTCACAGGCGAACGCACCGAATGTCCTGATAATCGATGGACGCCGGAACTTGGACCAACAACCGCTCGCGCTCTCTCTTCCAGCCAGCCAGCTTCAACCTCATATCTTTGACCTCCAACATGGCTCTTGTGCCGCCCAGAGTCCCGTCGCTGCATGGTCGCACGACTAATTCCCCCGTCTGCTCATTTACGCTACCCGGGATCGTATGCACTCGACTCCTGGATGCATGGCCGTGCAATGGACGCTAATACCTACCCGCCTTGAAAATGCATCGAGAGTATGGAGCGATGCGGCCACCCCGTGCGCAGCCAACAGGCGATTGGAAATTCCTGCTCGTGCCCCACCCACGGCTCAGCCACCACCACCTCCACCCCATAGCTAAGTATGTATGACGCAGCTCGCCTCAGCCAGCCGCTGCCAACCGCCACAAACCCAGCACGAGCATGAGCCTACGGTACGTGTGTAACAAGCAGTTTTTTTTCTCTCTCATGTAATGATCGAAACCAGCCTCCCTCTGCAGGTGATTACCGTTTTTTTTTTCTTTCAGATACTCCTGGCATTGCACGCCGGTGAGGCCGTTGAGGCTATGTTCGCACTAAAGCTTATTTTGTGCCTCTCTCGCCACACGCCGCGCGATACCAACTGTCAATCCCATGCACATTGCCTTGCCTGTCTACCCACTGCCCACGGTCCTCGAGGTTCGGAGCGTCCACCACCCCATCGTGCCAGCGGAGGCCTAGTAACCTGTAAGCAAGGCAAAGCGGACGAGATTTGGCTAGGATGGTTGGTTGACGTCGACGGAATAGGTGCGAGCAGATCGCGACGGGCTTGCATGAACATGCAGGGTGCTGGTTGTTGACCCAAAAGCCCTCCATGAAAGGGCACCCCTTCACCGTTCCAACCTTATCATACCGTGAAAAGGCAAGCAATAAGCATGCAATGGGCAACCCAATTGTGCCAGATAAAGTAGACTACGTGCATTCCGATGAGCCAAAATACTCCGTCTCGAGCTTTCGTGAATGGGATCATACAAACGTCCGACGTCGATTTGGATGCGTCGGCGTACGTTCCGTCTCCATACAAAAATCCGGTATCAGGGTAAATTGTAGACTCCTCCTGAGCCATTCATATCTGATGTCGTTCATTCGTTGTTTGAGAAAGAGAAGTACTCACACGTCTGGTACACGTCGCCCTCAATGCAGAGAGAGAAAAAAGTGACATCATTGATATGCCCGACCATCCATAAGCGTTTAAGCCGCAGACCGAGAGCCATTCGTAAGCCCGGTCCTTCCTCCATGCCACCTCTCCGGACAATCTCACACAGCGCACGAACACCGACGGCATGAAGTATACATGCGTGACGCGTATCCCCCTGTCTAGTATTACTACACAGATTATGATTGATACTGATGAAGAATACGCATATGCCTGCTCCCATGGGGGTTTAGCAAATGGACCGCGCAAATAGAAGGGCTTCCTGCGCTCCCCCGGATGCAACGAACAGACGCACAGGCGGAAGGGAAGCGCAAGCACGAGGCAAAAATTCTATCAATGATCAATGGGTTAGAACAGCTGGCGTTCGGGCTCTCGTTACGTTTCCTCGAGGGCGCTAACGTGCTGTTACCAGCGCCGCACGAAGGTGAGCGCCGTGGCTATGAATAAGCGCCTCTAGAGAAGGTATTTGGTAAACGGTGACGAGAGGTGTCCGTGAGGATTTGGAGTTACAATTGTGGGCGGAAGCAACTGGCAAGAGGACCGAAGTTCTGTCAATAAAAAATAAAATAGACGGCTTGGAAGGGATCAACGAGTCCGCTCTAACTTCCTGACAATGAAAGATCGTACCGTGAATATATAGATTGACAGGCCGTCGTCTCGTAAGATGCTCTATGCTCTCGTTAAGGACTATTTTGGTTCAATCCATGTTGACAAAACGCTCCAGGACGCCCAAGAGCATTCGGTGTTCTCCATCAGGAAGGAGACGTTTCTGTGACCTGTCTGCTTTGGCACTTCTATCGGCGCCTTCAACTGGACGTCCTGTCTACGTTAAATAAATTAGTGCACTATTCCCATCTGCCAAGAGGAAGTTGAAGAGCTTTGAATCAGGGACGCTGCACCAGAGACGGTTTTCCCATGCATCCAGCAATCTCGTCACTCACCATGTTGTCTAAGGATTCGTGCTCGAATAGACAAGGACGGGATCTCGAACCGTCGTGATTAACGACGAGGTCCACAAAAAGCTTCAGAGTTGTCTTCTTTAGCAGCACCAGATTAACCGCTTGAGCAATGGGTTCAGATAAGCGCCCATCTAGCGCAAAACCAATTGAGAATTGAAGGACGCTGCAGAGATACCATAGTGTATCTTTTATCACCAGACGCTGTATCCGATGATGCCGATCAGTCGTTTGAGGTGTACCAGGAGCTGTGTCCTCCAGCAGCTCTTTGAGATGACGGAGAGTCTCCAAGATCAAGGAGTGTTGAAGGAGCGAGAATTCAAGAAGTGCATGCTGCAATTGAAGTCGATATTCGGAGAGCTTTGCAGAAGAACGAGGTTTCTGCTTAAAGCTCGATAAAAGGGAAGTGTGAAGGCAAGTGAGCGTCCCTTGCAGTAGCGACAGTAAACTCGGCCGGAGATCCGTATAGTTGGACGATTTCGAAGACGAGCGGCGACCAGCACTGCTGTTCGGTGGTTTCGAGAGATACTCGAGGCTCTTTCCTGACAGCAGGGAAAACGATTTGACGATTGGCAAAAAGATACAGTCGAGAAGCAGGTTCAGAGCAGAGGAAAGCGGGGCCACCGTTGATGATGATTCGAGACTGGGTGATACAGAAGCCAGTGGTGGAATAGATTTTTCAATCGATGCATGAAGCACAACAGCCAAAATCGCCAGAGTCTTGAGTTTTGCATTTGCCTTGATGATTGAGTCAAGATTTCTAGAGACTGCAATAAATGCACGCCGAGTAGCGGATAGAAGAATCGCAATTGGGAAGTTTGACTGGGTAGCAAGAGGCAAGAGCTTGAACAATGCGTCCTGAGCGGCATATAGATTCTTGCCGTCCTGGCCAGGAAATGGAAGGCCATCCGAGCATGGTTTGAGCTCTAGGCACAAGTCTTCGAACGAATTCTTGAAAGCACTGACATCGAGTTGCAAGTCTGCAGGGGGGAGCGCCTCATCTTGGTTTGTTGGTGCCGGCTCTGTTACGACCTTCTTGTTTTTCTTCTTGGAAGGACCAGAATCAGTCACGGCGATCGCCCGAGGTTTTGAGGCACATTCTATTGCTTCAGTGATGAATGGTTCTGCGTATAAATAGGTTCACAAACTCACGTATCTGAAGAGCGTCGTGCTCCATTTTCAGGTCGGCATACTGCTGTTCAAGTCCTAAGGCCCGGTTCTTCCACAGATCATCGTCAGGGATTGCATGGAGAGGTACAGATACAGGGAACGCTGTTTTCAGGCCTTGGATGTAGGCTAGATTCGTTGGCAAAGCACGAGCAGCACGAGCCAAGAGAGTGAGCAAAGCCGATCGCCTGCAGCCGTCGAACTCACCGAAACAAGACTGGGCCGGATCCTTGGTCTTAAGGATTGCAAGAGCCTGTATGCAGGTGGTTCAGACAGATATATCATGTATGGTCTGGAACTTGCACTCGCAACAAGAATGCGTAGGCGGTCTGAGTTGGGCACCATGGACGAAGGAATTCAAGTTGTGGAGCTGTTTGGATGACTTTGGAGTTGCGTCTGGCAATTGGATATAGCCAATGCCAATGCCATTGCCGAAGATGGTTGATTGGTACGCTCCTGAAAATTTGAAAGTTCAATATTTCACTGTCCCTATCGAACGAACAAACAGGTGGTAGAATAAATATAAGTACATTCTACTGTAAGTACTATATACATCGCTTTCTTGGCAAGCATGTTAGAAACATAAGTAGCCCATAAGTACATCGAATAACATCGAATAGTCATGATGCACGCTCGTCATCTGCAGACGTAAGTGAGCACAGCTGGCAGCCATCTAGCTCGTCAGGACGCACCGTCATTCCATGTACTTCTGTGTAACTGTGAACGAACCACAGGCGATTCCTCGAGGGCAGACAATGAATTTCCTGAAGCCTTCGACCGCGAGGGGGAATGAAGTTTGTGACGGGGAAGGGAGCTGTCGATGGACCTATTTCGACGGATCGGCGATTCGTCGTATCGAGGAAAATGGTCATGGGATGAGAGGTGGCCACCACTGTCGTCGACAGAAGGTAGAGAGCCGAAGCTTCGATGCATACCGCCGCGACCGATAGGCTTAGAGGGTGTTTGAAATAAGCCTGCACTGCGCGGGAACCCACTGTTCTTTGGCGTAGCGAAGGATGGAGGGAATCTGATTCCGCGGGATGGCGTTGAGGTGGGATCGAAGGGCGATTCTTCATAGTGCTGGACGTGGCCGTCATAGCCTCTAGCTGCAGGCTGGGGTGTTGAGGGGCCGGGGCCTGCTCTGCTTGATGAATCTGCCCAAGATGTCCAAGAATGAGAGGAGTCGAAGGAAAGGTTGTAACTGCCTCGAGTAGGCGTTCTCGGTAGCCTCCAACTGGGAGAGTCTTGCGAGCTGGGTTGAAAGAATGGTGTATCAGAGGAGCCCCGTACGTTTGGTTCGTTGTCAGTAGGCACGAACGTAGGCTCGCTGAGCGGCAAGCTGTCGAGTTGCGTCGGCGGAGAGGGGCTGCGGGCTATACATCTGCGACAGAACCAGGGGTCTTCTTCCCTTCCTAATTCTGCGATGTTCCTGATACCGATGCATTCCAAGTGATACCAGGTCTGGCAAGTGTCACACTGAACAAGTTCCCGTCCGTCATCTTTACCGTGGCAAATGCATACAATCTCTTCTTCCTCGTCATGGTCGAGTTCTCGCAGGCGCTTTTGCTGTCTGTAGGAAAGAGTGCGCACGCTCTTCTTCGACAACAAAGCGGATCGTGCATCGGCAGGATCACTGGGAAAACTAGTCCGTGAGATGAAGTTTGGTCTGTCCGTTTCACCAGGATGATCCCGTAGAGGAACCATCTTGCCTCGACCCATCTTGACCTGGTAGGGCTCAGGTGTGGCATCCCTTGCAACCCAGGCAGGCGAAGAGGCGTTACCCCGTACTGGAGCACTGGAATCCGACCCATCTTCATCATCACTATCCCGGTCCAGAAATCGCTCGATGTAGCGTAGACGTTCCTCCTCTTCAGCTTTGGCCAGTTCAATGCGTTCTTCGGTCCTCAGCCTCCATGGAAATTCAGAGTCGGGCCAGTTCGGTTTTTCAGCGTGGCTTTCACGGCCAGAAGTGCCCGAGAGTTTCTTGTCAATTGAAAGATTTTCACTCTTCCTCTTCCGGCGATTTGTACCTCGTTTCTTGGTGGGCGTCGGTTCGGGGCTCGCCGCGGCAACAGGCTCCTCCGATGGTACATCAATTAAAACCCGACCTTTGCCCTCTAGTTCAACAGCACATAATTTGGAGGTGGATTGATTCCCTTCAGAGCGGAATGCGGCCAGGCGTTTCCTTTTCTTGATCTCCTTCTCGGTGGGTGGCGCTTCGTCTGCTTCATCTGCAATTGACGCGACTCCTGACGATCCTGCGGTGTTCGATGGAAGGGAAATAGGCTGAGGTTGGCGGACCCAATCCGCAGTACGCTGAGGGCGATAACAAGCACATTAGGGAAAAGACAACTATTGAATACGGATGACATACATAGCGACCATATCCGCCAGCCATTAGGCTCTCTTCGAAGCTCTCCTCAGATGTTTCTTGGAATAAGGTCAGGCGCCTCCCCTTGTGAGGACTTTCTGTGATGCCGACTCCCGATGCATGATCACGAATATTCTCTTCTTCCTCAAGGTAACTGGGATCAGCTTCGGAAAGAGTGCGTTTGGCCCGTTTCAAGTACTCTGGACGTCGCTTCTCTGCTTCTCGCATCTGGGACAACGTGTCCTCTCTCCTCGCGTGACGAATTCGCTCCAACTCCCCGCCAGCGTTAGCAATCGGACCAGGTTCCAGGGTAGGATGTTGCGGAGGTGAAATCGGGTTTGTGGTCACCACTGGCGCACGGGCATTAGAATTAGAAAATATGTCATCAACCTCTGTTGGGCGAGGTTCGTCGAATGCATTGATCTTCCTTCCCGTTTGATTTCCAATAGATGCCTTCGCCATGAATGGTGAAGACAGGATGGATGAATGTAGTCTGGAAGGTTCAGGGGGCGCAGGTGAAGATGACGAAATGCGAGGTAGCTGGGTAGGGAGGGAGATGGGTATGGGAGATTCCAACTTGACGTTCGAACTGGGGCTTTGTGAGCGTTGTTCAATGCATCTCATAAGAATAACGCACATTGAGCCTTGTTGTTTGGGTGTCGTGAATTCAGTTGAGGTGGGAATTCTGCATTCATAAGCTCCTTATCGTCACCACATTTAGGAACAGCCTATACTTACAGATATTGGGGTGTCGCGGAGGTGGTAAGGAGAGGAGAAGAGAGTGTGAAATGTGGGCTGTTGCAGAAATTAGACCGGTATGAAACCAAGATGCAGGTTCGAATAGCTTGACCTTGATTCGGGCGTAGCATACTGGTGTAAATTTGACTGCATGCGCGGCGCATGATCCTCAGAAGGACTGCATGAGGACGTCGAGGTGAGAAATTGGTGCATAGTGGCATCCGAGCGCGCTACTCACAGCTTCCGATGCCTACGCTGCGTAGACTGTGCTGCCTTTAGCTGCGCAGCTCTGAACACGTTTTCAAATGTATTTTGGTTGAAGGAAACCAAAGGGCTTACCCATTGCCATTAGGAACGGGCGAATCTGGAGAACATGGCCCATCGAGAACGTAACGACTAAGATTTCCCGGACTAAGATTCTAGAAGTCAGATACATTACGATTTTTGAAAAGAGGTATACCGCACCTCTGCGGCGTAGGTAGATGTGCGTACTGCCTTGAAGAAAATGCAGGGAGAAGTCCTTCCGCCTGAGCAGAACTAGCAAGATCCTAAGTTCAGAATGTCGTAATCGCGTTCACTCGAGGATACTCACGAATTACCGGACATTTCTCCATCTACATTCGACGACGACATCATGCGTTGGGTTTGTGAAAACGAGGAGTGGCTGATTGTGGCTTAATGACCAACGAGTGTTGCTGAGGAGGCAAGGGCGCTTCGTATAAGGATCGGGGATGGTGCCACAGGAAAAGTGTGGAGTAACGAAGGGTGTGAATTGGGTGTGTCGCAGAGGAAAGATGAAAAGGGAAGGGAGAGAAGGAGGAGGGAAAAGGTGAGACTGATTGCCAATGTTCATTTATTCTTATGTAATCGAACACTAATTAAGGCTCGGACCCTGACCAACTTGGTCTTGTTCCAATCTCCACCACTTCCAACCCACCATGTCTGAACGCAAAGGTACCGCCAGGCGTATTTCAACTCCAAGACTTGTGCTAATATCGAAGTTGTACAGTTCTCAACAAATACTTCCCCCCGGATTTCGATCCAGAGCTCATTTCCAGGAGGTCAGGGCCTAGAAACTCGCAGCAGGTTGTGCGCCTCATGGCGCCCTTCTCAATGTACGCCAATGTCTTGTGTATTTCGACTTCCACGCCTTATTTATGTCTCTTCCAGGCGATGTAATACATGTGGGGAATATATCTATAAGGGAAAGAAGTTTAATGCGCGAAAGGAAACTGTACAAGGGGAGGATTACTTGGGCATCAAGATATTTCGCTTCTACATCAAGTGGTATGCTTAATCCCCCCCCCCCGCTTATCATCTTTCGTTAACCAAGTACTCTGTTCAGCACGCTATGTTCTGCTGAAATTACCTTCAAGACAGACCCCAAGAACACGGATTACACTGCTGAACATGGTGCATCAAGGAACTTTGAACCCTGGAGAGACGAAAAGGCGGAGGAGGAGGATAAGCTGGCGAGACTAGAGGAAGAAGAGAACAACCCCATGAAAGTGCTGGAGAACAAGACGGTTGACTCGAAGCGCGAGATGGACATCCTGGACGCGTTGCAGGATATCCGTGCGCGTAATGCCCGGAACGAGCGTGTGGGGCATTCAGACGACCTCCTTTCACGTCTTGCTTTGGAGGAGGTCGAAACAGAGGAAGATGCAGAGAGGAAGAGGTTGGAAGAAGAAGACGAGAAGCTAGTACAGGAAGTGTTCTCCAAGGTGCAAGCATCAGGGTCGGACTCAGGACTAGTGACTGTCAAACGGAAAGCGGATGACAAGGAGCCTCCAACGCATGCACTTTTATCAGCGTCTGCTCGCAGTCTCATTACGTCGGTGTCGACCGCGCCTGTCACTAAAAAGCGGAAAACCGAGACTAAGAATTCCCTAGGGATAAAGGTGATCAAGAAGGGGAAGGCTAAAGTTTCATGACAAAGTTCCTGTTCCCTCTCCGTCACCCGCTCTCTTGTATTTCTATATACTAATCCGCTATCCACACCGCAATGGGCCCATCTACTGGAATGGTTTCGTATTACATGTTGGTGTGTGTACAATATACAGGTGAGGATGCGACAGCTGCTTCGACAATATATAGAGTGGTAAATAAAATTCGTCCCACACTGCATCTACTTAAAAAGGTTGGAAGGGAATAGATAGGACAATAGTTCTAGGGTTGTCTTCTGCGTGAGCGCGAACTGCGTCCAGATCCTCCGTGTATGCTATCAAAGCGTTCTTTGATCTTCGCGTACCCCTCACGATCGACTTTGTGAATGTAGTAGTTCCCTCCGCCATTCCCCCACGAGACGTCTCCAGAATAGTATGGATGTTCTTCGACGTCAAAGATGGCGCTAATATCGTCAACCTGCCCAATCTGTAAGTACCTTGCGCATGATTCAGCAAGGATCGCACTCACGTTCCGTTTGGTGAAGCGTGCATTGATGGAACTGACAAAAGGCGACAAAGAGACGAGTTTGGCCCCTTCCTTCAGGTCGAGAAATTTGGGACGCAATGCCTCGTTCACTAAGAGGACACTAAGCATCAGATACTAAATAGTAGATTGAATTGAGAATACTCACAGCTCTCCTCGAAGACTTTGTTGTCGACCAGGACCACATCTGCCTTGGCAATAAGCTCATCCGTGCGCCTGCTCTTCAACATATCGCCTTGCTCCAATTCCATTTCTCCCACCCTGACACCCCACATTCGCGCTCGCATCTTCATTTGTTCGACCATGTCGTTTGCTACCCGTGCAGGATGCTGCATCAGCTCAATGCCATAACTTGTACACCCCGTTTGTAGACTAGCTTGAACAACAACGTTCCCGACACCACTTCCAAGATCGAGGAAAAGGCTATCTTCGTTGAGCCCGGTCTGCTGAATTATTCTTTCCGCGAGTGAAGGCATCAATTCGCCGTAAACGGTGCTCGAGAAGGCTTCATACTGTTTCAGACTTGGGACGTTAGGTCCAACAGTCCGCTGATAAGTTTCTTCGATGATACGCATTAGGACTTTATCCTTCTCGTCCAGCTTCTCCAGCTTCTCCTTATCTGGAATGGTTCCAGGGGAGATTGTCCAGCTCTCAATCTGGTTCATGAAGGGGTTTCGAGGGTCAGGTCCGAAGGGGTCTTCAGATACCTCGGGATATTTGAGAGATTGAAGCAGAACATTAACTCGCTTCATGGCCAGGAGAAATAGAGGCCCATCTTGAAGGTTGATGGCACGTTGAACTGCTCGGAGAACGGGTAGATGGTCGATAGAGGAATCGGAAAAAAGAGAAGCTATCGAGGGCAAGGGCGGTTGTGGTGAAGCGCCCGGAGAGGCAGGGGCGGAACTCAAACTCGAGGTGGATGAGCTACTGGCCCGAGAGCAGGGCGGAGACGGCGACGGCGACTGCGGAGGCGATATGATGTCACTCGAAGGGAGGCTAGGGATAGAACCGAAGAGATGTCGCAATTCTTTAGGAAGACAACCTAACAGCAGGCCTATAAGCACGACGGGCAAAAGGAAACAACAAAACACGAACATTCAACTATTGTATATAGCGAGCGTTCTAAATCCATGATAGGATTGTAATGGTCTTTGTCTTTTGGCGCAAGGAGAATAAATCTTGGGAACGTGAAATAAGCCACACAATGGACTAGGCAAGAATAAAAGTACCGACCTTTCCGAGGCGCCTTTGTTAGGGAATTCTAACTCGACCACAGGGTAGTCGGTTGGATGAGGCTCGAAAGACTTGTCATTCGGATCGTTAGGGTTCTTGAAATCTTGGACGAATGAAGTGAGTATGAGAAGACTGGCACGCGACAAGGTGCTGGAGCAGAGGGGACACTCACATGCTTTATATGATTTCATTAGTTTCTTTACAACCATCTCAGAGCTCAAGAAGCTATCGCCTGGAGTGCCGTCCTCGTCGGTACACCATCTTCTCAGATTGACTGGTCCGTCGGAATCGCCCGCAGGGAAGCGGGAAGTGGAGCGTGAGCGACTCTTTCTGTAGATCGGTTCGGGCGAGGGAGGCAAGCTGCATTGGCGACTGTTGGCACGGGAGGAGTTCTTTGAGGACCCAGTCTTACGCTTCGGGCCTTTCTCCTTATTAGAAGCAGTTCGGAGACGCTTCACGGCCCGTGGTAGATCTGAGGGCCCTGGCACAGGAGGGTCGGAGGGCAAAGACTTGCGCTTCTTTGCTTGGCTTGGTGGGTTTGGAGGGGGGGTTGACAGGGGAGACGACACAAGAGAGGATGGAGGAGAAGAGGAGGGTAGGGCTGATTGAGCCGAGGTTATACTACTGCTGCGCTGTGACGGATGTGGACGACGTGTCAAACGCGTGGAGACGACGACCTTTGGGGTGGGGGACGCGCCGGGCTTCTGTATCTTCGGAGGGGAGAAAAAGTCGAGGTCAGAGGAGGCGCGAGGCGGTGAGGAGAGCATTGGAGGCAGGAAAGGTGCAACTGTCACAACAACAATTTCCGCAAATGCGGCTGCGTGGCTGTGAATCTCACACGGCACGTGCTATTCAAGACACTACAATTATCAAAATCACTATTGGCATACACTACAATCTCGTCAAATCGACGCCCATGCACGGCCGTCCTCACTAGAACCATCCTCTGACCCCGACGTCTCTTCCTCTCCTTGGTCTGCAACCGGGACAGACACCCACGGACGAGACCGCATCCTCGGTACCATTTCTTTACCTTCGTCGCCCTGGTGTACTTCTTGGCCTCCATTTCCTGTCATATTATCCATCACCCGAGTCGCTTGTACGATGCGGCATTCCTTCTCAGAGCGCCGCATAGGTACCATAATAGACTCTTCAGCAATAGCATCACCAATGCTGCGCTTTTCGACCTCGTCTTCGACATATTCGGCTGCGTCGTCGTCAATTCTGAGTGTAGGTTTGGGTTTAGGTTTGGGTGCCGCTCTGACTGTAACGATCCCTTTTATCCCTCTTGCCATGTCTTCTTCCACGTCCCGCGCCACATTGGATGCAGCGTTGCTAATGAAAGTTTCAACGGCGCGTACCAGCCTCTTGAGTTCCTCCACGTCGCGTTTGCGATGAAGCTGAGATTCGGGGTTCAGAGCCTTTCGCAGGTCTCGTATCTGGTTGATCATTTTCCTGTGTCAGGCATGCTGAGTACCTAGCCAGGAGTAAAAGAAAGGAAGCCTCACTTTTGCTCTGTCAATCGCTTGTTGACATCGTCCAACTCTTGGTGCGTGGCCGTCTTGAAACGTTTCTTATTGCGTTGCTTCGTCTCCATCACCCAAGTATGCACCGCATTCAGACAGGTCAGCACGTGTGGGAGAGGGCCTAAGAATAGTAGCAAATAGTGACTGCGCGGTGGCCACTCTATCTTTCGCGACTCGGCGAGGCAAGCCTCAAAGCAGCTGGCCCGCAAAGTCTCCAGCGCCGTCCTCGAAGTTTGGCGTTTGCTTCTCAAAATCTTCCGGTAGCGAGCTTGGATGCAGGACGCGGCCCGAATAAGTTCTTCGGAAGGGGGCTTAGTCTCTTCCTGCTCTGCAACTGGTGCAACTTCAACGGGGGCTGAGATATTGACGACCTCAGTGTTGTCTGCTTCAGGTTCTTCAATTTCCTGCTCAGGTTCTTCCCCAGTCACGGAAGTGGAGGCCTCGGGTTCACGAGGTTTAGGGATGAAGGCAGGAGCATCGGCTCGCAGGTTGGAAACAAGCACAGGATTGAGGGGGTCCAGTAGACGATGTACGTCAACACTTGTCTTGAACATCACTCGCCTCACACTTCTTGCAGGGGGGTGAGATTCGGTCTTGCTTATATCATAAAGTTGAATTAGCTCGTCCAGCGAAGAGTCGTTTGTAGATCTCTGGAATGCCTTTGCAACGTCGCTCCACTCCCGAGTACTGGTGTAACTTTTGACCAAGTCAGAGATGCGCATATCTTCTCGAGGCATTTACTAACTTTCTGTAAAGATTATGAGGCTGCTTGTATGGTGGCTGACCCTGTGGCCTCAGCGCTTTCATCAGTTTCACAATTTCATTCCTGAGCACGTCGTTGTTGAGGTTGTAACCAACTTAAACATGGCTTCAGAAGATGTTCGGACGAGAAGGGAGAAAGCACACCTAGAGCAATAGCCCGGCATCTGGATAAAAACGGTTTAAATTTACGGCCATGCATCTAGAAGCTAGCACCTACATGCGAGACAGATATATGGGGCGATGTCCTGATAGTGTGAAAAGATCCTTGTTCTCAACCAATAGAGCGCCTGCGAGGAAATACTGGCAGTTAGCAGTGGCCTAGCAGGCGCAGAGAGATCCTTACAGAGCTGTTGCTGTCCGTTATGGAGATTAAGCATGAGCTGGCCCAACGATGCTACGAAGACTATGATCAAAGCCATTGGAATGTCTGAAACATTGGCTTTGAGGTCAATGTTTCGCAGGAGCATATCCAGCCAACTCCGAGGCATAGTTATGTTATGAAGGTCCAGCTTTCTTCGAATCAAGACAATTAAACCACAGGTCACATCGATCAAATGGAAGATGGCGTTTGCATCGATGGGAATGGCTTTCTCCAGAACATGCCTACCATATTTCAGATTAACCCAGAACTTCAGACAAACATTGTGCTCACCGGACGAATGATACGCCACCGACGACTGCGTTATATCTTCCCGACACCAAAGCAGCAACAAGCTCAGGAACAATATAAACGCTGGTGTTCCCGCTTTTGCGCCAATAGTCGGGGCCCGTCTTGAAGACATTCGCCAGCGGAGATCGGATAATAGGCAATGGATTCCTGTCGCCCATTAAACGACTCAATCGAGAGATTTGGTACACGGTGGTAAGAAGCCTGTTGTCTCGTGGCGCATAGGTTTGATCATAGAGCAAGTCCATATGCCATCGCTTCAAGATTGAAGATGCGATCGGTGCTTCAGGTATGGAAGAGAAGTCCAAGTCAGCAGGAGAGCCAAGACGATAGTTGGAAGGATGCAAAGTATTAAAGAGTCGACCAATCCAGTGCCTACGAATTTGAAACTCCTCGTCAGTAAGGGTCAATGCGGGAAGGACATTCTTACTTGAAATGCATCATCCTGTCACTTGCAAGGTTGACGGGCACAACAGCAAATGTTTGGATAATATTGATTTGCTGCAGGTGAATCTTGACTTGCAGACGATACCAATCACGATTCAAGGAGCTCGGCGAGAGATGTCGCCGAGAGCAATCGGGCCGACCACAATGTCCAATGATAATGTCAAAGGGGCAAGGGCTGAAGGCTTGCGCCTGCCTATATTCGTCGTTCTCTCGTCGGACGCGGGTTAGTAGTCGATTCTGAAGAATAGTTTTCACCCTTTTCTTCAATTCCCACTCCGATAGAATGATTCCTTGTTCATTCGAACTTATTAGCAAGGCTCGCCTTTCCAAGAGTACTTGATGCAAGAAAGTATCACAAGGCACGAAAAAGTTGCCTCCAGTTGAAGGCTGTATGCAAAATAACTTGCAGAAATCCAGGTCCTGGCAGGGGTTGACAAGGTTGCCAAGGCGGTGGAGGTGGCGAACATAGAGGTAAAAGTCATGAAGGAGTTCGGAGAGTTCGGCTTGAGACATGCGATACATGATGGGAATTGTCTTGAAATAGTGGTCGTAACAAAGGGTTGCCGATATAGCATTTGAGGTTCCAGAGAACTTTCTGCCGAGGAGACAAAGCTTTGGGAGATCTCCCGCTCGTATAGCCTGAAACATGGCCAACTTAACTTGAAACTTGAGTACCATATTTTTCCCAAAAAAATCAATCAGTGGTTACTTACCTCATCTGCAAGAGTTGACTTAGAAGCGGCATCCGCGGATCTCCTGTTTGAAGATAACTTCAAAAGACGGGTCACTTCTTCCTTTCGTTCAGATAAATTGACCCCAAACGATGCATGCTCCCAGAGTCCTCGAACAATGCAATCTTGACCACGTAAGATCGAATCCTCATTTTCATCCATGAGGAATAGTCTTATTGCATCAAATGTTCGACCTTCGTCAAGGTGAACTTCGGCCGCCTCTCGGAATCTGCCCAGGTTTTCTAGCAATGCAGCTCGAGAGACGTCAAGATCGAAGTCTTCCAAGTATTCTAGTTGGTCGTCGATCGTGTCAAACAATTGGCTGGCTTTGCTAAGAAATGACAGCACAGGTCACTACTGCGAAGATACTTCATTTCACTGAGAGAAGCTCACTTACCTCAGTTCGTTGTTTTTGAAGTAGAAAAGCTTTGCAATCTCAACGATGTTTTGGGCCACATTTGAATCCACTGCTTGCCGATTCTGCGTGATGATTTCAACGGCCTCGTCAAACTTGGCACATTTGCGATACAGCTTTGCAGCTGTGGTGAATTCTCCCGCCTGTTTATATACCTCCGCTGCTTTGAAGTCCTCTTGCGCATGTTCGAAACAGTCTCCAGCGTTGTGGAGATAGGCTCTCTTTTCCTTGGCGTTGATCGTTGAAACAGCACACTCCTTAAAAGCTTCCGCGGCTGCCAGAAATGCTTCTTGACGCTCCGAAATGCTCTGCCTTGATCCTGTCGCCTTCACGCTCCGGGCTTGTTCTCTGAGGTAGTACGTATGCGACACACGAACTTCGCGCGGGAGCGCAGCTCGCTCGAAGCAGTGCATCGCTTGAAGATACCGTTTGTTGGTGAAAAGGGTCCTCCCGGATTTCTCCCATTCCTCGGGTGACGACGACACAGCCAGGCGAGGAACGTCTGTACCAGGAGTGCAGTTTTGAATCTCGTTGCGAGCCGTCCAGAATTCCTAATGAGGACATTGGGTATGTCAAGATGATAATTTCAATAGTGTTTGAGACATACCCTCATTGGTTCGCCTTTTACCGAACAATCTACGATCCACAGGTTCTTCCGGGCTCTGGTGATTGCCACATACAAGAACTTGAGCTGTATCACACTGCATGAATATCAGCAAGAAGAAACCGCAACACAACACACCTCACTGCAGACCCCCGCGTGACGGACATCGTCAAACTTCGGTGCAGATACCCCAGTTTCATTGATTTTCTCCAATAGACTGAGAACAACACGCCACTGAGAGAAATCAACTGTTGAATCTTCGAAAAATTTATACAATAGGACCTAGAACAGGCCGGTCAGGACGGAACCATGGGTGAGAACGGAGCACCAACATCATCAAATTCAAGACCTTTGCTTTCATACAAAGTCCTAATGAAGCATCAGGGATCTACTTATCGGCATTTTCATACCAGTAGCAGCTCACATGATAAGGCCGATTTCTCCGACTTGCGTGCGAAGCTCTTGCCTTGCCGATTCGTTCCGCACCAGGATGCCTTGCGTTGCAAAGGTCGTCAGGAGAGAGATGTACGAAGAAGGAACACTATGCATACATTGCTGCGCTCCAAATTCAATCGGATTTCCTCTATGCAGAGAAGGAGAAGTCCATCGGTGAGGAAATCAAGGAAACAAATTCAGTACTCACGATTCTCCAAACAAAAACTGTTCCTGAACAAAGTGAGGGTTGAGAACAATGGCTGATATGGCGGAAGGCTGGAAATTTACTTACATATCGGACAGTTTCGCTGTCCCAGCCGCTGAAGAACACTGGTTTGGAGCCTTCGACCACGCCCTTTTCTCTTGATAAAACATCGATTGCATGAGGCCAAAACTCCGTAATTAACTCGATCACTGAATGAGCGCATTGAACAATTCCCCCATGAGAGCGATAATTAACGGCCAGATGGAACATATGGGGAGCTTCTTGTGCAAACGAGGAGCCGCTGCTAAACAAGGACCCCTCGCGTCGCTCCTGAGCACCCGGCACACTGTCAGTAAGGTAAAGGCATCGGACAGAATTAATGCAAACCTCCAGGCGAAACATAAATGCTTTCAGATCGTTGAATCTGAACGAACTACCGACTGAGATAGTTTGCGCGGTGTCCCCTGCCCAGAAGAGTCCATCTGGATTTCGGACAAGAGATCGTAGTACTATCCAGTGGAACAAAGTCACCAACTTGTTGCCCTGAATAGATTGGGCTAGAACGTACAGAGCGCGTCAATGAGAAGATTATCTTGAGCCTCGTCCACGTATCTGATTAGAATGAGTTCAACCTGTCGAAGTCCCGATCCTTCATTTACTCACAGGAAGTCAATTTTTTGACCCGGAATTCCTGAAGCACGGAAGGCCCTAACGACATGGTGTGTCCTAATTTAAGCTTCAAAATGAGAAATTTCATCCTACTTAGGGGTCCTGTAAGAATGGAACGGACCTGTCCGCGGCATCGTACTCGCCGCTCGACTTTTTCTGCTTGAGGTATTGAAGGAAAATTGCATAGATGATCCCACGGCGGCTGGCAAATGCATACTGAGCTCTATGACTCATATTTTCATACGTCTCTTTGTCGATGTAATGGCGCTCGTCGCTGAGGGATTCTTCCGAGCCTTGAATAACACCTGTTATGAGAATGAGCATAGAAACTAAGAGCAATTAAAAAAAACATGCCCATGAGTTCACTGAATACCAAAGCAGGATCTAGAGGAGATGCATGTCGCACGTTTAATTGAATTTCACAGCTGGCAGAAATTCTGGTTCGTACCGAGGCCCTTGGTGAGACTTTGAGCAAAATGCGGCCAGTACGACTCCAAAAAAGTGTTGTACGAGATTAATCTGGAGCCCTTTCCCAGAGCACTGTTGTCTTCTATCAAAGGGGGCGTAGCTATAGCCACTTTGTCATTGACACCACCGCCGATGTCGGCCTCTAGTAGCGATGCCAACTGCAGCCTAAGTAGTCGTGATCAAGTTCATACTTGACAATGAATTATACGCACTCGGTCGAATGTCAAAAACAACGGGAAATGCTCATCACGTAGTTGGCTGAACTTCGAAGGCAAGTCGGCACGCCAGGTATGGTCATCATCAATGTCGATGAGGCCCTCTTCTTCATGGCGTCGTCTCTTCAGCTTGATCATTTCAGCGAGCTCTTCTTTTGTTTTATCAGCCGTCGAAAGCGAATCCAACAACTTGGAAAAATATTCCTCGACCTTGTTGGCGAGGACTCGGGATTGAGTAACAAAAATCTGCCTCGGTTTGGCCATCGTGCCTTTGCGAAGGCTATAAGCTCGCTCGATCCCTAACATCTTGAACAACATTGTCGTCGTTTTTCTTTCATACACGGATTTAAGAAAACCGAACCAGACGCAGGAAATCGCGACTTACCCAGTGCCACTGCGGCCAAGAACGTAGCACGAATACGGATACTCAATGATTTCTTTCTCTTGGGGACTGTCAATGCATCTGGGTTAGTCAGACTCCGTCTTCGAACTACAAAGTGCTTACCTGACGTTAAAAACATGAGCAACATCAAGATCTGCTATAATGCCTGCCGAGAATCAATATCGATGTCTGACTGATAAGACCGTAACGACCTACTGTTGAGCAATGCCTAGCACCAAGACGAGAGGTTTGCATTGCAGGAAGTTTCATAGCATATATAGGACGCACCTGGGAGAAAGTGACGAATTTCTCCAGCCTAGCACAGGGTTTAGCATGTTATCATCGCGACGAAGCGGCTACAACTCACACAAGAAGCGAGTGCATCTGCAATTGCGAAGGTCAGAAAAACATGACAATCGCTTTTAAGCTACATGAACTGACCTCTTCAAGGCTTTCGCGAGGAAGCTGTGGGACAACGGACTCTTCTTCTTCCGCCTTCTCTGCAGGTGGGAAGCAAGCAGGAGAAAAGACGTTATCGCCTGCAGAATTTGGGTGATTGCGAAAAAGACATCTCTGCCGATACTCTTTGCCCTTTCTAGCGAGCTGGTGGCCTATTGAGTCCCACAACCGCCTGTCTATCTGTGCATGGGTGTAGATGCCAAAAATCTTGATGACTGACAAACATGAGGTGTCATTTTGCAGTGCGAAGAAGTCGTGAATATTGAAACACCTTGCCGCTCAATCTGAAAAGCAGATTGAGTTCTATGTTCGCAGGTGAAGTTGATGACTTACGCTGTCGTCATATTCGGGGATGCAATCAATTTGATACTGTTGTGAAATGCGCGTCAAGCAGGTTTTGATACCTAAAAGGTCTGTCTTACAATCAGTCTTGAATCTCTTGTCATTTTCGCTTCATAAATTGGAATCTCGCCATAAGAGCCATTTAGCCTCTTCTGATTATCATCGGAGAAGTGCCCCTTCGAGAGCTCTCTGCGAAGAAAGTTGAATCAATACACGACCCACCCACTGAAAATAGCACTTGCTTTATCTTCTTGATGATAATCTTGAAGAATTTGGCATCCTTCCTGCGAGCTTCGCGAAGATCGCGGTCGGCACGAGTGGATATTAAGATTCTCCATTCTCCAAAGCCTTCAGCACTGTCAAAATATAGGGCGCTTGAAGGAGGTTGGCTTGGTTAATTCATATTCCAGCAGCTTGAGCTGAGAACACGTACGCCTTCATAGGTTGGACCATGGGGTAAGCAGCAGGTAAGTTAGGAGTATCTTCAGCCTCAGGCAGAGTCTCCTTTTCTGCGATTGAGTCGATCCAATGGTGTTGCTCGTCATTTGATATTTTCACTTCTACAAAGGATTGTCTGATGGCAGCCTCGACGGTGGGTTCTTTTAGGATTTGAAGATAAAACTGAGACAGATGAGAAACAAAGGCTTTACACAGTATACAGACTAACCTTCAATATTTCCATCTGCCCAGCGAAAATCTTCATGAAATAGTCAGATGCATCTTCTTTACTGTCTGGAAATTGCAGTCCGAAGGTCTCGAATGCTTTCTTGAGTTTAGGATCAAAGGAAGTTGTCATCCTGGCCTTCGCACCCTTTCGCTGACGTTGAGTTTGCTTAATCTTCACCAAAAAGATGTCATCTTGCATTTCTTGCGGGCTTGAGACAGGAGCAGGAGGCGGGTGATAATCGAGAAGGGCCTGTATCATTTGCGGTGCATGCTCGACTCGTGCACGATAAGCGCCCAACTTCAAAGATAACTCTCTTTCAAAGGGATAAAGAAATGGTAAGGACGCAGAAAGCCTGTCAAGAACTGCGGCAACAAGAGAAGAAGAAAATATGTGGGGCATAGCTGGGAAGTTTTCGCATAACCACTTGCTAAAGATAGGCCCACACTCAGTGGCTAGGAAACAAAACGTCAGCACGCGATACACAGCCATAGAAAAAGAACGAACATGCAAGCAGCATTTCAAAAGCCAAACGAGAAACGGATGAAGAAGATGATAGCATTTTTCTCAAGAAAACATCATAGTGTCTTTCGGATAGGTTGGCCGCAACATTGAGGAGCGAACGATCGAGCCGCTCCTCAGAGTTGACCCTGCCATTGTTGAAAGACTCGACGAAGGCGCCAATAGGATCTTTCATATAGCGAGACATGGTATATGCCTCAACTTCACGGTTCGATGGCGGGCTAGTGAATGGAAAGGGTAGAACGAGAGAAGGAACACGCCTCGAGGGCTTCGTAATTAGGCCCTGTCGACAAGTTAAAGTTAATCGGAACTTGCTGGGGCACGTTTCCGCAGCCTATCGAAGTGGATGGCTTTGGACAAGCGTGTTGTGCTTAACTGGAAGAGCAATGGCCGCGTTCATCCACTGGTGTGACCGAGACAAAGTGGCAAATATTGAACCACACCTTCAAGGAAGGAAGGAAGGAAGGAAGGAAGTGTATTAGCCGGCGCGCGGTCCCTATAAAGAAACAGCCGGCCCAGCAAAGTCTAAGCTTCATGATGAACCGAACCGCGGGGCGAACCATCACCATCCGGCCGTGGGAATTCGTCGCCCCCACCATGGTCGCGCTCTACACTACCGAACTCCTCTCATTAATCGGCATCGTCCTCTATCGGGCCCCACTCATTGCCTGATTCCTTATCTATTCATTAAACCAACACCTTTTCTTATTTATCGGAGAAGATCGCAACTTCGGCGTGGTTGTATCCCAATCGCTTTGTTGGAGGCCCGAAGACCTTGTTTACAACAACCTCAAAGCGCAACTGATGGCCCTACTTGACAGGCAGCCCGTGTACCGTCTTGCTCTGCTTCGTGCAGACCTTTCGGGGGCGCAACCTAGTCATGGAAGGCAACCCATGGAGGGAGGAGGCTAGTCTCCGATCATCAGCCGTGTTGCCTATGATCCGGCTACACCCCTTGGGGAGAAACACTAGATATTCGACCGCCTTCGCATGGTAGGGGGATGCTACAGGATGCGTGCCTTAGGGTTTGGGAAATGGGGGAGGAAAGCGGGTGGGGTTGTATCAGAGGGCAGAAGGCATAGTGGAAGGCAGAGTCACTCATTTCAACATTTCACTTCCAAACCATCCAATCTCGTTAGGGGTACTTAGCACCTACATGTGCTGCCCCCGTCAATGGCGTTGGCCCGGCACACCAACCATGCAGGCGACTGACGGCTTGGAAGCTTCGGCGCCCAATGCTGGGAAGGACTAACACCATGAAGCCCTTGATTGTTTAGATTCGGCGAACCGCAAGGAAACTGGTCAGCTCTCACCAACTGTCTCAACAGCTGGAAGCTTCGGCGCCCAATGGGGCTTCAACCAAAGGCGGCGGGTCGAGGGATGGGATGATGAGGAGGGTCGTTTAGGTGTAGCCTACCTCCAAGGGACTGTGATTGAACACCCTATTTTTTGTGTATTTGGAGTACGTCTAAAATACACCCTACGTGGAAGACTTCAAAAAAAAAAAAAAAAAACCGAACCGCGGGGTGTCACGACCACGCGTTGCTGTGACGCGCCAATTTGCCCAAAATTTGCCTCCGTGTGGTTCTGAGGACCGACTCTGGCAATCCCTCCGGAATGCTCAGATCCTTCACACGAACACCCAGCGCGAGCAACCTCAAATATTTCCATTCTTCATCCCCCGACTCACACGCGCTCAAACAGCGATATCTACGTTCGGACTCACCAGTTTCCCGCAACACCAAGACTAAAGAGAAACTGAAAGATAGAGAAGATCAGTCAATTTATGACGAAGAGGCCCTCATTCAACGGCACGGTATGTTTGGACTATATATCCCCGCAAACAATACTGACCGTGCAAGTTGGCTAGTCAAGAGAAATGAACTCGGCGTGCAGCTTCTTTCTCGTGGGCTACACTCCCAGATATTCAAATCTGTTTCTTTTCCATCCCCCCCTCCTTCATATGTACAAATCTCCAAGGAACATCTGCGAATGCATGGGTTAGATCCCTCTCAAGGATCTGTTCTCCCAGATATAAATTTCCAGCTTCCCCCGCTGCAAGGATCCAATATCTCCGAGCACTTCCATCGCATTGGAGTCCATGCCGCGGAACCATGGCTTACACTCGCTCGTTCACTTTCATCGGCCGCAATACCTCCAAAACCAGATAACTGGCATATTCAGAGTGGCTGGACCAAATACCACTATGCTCCAGATGGCTCAAGCTACAGCGAGCACGTTAAAACCCCTGTTCACAACGGCAGCTCAGAGCAATTGCTAGTTTTCGATGTTGAGACAATGCCCAACCAGCACCCATATGCTGTCATGGCATGCGCAGCGTCACCCAATGCATGGTATGCTTGGATATCACCATGGTTGTTGGGAGAGTCCAAAGACCCTCAGCACTTCATCCCCCTTGGAGATCCTGCCACCCCGAGGGTCGTCGTAGGGCATAACATTTCCTATGACCGTATCAGAATCGCCGACGAATACAACGTCCCCGCGACCTCAAACCGCTTCCTAGACACGATGTCCCTTCACATCGCGGTTAATGGCATATCCTCCCATCAACGACCTTCCTGGATGAAGTATCGCAAATCAAAACAGGAGGAGGAGGAACAGAAAGAGGAAGCGGTGGAAGCGGTGGAGGCACTTATACGTTCTGTCACTGAACGCCAGAAACAAGAAGCCGACACGTCGAGGAAAGAGGAGTTTAAGAAACTCCTTAAGCAAATGGAAGCCAGCCTTCTTATGCTCCAAGCCCCTGCAGACGAAGATGGCGACATATCTGCCGACGAAATTGCGTCGAAGCGGTGGGAAGATATTACCTCTGCCAATTCCCTTGCAGACGTTGCCAAACTGCACTGCGGGATTAGGATGGACAAGGAAATAAGGAACGACTTAATGGAATCGGAACCACAACATATCCGCGACAATATAACTGATTATCTCGATTACTGCGCTAACGATGTCGATATTACACACCGTGTTTACTCTAAGACTCTCCCAGCCTTTCTCCGTGCTTGTCCGCATCCCGTCTCTTTTTCAGGGATTCTGACTATGGGCTCTTCCTTTCTAACCGTTGACGAAAATTGGACGAAATATTTGGAGAATGCTGACGCGATCTACCATGAAATGGAAGAAAAGGTTCAGAGCAAGCTGAAGAAGCTGGCAGAGGAGGCACGCGACCTCATGAATGACGAACAGAAGTGGATGGCAGACCCTTGGCTAGGCCAACTCGACTGGGAACCTAAGGTGGCCGGCAAGTCTAGAGGCGTGCTACCTGCTGGAGAAGTGAGCTTCCTAGTTTCTCCTCCAGCATTACTGTAACATCCTTTCCAGGTTACGACGGATCGCCCACAGCTTGAAGACAGCCTCCCAGCTTGGCACGAGCAACTTGTGACAAAGCCGCTAGCGAAGTCGACAGTGGACCTATTAGTTCCGTTACTACTCAAGATTTCGTACGACAACCAACCCGTCTATTTCGACGAGAAAGAAGGTTGGCATCAGCAGATCGACGGACGGAAGACCCCACTTCCTTTGGCCAAAGGCAGGAAAATGAAGACCATCCTTTCGAAATCCACCTGGAAGCATTTCACAAGCGGGAGTCTGACAACTAGTGATCTGGAACTTACCAAAGCCCTCTGCGGAGGCGCAGACAATGAGGAAGTATCCAATCGTATTGTCTCTTATGCCAACATCCTTCTCCAAGAGTCGAGAACGAGCCAGGATAAGGACCCCTGGATTTCCCAGCTTGAATTCCTAGCGAAGCCGAAGCGGGTCAAAAAGCCAAAACCTCTCAAACCCCCTCCCGTCTTGTGGCCCAAGTGGTACTGGGAGGCGACGAAACCGAAGAAGGGGATGCCGCCGGGTACGCTTGAAGTAACAGTACGGACACGTATTGCTCCCATCCTCCTTCGTCTCTCATGGCTAGGGTATCCTCTTGTCCACTCCCGTGAACATGGGTGGACCTTCCGTGTACCCACCAATGCGAATTTCAAGACTCGACTGTCGCCTCTTAAGTTTTACGATCCAGCCGATGACAAATTATCTGAAGCAGTCCTCAGCGGTACCTATGTCTTTTATAAGGTCCCTCACAAGGATGGCGAAAAGGCCAACGTTGCCAACCCATTAGGCAAGTCCTTTATCAAATACGCCCAGGACGGTACCTTGAAGAGCCCGGGCAATGAAGCCAAGGAGGCTTTGGACCTCAACTCCCTGTGTAGTTACTGGATTAGCGCCCGGGACAGAATCACCAATCAACTCGTCGTCTGGCAGGACTCTCAACGTTCCTTAGGACTCCCATCTCCAACAGACAGTTCTAAGAAGTACGGAATCATCCTCCCTCAGGTCATCACAATGGGGACTGTCACTCGAAGAGCCATTGAGAAGACCTGGTTGACTGCCAGCAACGCAAAAAAGAATCGCGTTGGATCCGAACTTAAGGCTATGGTGCGGGCCCCGGAGGGATATGCCATCGTCGGGGCCGATGTGGATAGCGAAGAGCTCTGGATCTCAAGCTGCATGGGTGATGCACAATTTGGCCTCCATGGCGCCTCTGCCATTGGTTGGATGACCTTAGAAGGGACGAAGGCAGCAGGTACCGATCTCCACTCCAAGACTGCTAGCATCTTGGGGATATCTCGTGATCAAGCGAAAGTTTTTAACTATTCGCGCATCTATGGCGCTGGAATGCGCCATGCGATTCTCCTTCTTCTGCAATCCAATCCTTCCATGCTGCCTGATGAGGCACAGAAGCTTGCGGAGAATTTATATGCTTCAACAAAGGGGAAGAACACCCATCGTTCCGACATCTTCGAACGTAAATTCTGGTTTGGAGGCACAGAAAGTTACTTGTTCAATAAATTGGAAGAAATTGCGATCTCTGACAAGCCTCAAACTCCGGCTCTCGGTTGCGGTGTCACTTATGCTCTTTCCAAGGAGTATCTACCTGAAGGTTTCGGTTCTGACTTCATGCCATCTCGCATTAACTGGGTCGTGCAATCTTCTGGCGTTGATTACCTCCATCTCCTGATTGTCGCGATGAACCATCTCGTCCGCAAATACGACATTAACGCACGGTACTTGATCTCCGTTCATGACGAACTTCGCTACCTTGTCGCCGAAGAAGACAAATATCGGGTTGCTCTGGCGCTTCAGATCGCAAACCTCTGGACACGCAGCATGTTCGCATACAACTTGGGGATGGATGATCTTCCGCAAGGCGTGGCGTTCTTCTCGGCCGTGGACGTCGACGCTGTCCTTCGTAAAGAAGTAGACATGCCATGTGTTACACCGTCTCAACCCATTCCAATACCACCCGGCGAGAGTTTGGATATTATGAAGGTTCTCCAGAGGACAAATGGTGGCTCTCTTCAAAGAGACGGCCTTCCGATGGCCCGCCAGGGAGAGGAGGAACTCGAAGGCAATCTTGTTGGATATACCCAGCCTGACTGCCTCTCTCATCGAGCCAACAACGCCGCCTGGCTTCAAGCTCAAGCAACAACTGATTTTGGAGAGGTCAAGGGTCTCGCTCAGCAAGTCTACGGGAAGCAATTCACTGGCAATGCTACAAAACCAAAAGTTCGTCGAAAGAAAGCTCCAATAGGGACTGGAGAGGGGTTTGACTGGTCGGAACATGCGGAACGAATCCTAATGTCATGATTTCTAGAGCAAGGAAGTGAATCCTCCGGCTTGGTGTACATCTAGCAATCTAGCAACCTACCTTGTTTATTTCCATAATTTATGATCCCTGTAATTTATGGATGCGTTAGTATCGCTCTCGCCAAAGTACTTCTTGATACTGTAGCTAGGACTCCACTAATAAACTAAGCCACATACAAGCCTTTCACCGAGGTCCATGCTTTAAGCATACATAAATATCAAGAGCGGAATCAATCTGAGTATTCACGATAAAATAATTAGGATACGAAATACATATTGAACAGTACAAAAAAAAGAAGTGCAATACGACAACGTCTAGCAAGAGAGTGGACCATGGATAGAAGGGCAATCAATTGATCACTCATCATCACTCGGGGTAAGGTACTCCTCATCGCTGAGGACCTGCTTTCGACCTGCGCTGCGACCTCGAATTGGTGCAGGAGGGCGCTCATCATCTTCCATCGGCGTGAGGGCCGAGGCGTAAGAACCAGAGGCAGAATTTGTTCCAGCCGCAGGAGGTGCTCCAGGAAGGTCCGTGCCGGCGATCACCTTGTCCCAGGTGGCATTGAAGACCTTTTCCATCTCTTCGGCGTCAACGTACACCCACGAGCCTTCTTGGTTGTAGGTCCGAGCGTTATTGAACATAAGTCGCCAATCGTCCCGGAATGCTAGCACATTCTTGTAGTAGTTGGAATTGCCTCGCTTCCGAAGATGAGACAGAGCGATAGGTTGCGTGATAAGTTGGTAATAATCGGGGTAGTCCTAATTTGTTGCGTCAGCCATAAGTATTTTGTTAAGAAAACAATTCATTACCCGTCTGTCAGGAGGCTCGCGGAAGAGTTCGCAACGCTTACGGCCAGTTTCGTCTTCGCAGGCAAGAACTGCACGGTAGCATTCTGTGAAGGCTTTTTTCATCTTCTCACGCATCGAAGGGGAAACTTCAGGACCAGCGTTGTTGCTACTCCCGTTGGTTTTCGTCCTGCGTCGCTTCTGGAGCAGATTCATGAGTACTACGCGTGCACTTAGCAAGCAAGAATGTTTACCTGATCATGATCGTCGTCGTCGTCATCACCGTCTGGAGTGGCAGAGATGGACTTTACGCCGCGTTTACGTTTGGATCCAGCGGCCGGTTCGTAGTCGTTCGCCTTTGCCTTGCCCTTCTTCGGCTTGCGACCGCGACCATCGACCACATCAGATGCAGGTGTATTTCGACCAGACTCGTCCTTCATGAGTTTGTTCTGTGCTCGTCGTTCTTTCTTCTCCCTCACTCGTTCAGACAACTCTTGAATGTCTTCACCTCCCTCAAGAGCCTAATACAAACGTCAACCTGAGATGAAAATCGAAGAACATAGACGCATACCATTGCCCAGGCATCATCATCGAGGCCATCGTTGTAACTAACAACATTCCTGCGGCGCTGTCCACGACCTTCAACGATATCTTCAACTTCTTTCACGTCGAAAGGTTCATCTGTCTGATAACACTCTGGCAGTTCCTCAAGTTGCATGAGAGGTTGCGGCGGCTTGCCACGATTGCCTGCAGCACGCCAGTTCTCCAATACATCGCGCTCCCGTTTGATGTCCATTTCACGGAAGATTGCAACTTCGCTATCGTGACGTGCAATTAGCTCGTTCAACTCGTCGTCATTCATATCGCCAGCTTCTTCGTTCTCTTCGTCTTGATCAGTTTCAAGAATCGACCTCTGTTTCAAGGAATTAGTTATAGCCCGGAGCAGTTCCAAATAAAAACCGTACTAAGAACTCTTCTTGTTCCTCTTGCGTGGATTTGTTGTCAAATCGGCCAGCTTGAATGACCTTATCGTCGATATCAAGTTTGTATCGAGCTCTTTGGTACATCGCCTCTTCTACGCTCTTCTCTGTGATGAACCGCAAGATGAGCACCGCACGGGTTTGCCCAATGCGATGAGCGCGATCTTGGGCTTGCAGATCAGCATGAGGGTTCCAGTCACTGTCGAAACTATTTGGAGATGTTATGATATGCGCGAAAAAGTATCAACACTCGGCACTTACATGATGACCGTATCAGCAGTTTGTAAGTTCAGACCCAGACCACCAGCACGAGTGGAGAGAATGAAAACCATGTACTCCGAGTCCTTGGCGTTGAAGAGCTGTACAAAGGACGCACGCTCTTCTGTCTTTGTGCCACCATCTAGGCGAAGGTACTTCCATCCCATCATCTTCAGGAAATCCTCCATGATATCCATGACTTTCGTCATTTGGAAGAAGATAAGAACCTATGGGATTCATTCATGAGAAGCTATGCAACAGATGAGACAAGAGGATGTCTCACTCTGTGACCTGTTGCAAAGAACTTGGGCAAAACACGGTGAAGCAACTCAATTTTACCCGAGGATCGAACAATTTTGTCGTCAATGAAACCTCCGGGACTAATTTTGTCTTCCACACTTTCGAAGAGGTACGGATGTTGGCAGATTTTACGGAGCTGCATGAGCTCGTTACTGAGACCTTTAACACTTCCCTGCTTTCTGTATACAAGTTAGTTAAGGAGGCAGCAACCTTGTGAAAACACACACCCTTTCACATCTTTGCCATCTGCAATCATCTTGTGTTTCTTCATCTGCTTGTAAAGCTGGCTCTGGAGGGCACTCATCCTGATCTTGATGACCTTCTCAACCTTGTCTGGCAGCTCACTCTCGACATCCTTCTTCAATCTGCGCAACAAGAAGGGTCGCAACACCTTGTGCAGACGACGTATGATGAGCAAGGCCTCTTCCTCGTTAAGTTCAATCTTGTCTCCAGTACCCGAGTTGGCAAAAGGAGTGTTGAACCATTCATCAAAAGACTTGACAGAGTTGAAGACTTTTGGGAGTACGAAATTGAGCAAGGCCCACAATTCAGGCAGGTTGTTTTGCAGAGGGGTACCCGTCAGAATGAGACGGTAGCGGGAGTGATAGTAAGTTGTGAGTGTCTGTGTCAACTTGCTTTGTGTATTCTTCATACGATGGCCCTCGTCTGCAACCCAGGATTAGATTACAAGTGATATGAACAGAAGGTGGACACTAACCAATGATCATATGCACCCATTTTATCTTGCTGAGGTGAGGGCGATCCTTGATGATGTACTCATACGTTGTAAGGAGAACCTGGAACTGGCCAACTCTCAGTTCACCTTGAAGGTTCCGACGCTGAATGGGATTGCCCTTGTATGCCACTGTCTTGACACTAGGGGCCCATTTTGCAAATTCGCCAGACCAATTCGTCATTGTTGAAAGCGGCACAATAACAAGGTATGGGCCACGCTGCCTCTTGACCTCAATGAGGAAAGTAATCAGGGATATAGTCTGGATGGTTTTTCCGAGACCCTGAAATATTCATTAGACTGGGTGGCCACAGAATGATCAGAGAAATTCACCATCTCGTCTGCAAGAATGCCATTCAGCCTATTGTTGTACAAACTAACCATCCACTGCAAGCCTTTGAGCTGATAATCCTTCAACTTTCCACCAACGAGGATAGCAGGCTGCTTGGTGACCTTCTCCGAAATCCTGTGGGCAACCGCGTAGTAATCGATCTTCTTGTCGTCGACGACGTCATCTGGATTGACCTGTGCACCAAAAGTGTTCTCGTTGGCGGGTCCATCCTCCTGGTCGAAGCCGAATTCATGCATAGGGCCGCCTTCGTTCTGCTGGGCAACGACTGCTTGGGCCAGGGAGTCGAGATATGCATCTGTCTGCCGGAGGAGGTGAGTGATACGTGTGTCCTTCGCTGTGTCAATGAGCTTCATGTACGCCTCTTCGTCATCAGCCTTGAGTGCCCTCAAACGCTCCTTAGCTAGCCTCTCGATACGCTTCTGCTCTTCTTTCTCTGTATGGGCATGGAAGTTGAGGACGGCACGGCCGAGACGAAGGATCCGGTCTTGCGCAACACGATTGACAGCAATAACTTCTTTGCCGTGGGTGCAAATGACAGCAAGTTGCTCGACGTGCTTATGTTTCGCTCGTCTCTCCCGTTCGAGCCGTTGTTTCCTCTCCAACTGCTCTGTCATACGAGCGTCACGGATGGTAGGCTTGCGGATTCGGCGGAAATCGAGACGGTTGAGGGGAAGCATGGACCCATGGGTGAGCCTCTCCGCTACTTGGGCACGCATGGCACGTTGCTTATCCAGTAGACGCAGGGACTTGAGTTCGATCAAGGCGCTCAGTTTGCCGTGAGCAGAGGCACTGGGATGAATGAGAGCACTGTAGGGCTTCAGGGAATCCAAGGTTGCTGGGGGCCCTTTGTTCTCTTTGTCGGACCTGACAGTGTCGTCTTGAGTGATGTCAACTTTCGTGTCGAAGGCACCGTTGCCGATGGTCGCTGGCAGAGATTCGAGCTCACGGATGCGATACTGAATGCGAGCTTCAATGAACCTTTCACGCTCGTTGATGATCTGGTGTGCGTCGAGGCCGGTAGGCAGGATCGTCGGGATGATGAGCCGCTGGAGGCGGGTTGCAAACAGAGCAGGATCGATGTCGGTAGGCCGTTTGAGATGTGAAAAGGGGTGTCGATATGCATTATATGGATAGATTCCGGAATTGATGTTGTCTTCGAGGAACGGGCCTTTCGGATAGTCAGCGGAGTCGACGGGGGGGACTTCCGGGTCTTCTGACTTGACGGTGCTCTCGCGCGACACTGATGGTGCAATGGCGGGCGTACCTGGTTCTCCCTTTGCGACTTTGACTGCAGCATCTACAATTCGCGACTGGACATCAGGGCCTTGTAGAGCCTTCTCGAGTTCCGAGATGGCGTTGTTAGGAACACGAATGGCTTGTTGAACATGCTCCGGAACGGGATGGCCGCGTGATATCAGCTTGAAGGCGTGTATTTGTGCACGAAGGGCGTTTATTTGCTCGCCAGTGAATGAGACCGGGGTCTGGGAGCTGGAAGCGAACGGTTGGGTCGGTAAGGACCCTGAGGTTATGGATGGTGCAGTAACAGAGCCGTTCGTGAGAGGTTGAACATGGCCATTGATCATGGACTGTTGCGGCATCTGCGATCCATTTGTCTGTGGTACTTGGCCGCGTCCTTGCACTGATATATTATGAAAGGCAGTGAAGGTAGAGAGGAAAGAGACGTACTTTGGACATTAATGAGGTGAATATATTTGAGGAGATTTTCGAGCTCATTGGGAGACTTTTGTTCTGTGGGATTTTTGCGGAGGAAGCTGGCGCGCTGTAAAGAGGCAGTCAGGACGGGTTCAGATTGTAGAACGGGGTACTGACCATCATCATTTGTTGGAGGTCGGGCTGCCTGTGTTGAGACTGCTGGGCGGCCATGGCGGAGGGTGGCATGCCGTTGCCCAGCATGGGAGCGGACATTGGGGATGTCGAGAGGTTTCTGATTACTGGCGCGTCGACCCTCGTTTGCCGGACTCTGCGCTGAAAAGGTCACGAACTTGAAGCGCCGCGTGATGTCGATGAATGCCAGACTGAGAGAACAACTCCTCGAATGTCACACCCAGCCCTTATCCGTCACACCATCACACTGACTCGCTCGGTCACGTGCTCCAATATGGAAGTCGCGTCCGACTCAAAGTCAAACGGTCCTGTCACTCTCCTTGTCCTCACTCCTCGACAATGCCAGCAGAAAGGGCGGGCGTAAGTGCCTGTAATCTTATATTTCTCATTACAATGACCAACACTGCCTCAGTACACCGTTACAATGTTCCTCATCGACGTCTCCCGTTCGATGGGGACCGTCCGAACCGTCGACAGAGAAGACCCTGACGGGAGCGCCCGCGAGATCGAAATGACAAATTTGGCATACGCTCTCCAGTATGTGAAGCTCAAAATACAAGAAATGGTTCATGCACATTGCCATGCTGCTTCACTTCTCCACTAACCTAACTCTCTGGCAGATCTTCAATGGCCGGAAGACCGACCAGTGTGGCGTCATCCTCTTCGGCTCAGAGGGTATGTCACAGAAATTTGACTTGTTTCTTCTACTCAAAATTTTATGTAGATACTCGAAACATCGTCAATGCTGCAAACGGAGGTTATGAAAACGTATATGAATATATTCCAATTGGTCAACCCAACGCCGGAACAATCGCCAAGATAGACGCTCTTGAGCCTTCAACGACAACAGGGGATCGTGCGCCTACTCGTTTAAAGTGCATTGGCGCTCTGATAACAGTCTCCACGTTTAGCAATCGATGCCTTGATTGTCGGAGTCGAAACACAAGCCCGATACCTCGCCAACAAGAAGACATGGACTCGGAAGATAGCTATCATCACCGATGGCGAGAGTCCCATCGAGGTCGAAGACTGGGAAGCCACAGTTGCAAAGATGGATTCACTCAGCATTAGTCTGATTATCGTGTACGTGGTTCGTCCTCTAGCTGTTACCCTGCTCACCGGCAACCAGCGGCGTCGACTTCGATGACGAATTCCTTGATTACACTGAAGAGGGCAAGAGCAACATCAAGGTTTGGTTCGCCTACTTTGTGTGTTGATCTCGCTGACATCGCTTCAAAGGCTGCCAACGAAACGTTTTATCGAACGCTCACGTCGAGCATGGCAGACGGTCGCGGTGTTGTCGGGAATTGTGAATATGCCCTTCAAGATGTGTCCAGACCAGAGGTTAAACAAGTGCGTTCTACCTTGATGGCAACTGTTCTGAGAATCGGGGATGTCAATGCTCGCCCTGGGGAGGCCATTGAGTTATCTATCAAGACAAGCAAATGCACAGCTCTTGTCAGACCTAAGAGCTGGAAGAAATTTGCGCTAAGAGAAAGCAACAAAGACAAAATGGATGTTGATGAAGAGGAAGAAGCTGAATTGTCGGGAAAGATTGCCTACGCTTCATTGAAGATGAAAACCGACTGCTACATTAATTTAAACGCGATCAAGGAAGATGAGGATGGTGATATCGAAATGAAGAAAGAATACGACGACGAGAGTCTTTTGGACCCACAGCCAGACCAGGGAGATAAACCAAAGACAGACACTCTTGAGAGGGTGGAAAAGGAGGAACTTGTCCGAGGCTTCAAGTATGGGACGACTTATGCGCCTTGTCCAGATGGACAATTCCCTAAGTTACCTACGCGTAAAGGGATCGACATTTGCGGCTTCTTCCCTCAAGAAAATGTAACGTCCTTTTACTATGTTAACTCTTTGTTCCTTCTGAATCCTTGCTGATAGTTTTACTCAGTTCCGTCGAGAGCTGGCCATGGGAGAAATTCAGTACATTTGGGCGGATCCGTCCTCTCCCCAACAGCAAGTTGCTCTGTCTTCCATTGTAAAGGCAATGCAAGGCGGTTTCGAGATTTGTGATGAGAAAACAAAGGAGAAGAAGGAGACACGATCACTCTTGGCTATCGCTCGATGGGTTACAAAGGATGGCATGGACCCGAAGATGGGGATTCTCTGGCCGAATAGCTTTGACAACGTAGATTGCTTGCTTTGGTGCCCTGTAGGTCTCTTCGCTTCCAGCAATCGCGTGTCTTACCTTCCCTCTTTTCGAGATGCCATTTGCGGATGATGTGAGGAAGTATACATTCGCCTCGCTCGACAGGCTTGTCAATAAGAAGGGCGAAGTCCTCACAGAGCACCCGTACCTACCCACAGACGAGCAGATGGAAGCAATGGATAGTCTTGTGGATGCCATGGACCTTATGGACGCTGGTGAGAAGGACGAGGAAGGGTGTGTACCATTACCTTTTTCCCCCTTAAACACCTCACCATTGGTACATTTTCACCGACAGGAATCGATTACCATGGTTCAGCACTCCAGAGGCTTTCAACCCTGCTGTCCACCGAATCAAGCAGGCGATGTTCCACTGCGCTGTATTCAATGATATCACTTCCAACCCGGTCCCTCCGCCACATCCCGATTTATTAGTGTTCTTTGAGCCGCCGAAGCGAGCTGTGAAGAGAGCCAAAAAAGCTCTACAGGAATGTAAAGACATTTTCAAAGTCAAAGAAGGTGAGCGGACTCAAGATATCTTTGCTTCTCTTATCTGACCTTTACCATCCATCCCTGATAGTGCCCAAGAGAGTTGGCAAGGCAAAGAAAGATGGACACGCGCATGCGCAAGACGAAGATGACAACTTGCTGTTGCTCGATCGCAAACAGCCTCTAGACAAGACCCAGTCGCAGATGAGCATAGTGGAAGATTCATCCATCTCATCCCCCAACAAAAGCAAACAACCACTAGCTGATGACGGTAGCGAGACAGAAGAAGAGGATGAAGAACTCCTCCTTGACAAGAATACGACCATGTCTGAACATCGTAAGGATGGCCCTCTCCCAACACCTGCACGATCTGTCTCTCCACACGTCGATCCGGGACGAGCGCCTGGTCGAATCATCGGCAATGCCTATCCACTCAAAGACTTCAGAAAGAACATCGCACAAGGCGACGTCGTCACGAAAGCCGTCGAAGACCTCTCAGCAGTCATTTTAGAAATTGTTATGAAGCCCTTTGCATCGAGGCGGAAGGACGAGATGCTGGAATGTATGGGAGTTTTGAGACAAACCTGTCTGGAGGTTCGTGATCCCGTACTTCAGAATGCTTTCGTAGTTCGCCTAACTTTGCCCTTAGGAGGATGAAATTGATGCCTGGAATAGGTATGTTTTCGCATCGTTGTTGTTTCAGCAGCATTGACCGATTTCGCCCAGCTTCGTGCATGAAATCAAGGGCAAATGTTTGTCGAAACCTGGGAATCCAAGTTTCTGGGAAGCAGTCAAACAAGCCGGACGAGAGCTGAGCCTGATAGGCAAACAGGAGGCAAGAAAGCAAGGTGGCGACTCTGTAGTGACCGAAAATGGGGCTGATGAAACGAGTTGAGAAGATGGATTTTGTCGTTTACTACTCTTACTGACTAATTTAGTTCATTTCATGAAAGACTCGGGTCAAGGCAACGCCATTTCGCACATTTAATGGACCGTATATATACACTCTTGTACAACACATATTTTATTCAGATACCCTTGGATCAACCACGCTTGTTCCACCATCCTCCCAGCAAGTTGCTAAGACCACCACGACCTGGTGCGGGATGCGGGGGCTCAGCAGTCGACTCAATGAGTTCAATCTTGGCTTTGGGGAGCTGCTTCCGCTCCGGCATGGCCTCCACCTTCGTTTGGGAAGATAATGTGGTGGTTGTTGGAGGGGCAGGGGTGGGTTCTTTCCCAGCCCGCTGCTGGAGACGTTCCATATCAAGTTCCACGTAATTCAATGCAATGTTGAAGAACAACGGCTTCTTGTAGGTGGAAGGATCGACTTTGACTGAACCGCCGTTATATGCAAACCAATCCTGCTTGAAGTGGACACCATCTGACGCAATGGTGCCTTCAAGTTCCTTGATTTCCTGGTTATTGAGGGGGAAGAATGCTGGATCCCCATTGTTGATAACGTCGGAATTGGACAGTGACAGGTTGGATACGGTTTCGCGAAGATGTATCGTGCCATGCTGAAGCAGGGCAAGAGCTTCTGCATATTTGGCGACTGCGGCGTGACATTGCGCAAGATATGCGCAGCGGCGAGTGTTCGTGAAGGCGATCCTAGCTTCCACAGCCGACGCAAGATCGGGGTTGTCATCAACCACACTGAGTGTCCGCATTTGCGTTAAACTTTGTAGAACGGTGTCCAAGAGTTTGACGACAGCGGGATAAAGGCGATTGTCAACTGGACGAGCCTTGGATTTTGAGCTCGAGGCCTTCTGAAGATGAATGGATTTGTCAGTGCCTCCAGAGGCTAAGAGTGTGTTCATGAGCAGCAAATCGCGCTGAATCCGTCGAGAGAGATGTTGATACGTGATGTACGCATGGACAAATCGGATGTCTCTTCCACCGCCACCAGCCGCACTTGCCCCCGCACCATGCACCTGGAAAAAAGGACGATCAGCTGAACGTTGAGCACCTAAAATTGCATATACCATACTTGTTGCGTCTCTTGAAGTTTGCGGGAAATTTCTTCAGCATCACTCAGAGCCGCCAGGACCGAGTCGTATGCCGTCACTCCTGACCTGGCTTTTCTACCAGCAGGGGATAGCTGAATAGATCGAAGGGATTTCTCCGCTTCCTCCACCTTCAACAACACATCCACAAGCTCGGGATAGCGAACCGGGACTGGCTGGCCTTCCCAGAGCCGTTGAGTGAGTTTCAGCTTCGATGTGACGGTTTTTTCTTCAGCTTGGAGTTTCGTCACCAAACTATCACAATTCTCGACTATTTGGTTTCGGTACTTGGGCGAAAGCTCGGACACAACCCCATTGATATCATATGCTTTTGCGCGACCAAGTTCGTGTGCACAGTAGCGAATTTCTGGGCTGATCTCGTCAGAGAAAAGCACAGCAAGAGCCTGATCACGGCTTGTCGAAGCTGTATTCGCAAGATCGTCGAGAAGACCACGAGCAACGCTCAATTGAATGAGGGCATCTTCGAAATCGTCACGGTAGCGGAGAAAGCGGCCATTCAGAATGACGGTGTAGATCGTCGCCTCAATAAGATTCTCTGCTGACATGCGGGAAGACGCGTAGAGGGCCTGACAGAGGGAAAGAAGTTGCGTCGACCAATTCACTGCACGACGGAATCGACCAGTTGCGGTGTGTCGGAGGCCGCTGGCTTTGTCTTGGTTAAAGGGTTGGAGAGCGGAGGTTATGAGCTCTTGAGCGTAGGCCCAGGCGCGCTCTGCTTCAAATAACAGAAGCTGGAGGCTGTCATGGAGTCAAAAGAAAGGTCAGCGAGGCGAGAGGTAGGGTACGTACTGCCCATCCTTCACGATCTCAGGGGTCAAGGGGGCCAGCTTTTTGAAATCTCGACCCTTTCCGTGCGTCATTTTGAGGCTGGATCGCAAGCGATGTGTACGATTGGCGCAATGTTTTCTATCACCTTACTAAGTGAAGATCGACGCAGAAAATAGCAAAATAGCGAAAGAGCGCACCGATAGCGAACAAAGTCATTGTATCGTAACCCATACGCGTTCCGCTGCTCATTCGCCAACTGCAAAGCTACAGGCCTTTTCAATACGTGTTTCTTGTTACGACAAGCATGCAGTACCTCTGAAGACGATCGTGGGCTTCGAATTGTCGGTCATCGTCGTGAAAATTCTCCGCGAATCCAGTGTCTTCTGGAGGATGGTGGAAGTTCAAGGAAGAAGGACACACATCAGACCGATCAAGTAATTATCGTGCACCGCGACGTAGCCATAATAAATAGAGTACACCTTGGATTCTCTCTATCCACCATGTCCGCGCCAGACCTCCTCCCACCGACGCTCCAGAACGTCCTCGATCAGACCTCTCTCAAATGGATCTTTTGTGGTCAGTCCTGGCCTCCACAACCTTCCCAGATCGCTAACCATTGGACACAGGAGGAAAGGGTGGTGTTGGTACGTGTCCCTGTTCAATGTATATTGGCAGACCAATAAACCGTCTCTTCCAGGTAAAACGACCACTTCCTGTTCTCTTGCCATCCAACTATCCAAAGTCCGCGAATCCGTACTGCTCATCGTGCGTTTGCAACCACTCCCTTGCGGATGCGCCTCTCGCCTCAATCTATACTTAGTCCACAGATCCTGCACACAATCTGTCCGACGCCTTTGGGCAAAAGTTCTCCAAAGATGCCACGAAAGTGAATGGGTTCGACAATCTTTTCGCTATGGAAATAGATCCAACGAGCGCCATCCAAGAAATGGTCGAGCAATGTAACCCTTTACCATCCCTACCCAGTATTCCGTTCCTCTGACCCGCTTTATACAGCCGACTCTAATGGCATGATGGGCTCGATGATGCAAGATCTGGCGTTTGCAATTCCTGGTGTCGATGAAGCTATGAGTTTCGCAGAAATTATGAAGTAAGCCTCTCACTGTCCGTCATAGTCCCAAACCAAACTTATTTATTCTCTCGAGGCATGTCAAATCGATGGAATACTCTGTCATCGTCTTCGACACTGCTCCTACGGGCCACACATTGCGTTTCCTTTCTTTTCCGACGGTACTCGAGAAGGCACTAGGAAAGCTGAGCACCCTCGGTTCACGATTTGGGCCTATGATCAGTCAGGTCAGCCTTAATCCACCGTACTTTCTTCTCCGTTATTCAAGGCTCCTGCTAGATGTCTGCAATGATGGGAGGAGAAGCTGGCTCACAAGAGGACATGTTCGCGAAACTCGAGAATATGCGTTCTGTGATCACAGAGGTTAACACCCAATTCAAAGACCCAGTACGTTCATCGCATTTTACCTTCCGTCCTTGAACTTGACCGTACAATACTTTTGCAGGAGAAGACAACATTCGTCTGTGTCTGCATCTCCGAATTCTTGTCCCTATACGAAACCGAGCGACTAATCCAAGAACTGACCGCATACGAAATCGACACGCACAATATCGTCGTTAACCAACTCCTCTTCCCCAAAGCATGTACGTGTCGTGCTATAACCTCCCATCCACGACGTTGAACCGACCGTTTCTCCTCATGCAGCCTCAAATTGTGAGCACTGCAGCGTCCGCCACAAGATGCAGCAGAAATATCTCAACGAGGCCCACGAACTTTATGACGAGTTCTTCCACATCGTGCAGCTACCACTTCTCACGGAGGAAGTGCGCGGACCCGAGAAGCTCAAGGCGTTTAGCAAGATGTTAGTGGAGCCTTACGCTCCTCCTCAGGATTAATAGATCGTACCAGGACACTGTATAGAGTAGAGTAAATGACATGATGGTTTTCCGTCATCCTATGTCGACGGGCATTTCAAGCCTGCCTCCCAATTGCGAGCACGTTTTATTTGTTCTCTATGTACTGGTACAGCGGGATTTCCGTCAAAAGCAGGACTTCTGAGTATGAATAGTAATGCGATAAAGGATACACGCTATGATCTGCTAGGGCAATAGGTCGTAAGAATAAAAGTAAGAGTATGTATGCAATTTTTTTGTTTCTTTTCGGAGGGCTATGAACGAACGATTGGGCATCTTGTCAGGGACAGATGTCCGATCGAAGGAAACACAAAAAGTAAAGAACACGGTGCTGGAAAAACGCTGAGGAAGAACAGGTCGAGCTAGTTGAACCAGAAGAGGTATGGTGGAGAGCATCCATATAGCAGAGATTATTTGATACAACAACTAGAATGATAGAAACAGAGGTCGAGGTCGATCGATACAAAGGAATAACCGGAGACTTGCCGAATAACTAAGGAAGAAAAAGGAAGTCGTCTGAAAGATGCGCTGCTGCTCCGTTGGAAGGGTAGGTTTCCTCTCCTTGACCGACAGGTGATGCAGTCAGACCTCACTGTGGTATGACCCCCTCCAAGCCCGTCCCTCCAATCATTTTTCTGTGGAGAAGACGAGCGCCCGCGAGCGTCCTCGGGCAGAGCTCGACATGCGATGTAGCCGCGCCCGAAGGACGCATCTCTACTTCTGTCTCTGTGGCGACCGACAGAGCAGCCGCTATACATCTGGCAGACAACACCGCTACTGCTTCTTCGACAACGCTTCCAATATCGAGTTCACGCCCTCCGGTTCCAGGACAACCTTCGTTCCATCACACCGAGCCTTGCTCGTGAATTCAGAGCACAGTTCGTTGATATCCGCATCCTGGCACGAAAGCGAGGGGTAAGTCGAAGACCCAACATCTTAGTCAAGTAGTGTCAGCTAACCTTGAATTGAGGATTTGATCGTATACTTCTCCACGCACTTAGCACTTCGATGTTCCGATCGCTCTTCGTGGTCTTAGGGAAACTCGACCCTGAACACGCTACAATCGATCCCGATGCCCCATCCGAGCTCTTGCGCACGTTGTTGGTAGGAGCAAATGGTGATTCACCCTCCGCCGCAATGTGTTTCTCACATTCCGCCTTGGTCTTCGGACACTTTCCTTCACCATGGGCACCCTTGTTGAGCGGATCTGAGGACCCAAGGGCAGAAGGCGAAGATGTCGACGATGCTGATGAAGAATGCAACAAGGAAGATGGTGTAGTATGATGTGTGACGGGACTTATCGATGAAGGTGACTGCGAGAGCACTGGGAAGTCCAAAGCCCCGTTTGCCGTCATGTAACCTGCAAAGAGATCATCAAGGGTAGCCTCTTGAGAATTAGAAGACGGGGTAGGCCACGACGATAAGGAGTTGATATCAAAGTTGAAGGCGCTGTTACCGTTGGTAAATGAGGTAGATCCGGGTGTCGAACCAGAGGCATCCGTCTGAGGCGATAGATGATCGAAGGTGGATGCAAAGGACATGAACATCGGGTTGCTTGCGATTGTTGTGTAGGGAGCGTTGGAGGCTAATCCGGTCCCACCGAACCCGAAGTCCATATGCATCGCCCCCTCCGTGGCCGTCGGTTGAGGATTATCGTCAAGAAGGTTGAGCATTGCAGGATCAAAGGTTGTTAGAGAGCTCCAATCTAATGGATTGCTCATCTTCGGAGACGAGTGGTTGGCGACAGATGAGGGAGCGGCTGACTGCGGTGAAGGCGCCACGGAGAAAAGTGAGCTGTTGGGGGTTGCTGCAGCATTTTTTGGGACCGAAAAAGTGAAGGTTGATTGTTTGAGTGCAACGTTCTCACTCTGCAGTCGCAGGAGCAAGTCTCGTAGGTTCTCATTTTCATGCTGGCTGGCTTCGTTCTGAGCTTCGAGATCGGCAACCTTATCCTCGAGCTTGTGAAACAGTGAGAAAGTATGATAGACGGAATGAGGATCGGACGTACATCCTTCACGTGCTTCTCCTTCCTTTCTCTGAATGCCCGTTGAGCGGCCCTGTTCTGCTCCTTGCGTTTCAGCAGGCGGGTCTCATCCTTTCCCTATGATAGACCTGAGCACATTTGCTCTGTGATGGAGTATGAGATAGACTACTCACTGTTGCGCCTGAACTCTTTCGCCTGGATGATGCATTGGCGTTGGTGGAGGTGGGAGCTCGCTTCTCCCTATCTGTTCGTCGTAGAGCAGGTCATTCAGTTTCCAGCCTGGAGACTTGCAAATAGGTGAACTAACCTGTATGCTGGGCCTTCTGGCTGGGACCTTCAGAGAGATCGTCGTCGCTGGCTTTGCGCTTGGGGGCGGCGGGTTCGGGGTTGTCTTCGCTGGGCGGGTCTTGATTATTTGAATTTGGGGGACTCGGGCTGCTATCTTCGGAGGGTGGTGTAAGACTGGGGAGGGAGTAGGGGCCATTCTGAATGCTGAGCGGGTCTGGATATGCGCCCATGAAGCCGAGAGGAGCGCCATTGGGGGATGGGAACTGCTTCTGGAGGAGGGCGAGGAAGTCACTGTCTGCGAGGTTTGCAAAGTCCTGGTTGTGGGGGAGATCCCAAAGAGGAGTTACGTCTGGGTATGTATCCATTGTATTAGAGAGCGGAATGTTGTCAGCGGGGAGGAGGGGTTTGTCAACGATGAGGGTGGTGGAAGAGAGGAAATGTAGAGAACGGTGAAACATGGAGCCATATTACCAAGCAACAGTGGCCGGCACTCAGGGTCACCTGACAGGGGTACGCGTCCTTCCCGCCCGGCACACTTTCCGACTCCCACCTCCCTCCCTGACCTGATCCCTCTGACCACCACCACCGTCCGATGTCAGAGGTGCCCCTGCGCCCAAGGATAACCCAGCGCTGGGGCTCCTAGCACCTCCTCGGATAACATCGGCGCATGTCCAGCAGCGGTTTGCGAAACGCCGTCGCTACCCGTGCTTCTGGCCAGTTCGCCCGCGCGTCCGTACTTGCCGCATCTCCAGTCATTGGCCAGCTCCACCGTTATCTTTCCGGCACGATCATCAGCCTGACGTAATCCATCTTCGTGCTCTCTTCGACCTGTCTCTCCTCCTCTCCTTACGACCTCCAACTTTGTTCCTGTTGTATCTCTTCTGGAATGATAGACTTTGCTAGCGCCGCAGCATCCTTCTCCCAGTCATTTGACAAACCGTCTTCTCGTCTAGGCTTTATCGTCTCATTCAATTGCACAGCCATCCATCGAAGTTCAACGTACGATTCCAATCACCATGTACGTTTTGTGCCGTATTCGTCAAATTATTATTTGCGTACATACGCTGAAGGAGTGTCGAACCTGATTATAAGCGATGAATATAGTAGACGCAGCAGGCGCTCAAAATGCACTAAATACCCCCAGCAAGCCACGTGCACGTTCTAAAACCCTGCACCATGGGATGGTCTTCCCTCGGAAACAGAACACATGGCGAATCGAATCCAAGACACAAGGAACCACACTGAGATGATCGACCAATTCATCCAGGGCAACTCCGAGTTTCCATAGAATTTCAAGCTGGCTCCAATTCAACAGGACGAGTTGCCGCCCGTCACTGTAAATGAAAAAGCAAAAACGAAAAGGTCGGGATCAAAATCGCGCAAGCTCAAACGAAATGAAAGAAACACTGACGTAGTACTCGATCTCCAACTGTATGCGCAGGCGGGAAATGCATTTCAGGAACGTTGCAGGCGGCGAGGATGAACGAAAGGCCAGAGCAAGAAACACAAGTGGGGAAACCACGTTGCCGATCAGACAAGAACGCTAAAAAAACACCTGATTGAGGAAGTGGACGTACATATAGGAAAGCCACGTTGCGTGGCCACAAGATATTGAGCCCAACGGGATTGTACATCTCGGCGTTGAGATCGTCAATCAGTCGCCGAAGTCGTTCCAGCTCCTATCATAAACAAAGGAGCCGCAGGAAAACAAAACGCCAGGTGATCAGCGCAAGAACGAAACGTGATCGACAGGAGGACAAAGGATGGGGAATCAACATTGAAATTAGCTCCGACCCCCGACATTCCTCGCGGAGAAACGGACTTGCCTTTTCCCAATGAGGCTTCTTGAAGAGCGTCGACAATTGCAGGCTAAACACCGCCAACACGTTGTCAAGGAACGAATGTCGAAGACTGTGAGCCGAAATGAGGATTTCGTTGATCGCATTAATGGATTCAAGGAATTGGGTGGGTGTTATCTATACAAGGCACGAACTTACAAAACGCTTCATGGACGAAGAAGCGGAACACGTACTCGGTTCTCGAGTTCTAGCGGGTATATTGGCGCGAACTGAATGAGTTCTCCGCCTGTGTAGTCTCTCTCCACACGCAGGATCTCGCGTGGATGGTGCACGCCAATCTGGCCTGTCGGTGCTGTACCATACGCCGAGTCGGGTGGTGGTGGCCCAAAATAATATGAAGACTTGGGTATCATAGGGCGAGGGCCGCTGAATTTCGAAAGCAGAGGTCAGCAGTGAACACCGAACCCAAAGGAATGAATAGAAACTCACCCAGCACTCTGTAGGGTCCTGAACTTCGTCGTTCCAGGCGAGTAATACCCCGCAATCGCCTTGAGGTTATTATCTAGCGGTGGGTCGATATGGTCCCATGGCTGTGGAGACGGCGGCTTCAGGTCTAACCGTAGATGCGAGGCGCGACGTGACGCAGCAGGTGAGGGTCGCAATATCCCTCCAGGAGTCTGCGTCGTCTCCTTCGTCTCGTCAGGGAACATCAGCCGGCCTTTCGAATCCACGATATCGTCCTCGTCCTCCTCTACAATGACTGTTTTGTCTTTGTCGTGGTAGATATGGTCGTCCTCCTTTTCAGTCGTCTCCTGGCCAAGAGGATGCAGAGGATTCCAGTGCGTTGCGGTAGCTGTTGTTGTTATTGTTGTGGTAGATTCTCCTTCTGCTGATCCATGCTGTGTTGAAGGTGGGGCCTCCAAGACTTGTTCTAGGGGATTTTCCCGAGGAGGGAACCCAAAGCTGCTCGACGATGGGCCCTTCACATGCGCTATCTTCCGCACCAGCACCTCCTCCGGGTCACCCTCAACCAGCGTCTCCTCCGCCATCGTATTCGACACAAACTCTCCCTCCACCGTCATACTGGCATCAACATCCTGCCCTTCCACCGTTGTCGTAATTTGCGTATCCGAGCGCGCAGAAAGGCCCATAGGTGCATCAGTGTCCCGGGTAGCGTAGTCGACCGCTGTAGGAGGCTGAGGCAGCACTGTCGGAAGCACTTCAACAGACGGTGGTGTTAGTGGGTGTGGGGCGGAAGGAGGAAGCGTGTTGCTGCTGTTCACCAGTGGCGCCTTGTGTTCATCATGCGACACGGGATGGAATGAAGCACTGCCAGAAGGTGATGCGCCGGCTGCTGAGCTCATGTCATGGACGCCAAGAATAGCACGCTATGAAGAAAAAGGGTTGAGCGACGGCGCTGTCGAGGATGACGAGGAGAGGGAGAGGAATCGCCACCAATCATCGACTCGGTGCCCCGACAACACAGGGTCGCTTTGTTTGTCCAATCAAAAGACCCCGCCATAGACGGGTAGGCGGTCCGGCCCTCGCAGACGAACCACCATCTTCCCTGCCCTTCCCATTCGCCATTCGGAGATTCGTTCCAGAACCTCAACTGCGCGTCCCGTGTACAACTTGCGCTCTTGCGACAACTTACCGGAAATCTTCTCCTAAAAGGGAACTTGGTGACAACCCTTCAACGTGCTTCAAGGGACCCTTGCAACTTGGTCTCCCTTACGCTTATCTTCATTCACTGGCATGAAATTTAGGCAAAGGTTTCCACTGACCGTCACTCATTCCGTGCACTGCCTGCCAATTAATACTCCTGGATATCAATTTCCAACTGTAAATCCTGCACGAGGCCAGGGGGCACCGTCACCAGGATCTCGCTCGTTTCCTTGCAGCCTTGCCTGGCGGCCCTCATATACAGATAAACGCGTGGGCTTGCTCCGCGGTTCTACAGCCATGCACAACGATCACCTGGACCCGGTGTGCCAATCTCGACCAACAAGCATATGCTGCCTATTTCAGTATCTGGATTCAATATAACTCAACGCACTCAAAGCTCACGAGCTATTAATGGACCGCGATCCTTTCAAAGTCCCACACAAGTCACCGGGTAGCACCACTCATCCCCTCCACCCTGGCCTTCCTTCTGTCCGTCTCACGTCGGATATCCAGGCCCTCCCCTCATTAATCTGATCCCTCCTGCCCGGCATCCCGCGAAGAGCCCCATTTACTCCACGTCCCTCTCGAGACACCGTTCCGAAGCCCCCGCGTTCCGACTCAGGTTACGATAACTCCCGACTTCCTTGCGGCATAACCGAGCCACTCTTCGTTAAATTCGAATCCACCCTCATTGACCGCGCGATGAACATGAAGCATACCCTGCCCACGAATCTGGCGGGCCTATCGCGGCGGCCGTCATTCCTAAAAGCACCCTCAAGGTTTCTGACTTCCTTGTCCTTCCTGTTCATATTCACACCATAGCCTTGTTTGACCGTGCCCTGCCTTCGACTCTCACCTCAATGAAGGGTCTGTTTTAAACCTCGTGCGTGATATATCTGGACCGAAATCCATGGCACCTGTCGACGTGTCTGAATGCGTCATCCCAAAGACATACCGGCTCGCTGCCTGTCAAGTGGTCTCAGGGTTCAACTTGATAATTCAAGGTAGGTCCACCGCTGACTCCACGCCCTCGGGTAAACATGCCTTCCATTGGCCGGTTCGTTTACACCAACCTGATAGAACTCCAGTGTCGCCCAATCGAAGCAACTCGGAGCTTCGAGGTTCGCTTTTACTTCTTCACCGCCCCTCGAGCACTAAACAAAAAGATTCAGAACTTCCAAGACCAAGTCTACGCGAACCACAGACCAGGACTCACAGAAGCTATGTAGTAAATCCGTCAATCTCAGAACCTCTGAGCTGCTGACCCAGTGGCGCGGACAAACAGATGTTCCTGTCTTCTTTTCTCCTGTATGTGGTCTTATCTCAACACTTCTGGGCACCACGACAGTGCAACGCTGAGTCTACTTCTATCTACTTTTGTCAAATTGTTAAGTTCTACCCTGCCCCACCCGGGTCTATTTTTGTTTTCAGAATTCGGATATCCAATACAATCAAACCGGGTTCTCTGACCCACAGCCGCTCTCTGAGTCCAGGCAACGCCACACGCGATCTGAAGGTTCAGGATACAACCATTTTTCAAACCAGCAATCATATACTTGCACTGACACCGATTCGAGGTAGCCGGACAGCAGGGCTGGCCTCGGAAAGGAAGAATGTGGCAAGCGCCGAAGTGAATCGTGCCATTATTCTAGCCAAAGGTTAACTAACTAGTGGCTGGATTGCTCTCAAGTATCAAAGACTCGAACGATTTTAATGACATGTCTTGCGTAGAGCGTTGACATTTATGAGCCAGCCGGCTAGAATAAGAGAGAACAGCACCCCTTCACCGTGACTGATCGCCAGATATGATACCCCGACAGACCAGCGCGCTACCTCTTGAGGGCGCTTGTGCAGCATCTGTATTCTCCCCTGCTCTGCTAGGAATCGATCAAAGCGATGCGTGGGATACGGAGGTTCAACGTCATCATAATTCTCCAGATCCCACTCGTCGTCCGAGTCATCACATCGGCTGTTCGGAAGGGATAGACATGGAAATAAATGCCAGGGACCGTCTTGTAATCGGAGGTGGCGAAACGTTTGGCGACGCATTGTAGATAGTGCCAATCGAATACACCCTTCGGAGGTAAAGGCTCGCTTCCCCCATGGACTGAAAGTGTCACTTGCTGCAAGTGAAGATGGGGTAGACCGGTGAGGAAAGGGGATTCAATACCAATGACGGGGACATCTGGGAACGCAGTGTCGAAATTATGGAGAGTGTATGTGCCGTCCTGTGAAGTCTTCCAGGTTGAGTGAAGCGATGGGCTGGGCTGGGAACTCAACGGCAACTTGCCGTATGGCAGTAGAAACCGAGCTCGTATCGATCCACCATATCCGCCAAAGTTATGACGAGAAGGATCCCGATCATGGATGAAATTAGTGAACCACGAGCGCTTCCTGTGCTCCAACGAAATCGGCCACAGCGGCTTTCGCCCCTGACGTGCCCATACGTTTCGGGATGAGGTGAGACACAACGAGGGCGGTCGGGGACAGTGTGACCCACGCATCTACTGTCGCGTACTTGTATTCGTCGACGAAAAGTGGTTGCACTGGATTCGGATCCGAGGGATGTTTTGAATGAGACTGGCGTGCACTCAGTCGAGACAGGCGATGAGGGTACTCGCCTCAAATTCGTAGACTCCGGGCTGGAGGGCATCGCCCCGGACGACCTCTCGCCACTTAGGCCCTCTCTCCCTATGATACCAATCCCGCACGGCGCCCGTCGTATGAGTGTATATTTGGCCTGTCCGGGAAGGGGCGCAGATGAGATGAGGGACCTTGATGACCCAGTCTACTGTGGTGCCAGCATAGCGTCGGATATCTTGTACTGTTCCGAGTCGATCAAGTACAGATGCGGGGAAGGTGAGCTTGTAGGAGGCAGGTTCGCAGGAGACGTTGTAGTGGTAGAAATTGGCTGAAGGAACCCTCTATGAACTCGGATATAGACGATCTGATCCGAGCCGCTTGCCGTCGTTGTGCTTTGCACTGTTGGTCCTTCGAGCTCTGGTGATATTGGGCGCAGATTTTGGGCCGAAATCTGCATGTCGACTAGGCGGCAACTACGCCAAGTCGAAGGGTATGACACTCACCGAAATCCGGATTTCGTTTGTGTACTTACATAACTAAATTCTTACGCACCAAATAGGGGAGTAGTATTACCCTTTCGGTCAATGCTCATCGATTACCCGACGTGAAATAGAGGAAAATGAAACAGCACAGGCAAAGGAAAGGGTGCGATTACGTTTGCCATATGTGGGCTCTATGTAGACTCGACACAACTGTCCTTGTGAACCGTTTCTTGGCAGGTCACCACCACCTTTGCCAGCTTTCCGTCTTCTCGCCCTTGCCGTCGTGAGGCTGGTGAGCATGCAACATTCAGCGCGTTGGGCGATTAAATTGTCCAGGACGAGCACTGGCTCTGAGCGGGGTCGTAGTAACTTGTAGATAAGATAAGATATTCCTGATATCCCTGAGTACCTTCAAATTTCCACCATCGCACACATCCACAAAACGGGTGGTTTGTCTATCGCGTCTTTGCCTTTAAAAGGCCTTCTTTAGTTCTCTTTGTCTTTGGAAGCGCGTCTTTTTGGTGTCTTTGTCCTTGGGGAAGAGTCTCCAGCTTTGGGGGCTAGTCTTCAAGATCTTGATGCCTCCAAGGAATGGCCGAGGAGTGGGCTACTAAACGGTATGCACATTTTCCTAATTACTTGAACAGGATTTGCTTTCTTTGCCACCAGGCCATGTAGTAGTGCACGTTCGCCTGATCTTCCGCATAGTCCCATCAGCTCGGAGCAACTATATGGTCAGAGATGATCTTCATGAAGCAGTGACCAGCTGTTTTCTTAGCCCCGGTGCCGATGAACCAAAGTGGAAGTTGGCACCTGCGTCCAGCCGAGCGAAAGCTAGAGGGGCGATCTTTCCCACGTTACGTTCTTGCTTCCACCACTTTCCATTGCTCGAAGTCGCGGCGCGCTCATCTCGAGAGCCGCCGACTTCTCGCAAACACTCGTTTTTCACCCGCCCTCCCTTCCCTAGATTTACTCTATCATCCATTATTCATAATCGTTATTAGCACCACACTGCTCTACCGTCATACATACGCACATAATGTGGTCGAATATAATCACCATAACATCACTAGAGTTGTCCGTCACAAGAAGAATGGGGAACGAGCTAAAGTGCCATTGAGCAAATTGGTCCCGCCCACCCAGCGGCCCAATTTGCTCCGTGTTCCGATCTGAGCTGACGCTCAGGCCCAGCCCAACCTATCAAGCTCGCACCTCGCTCTTCCTGCGACAGACGAGGCTGGATGTCCTATGTTCAGGGGTACTTCTTTCATGAGTCACTCATTGCCGATTGAGCGGCCAAAACTGCTTGCCTTCGCATTGTGGGAGCGCGATTTTCATAGAAGATGGAAGACGTTAACAGAAGGGTAGCTTTTCGGCTGTTTTGATACCATTCCGACCTTGGGGGAACGTAATTACTTCTAACCCCAACATGAGCGCGAATCAATTCCGATAGACAAAAGACAATATCTTCGAGAAGCGGCACCTTCTCTCTGGAAATTTCTTTCTCATGTCCGAACTTCCAACGCATCAAAGGATGTAGTTGCATGTCAAGAGTGTATTGTATTGTGCATACGATATGTACAATGAAACCCATACAAGTTTGGTATTTACTCTAGTGCAGATGAGCGAAGAATAGACAAAGTAGATGCTGATTGCGAAGAAAGATCATAATGGTCATAATATGCGGCAGCAAAATGGCAAAATCACGCAGAGGCTTCCTTCTTCTCCGACGGCGGCGACAATTGCTTTGCAGTAGGTGACCTCGACGATCCATGAACCACCTCCGACAGTTTGCCCCGCGATGGCGGTGAGATCGATCGATTGTCGACGTGCATCTTGTCGTCCCTCTCGTTGTGGTTCGTGGGAGACGGAGCGGACGGCGAGGGTGAGAGCGTTGCAATCGGAGGAAGGGCGATCGCGTTAGTGGAACCGCTAGCATGCGACTGAGCGTGGCCAGCACCGATCGGACGAGGATGAGGGGGGAGGACTGCAGGCAAGCTCGGACTGGGAGGGAATTGGTCACGAGCTTCAGGCGAGTGAGATGCGGGCTGAGATGCGGGCTGGGTGCGGAAAGGAATAGGCGAAGGACGCGTAGAAGGCACGGGGGTGCGACGACCACCAGATGGCGACGAGATCCGCCTCTTCATCAAGTCCATCCTCGAGCGTTTGTTGTTGTCCGCGTCGTCAGGGCCGGGGCTCAATGCTCGCTTGAGAGGAGCGGTCTGAGTAGGGGGCGACGCATGATTGGAGGAGATGGAGTTACGATGCGATGCTTGAGGTCGAGGAGAAGGGATCGCGTGACGGCCGTGGCCAGGCGAACGAGAAGGTGGGTCCGACGATTGCGGGTTTTCTGGTGCACGATAGCTCGCGAGACCCATCAACGCATCAGCGACACCTTCGTCATAATCCTCATCGACGACCCTCGAGGGAGGGCGAGGCGTCGCGCTCGTTGGCGAGGGTTGAATCGATCGAGAAGAGCCCGAGTTTGAGCTGTTCTCTGGCGACGCCGGGCCCTTCGAGTAGCGGTGCATGGGCTTGAAAGTGTTGTGCATACTCGAAGAGCTGCGGTCACTGTCGTCCTTTCGCTTCCCACCATTGTTGTTAAGCCTCTTACGGCGCTCCTTTTTCGGCGCCTCTTGCATTGAGGGTGTCGAGACTGGAGGGGGAGGGAACTGGGGCGCAATTTGCTGTTGTTGGAAGTGAGGTGTCTGCTGCTGTTGTAGCTGTTGCTGCTGCTGCTGCTGTGATGGTGGAGGAGGGGGTTGGATGTCGGCGCGCTTGTCGCGACGACGTTTTGGATCGCCAGCAAGCATGGGAGTGGTGTGAGGGCTCTCCGAACGACGGCTCGTGCTCGCCATAAGATGAGGCGCGTTATTGCGGGCCCGCAAGCCTTCAGGCGAGACCGGATAGCTCCTCGTCTCAGGGCGCTCTTGCTCGTAATCACGAGTATCGCGCGCGTCATGACGGGGGTCATATCGTCGACTGGGTTGGTCGAGAAGGACGGTCTGCTGAGGCGGCGATGAGGGGCGGAAGCCAGGATGTCCGGAAGGGCCAGTGGTCGTCGTCGGCTTGTTATCCCAATACCGAGTGGTATGAACATTGCGAGGTGAAGGTTCTGGAGGACTGTGGGCGCGAGGGGATCGTGGCGGATAGAAGTTGGCTTGCGGGGTCGAATGCGGGATATATTCACGAGGTCGACGATCGTGGTCGCGTTCCCAGTCGCGATGATCACCAGCGGGAGGTGCACGACGATCCCAGCCGGGTTCCTGCTCAGGATGACTCGGTTCGCGATGGTGATAACGAGGCGAGCGTTGTGGTGGCGCAGCACTAGGTTGAGCAGGACCAATGGCCTGACGACCTGGGTACCCCTGGAAAGACGACGAAGAACGAGGGCGGCCGCTATGAGGCGCAGGAGATACCGAGCGCGACTGTGGGCGAGGGCGATTGAAGTAGGGGTCTTGATGATGAGAGTGGACGCCATTCCTCGGGTCATCCGAGGGGCCTTGAGGCGGCAAGGGATGTTGAAGCAACAAGCTCTGACCCACTGGTCCTCGGTTGGGCTCCCTGGATGGCGGGTAGTCGCGAGCTGCATGATGAGGGGGTCGGTCGACATCCATTGGCGCCAACGGAGTGTGCGACGGCATGTGTCTCGTCTCATCAAGAATAACGGGAGGTGGTGGTCCTCCTCTGAATGGAGGCGGGGGCGACGAACGACCTGGGTTGACTTGGGAAGGAGGGGGCAAAGAGATTTCATTCGCGGGGCCACGCGAGTCGGATCGGAATGACGGACGGTGACTTGTCGACTGCAACATCAAAGGCGGCCCTGTGAGGCCAGGAGGCGGCACGACGGCGCTTGCGTAGGCCGTAGGATGAACATCTTGCGGACCTGGTGCAGCTGGAAGTTGGCCGCCCGTCGCTTGCGCATTCTTCAACAATTGGAGGCGCTGAGCGATCGCAACGTTACTCGGGTCGAGTTCGCTTGCACGGGCATAGGCGTCGATGGCGTCGGTGATTTGGTTGTTGCAACTTTCATAGAGGCTGCCAAGATCGAACCATACTTCAGAGATGTATGGGTTAATGCGGATAGCCCGCGAGTAAGCATCGAGGGCGTCACGGAACTGATTGATCTGGAAGTAAAGGACGCCAATTGAGCACCAGAAGGTGGGATTGCGCCCGTCGCGGTAGACGGCCTGTTGATACGCCTCGTATGCCTTGTTGTATTTTTGGCCTGCCATGTACGCCCGACCAAGCAGATACCAACTCTGGGCGTCTGATGGATCTGCAACGAATGTCAGCCAATGTGATCTTATTGACGCGTGTCATCGAAACTTACCGGCTTCAAGTGACTTGGTCAAATATTGGATAGCAAGGTCCTGGTTTTGGAAACCAGAGCCGTCTTGGTGATAGAGCCAGCCAAGTTGTTGGAGCACCTTGGCATGACCAGGATTGGCGTCGACGACACGTTCGTAGGCATCCTTAGCGCGTGCATGCTAATCGACCGATAAGCAATGTAGGTTTCGGAGACGGGGAACTGTGCTTACGTTCTTCTGTTGTTCGAAAACGTGGCCGATCTGGAACCAGATATCGGCATGGGCGAGAGGACTTGGTGGATTGCGGAGGATGCGATCGAAGCAGGTGAGGGAGTCGTCGAACTTGCCCTGCTGCTTGTAGATGATGCCGAGGCGGAAGAGGATCTCGTTCTCCTTGTCGAAATCTAGGTCTTGCTCATTAGTTAAGACTGCTGTCCGTAGAGAGGGTAGAGGTGTGACTGACCTTTACACATACGGAGCACGGATGAGAAGGCCTCTTCGGCATGGTCGAGGGAGCCGTATCGGTCGTAGAGGATACCGATGCCATACCAGAGTTTAGGGTCCTCCTTTGGGTTTGGGAGGAGATAGAGGGCCTGCTGGTAGGCTGAGTAGGCCTTCTGGAGGTCGTCCTGCATGAGATAGCAATGACCTGTGGAGGGTAAGTCACGGGACACTGTTTGGCACGAGGAACATACCGAGGGCACTCCAAATCTCGCCGTTGTCCTCCTCGATCTGCAGGACGCGCTGGAAGAAATCAACTGCCTAAAAGGGACAATACGTCATCGTGCCAAACAAAGCCAAGCGCGATTCGTTTCCGCGGATGGGCGCGGCGAAGGGCGTCAGGTGTGAATTCAAAAAAGGGTTTACCTTGGGATAATTCTCTTTGATCCGAGCGATTCCCGCAACCTGTGTAAGCCCAGACACCGACATCGGGTTGTGCCGCAGGGCGTTCTCATATGCGGAAAGCGCATGTTCGAGATCTCCCATTTGCTCGGCTACCCGTCCTAATCCGCTTTTAGCATGCAAACACACCTCTCGCGTCAACAAAAATGCACACCTATTAGCAGCCACGTCTGCTCGTTGGCTGTGTTCAGCTTGTGGATAATGGACCCCGACGGGCCCGCGCCGTTGGGCACTGCGGTGGCGACGGCGGGGGAGATGGTGGCATGGGCGGAGCCGTTGGAGAGGCCGCTCGGTGTGCTGGGGATAGCGGACGCGCCATTGAGGTGGGCGGGGTGAGGAGGGTGCTGGATGTGGTGGGGATGGGGGACGGGGGGCTGGGGGTCGTGCATGCGGACATCGCGGTCGAGCTGTCGGGGGCCGTGTCTGTGGGCCATGGTGGGCGTGGGGGACGCCGGGAGGGAAGAGAAGAAGGGGGCAAAAGGACTCATCAGAGTGGCGTCGCGATATATATAAGAAAGGAAGAGGGCCCAACAACCGGCACCCCTCGCACGATCATGGCGATCAAGGTGGAAGGGGAGATTGGATCTGGCGCTGTTGCAGGGAAGTTTAGCATGTCATTTCAATGTCATCTCCTGTTTTCTGCTTCGCATCGAAACAGCCGCGTGCCTTTGTTTTGCCGCATTTAGATTGTTTCCGTGCAGCGGCTACCTTGTATACCCGATCTAGATGCTGTCACTCGCGTGGGTGGGCAGCGTCTGTGCGAGTTTGCTTGACGGTGTGCAAAGCAGATGTCCTGGCTCGGATCGATATCAGAACCCCGCTCCCTGCCAGCGACAAATGGCGATGCCGCTGCCTGCACGGGCCCACTGCCCTCGCCGCCCGGGGATGACACGTCGCCGCCCGATGCATCTCGGATGTCCTCCCTTCTTGTCCGTCCCCCCGGTCCTGGGGAAGCGTCCACCGTCGCTGACTCAGCATGATTGGAAACCCGATTCCCTCTCTTGGCAAGGTACGTGATCAATGTATCACCCCTTATCTTATCGAGATTCCCCACATGCTATAGCGGGCCCGTCCGTGTTCTCCATACCACTCCTCCTCCGATCGCTTAACATCACCATGCCGAGGCTGCTTATTCCAATTCGCCAGTCCAGATCCACCTTCCAGTATTGCCGATGCCATCACCCCTGCGGAGGGTCGCCGCTCTAGTGCACCGCCGCTCTTACTTCACAAATACAACTCCTTATGAGACTGGGTAATCTAATAAGGACCCGGCCCGAAATGCTAATCCAAGGAACTTAACCCTATTCCAGCATCGGATGACCCAAGCTTATTTCTCCCGGACGGAAGCAATTGCGGTAGCTTGTTGGCGCTTGAGAACAGAAGGCTTCTGGAATGCAGCATCTTGAGCGGTGTTAGATGGTGATGCGCTCACCAATTCCGATGCTTCTAATCTCCTCAACTTCTTGTAACAACGCATGTTGACAAACTTCGGAATAATTGGCCCTTCTGCCATCCGAGTTGCATCGTGGAACGCTTGAGCCTAATTTAGTCCCCACACAATCTCGATTTAGCGCCTGATATCATCCCCGATGCGACCAACATCCACCTCGGTCTCCTCACCTTGCGGCCAATATATAAACGGCGGCCACCATCATTGGATGATGCGCAAGCAGAGTACCCATCCGTCCATGATTTATTTAGACTGGCCTTCTCAATCAACAGATCCTATTTCCGTATGCAGAGGAATTCACCACTGCGTCGTCCCATTATGCCCCCAAATACATCCTCCCTTGTCGTCCAAGGACACGAATTTGAATGCACCAAGATCAGCAGATCGATCAATTGCACAGCATCGGAGAATTTAATTGAGCCATTCTTTGAAACTCCGATGCGTCTCCGCTTCAAATTTAACCTTGTTCGCGAAGCTCACTCGACAACACACGTCTCCCTGACCTCCCGCTGTCTCTCAACATCTATACTAATGACTCGTAAGTGTCCGCCCAATGCATTTGGCTTCCGATCCTGCAACCCAGAAGTTGCTCGGCTTCCTCTTACATGCCCCATTTCTTCCTCCCGCAGGTGGAAATCAACGCGAACAGGACCGTCTCAAAGCCCAGAAGAAGGCGGCTGCTAACGCCAAAAAGCCAAAGGAAAGTGCAGCAACATTAGCTAAACGAAAGGAGGCGTAAGTAGCTCGCTACATTTGGTACATGCACATGAGATCGACAGTTCTATCTCAGTGATGCTGAAATCCTGCGAGCCAAACAGAAAGTCTGCCTGCACCTCCTGCGATTGCCCCGATGTTGCAACTGATATCATATCCAGAAAAAGGAGGAAGAGAAGGCAGCGGCAACAGGAGGAGCCTCTTCCAGTAAAGGCTAACCTGGGGCTAGTGGAATCCCCGTGCGATAGACTTGGAAGCGCGGGGATTGAGTGAAATCATTTCCATTCGCGATTGCAGGAAGGGCGGCCGGACTTTACTCGTTACTGACATAGTTGGTCTATAGCTGTGAATGGATGCACTTGGACACTTCTATACGTACCCTTTGGAAGGGCTCCTGACCCCGAGGACCAATTCCACGTCGCATGGTCATCGGGCCCTTTTGTACCCTTAATCTTCCTTAACAGGTGACAAGTGTACAGACAACGCGAGGCTAGGATGTTCGGCGTCGTTAAAAGAAACATCAAAATGCAGGCTCCATGCCATAAACTGACTAGAAGACTGATCAGGCGAGGGACAGCCCCTGCAACCCCCAGTTCACAGATTTGATCACAAACGGCCCGAACCAGGGTTGACGTCGACTGGATGCGTGTCCTCCATGCATCCTGGAACCAGACGTGACAGGAACAACGAGAAACCTAGTTCGAAAGTCGTGGATGATATATCTGTTCTGAGTGAATCGTGATAATCAGATAGGCTCATCAATGACAGGTGGGTCTAAAGCACACAGCTGCGACGTCTAATGAATTCTCCGAGTCGAGTGGGGAACGCCCACAAATAGCCACAAAATGTTTCTGGTAGTAGTCTGGCGTAAATGAAAGGAGGTGAAACGGCTGTTGTGACACGCAGATCAAGACGACACACCGGACGGCGGATTTTCTATCGGCAACCCAGATCAAATTGCCCAAAATATCCGCTGATAGACGCGTTTGGCAAGCAAGAGTGTGTGCCACCTGTCGATTGCTTGCCTCGGCGCGGATAAGGGTATGTATGTGCTAGTCAAAGAGGACAGCTAAAGCACCATCTTCAGAGGATGTCAACGTCGCCGTCGGAGTCCTGATAATGAGAGATGAGAAGCATTTCGGATGAGGTAGGGACGTCTAGATAAAGTGTACCGTGCATTTGAAACAGGGAGTACTCTTGAAAGGGCAGCCTGCCAAGTGCAAACTTTGTAGGTGAGAAACAGTTGTGACGACGTCTACGGCTCTGAGCAGGCCGTAAAAATTGGCGTTTGCAAGTGCCTGGATAAGAAAAATGATCACGAGATGGTAAGAAAGGTCACATATAAACGCACAGTTATTCTGCCAGTGAGGTAATCCTTCGAATACTTTTCAGATAACTTCTTGCATGGTGTAAAAGGCGGTCCGGACACGGACAAGGAGGGTGGGACCTTTGGACCGATGAACTGATATGTAGAAATTTTACCCAGTTCACTACAAGATCTTCCGGCAAAAACATGCACGAAGCAACCATGCAATGTATTGACTATCAAGTTCGTACCCCAGGTGCGTCGCAAAATACGACCTCTTCAGCCACCTGGATCATAGCGATGTCTATCAAGAGACAATCTCACTTGACGGAGGTCGACCATAATAAAACCAAAATCCACGTAGCCATCTTGTCTCGCAGGTCCGTGGCCTTCTCAGCAGCCAAGACGAGAATATATCCGCTAGGTACGTCGGGGAGGTCCAGCCGCTGGAAAGGGTGCCATAATTAAGGTATTAAGCCAGCTAGCGTACACTTGAAGACACTTTTACGCAATGCTATATCATAGACTGTCTCACGAAAAGAAGGGAAGGGTACTTACAAGAACGGAGGGAGACATACGCAGACAATAGTTGCGAGAGATGCCAGGATCTCCTACGTCGTCGGCCATAACGGATTATTGATTTCAAGTCTACAAGGCCTAGCCTCGCAATAATTTGTCCCTGTGACCAAGTATACTTCAACTAGCAATCCTCGAGAATAAAAACAAAACAATCGCTCACAGACGAGCAAGTCGATTCAAGAACGACTTGCATTGCCCAAGCAGTGTGGCCCATGTTCTGGGATCCGGACTTCGGTGAGGAATTGGATATCATCTCCATTTGTCGAACCAGATTAGATCGATAAACCCGAAAGAGATTTCACAGGCTTTACGACACACCTAAATATACTCCGTGAACATCTCGCCCCATCGACTTCGGACTGATCGATAGTTGACCTCGGAAGCTGAGCGCTACAACGAGCGCTCCTAGAAGAGGGCGATGATAGATGGCGGGTATCAGGTCCATGATGAACGCTGGGCCGCAGGGTACAACTAGTCTATATGTATGACTCGCAGCTTGATTGTGGCACGAGGGGAGCGTCAATTGAGTGGAGAAGACTTCGGGGGCTTGATCCTGGCTAGAATCCAAAACAGAGGGGATGTGTGCTTGACAACCTTGAATTTCCAGCTTCCCATGAAGCCTCGTTCCTGTTGAATTGCCGCCTTGAAGGACTAGAAGACAGACAAATTCTCGTCATGCGTGGGATCAAATCCTTACGCCAAGACAGGATCCTGACAAGCATGCAAAAGTTAGAAGCTGACAACGTAAGGCCACGGCGGATTTGCCAATCGCTTGGAGAAATACAGACCAGATTTCTGACGAGATCTTCTTCCGAATCCGACATGATCTTCGCCTCTTCCGGCAAGCAAGCAGTAGTGAACAACCGAGAAGGTTGGACAACGTCAAAATTGATCAAAACAAGACCTAGAAATAGTCTCCGCAGTCAACGAGGTTAAATGAGAGTGGCAGGTTCGGAAAGAACCGGAAAATAAATGAAGAGGAAAGGATCTTGTCGTCTTGAATGGCGAAAACAGACCCATGGGTTGGCGTCATGCGCAACGGCGATTTCCTGTTGGCTGTTGTTGATCAATGACGAAATGCATGCCGGGGGTAGGATATGCCTACCTTAAATCGTAATAACACAGACCCAGCATACCAGGATAGTAGTAATCCATGTTGCAATATTAAAACCAAGACCAGTACCTATAGTTCACATGATGGTTTTTCCGGCATATAGGGGCGTCATTTATTAACTTTCGCAGCAACTCCCCCTTCAAGGCGCCGACGCCTAGTCGGCGACTCAAGGTCTCGCTCGGACCGGTACCGACCCCAGCCAGGAGTCGGGGCAGGAGACAAGTAACCGGCGTAATGGTGGGGAAAGGGTGTTGCGGGCGCGATAGGAAAGGATGGTGGATTTGGATGAGGGGGTGCTTCGGCGATAGGCTGGTGTTTCGATCGATACAAGGAAAGCAAGGTGTTGATGAAGACAGTCAGGAAAGCCAGCGAAGTCAGTGTGAATATCTATCGGAAAATTACACTCGTCAGTCAACTCTGCACCTTACTTGACCCGTCACGACGAACATACCAAGGTTTTCCAGCTGATTGGTTCGACAAACCCGTTTATAACCTCTGCGATAAGCTCGGCACCAACTTTTGCTCGTCCTACCACCGAAGGATCACGATTCATGCAGGTCTCCCAATTTGCACACTGCTGGATCATGGCTGGTATGGGGTTGACAGCACACAGGTTATTCTTGTATTGCATCGCGCACATGCTGATCTCCTGGATAATATCTGACTGGAGGTCAGTTGCATCAGAGAAGAAACCACAGGGGTCATTTCACCTTGAGAGTACTCGGATATCCGATGCTCCACGTCTCGTTGGACAGTGAAGATAAATTGAACAAAGAGATACAAGAAGATCAAGATGAGGGAAAGATTGAAGAAGAATTGCAGATAGCTTCAGCACCGTCAGTGAATCTCCAGCAAAGTAGTGACATTATCAACGGCTTACCCCAGAAGAACATATGGCAAATCAGACTGAGGAGGTGGTGGAGCAGGCATGTTTAGAGTGTAATGGTTGGATGTTGCCTGACGCAAAGGTGGACGAGTTCCTTCATCTTCGCTTTCGCCGTCTGATCCAGCCTCATCCTCTTCCCGTAGATGGCGCTGTCGGGCAATAACACGGTTCTCTTCGTGCCTCGTGCGCTTCTTGAAGACGCGTCGCAGCCCTCCGGTTGCCACAGGTCTCTCTTTGTCGAGTTCTCTGTCCTTCGTGGGAGATGCTTCTGCGTTTGCCTCTTCGTTCCGGGCTGGACTGGCTTCCGTCATATCCACGTCGTTCACGTCATGTTGCAGAGGGAAAGCTTTCGTGGGTGAAAATTGGGGGGGAGGCGCCCAAGGATGCGGTTGTGGTGTTTGAGGGAGCGGAGTCGGGTTGAAGAGAAAGGGAACATTTTGGTTGGAGCCAAATGTCCGCTGCTGAGGTGTGGAAAGTAGGGACGGCGTGGAAGGCGACAAAGCATCGTGCGATCCTGCATCTCGAGTAAAGACTTTGCGAAAAGGAATATAGCTACTACGTACGTTTCTGGGGTGTTGCCTGCTCCTCTCCACTATCGGCTGCCCACGCAGGTTTCACTGGACTTCGGTTTGTCCACTGGAAGTCCATTGGCGCCTCTTTCGAGCGTTGAAATCGGAAAGCCATTGCGAAGTGAGAGGCCTGAGAGGTGAGCTTGTGCGACAATGCCTTGAGATGTTTTCTGGACAAGGAAGCAGGAGACCAGGAAGTGAGTGGCCACTAAGTCACTCGGCAAAGTTTAGTCAACTTTCGTTGACGCGTCTGTCACATGTTCTTGAATTTCAATCGCGCTAAGCCACCTCATTGCTCGGACGCTCACACCATGTTCTTTCGAGCCATTGGCCCCATTTTCCGTCAACAGACCATCCAATCCTCGAGGAGGCTCTTTCATCCATTAGCCGGACATTCCCTCAGGTCTTTACAAGAGCAATGGCGAGCACCTTCTGCGAACCTCGTTCCGATTGTTATTGAGCAAACTGTCCGTGAGATTTACATTTACATTCCCCGTTTTCTCTAATCCATATTCCTTTCAGGGGAGAGGTGAACGCTCCTACGACATTTTCTCTCGTCTCCTTCGGGAGCGTGTAATAATGTTACACGGTCCGGTACGTCATCCTCGTTCATCCTTTTGTACTCTTCGTCTAATTAAGACGTAGATACGCGACGACGACTCTACCTTAGTCGTTGCCCAACTGTTATTCCTGGAAGCAGAAGACTCAACAAAGCCCATCCATTTGTATATTAACTCTCCAGGAGGAAGCGTAACGGCTGGACTTGCAATTTATGATACTGTAGGTCCTAGAGGTTTTGGAGGGTTTTTCCCTACCTGAACTTTACTAGATGCAGGTGCGGAACTTTGAGGATGCTCAGCTGGAACTTTGATTGATATCCCAAGTACACAGTATGTTTCATCTCCGATTCATACTTACAGCCTAGGATTAGCCGCCTCAATGGGTTCTTTACTTCTCGCAGCTGGCGAGAAGGGAAAGCGCCACTGCCTTCCCAACGCCAGCATTATGATTCATCGTGCGTGACATTTACAGCCCTTGAATCTAATGACGGACGAGCCCCGATTCAGAGCCTTCTGGTGGTGCTTCGGGTCAGGCGTCTGATATCGCTATCCACGCTAAGGAAATACTACGGATACGCCAGCTTCTGACGTCCATATACCAGCGGCATTGCTCCAAGGAAGGAGAGACAGAAGCTGAAGGCATCGCACGTTTTGGTAAATCTGGGCTTCACCATTGGCTTCTTGCATCACATGTTAACCTCTACACCACACATATAGAAATGGCCTTGGAACGCGACTATTACATGACTGGTACGTTTATCATCGCTGCATTAGTCGAGATGCTCAATGCTCACTCCGTTCACAGCTCAAGAAGCCCTGGAATTCGGCATCGTGGATGGAATCCTTGAAAAACGGCCAGCATCTGATCCTGATAGCACGCCTCCCTGAATAGCCTGTCATATATGTATATATGTCACTGAATGGACGGCCTTCCTAAGTTCTTTTCCTCCAGGCAAACCTTTTCTTGGGAAGCACTCAATTGCATATGTCTTCAAGGATCACCCTATTTCCTCCGGCCCAGTTTACAACGACATTGTGCCTTCTTCGGAACCCACCGTGGAGGCCGTTCAAGCACATTTTATAAACGCAGGCTCGCCATTGCTCGGCGTTTGGAAAGTCGCATTCAGCAATATCTTGATTCCGCAAGTGTCGATGATTATCCTGGGTCCGGTACATCAGTCCCAGTAAGCTCGGCTTTCTAAACCTCACCTGATTCGCCAACAATAGCTAGGTTTCGCTCAAAATGTGCTGAAAGCTTCGATCCCATCGACAGCATAACACTGCCTCCTGGCGAAACCATTTGGACATACTTGACAAAGTTTGATAAAAGATCATTGGCGGGATCAGAATAGACCTACTTACGATAACGGGGGTAGCTCGGCCCCATGCCGTATGCATACATCGATGCCCTCACGCAAAAAGGAGTTTTCCAAGTATGTGCATCATCTAAATCAACCGAATTCACAGCTTTCCGAAGCCCGCTGCCATGTGCACCCTGTGCCCCGATACATCACTGCATCGTGCCTAAAACTCCTGGTCAATTGTGAGCGCATCTCCCCGTCAGTCGGCCGCATCTCATCCCCATAATTTCACCGGAAAGCAGACGATCATGAAACTTAAGTTCCATTCTAGCCAAATTAACACACAAGACGAGTTTGATTCGTGTCAGCAAATGGGTTAGCCTAGACCTATGTCTGCCAGCATCTGTGACTTCATTTCCACCTGCGGCTTCCGTGTGGTAAGGAGCTGCCTGCTAAACCCCAGGCTCAACGTCAGCTGCACCTTGTCGCATGATTCAACCTCTGGATCTCCTTCTCGGCTTGGTGCGCCTCGCTAGGCAATCGTAAATGAAGGACGCACGCCTATTGGAGCCATAGCGGAAATTACCCAAACCATGAGGATGACAAGAGCACTTCCAAAGTGTAGGTACGAGGATTAATTCTACCCAACTTGGTGCCATAGGCTAGACCATTCGTTCCTTCCCGATGAAAATGGATTCGGGGGAAAGTAGGCTCAAGATAGTATACCAGATTCCAAAGAACGCATCCAAGATAAGTACGATAAAAATAGTGAATGATTGTTGTCTTGAAGCGTGAGTCCCCGAAGACGTTGATGGGCTTGAGGCTTGAGGCTTGCAGTACAGCTGGGAAAAACCCTCCACAACCATTGACATCTTGGTCAATCGATGCCTCATCATCCAACCAATGACCACCGACCAGAATGGTCAGATCAAAGTTCGCAAGAGATGAATATATATTTACACCGACATGCATAGTTTGTAAGGAAAGTTGGTTGCAGAGAGCAGTTTGATTGACGAAAATACTAAAGTGATAATACATAGCAGCAACAGTCCAAAGGGGAGATCTGGTCTACGAAAACTAATGCAAATCTTGCTCGACGAGTGCAGTAGATGTGGAGGTCTTTAATATCTTCTGGGGCCATTGTACGAAGTCTCATCCACCCACTCCATGCGGTTGTTGGCGGCATAGTTGTACCGCAAGTCCTGTCCCCCGCCCGACCATGCTCGTTCGTGCGACACGGGTGGCACGCGAGTATATGCCGTACTGCGAGCGAGGGTGATAAGAAGAGCGAGAAAGAAGCCACCCGAGGATCATAAACTTACCTTGATCCTGGCACAGTCCGCTGCGTTACGTTCGCGCCGCGATCATGGCTGTTGAGTCTCTCATGGGTTGACATCGAAGGCACGGCGGTTAACACAGCCCTCGAAGCCGGTCGCTGACGGCTGCCGCAGCATCGTCTCACACCTTTAGGGCAGAAACAGAAATAGAACGGAAATGATGAGCATACTCGGTCCTTCTCAGAGGCAATATAAAAGAAAACGTACTTCGAATGATGGCCCATAAGAGCAGGATCGCCACAAGACCAGCTACGACTGTCACGGGGATAGAAATCTGGAGATTCTGGGTATACCAAGCCTGCGGCATGAATGCGATCAGGGAAAGGAGGACCTTCGGAAAGGACCGCAGAAACACACCTTTGCAGTGTCCAAAAACCCAGCTGATTGGCACCTGCCTGCGATACAAGTACCGCCGAAGCCTGGGGTATCGTTTCCATTACCGTAAACATCAAGTGAAAATCCGTTTAGAGATTTTATGAACGCACCACAGGGAGATCCGTCGATAAGCAGAGAAGTCAGTCGTATACAGGCCGCTGAATTGGTGGGGTCTTGACATGAGATCTGACATGATTGATCGTTGCGGTCGGGACAGGCGGCTCTGAGGCCCATAGAAGCCCCAACATTTTGACATTGCACTGAAGAGGGATGAGCCCATCGCAAAAGGAGAAGAGCGGGAGCGACGTACGCGAGATGGACGTGCACTGGCCACTGGCACATGCCAAACCGTTATTTCCACAGCTTTGTCCTTCATTACAAGAACATGTCAGAACCCTATACGCTATTTTCGGAAACTTATAAACTCACCGTTAGGTGCCATCACATCTGAAGGGCACGAGGAAGAGTTGCCGGTGCACGTCTCCGCCATGTCGCATCTCGAATCACGAGAAGGACGACAAACCTGCGTCGCTGGAGCAAAGGAGCATTGGGCTGTACAACAGGGACTGCTATCTGGATCGCAGGTAGCGTTGTTCCTGAACTTGCACGTATTGGCATCACAACAGGCGGAATCGACCCCCTTGCCAGGATCACAATCTTCGCCGGCCTCGACAATGCCGTTGCCGCACATCTGCAACGATATCGTTTGACGTGTAGGGTCTGGATCCACGAGACAGTTTGTCTGCACTTGGCCATTCGCACCACCCCTCATGATGGAGCCTAATAGCAAGGTTAGAGCACATTAATTAATGGAGGTCGAGACTGCTGCTCACAGATATTTCCGAGACTGCATGGCGAGAAAACCTTTTCCCCAGATTGCGCGACGGGACTCATGATGAACCGTGCATCAGCACTACATGTGGTCGAGCTCAAGGGACAGCAAGACGAGGTTAGAGTACAACCGTCCGAGCACTGTAAGGAGGGGTACAGATTAAGACACGATCCAAACTGAATGGAGTTGAAAAACACTCACATCGTGCTGCAAAGGCATAGGACCGATCAATGAAGACGATCAATTGCTGAAGGAAAAATTACTTACGATGGCACCAAAGTTGTGGCCGATCTCATGAGCAATGACTTGCCATTCCGTACGACCTGCAGTGGAGACAGCCGTTCCTGAGACAACAGAACCTGAGCTGCCTGCTGACGAGGTCTGGCAACTATCCAAGGCTGTGTCAGTAACGAGGTGGACGAAGATAGGTCGGTCAAGCTTACAGAGTCGCAAGCCACGCAATCCCGACTTCCGATCCAGTAGGACAACCACTCATCAGATGCCACAAACCATTGCCATCATCACCCTTAGCTCCGCGCCATTGGGAGAACAGCGAGAGACGAGTATCTAATTGCGCGCTACTGCACGGCACGTTCCAAGGGAAGGTGGAATCGGCCGTTGACGGACAACTAAAGCATGCATTGCGATTAGATCAGGCCCAGATCGAATAGGATATGGCGTACACAGCACTTCGTATTTGGAGCTCAGCAATGCCAAGACTGACGTTGAAGGTGCTCTGTGGACACCCGAAGTCAGGCAATGCACGAATACGGCATGGCGAACTCACCTTGTACAGCGAGCTGGCAGAGTTCCAATTTGTCAAAATCTGCGAGGTGGCATTCTCTTGACCGCCATATTTGGAGACGTAAGTGCAGTCAGCCGCAACACCCATGTACAGCTATTGGACAAGTGATTAGTAATCAGCATTTGCATTTACATTAAACGAAGACGGAGTTGGACGTACCACTTTCTGAGAGGAAGGGCAGCCTGCTGTCGATCCGATGGAGTTGATAAAACTGCCAGACCGTGCCCTAGTTAAAGTCATATACGACACCTATGTGAAACGAACGCACTTTGTACCCATTCCACTATTCCCAGTAGGAGCGTCATCTCTTCGGAAGATTGACTCGTTCGACGTAGGCATGAGAAGGTGCTTGAGCCAGGCATTTGCAGCAGTTGGGGGCATCAGAGTAGGATGTTGCGCAGGATCGTTGTATTCGAGCCTGTCGTGTCCACATGATTGAGGTGTAAAAACCTTCTCGGTTGGATGAGACCCAGTTTTAGCGAAGTATTCCTCCTCCGGCGACATCTCATCAGATTCCCTCCAGATAACAAGTCCACCATCAGTTTCATCCACAGGCTCAGAGAGAACAGGATCAAGCTCGAGTTTGTTACGCAGGTAATTTTCCTTGGTGATGACATGATATATCACACCGTTGGCAGAGAAAGCACCTTCGAAGACGGGTGCTACACCTCTTTTCGTGTCGCCTTCGTCGTGGACCATGACACGGGCCCAACCAAGGACTGCAGGGTGTGATTGTGGGTATACACGGGCGGCATCTTCACGCATACGAGTAGCTGAGTGATACTCGGCGATAACCTCCCCCAGGTATGCCCGAACAGATTGCCGTAAGAGAGGCTCGGTGTGGCTGAGGACTTCGCGACCGTCGGGAAGCGTAGTGTAGTAATCGATTCGTGCAGCAGGATGGATGAGGTGGTCATTAGGGCGCAAATGCAGGTGGAATACTTCATTATAGGCTGATACGATTAAGCGGAAGGAGTCGTCATAACGGAGGGTTTGTGGAAAAGATGATGGCAGGCGTTTGCTCAGAGTTGAGAAGGATGAGTCGTAGGGATTGCGGGGGAGGATTTCGAGGGAGATGGTAGATGGGTTGGCGACTCTCTTGAGCAATCGAGCAGGGGTACTGTGAGCTGGAAAAACGAGGTAACTGAGGATTGGTGATCGGTCAGAGCGGCTGGCGACATACCATCAGCTGCTTGCGACCAGAGCGCAAGCCAAAAGACGACCAGCGCACATATGGGCTGGAATGTATGCATGAGAGGAAGACCGCCTGCAAACGGGAAGGCGGACGGGTGTTGAAGATGACGGTATTATAAGAGAAACGGAGGATGATGACCAAAGGAGGACGGACAAAACAATCGAAGGGGCTTGGCATTAGCCCAGAATGCTGTGCAGGCGAAACGACGCTTACCTGCGGGCTAAAGGAAGAAAAGGAGAGGAATGGGCAGACGGTAAAAGCGTCTGCAGGAAGGAGCAGGCTGGGAGATGATGGAGGCCGGAACAGTCGCGCTCGTCGTCCAACTTCGCATCGACGACCGTGTTTGCGACGGGGTTGCCAGTGCCAAGCCAGTGTGCTGACGTAATACTCTGAGCCTTCGTCAGACTCGGCGCGCCCAGCAGTTCTTCGCATACCTTGTGGATCGCAGCATCGCCTCTTTGCAAGAGCTCTACCAACGCAGCTCTTCCCAACGCTGGTTGTCTTCTTCACTAACTATCATGGCCTTCTCGGGCATTGCTTCGAACCTTCATCGCCTACTTTAAAACATATGTACGGGCTAGAGGATTCCTTTGCTCAAGCTCAAGGCGGAGAAATCATGCCGGATGTCCTGTCAACTCACCTCCCACCTCCCACCTGCAGCACAATTCCCTCCAACCACGAGTTCCGGACATGCGTTCTAATGGGCCAACCATTGCCTGATGCGAACGCCAAGGCACCCTTGTCGCTGCGCCGCAGTTCAAGCCCAAGCACTTCATCTTGGCTGCAGTCTACAAGTGTCCCGGAAGCTGCATGCTCAACGAAGACGCTCCGAAACCCGAAAGCAGGCCTCCACCGCCTATTGGATTGCCTGGCGGCATATTCTTTAAATCCTCACTTAGCTTCGTGTTACAAGAGGACTTTACCGTGGTAAGAAACCTAAGACCATTCTTTTCGAAGGCACCTGATGAGTCGTTCTGGAAGTGAGTGGCTCGGAGAAATATGCAAGACGAAATTGATGAATCTCGTCAATGCGTCCTTGGTAGGCTAGATTTATTTTCGAACACCTACATCAGCCGAAGGTGTCTCATGAGAAAAGTTCAGTTCTTTTGCGATTTACATAAATCACGTCGATCATCGACAATTCGTGCGTTCTAGTCCAGGATAATGTCTTTCCACGCCGGTTCATCTTCCGTTACTTGACTGAGACTGAGGACCTCTTCGATGGAGCCGACCGAAGTACTACCTCGTTCCCTAGAACACTTCATCATTATCCTATAATTTCTGCCCTTCCCAGTCACCCATGCGGTCCCCTACCCTATCACTACCTCCCTCATGCAATCCATGCAAAATTTGGAATGTTGAGTTTCCTCCATCCCGGCATAGGGACCCTGACACTGGTCTCGCCGCCACCCCGCCTGAAGATCTGACTGGGGAACAGGCCTTCAAGGCCCGAGCTGTCATGCGTATTTGCTGGACGGATGGCCAAGGTCAGGCGTAATGACCAGAGCTCATAACTATTGGTGACCGCAGCGGCTCGAGGACGTTTGTGAGCGTCTTGGAAATACTGCGGCTTACTGACCAAGTTTCGTGTCTGATAGGCTTCCGGGAAAGGCTGACGCAGATTCCTGGGATCCGAGGAAAGGCGATGATTCCCTTTTTAGTGACCAAATAGAGTGGCCTTACGACGATGCGATTTGTCTGACACTAGATCTAAGGAGCGACGTACCAAGGCCCGTCACTTTGTAGCCGCCGGTCTAACATTGGATGTCCAGCTTTTGTTCAAGAACGACGGCTACCTGGCTTCTTCAACAGTGGTTGGTGCTCCCCGATTTATTGTAATTCAAATTCAAATTCAAATACGTGACAATCGAACGTGAACGCTGCTAGTATGCAAGCGCCTCGGCGAGGGGTGTGTTGATGGCGCCGGCCTTGGAGTGCGCTCAAGGGGACATATTTTGAGACGCTATAATGTTAACCCATGTACTATGATGTCTATTTTATCCCGCCCGAGTCGAGGGCGGCGGTGTAACCCGGTCCATAGTTCGTCCCCAGAGCTTATTTTAGACGCCCGTGCCAAGCCCCTCCGTACTACCTCTCCGAACATCGACCAATGTGGATGCTGTGGATCTGAACGGAATTTCTGATTCTGTTCGAGCACTGCAGATGTGCCGCTGGCCCCTGTTTACGATGAGCTTTGGCAGATAGGCGCCCAGGTGTCTTCATTGTCTCCACAGGCGGGCCCAAGTACCCGAATCTTAATGACCAAATCTATGTGATCGATGGTAGATCCAAGTACTCTACACATTTCGAAGGAGTCCTGCGGACCTCCTGATTATGTACAGGGAGAGTTGGCTTGAATCTGAGTATTCGCAGATCTGCTCGTCTTGGTCCCTTTGCACCTGTGTCTGATGATGTCAAGCTTTGATTATGCCACAGGAGCCCTCATGTCCGAGTAGCTGGTAGCTCTTCCAAACTTTCATCTCTATGTTAACCGTCAGCCGACTCCGAGACCGAGCGATAGGAATCAAACCATCCCGCCTTGCTAGATTCTAGCGAGGCCGGGAGATGGCGGTCCGACGGAAGTAAATATAGATCCATGTGCCAAAATAGGCAATCAACTTTTTTCGTCTCCCTTTTCCAAGCCCTTCCCATCACTTCCACGGACGACGGCAGGTCGTCCTCATCCTGGCCCTAGATATGTCCGGCGACACACAACCTAGAGATAAAAAGGAGAGGAAGACCAAATCTAAAGGCAAAGCTATAGAACTCCCGAATACTAGTGTGGAAGAGCTCATAGATGATGGTGAGTATTCCTCCTGGGCAGTAGGTTACGAATACACAGGTTTAATTCGCAGATGCCTCGGAGAAACTAGAGAAGAAAAGGAAGAAGAAAAGGGGCAAAAAGAGCGACGAAGAAACGCCAGAGCAGGATGCACCGTTGGAAGGAACAGCGATGGCAGTAGACTCGAAAGGTGTGCTCCATTCTGGCCTTCTCTCCGTCTGAACATTCACTCTGCGCCTCAGAGACCCCAGGAGAAGAATCTGACAAAAAGAAGAAAAAGAAGAAAGGGAGGAAGAGTGACGAGAGTGTGGAAGGGACCATCGAGGAGAACGGAATGGCTGTTGACTCGGAAGGTGTGCCATGCCATTCCTCTGGTATTGGAGAGATCTTGATCGCGTTCAAAAGACGCAGTGCCGGAGCCAGAGAAGAGAAAGCAAAAGAAGAAAGAGCACTCCGAGGAGGGGGGACCTATGTCGGTTGAGGCAGAATGTATGGTATTTTCATCCATGTCCATGCTATTATTTCATCGGTTACGTCCAGCATCCACTCCCTCAGGAGAAGCGGAGAAGAAAAAGAAAAAGAAGAAAAGGAAACGCGAAGAGGAGGAAGGCGTAAAACCCACAACCGAGGAAGTCACTTCCGAATCGAAGAAAGAAAGGAAAGAGAAGAAAAAGCGAAGAAAAAAGGACCAGTCCTCAACATCTCCGCCGGACTCTGTCCCACCCACATCTGCAGAATCGTCTTCCGCCCCTTCAAAAGCACCATCGCCCAAGCCCACTGCATCCTCTTTCGGCGTGTCGTCTCCTGCCTCAGCTGAAGATGCCGCTGCTTTCCTCAAGAAACACTCTGTAACGATACATACCCCTCCTAATGCTCCACAAGTTACCCCAGTCATCAAGTTCTCTCAGCTCGACGTCCCATCGGAAATTCGGGATGCATTTGCTGGCTTCAAAGAACCAACACCCATCCAGGCATGCACCTGGCCCCCTGCACTGGAGGGCTGTGATGTAGTTGGAATCGCAGAAACTGGCAGGTGTGTCGAGCAATTCTTGTATTTTAGCGCGTCACTAATAGATTTATCTGTAGCGGAAAGACTCTCGCCTTTGGCATCCCAGCACTTTGCCGTCTCATGAAATCACCTACGAAAACATCCTCGAACTCGGGTAAATCAACAGTATCTACCTTGGTCGTAGCCCCAACGCGAGAATTGGCGATACAAACTCATGAAACACTGTGTGCGCTAGGCAAGCCATTCGGGACAGCTAGCGTGGCCGTATTTGGTGGCGTTCCTAAGGAGCCTCAAGTGAAGATGCTTAAAAACGCGAACAAGGCCAAAGATGGACTCACGACGCGCATAATTGTTGGTACCCCTGGTCGGATATTGGACCTCATGCAGGAGGGGGCCTGTGACCTCAGTGGGTAAGCAAACGTTTGTCCCTATCCGTTGCCCCTAGTATTGATACTTGCTTCCGCAGGGTGGACTACCTCGTTCTGGACGAGGCAGACCGTATGCTGGATAAGGGGTTCGAGAATGATATCCGTAATATCATTTCCAGCACCAAGCCTTCCGAGGAGCGGCAGACGATGATGTGTGCGTATATGACGGTTTCATTGATTCTAGAAGCTGGATTAAAGGATTTGATAGTCAGCGCTACCTGGCCTGAATCTGTCAGACGACTAGCAAGTACATTTCAGCGCGATCCGGTACGAGTTACTGTCGGCAGCGACGACTTGACAGCAAACAGCCGAGTAGCGCAGAGTGTGGAGGTATTTGACGACGCCCGGTCGAAAGAGTACGCCGACTTTGTATTTCCTCCCCTGGCGTGCTAACGTCTTTCATCGTAGTCAACGCCTCCTGAACGTGCTCAAAACCTTGGCGCACAAGAAAACCACTAAAACAGGGGATTCGGAAGCGCGGATTCTCGTATTTGCCCTGTACAAAAAGGAGGCGTCACGGGTAGAGCAAATGTTACACAGACAGGGATACACCGTCGGGGCACTACACGGGGACATGTCACAGAACGCGCGAATGGAGACGCTGGAAAACTTCAAGAATGGAAAAACGGGTCTTATGGTGGCGACAGATGTGGCGGCGCGGGGGTTGGATATCCCGAACGTTGGGGCGGTCATCAATTATACATTCCCGCTGACGATAGAGGACTATATTCACCGCATCGGCAGGACAGGTGCGTTTCCGGCTCTCCTTCAGTTTCATTGACCTGATGACCGATATGTGCGCATGCTTATCATAGGCCGGGGAGGAAGGAGCGGCAAGTCGATTACGTTCTTCACGGGCGACGCGCACGAACGGTCTTTGGCTGGCGAGTTTGCGCGTGTCCTGCGCGAGGGTGGCTTCGACAACGAGGCTCTGAAGAAGTTCCCGATGACGATTAAGAAGAAGGAGCATGGCGCGTACGGTGCATTCTTCCGGGACGATATCCCAGTGCCCAAGGGGCCTACGAAGATCGTGTTTTAATTGATTTGTAGTCATTATGTAGTCACGAGATGGATATGACATCAACGCTTCATCTGATCCTTGACCTGTTACTCTTTCCTCTTACTCCCGGGCAATCATGCTGGGGGGCCTCTTCAGCCAGGCAGGCTCTACCTTCAATCGGGTTGTAAAGCCTCGAGGCTCAATCGAGGCCGGGGATGACAAGCCTCCCTCCGATACAGAGCCCGATGACACCTCTATCCTGTTCGTCCACCCCTAGTCTTCAATGTCTCCCTTTGATCTTGACGCAGAATGCAGCGACGAGAATGAAGGATCGATTATCACCTCCCTCATTTCCCAACTCAGGCATGTCCCAGGTTATCAACGACTTGGCTTCGCACCTCTGACAGCTTTCGTCTGTGCCATGCATTCGCCTATCCAGAGTGGGAATGGACCTCTCGAAGGTCACCTTCCCAACTTTCGTGCTCGAGCCCCGGAGCATGCTTGAGAGGATCACCGATTTTATGTCTCACCCCGACCTCATTTTTGGGCAAGTTGATTACGACCAATCGACCGGAATCTCCCAATTTCTGACTTTCCCTCCCTAGGGCCGAGAAGTTCGACAACCCAGAGGAGAGATTCATTAGAGTGCTGCAATATTACCTCGCTGGCTGGCATATCAAGCCCAAGGGCGTGAAGAAACCGTGAGTCGCCATCAGTCACCTATTGTCATTGGCACCCTTGCGACGACTACGCACCGCAGCTATAACCCTGTGTTAGGCGAATTCTTTCGATGTCGATACGACTATCCAGACGGCTCTCAGGCCTTCTATATTGCCGAGCAAGGTCTGTACCGTGTTGCCTGCGCCCGCTCGCCGTCAAGGAAATCAAATTAACTTTCCCGTGTTCTCAGTATCTCACCACCCACCTATATCCGCCTTCTTCTACATCTCGCCACAAAACCATGTAAGCATCGTCGGCGAACTCCGACCCAAATCCAAGTTTCTGGGAAACAGCGTCTCGACAACAATGGAGGGGGAGAATCGTGTAACACTGCTTGGAAAACCCGAAGATGGTGGTACGTGATTCTACGCCTCCATCAATCAATGCGGTAACCTGAACATGTTCAGAGTACGTGATCACGATGCCGAACATGTACGCACGGGGGATCCTGTTTGGAAAGATGGTGCTCGAGCTGGGGGATACTTGCATAGCCAAGAATGAGAAACATGGACTGTTCTGTGACCTGGAATTCAAGACCAAGGTTCGTCAATCTCTTTCCCTTCCTCGAGAGTGCAAATGCAGAATTTCCCGACACCCAGGGATTTTTCTCTGGCACTTACAACGCGATCGCGGGGCGGGTACGCCAGAGCTCGAATGATATCGGTGAACTATCTGGGAGGTGGAGTCATGTCATGGAGATCAAGAGTACCAAGGTAGCTTCTTAAGCTATTCGTTGGTCCAAAGATACGCCGATACTCACGTTATGTGTGAATAGTCTGGCCAGAAACGAGTGTTATTCGACGCCGTTAAGGATGGCCAGAACGTATCGCCAAAGTGGGTTCTCCCAGAACAACAACAAGAGCCGAACGAATCGCGAAGGTGCACACTATTTCCCCCCTTCTATGAAAACTTCAATCATGTTTAATTCCGCAGACTTTGGGCTGCCTTGACGGAAGCAATACAAATGAAGGATATGGAGCGTGCGACGGTGGCCAAGACGTCAGTGGAGGATGCGCAAAGGGAGCAACGAAGAAGGAGAGAGGAGAGTGGCGAGTTACACGTACCTAGATTCTTTGAAAAAGTAGATGGTCGATGGCTACCAAAGCTAAAGTATGCCTTTCTTTTTTCATGGTTAGTTAATCTGGCCTTACTCCTTCCTCACCTCCAGGGTAGCAAAGGATCCACAGGAGGCCGTGGCGGCAGTTCAACAATGGATATTCCCTTCAGTGGTTCCCCGCTCACCAAAACCTACTCCTTAATATCTCTTTTCGGGTGGTTGGTTGTTTTAATGCAACACAGATGTACAGTCTCCTACACGCATACATTCACGGCCTTTTTCTCTCAAGTGTTTTCCTCGCCGATCTACGTAGATCCACTTTGTTAATATTGCAATCCATACTCAAGTATACAAATCAGAATGAGTGATAAAATGAGGGTATATGTTACAAATTCCCAAGGAAAAGAATATATATGTGTGCGAGATGAAACAAATGACAGTGTTTACTTGGGGGGACGCAAAAGCCTAATGAGATACTAAAAGAGTGGTGTAGGAGGGTGAATCTGAACTTCAGGGTGTAGTGTGCAAATGATTCCGTAGGTTACGTATAAGAACTATCGATAGCATAGGAAAGGCAGGAAGAAAGGCAATCCAATAAGGATATATTTTATGACCACCAGCCATCTTCGCCTTGTGTTGGTGCAACAGAGACGACACTAGGCGTAGGGGAAGGGGCACGATATTGACTGTTATATGCTGCATAGCGTGGTTTCGGCGTGGATGTCACGTTCTGGCGACTGGAGTAGCGGCTGGAGGTGGAATGCAAGGATGGGGGACCCCACTTGCTCTGACCGTTCACAGGTGCATGCATAGAATCACGGACGGAAGGCCCGTCGTCAGGCAAGGGTGACGTCTGATTTCGCATCGTGCTTGAATACGCACTTATGCGGCGTGTGGGCGTTTCTGTGCGCATATCGTAGATTGTACTGGTTTGGGAATCGGGGCGAGGTGAGGGATGACTCTTGCCATTCGTCTGGGGTCGGAAAGGAACAGTCGACGACGCAGACAATCTCGCAGAGGCATTCGCCCTTTCGAGCTCTGTCTGCAGCAGGACACATTTGGACTCGAGGGCGGTGATCTGATCTCGCAGCTTGTTCTCTCGGTCCTGAACCAAATGAGATTTTTACGATCCTATCAAAGATGCAAGGAGGAACTTACCTGCACCAGGCGGCTATCAGCCTCTCGCTCTTCTAGCTGCAGCTTGACGAGAGAATAGTCGGCATCCAGCTGAGACTGGGTTTGTTCCGCTTGCTCGAGCTGAGTGCGCACCAATTCAAGTTGGCCCTCGTACTCCTTGGTGCGGCGCTCCCATTCAGTTGAACGTTGTTGCGCTTGTGTTAGAGTTTGGCGGGCCGTCGCCGAAGCCTTCTCGCTGTTCGCCAACTTGGCTTCAAACTCTTTCAGACGCTTTTGCAAGGCTGCGTTTTCGCTTTCCAAAGCCTTGCTTCGCTCGCGATGGTGTCTGAATTCCTGCTGCTCTTCATCATCTGCGTTCTCCAAAAGGCGGTAGACCATATTAATCTTCTCCGTGGCCGCACTGAGGACGTCCCAATTGCTCTGCTGGGATACCAGCAGATCATGTTGCTTCTGAACGGCTTCCAGGGTTTTGGTGGCTGTATCCTTTTCACGCTTGGCGAAAGTAACTTCAAACTCCAAGGAGGTAACCTATTGAAAGGATAAGAGAGGAAAGCAATAAAGGGACGAGCGGACTAACCTTTGTTCGGAGGGTCTCCTTCTCCGCACTCAGCTCCCTGTTCGCCTTCTCGAGATCGGCGATGGTGCTTTGGTTGGCTTGAGCAACGACATCAGTGGATTGCAAACGAGCAAGAGCCTTCGCAAGGGCTTCTTCAAGCTCCGCATTGCGAGCCACCAAAGTAGCAGTCTCCGTAGCCTTTGCAGTACCAGCGGACTGCAGCTCCTTGACCTGAGCGCGCAGGCGATCGCGGTCTCCCTCGACAATGGCTAGCTTCTCGTTTATAACGTCCTTCTCCACTCGGACTTGGCCGTGTGAGGCGCGTGCCTTGGTTACTTGGATTTGGTAATCTGTATTAAGCTTGCGTAACTCTTCTGCTTCGCGTTTAGAGTTGTCACGTGACGTAATTAGTTCGGTCAACGTGGTTTGAAGGCCGTCCACGACACCCGTAAGTGTGTCTGGTAAAGTGTTGAGTTTGTCGAGGAGAACCTTGCTCTGAGTAAGAGTCTCCGCGCCTTGTTCAGCAAGTGTCTTCTGGTCATCAGCGAGGGCCTCGACGATGCTCGTGACGAGGACAAGGTTGGCATTAGTTTCAACAGGACGCGAGGTGGGTAAGCTGAGATTCTTCAATACAACTTCTTGAGCAGCCGTGAACTCTTCCAATTGAGATCCTATTTTAAGGGGGATATCGGCCACTGATGCCAGAATTTGTCCTTGAGAGGCAACAAGTTCTTCTTGCCTCTCGTCTGCTGCCCTCTGTGCAGACGTAAGTTGCTCAACGGAGGAAGGAACGGCCTTGAGAGACTCAAGTAATTGTGAGACACTCTCAGAGACTTTCGAAGTGACGATGTTGACGTTGAAGGCTTTATCGCGCACTGCAAGACGGGAGTCGAGACGTTCGACAACGAGGTCGGCAACTTGCTCCTTGATTTCGAACGCGTCAATAGGCGCAATGGCACGGCGAACTTCTGTGATAAGTTTCATAGTGATAGCATCGGTGTCAATGGACACATTCTTCAGTGACGGCAGAAGGGGGAGGATCCTGTCCACAATGAGGCCAGCAGTCTCCCGTTTGTCCGAAGCCAAGTCGATGAGCTGAGCGATGTGTGGCTTGACAGCTTGTGTAAGTTCCCTGGTCAAGAATTCGTAATCTACAGGGTCGTTACGGAGGGATTCGAACATAGGCGAAAGCACTGTGACGAGCTTGTCGACAATCAGATCCCGTTCACGAGCAGGAGCGTTGAGAGCCACAGCTTCTTGACGAGCAGAGAGTTCGGAGATGGCTTCGACGACAGCCCTAACGGTGTTCTGGCCCACGCCTTCAATGACCGACACGACTTCTTTGCCGACGTTGTTGACCCCAGCCGTGCCAAGGACGTGTTGGGAGATACGGTGTACTTCTCGTTGGAAAGACGCCAAGAGGTCTTTGTGACTTTCTTCCACGACGTCCTTGATAAGTTGAAAATCTAATTCTCCTCTGGCATCCATCTGACTATCCTCCAAACTACGGGTTGCAGACTCTTGCAGCTGGGCGCGGAACAGAGAAATGATATCCGCCATCATGGACTCCGTCGTAGATCCCACTGCTGGTTCAACATTGCGCTCTCTCTTCGACAACTCAGCTTGAAGGGGCGCAAGCTTCTCGTCGAGGAGTTCAGAAATGACGCTTTCAATGCGGTGGAGTTCCATGTGGGTAGTAAGATCCTGAGGAGAAACAGACATCTCCGAGGGCGATGATTCCTTGTCATGTAGAGCATCAGGTAATGAGGACCGGCGGCGATTATGGCGAATGGAGGTGAAGACGTCATCGTCAAGAGACGAAGCTGGCCGCTCACCGGGGTCGGTGACAAGCCTATTGCGGGAACCTTGACGGACATGCGAAATGAGGGCAACATCCAAGTCATCCATAGAGGGACGGTGCACATGTTCGAAGATTTCGCGTGAGCTTAGATGAGAGCGGACACCTCTCCTTGTGCGGTCATCGCCGCTGTTAACCAACGCCTTGAACAGACCAGCAGGAACGGTATTGTTCGAAACTGGGTGTTTGAAGTCCAGAGGAATCGGGGCACGTTTGGGTTTCGTCGCAGAAGGGAGGCTGATCTCCTCAACATGCGCGTTGCTATCGTCAGCTTTGGCGGTGCCCGACTCGTTCACATTCTCGTCCACATCTGGCTGTGGCATGTCCACGGCGTCAGACTCCTTCGGTACCCAAGGCATGTTATTTGCAACAGCAGAGAACCCAGCGAACGTGAAAGGTTGCGCAGATGGGTTGAGTTTGTGGCGCATGTCGCCAGAAAAAGATCCTGAACGACGGCGACGGATACTTTGAGGTGAAGATTTCATGGGGAATCTGAACGAGGACATGCTGTCCCCCTCTTCCACAACAGAGTTATCCGAATCGCGACGTTGCCTCTTTTCTCGGCCTTGCACCTTGAATGGCGTAGACTCTGCCGACTCAAGAACATCCGCAGCTTGGGGTTGAGGGAATGGTGGGACATGTGGCATCTGGGCAAGCGGCATCTGCGGTGCGCCTGGAAGAACGAAGTTGAAGGAACCAGGCTTAAACTCGGGAGCGGCAACATTGAGAGGTTTGCCCAAAGAGGGCAGACGAGTATGTGTCGACACATTCGGTACTGGCATTGGAGGACTTGATAGCGGAAGGTGTTGCCACGAGCCAGATGTCGACTCTCGTGGGGCGCCAAACACGAACGGTTTGGCAAATGGGTTAAGAGACTCTCGCCGACCAGCTGAAAGGGCCGACTGATGGAAACCACCAACGTGGTAGTTGTCCGAGCCATGCCGTGAGTGCGCCATAGCAGGATCGTGGGCTGAGTATTGGCCTGATGTTACTCGGGAATGAGGAAGATGGGGTGCAGGCCCAAAGGTAGACGCTCCAGGATAGTATTCTTCAGTGGCAACGCCGAGTAACTCCGCTCGGTGGCCCATGATAAGATTCTCTTCACTTGGATTCGAGATAATGTCGTCTTCTCTCCGCGAGTGGAATATGTTTGTGTTATCAGGAGGGCGGGGAAAGTTAGGAATGCGTCGAGGTTGGTCGATCTGCTGTTGTTGTGATGTTCTACTACGCATCCGACGCTCGACGCGTTCCTGGCGAGCTCTTTCTTCGTCCGAAGGGTTGGACCATTCACCAATACTCTGATCGAGAAAATGAATAATAAAGAACAAGACAAAGGTAACAAAGGACTCACCTCATCATCAGACGTTTCTGTTCCAAGATATACGTCTTCCGAACCAGTCCACTCCTCAACTGAATCAACCTCCTGTTGCTGCTGCTCTTGGACCTCCTGCTCCTCAGATTCGTCTTGCTGCTCTTCCGGGGGTGATTGCCCATCATTCTCTACGGTGTCTCGCAATTGATTCTGGAAATTGCCACCAACGGTCCGCAAAGATAACGCTGCTGAGAGTTTCGAAACATGACGAGAATGCAATCGACTGTGAGATGCAGTTGTGGTCCCATCGTCGATCTCTACAATCTCGCCATCATATTTCTCCCCCTCCAGTTCCATATCCTGCGTGACATCACCCTCGTTCTCGTTCTCCTCCTCGATGGCTTCCTCTTCAATAGGCTGAACTGCCTCCACCTCTGATTCCTCTTCAGACTCCAAGGGAATATCCAATCCAAATCCACGAGCGAAATCAATTTGGTTCTTGTTGCCTCCTACTGCCGATAGAGGTGCGGGGAAGAAATTCGGAGCCGCTAGTGGAACTCGACCTTGTGGAGCGTGGATTGCATCGCCTGGCGCCTCCGAAATGTCATTGTCGACAGAGCTCAGTGCCCCATTCGGTCCAAAGGTACCAAATGGTGTCGGTGATACGGAGAAGAGCGAAGATTGATAAGAAGGTAGCTGAGCTAATGACATAGTATGGCCGTGGCGGTTGGTCAAGTGGGGACCGCGATTGGGGGAAGGTGAAAGCCCAAAAGGTGCAACAAATGGCGGCTGAGGCGACACAGTCAAAGAATTGCCCGCTGAGCTGCCTTCTTGTGCCTGATGGAGTTTATTCAACTTGAACAACAATAACGCGGGGTCCGCAGGGGATGATATCTGGGATTTCGGTCAACCATGGCGATAGAACACGTGGAATGCATGAGTCGACGTACCGATGCTGCCCGAGCATGGGGTGCATGTATGTGAGGAACATTACTTCCTGAACCACGTTCAACTCCCAACTTCTCCAGTTTCTCCTCGATTGCCTTCTGCTTTATTGCTTCCCAAGCGACCTGTGTAACCAGTCAATAAGCCAGAACAGTTAAACTTTCGTTCCCGAAGTAAATTTACCTTGCCGGGAAGGTAAACGTCAATGGAACTCGGCAGCTCGAGCCTCCAGTTATCCGGAGGGTAAACTTCCGCAGTGGTCGTTTCGACCGGAGCAACCGGTGTATTTTCATACACGAACAGGTTGTCCAGCGGTGATCGAGCCCAGGAAGGACGCGTCGAAGGCTCTCCGTCCTCTCCAAGTATTGTTTCCTTCGGTAGGTTGACAATGACCTTCTTCGTCCTCTGTGGTGGAGCCTGAGCAGCCGCGTTAGCCGGTAGAGGGCTAAGCTTTCGGACAGGTCCGCCCAACACTGCTTTCGGAGGACCGCCAACGCTGAGCTGGCGCCTGTTCCTGTTTGGAAAGGGATGTGACGGTGCTTGAGGCTGGCCGCCTGGAGGAAGCATCATGGATGGCCGGGGAAAATGTGTAGCAACAGGGGTCACAAAGCTGGGTGGGTGGATGCCAGCTGCCGCGAGTTGAAAGCTAGCCTGGTTGGCACGGTGGGTAGGGCGACCGGGGGCGGCTGGCATGATGGGTGGGTTGAAGAATGTCTGCATAGGAGTTTGCAGTGGGTTGTTAGCGGGGAAGGATGGGTGGAAACTCTGCTGCAGGCTGGTTGGCAGGGCAGGTGAGAACAGAGCTGGACCACCCATAGGCTGTTGCATATTGAGATTTGGGGCGATACTGAGCCGCGGTAGATGGTCACGACGTTTTGACATGGCGAACCGGGTGAGATCAGGTTAGGGAGAAAAGCGGAGGTCCCTATGCGTATTTGCTGGCTTCGAGCAGCTGTTGGGATGACTTAAGCTGTCAAAGGCCACAGTAGACAAAAGGAAAGGTATACAAGTGATGTGGGTACACAACAGAGAGTGCCACAAGAGGACCTCTCGTATGTGAGGAGGGAGACTCTCAAGCGACCGCAGAGTTGGCCGGAGAGGAGGATGGGTGGACAAAGCACAAACAACAACGCTGCCTTGACAAAATATTTCCACGTGGGGACACCCATCTTTCTCACAATTCCGGATTAAATTCCGCACTAAAATTTAATTTCTCGGCACCCATAACTCTCCGTTAGAAGTACAAAATGCCAGCTCGACGAGGAGTAACTAGAAGAAATAATATAATGGACTTTCTTACAGTCTTCTCAGAAGTCGAATTGATTTATGGGACATGCCTATTCCTGCATCCTCGAGCCCAGCTCATAAGTTTGACATGAACCCCAGCTTTGAAATCCGCATCTGCTTCGCGCTTTGACGTTACAGTCAAACCCCTCTTAACCCATACCTCTCGTAAGCCATACACCCCCATAACCCATAGGTTTTGGCTGCTACCAAACCGAAATTTACACCAAAATTGACCTCTCATAACCCATAACCTCCCATAACCCATACCCTGGGCCGTCCACCGAGGGGTATGGGTTAAGAGGGGTTCGACTGTACAGCCTTAAACAGTAAGAACAGCCTAGAACCACCAGTTGGCATCAGCGCACAGACCAGTATTTGATGAAGACGGGCGTTGAGGATCAATGGGACTGTCCTTCTCAAGTATGGGTCACCCCCGCGACTTTTGGGGAAACACGCAAAGCCAGATGCTCCTTGGATTCGCGCTTTGGACGTAAGTACCAAGCGTGGTCGTAGCAGACAAGGAGGGGACGCGTGACTGTACGCGTCGATATGTGACAGACTACCGGATTCGGAGCATCGGCATTTCAAACCGAAGAGGCTGCATGAAATTTAAAACAGCTCTTTCCCCGCACCTACACCGTTCCCCGCACCGTCCAGCTCATGTCGCTCTCCTACCTGCGCTACTTGCGCACGTCCTCCCCTTCAATCATCCATGCCGCCCCTCTGAGAGCCGGTGTATGGCGAAAAGTGCCGATCTGCCTTCGATCTCTGAGCTCGCTATCTAAACAGCAGGCGAAACTTGCAGATATCGATGTACGCACCAGATTTCTTGATCGTCCCCAACTCTTTTCTTACTCGTCCATATTTGGATCCATAGCCCTCACGGCTTGAAGTTATTCGAACGTCAAAACCGAAGGAAATTCCACCTTCGTCCTCTCTCAAATTCGGGCACACATTTGTGAGTCATATTCGTCCCGTTACAACATCGGTATTCTAAGCCACACGATTCTTCCGCAGACTGACCATATGTTGACTATTCCTTGGACCGTGGAAGCAGGATGGGGAGCCCCACAAATCAGGCCCTGTAAGCTCCCTCATCTGTTTTGCAGCACGACCTGATTCGTGATCTCTCCAGACGGCCCTCTTGAGCTCGAACCTAGTTCAACCGTCCTCCATTATGCTCAGACCATCTTTGAGGGTATGAAGGCATACCAAGATCCGAACGGGCGCGTGACCCTCTTCCGGCCTGACATGAACATGAAGCGCATGAACACCAGCGCCCACCGCATTGCCTTACCCGTATGCTTAGCCCATATTGCTCCATCAAGCATGCCTCACATTCCGCTAGAATTTCGACGGAGATGCTCTGCTTGAACTTATCAAGAAACTCATCTGGATTGACAAGAGTTGGATTCCTCGCGAGCCAGGACATAGTCTATACGTCCGTCCTACACTTAGTAGCTTCATTCCTTTGGCACAGGTGCTCAATCGTTAACATTCTTCGTGTGCAGTTGGAAATCAACGCGCGATTGGAGTGGCTCCTCCTAATGAGGCACTTCTGTTCGTTATCCTCAGCCCCGTCGGACCATACTACCCCAACGGCTTCAAACCCGTGTCACTTTATGGAACCACGGAGTATGTCAGAGCTTCTCCTGGAGGTATGTTGTTATGCTGTCCGTACGTCATCTCTTATCTTTCCGCCTCCTATAGGCACCGGCGCATTCAAACTTGGAGTGAACTATGCTCCTGGCATCCTTCCTCAAAAGCACGCTGCTGGGCAAGGATACGACCAGAATCTATGGCTTCACGGACCAGAACATTACCTGACAGAGGTTGGCACGATGAACATGTTCGTGGTGTTCAACAAGGACGGAGGTGAGACGTTGGTCTGACCCTGCCCAAAAACATCCTAGTCTGACTCCTCGTTACTCTCAGGCTACGAGCTCGTAACACCCCCTCTTGACGGCATGATTCTTCCGGGTGTAACGCGCGACTCCGTGCTGACACTCGCGCGCGAACATGCGTCTGGCGTCAAGACCATTCCTGGCCTGCCCAAGAACATCACCGTGTCCGAGCGACCAGTAACGATGAAGGAGGTCAAGGAAGCGTCCAAGTCCGGCAGGCTTGCGGAACTCTTCGGCGCTGGTAAGCTGCTTAAATTCCCATCGAAGTTCTTACTCATCTGAACCTGCTCCTTAGGTACTGCGGCCGTCATTAGCCCGGTAGACAAGATTGGGTACCTCGGCGAGGACGTGCATATCCCCACAGGATCGGACGGCATGGGTCCCATCTCGCGTCCTATTTGGACCGAATTAGTCGGTCGCCAGACAGGCACCATCCCCAGCGGCTGGAGTATCGTCGTCGATTAGACGCACACGAATTTACTGACATCTACTAACCATCATCTTACTTGCATTTGATGCATATCTGCTCACGTCTTTTTGTTGACATCTACGCGGGTCGGGATTCTTGTGGGCTGAGGAAGGCGTTCACTAGACCAGATTATATGTCTAGACATTTTGTTTCTCAATGTATCAGCCGTCTGATGTTGCTTCGGCTCTCCAGCTCTGCATTTTCCAAACGGGCAACTTGTCAGCTATGGCACTTAAACTTCCGGTCTTCCGGCATTCCTCAAGCGCCCTGCTAGGACGAAGATAACCCAACCTGGCGGTGCTTCTCGACGCATGTTTCAAACCCCAGTCACCAATTGCATTGGGCGCGAAGCACCTGTCAGCCCTCTGTTTCCTTCAAATAAGAATGATAATCGACTGTCAATATACCGGATACTTAACACGAGGCAACCCCACGACAGGATGAATGACACCCATGGTGGGTGTGAATGGGCTTTATCTACCCTTATACTAGGTAATAAAATCTAAAGATCTCATCACCGCTCAGCACCTTCAGAATCCGAGCTGATATTTAGTGCTTAGATCCGATGGAGAGTCGATCCCTCTCCCATCGCCAGCACCAGCATGCCACGCAGCCCTCCCATCATCCACGAAGAATATGACAGTGACGATTGGGAATCCGAGTCCGATGGTGAAAGATCGCAAGACGCTACAGGCATTGCAATCCCTCAGCTGCTGCCAGTCCCTGCGACACTCGCGAAACCCGGCGATAGCCTCTGCGACACTTGCAAATCCCTCAACCTCAGCGCGAAACGATTCGTCGTATTCCCAAGCGACAACCTGAAGGCCAATAAGCCGGACGATCCCAACATGCACTTGGGGCTCGTCGTCGACATCCGAAGGAAGTCCCATTGCCCATTCTGCCGACTCGTTCTCAGAGCTCTAGGTCCAAACCTCCCGACGATGGTTGACGGAAAGCCCGTAGAGGTCACCATGAGCTGGAACACAGAGGGCCCAATTCCCGACCCTAACCAGCCATGGCACCACATACCCCAAATCCGCGTCCTCAGGCCGTACGCGCAGAAGAAGGGAGGCGGATATTTTGGAGGTCCGAATATGCTCAACATGTTCCCAGAAATTACGCTTCTTGCGAACGACGCTCCTACCCCTTCCAAGACGTTCTTCCTCCGCCTGCTCAACAATCAAATCGATTTTGCGATGGTGCGCAACTGGCTGACCATGTGTGAGACCTGGCATGGGGGTCACTGCACCAGCAAGGCGGACATGCTCGACAAAGACCTAAGTGACCCAGCGACAGAGATACCATCGTTTCGTGTGATCGACGTCGTGGACAACTGCATCATACCAGCTCCCAACAAGTGCAAGTACGCCGTCTTGAGCTATGTTTGGGGGAAGATAGACCCGAGCACCATTCTGCGAAACCTCAAGAACGTTGTCAACGAACTGGAGAAACCTGGCGCGCTTGTGTCGGAAGAAAACTACGATCGGATTCCGATAACGATTCGGGATGCGATGTGGGTGACAAGAGAGTTGGGACTCCGATACCTCTGGGTCGATAGCTTGTGCATTGTTCAGGACGACAGCGAGCAAGGAGGAAGCAAGATGCAGGCCATAGCAAAGATGGGCCTCGTCTACGGTGCCGCGTACATAACAATCATAGCCGGGACGGGAACCGATGCCAACGCTGGCCTTCCTGGGGTGCATGCAGATAGCCGCGGTGTCGATCAGGCAGTGGAAGAACTCCTTCCAGGCCTTAGGTTGGGCTTTAAACCGAAGTGGCAAGACCACATCCCAGGTGCAACATACTTCACGCGGGCCTGGACGTGAGTGGTTGCTTGTTTTCTGTTTGAGTTCAGCACTGATATATCATTGTGAAGATTTCAAGAACAGCAGTTTTCGAGGCGCAGCCTTGTGTTTATCGGAGGACAGGTAGTTTTCAGGTGTATGCAGACGGATCAGTGGCGAGAGGATGTTGTCTTCGAGGAACGACGCAGCAGATATGGAAGTACCGCACGCAGCGCACGGGATACCGACGATATAGGAAAGTATGAGGGGTTGCTTCAATCGTACTCTGGCCTCTCCATCACGTTTGAAAGCGACATTTACCATGCATTCGCTGGTATGATTCGCTTCATCCAAAGGGAGCTGAAGGCAAATCTCGTTCACGGACTTGCGGACGCGTATTTCGACTGGTCCCTTCTCTGGACTGCACTGGCCCCTCAAGAGCGCAGAAATTGGGCCCCAAGTTGGTCCTGGTCTGGCTGGAAAGGCCAGTCGTGGCCGCACATGTGGGACTGGTACAGCCGCAGCATCGCTAGAATTCGCAAGGCACAAAGGAAACGCACATGGATAATCTGGTACCAACGCAAGGCACATGACTCCGAAGAGTATGTTCGAGTTTGGGGGCCCAAGAAATTTTCTTCGGCTCCATCAGGCCCTAGAAACTTCTACGGCGCTCATGTACAGGACCGCTTCCCATTCGATTGCACTCAGACTCTTCCAACACGGCGCAGGTTGGTCGCTGCGCCGGCTTACATCGAGGATACATACAATCCTGCTCCAGGCTCCGGTTTCTTGCAGTTCTGGACCGTCTCCGTTACGTTCAAAGTCGGGAAATCGGTGAGCAAAGAAACCAAGAGGGGTCCGGAAAACACGCATATCCGTGCTGGCATTTTCGGTCGGGATGGGCGTGAAGTTGGCATCGCCTTTGTGCACCCCGATTGGTTCAAAGCTAACATTTCGAAGAGCCATGAATTTATCCTTTTGTGCGAGGGGCGAGATGTACGCGCGGATAACGGCAGGATGGATGACGAGCCGGGGTGGAAGTACAAGATGATGCTGATTGAATGGCACGGAGAGTGGGCAGAGCGTGTGTCGCTGGGGTCAATTGAGAAACACGATTTGACTCAGGCGCTAGCACCTGGACCGGTATGGAAGGAAATCATTTTGGGGTAGGTAATTGGGTCACGGCGTCTCAGCGGCTGCCCGAAGGTTTGTGAGCTGAAGGCTAGTGAGTTGTAGAGTATAACGATATGTGTTCGGGACCCATCCGATATTACGTGCTAAATTGATACGTCAGTAACTCTGAAATACAGACCAAAGGTTCAGAAGACGAAGAGAAATGCGCCACCATGAAGAATCTGTTCAATCAGGATCGCACCTTCTTGCTTCCTCGCTGATGACCTCGACCACTGTCTTCGCAGGGATGGTCTTCCAGTCATGGACACGAGTGCTGAACTCCCGAAATTCTGCGGCTGCTAAAACGATGTGCATATGAAGGTGTCCGATGCTCGCCTCTGGTGCAGGATGAAATCCGAAGACGAATGATCTGTCGTCCTTGGAGGCCCTGAGTTCGCGCAATCTCCTGGCAAATTTCTCGGTCGAGACTAACACATCCTTCATTACGGATTGGAACTCATTAGTTGAGGTTTGAGATTTGAGGGTATCCATGACAGAAGCAGCTCGTCGTTCTACTGCCTCCTTCAGCCACCACGAAATCTTGCTTCTGGACTCAGGACTTTCCCAGAACTGCCAAAAGTGAGCAATCATTTCTTCGATGATGGCAGGGTCTTCAAGGGAGACAGCATTGTAGACTGAACAAATGCATCTACCGTTGAACGCCATTTTTTCGGTAAGGGAAATAGCGTACCTCTCTTCTTTGGAATGGCTAAGAGGTGCACATATGACATTCCGGCAGAGGAAGTTCGGTCCTTACTATCGCGGTCCCATTTCGCAAGATATTGACGAGTGTCGTGGCTTGCAGCATTCCCGATGATGAACGAATCCTCACTCTCCGAAAGAACTTGATCAGGGTAGTTTTTGGCGAAACCCTGACATCCCAAGGTCAGAAGATCACACCGGCGATGCGGGGACGCCTACCGTGAAGAATGTATCAGACTTCCTCCAATGAGATTGACCTCCGGGAGTTTCCCTTCCTATTAGAGTGGGAGGAATGAATCCTTCCCTGTCGCATATTCAGTCAATGAGCAAACGACACTAGAATTCAACTCACAAAACGGTGTAGTCGTGCGTATCATCCTGGCGTGCGTAGGCCTCAAGGTCACCCGCCGAAGCTGGGTCTTTCCAAAACTCCTGCCGTTTCAGGAGGAACAGTTCTTTCAGCTCTGAGTCGGAATGGGCAGAGCTATGCATCAGGATCCAAGGACGCCACTTGTTGCTCAATGGCAAACTTTCAGTCTGAGAGGCAGGGAAGGGAATCGCAAATAGTAAGGCTGACGGCAGGGGTCATATACCCTCCAGCCGTGGATGGTGCATACTTATGTAGTCAAACATCAACTTTTAGATTATGTAAACGTAAACCCCTTCGCTGCTCGCACCAGGATTACTTAGCTCCTAACCAACGGCTCAGGACGTCCTTCCATGTTCCGTGCCTCCCTAGCACGCAAAACGCACTGGGTCATATGTGTTGCGACACTTATTTGATTGGTAGGAGCCCCCCGTTTTCAATTGGATGTCGTCGCCCAGTGCTGGTGATTAGCTTGCGCACACAGGCCCTCAGCTCTCCTCAGCTGCTGCCAGTTATGGCAGACTATAAACAGACAAGCAGTTCGACAGCAGATCAAATTGGCCTTAAAAATGGAGACCGAAATCCTAGTGCTCGCGCGTCAACCAACTCAACCGATGCTTCAAGCATATCTGAGTCGTCATGCACCCCCGGCTACATGAAGCTAGAAAAGAGAACTTCACTATTAATCCAGCAACCTAAAGTAATATGGGTCTTCAGAAGTTTCTTAGTCGGTTGCCTCCAAATTTCAACGAAGTCACCTACTTGCCGCCGCTCCTGGATCGCACATAGATTGACGTTAGGTACTGTTAGAATTCCTTGATCAAAAGTTTACTTACGACCAACATCGACCACAGGCCCAGTAGGAACGGAAGGGCTCCTCCTTACTACCATGTATGCTGGCATGGTGCCTAGAAGAGAAGATGAGATCGACGCAATTTCTTAGGGAAGGAATTGTCCTCACCAACGGCGTAGGCCTGGTTGCCGTCGGTCCACAATATCTCGCCGTTGTAAGTGCCGCGGATAGACTCAGGATACACAGACCAGTCTATGATATATCAATCAGCTAGGACCTTGAATGTGATTCCCAGCTGCATTAAACGCTTACCACCATTCGTAATGCATTGCAGCCTCCTGGTGAAATTTCGGTAGGGATCGCTGCTGCCAGTGTTTTCGCAGTGGTAGGTGCTTTGGTCATCGTCTTCGAATTCACTCTCGCTGCTGCTTTCTTCTTCTTCGGAATCTTCTTCGGCGTCTTCGCTGTCGTCCCCATTTCCGGAACTGTTCTCATCGTCTTCATCATCGTTGTCGCTGTCGTTGCGGATTTCGGCAAAGGTTAGAGGTTTCTTCTTCCTGAGCCCAACATTTAGATCATCGATGACGTCTTCATCATCTAAGGCAGTGTCTGCGCCTTCATACGCGTAGGCTTCATAGTCACTAGGATCCAAGGATAGGTCGTCGCTCAGTATTTGCTGTTTCAGCTGGTCAATGGTCTGCCGTTTGAGAGGATACCACGCCAGATCATGATTCTTTTTGTCATACGCCAAGGAGCTGAGATTGTGGCTGTTTCCGTTCTTGTCAAGAACCTGAATCCAGACTGTGTTTTACGATCAATATCCAATTGCAAAAGTTTAATCGAAGTACTCACATCCCTTTACCCCAGGGAATAGAGGGTAGTCATCGCGGCTGGGACCCATGAGTACCTGGTGTTATCGATAACCCGTCAGTGAGGGTAACAGATGTGCATATCCAATCAGATGCACTCTGAATTTATCTCAGGAGAATCCGCACACCATTGATTCCAGGGTCGGACTCTGGAAATACCATATCGGCGCTGTGCAGGAAAAACGCCGGAAAAGGTGAAATGGAAGCGATTGGAGAAGTCACTCTGCCTTTCAAGAAAAGGGGTGAGTAAATATAAAGTAGCCCGGAGTTATTTTTTTCTCTAAAGCACGTTCAGATATTATCACCCCCTTCTTACACCTCTATGGAGATGTTGGACAAATTTATGCTATTGTAGAGCATTACAGCGTGAGACAACTCAAATAAATTAAACACAGGAGCACCAAATAGTACAGCTATCGTACAGCTAAAACGAAACTAGAGGATTGAGACTGTACTACTTAGTAAGTCGATGGTATGCGTGCTCCGTTGAGCGCTTGGGCGCCATTTCCGATTTTGGAAATGGGCGCCTGATGGCCGAGATGTCCTCCTTGCTGCTATACCACGGCCTCGATTTTAGGCCAATGGATATTTTTGAAATCATGTCCTAAACTTCCAGAGAAGTGGAGCGATTACAGACGGCACGGTGTTTTTGCCCTTGAAAGCCACGGACCCCAAACGGACTTTATTTGTTGGCGAGGGCATCCGCATTCGCGATATGGATACCAACGGCCAGGACACAGAGAATGGAAGTCCGATGATCTTCCATTGTGCTCAACGATTGATTGATGTGGAGACCCACCCCACCTCCGACAAGCATGGAGACAGGTGGAAGGGAAGAGTTGTCTGCCTTTACGTCTTATTTTAGGCGCCTATCCCGGGCGCCTCATATGTTTTCCGCATATGCCTCGTCTTTCAAACATTCCGGATGTCAGAATCGGAGTGAGAGTCTGACGTGAATACAAACAACCGGTTGCAATTCCTAACGGTCTAGTCTAGAACCAGGGGCTCGCAGTACAGATGACAATGTATGATAGGCTTTCAAACAATCTCCACATCACCGCCTCGTTCAGCATGACACCGCATGCATGTCTTTATGGTATGTTGCTCCCGTGTCAGAACACATTAATTCGAATTATGTAATCCGAACAGAATTCGGTCTCTTGTGCCTCAATCCAACTAGGGCGACAACAGGCACCACTGTGTTCAGTGGGTGTTATCAACCTGGCAGACAATTGACGGGAGGATTGAATGATTTCTCCGATTATTAAACGCTCAGGCATTGAGTAGAAGTAGAAGTTTGACTATCTACACGCACCAGGCTACCCCGCATCTCACCCATTCGTCATGAGTGCGTGTCTTTCCATTTCGATGAACAACTTGTATCTTACCACGAAAATAGCACTGAAAATTCCCCTCGAAAATTCCTCTTTCAACCTAGATGTGTCCGGTATTGCAGGTTTCTTTGGAAGAATCCTTCGCGGCCATGTCGAGCGTCCACCTTGTCCGTGGTCGACGATGGCTCGGCTGGTATAACTCGCCCGGGAGCTATTACGTCGCGAAGAAATACGGAGTCCTCGCCAAATCCAGGGTCTGGGATGGCCTGTATCCTGGAGTAAACGTCGACCCGACGACAATGTTGGAATTGGACGGAAAAGTCGGTCCTCGTTACGTAGCAGCCCATTCGGGCACTCGTATGGAAAAAACGGGGCACCTAGCCTATCTGTTGACCAGCCATTACAGTGATCTGGAGGTCGACGAGGTCATACCCGATCCTAGCGCCAAATCGGAGGCGCACATAACGATTGCGTCGTTGGAGGAGTTCAAAGAATTCGAGGGCTACCCCAAACTCCCTGCAGACCACCTTTCACCCTTCGACCCTGTCGCCATTGTTCCCATCGCTTTCAGCGTCGGCGCCTCCGTAATGTGCGCCATTTTCGGGGATTGGTACTGCTTTGCAATGATCATGCTGGGAGTCATCTGCAACGGAGTGTCCTGCTTCGTTATTGGATCGGGGGTCCTTAAAATCAAGCAACCAAACCCTTCACCACACTCACCGCCCGGTGACGGAGTTCTTTTCAATGCGCCAGGATCCCGAGTTGTTTTGTTGAAGGGAAGCGAAAAAATTGTCAGCAGCATTACCAGGGGAAGATTTTACCTGGAGTACGAGAGTCAATCCCAATATCACGATATTGGCTACAGTTCTGTTGCACTTACGATGCAGTTCCTTCTCCAACTCTTCATCGTTCCTCAAGGTCAACTCTTCGGACAAATCATGTTCCTTTCGTCTCTCGGGATCTCCTGGATATTTAACGCATATTTGGCGTCGGTGGACAGGGAGGATTTGCAGAAAAGAATCCTGATGCGGGTTCTCCTGCAGAAGCCGACATTTCGAACCGTCGCACTGCCAAAATGGACGTCGCTTGTTGTGTTTGCTGCCGTCTACCTGCAGGCTAAACCAGAGGGGACAAGGGGATTATTGGAGCAATTGATTCCGAACGACACGGCAGTCTGGAGAACAGTGAAGAGTGCTGTTGTGGAGGCCATCGAGAGAAACGAAGACCCCAGCGCAATTGTGGCCGAACGGAACCTGGACTATCTTGACAAGCGGGAGAGGGGGTTGCTGGAGGACATGATGAAGCAGGCGAGCATTGGATACAACGCAGGGAAGGATTTCAAACTATAGAGGCGGACGATACTTGACGGATACTTTTTTTGCTTAGTACTCTGTTGGGAGTGACTAGTGAATATTTGAATAGTATACGAAGGAGGAAGTGATGCGGTGTCCGTGTGATAGAGTTCAATTGATCCACTTGAGCTAGTTTGATCATTTACATAAACCGCAGATTCTCGAGATGGGTCCAAGCGGGGTAATATCATATCATAAACTATCCAAGCAGACTTCTCTGCGAGCCCACGCTGCCCCTACACAATCTCCGTACATGTAGCCGTCATAAATACAGATGTGGGCTGGTGCTAGCGCGTACCCACCCCATCATGGCACCTGTCCCTCTTGACCCCATACCTCTGGAGAACTCAAAGTTCAACCTCGATATATTCAGCGTAGCTGGCTTCTTCGGTGGCGATGAAGTCGTTGAAGCGATGGCTACTCTTCACCTCTACAAGGGGAGGAAGTGGCGGGGATGGTATAATTCTCCAGGAGCCTACACGGTAGCGAAGCATCTGGGTCGCATAGCTGACTCGCGGTTTTGGAGAGCGCTCTTCCCTGGCGCGTGGCAGGATCCAGCAACGGCCTTCAGTTTGGACGGGAAGAAAGGTCCCAAATACCTCGCAGTCCTCTCCGGGACAGAAATGCCGACAGGCCATGCTGGGTATCTGCTTACAGAATTTGTCAAGAAGCTGGCGGGGAAAGATTTATGGGATCGAGACCATCGTAGGACAGCATCCACGAGCGTCACCATCGTTGATATAAAACGCGTCATCAAGCTCGACAACCTCTCCATTTCAAGTTCCTCCCTTCACCTCCTCATATCATACTTCACCATGCTGAGCAGCATAGCATGTGCCGTGTTCAGCTTCCTCTTCTTCAACGACAAGTTCTGCTTTTCCGCCATCCTCCTTGGCACCCTCATCAGCGGGACGTCGTCGTTAGTGATTGGAACAGGCAGCCTCTCCCTCGAAAGTGTGTTCAAGCCTGCACCAGGCTCTCCGCCTGGCGATGGCGTGTTGCTGGGTCAAAGTTTTATTGTCCTGCGTGGATCCGAAAGCGACGTCAACGCCATTACAAAGGGAAGATTCTGCCTTCACATGACCGACCATCCCTCGTACCGCAACATCGGCATATGCGCATTCCTCTATTTCCTACAGTTTCTAGCACAGCTCTTCCTTATACCGCAAGGAAACCTGCCAGGACAGTTGATGTACCTGGCATCGTTCGTCATAGCCTGGATCAACAATTGCGTAGTCGCCTCGATAGATAAAGAAGAGGTTCAAACAAATTTGCTGGCCGACTCTGTCAAGATGGAAACCACAAAGTTCGCCATGCCCAATCGAACCACGGCGGTCATGTTTACGTGCCTCGCCCTCCGCCGAGCTGCCGACGAGAAGAAATCGTGTCCGGCATACAACGATTTCGTCCCCAAAAAATTGCTCGAGCACCTACTTCCGAACGATACCCGAGTGTGGCAGGAATGGAGGCGCATTGTTTTACAGGTCCTCGAGTCTAAAAGTTCTCCAGAATATTTAACCGGGGCGCTGAATGAACCAGAAATCCAGGAACTTCGATACGATCAACAAGAGCTGCTGAAGACTCTACTGCATGATGCAGATAAAGCCTACAAGAAGTACCAAGAAATCATCAGCAATGGGGGTGTACATAGTGAGCAATGTTCCATCTAAATCCACACTTTCTCTGAAAGGATATTCAGGTTTCATTGCGCCAGAAAGCGCTTCATCAAACGAAAAATTATTTCCCGGCTCTTCAATGTGAAGTATCAATTTCACAGTCGTCGCACCGCTTTAACAACAGAGAAAGGCCAGTATTTTGGCAGGTTGTAAAATATTGGGTTGGCTTTACAATAATATAAATGCGACAAATGAACGGAGGGAAAGTCAAGAACACCCATCCAACTGTCCTCATAGCATGCCCATGCCATCACCCTCATCATCACCACCCCAACCGCTTGCGACGACTTCCTCTTCTTGTAAGTGGGAGAGGTGTATCTCTGGAGACCCGCCAACCTCCGACTCGGGATTGCTCACAGGCACAGACGTATCGCCGTTGGCAGCCTGAGGTTTTGATGCCTTTGTGGTCGTCGAGGTCGTGGCGCTCACTTTGCCTGTGTACCAAGATATTTGGACTGCACCAATGAGAGGAATATTGGAGCCTTTTGATAGTCCCTGAATATAAGAATATTAGCAATGCATTTTCTTTTTGATCGTCCACAGATGAGGCTTGCCTGTTCAGCAGCTGATCTAGACCTGAACGATACGATATATGCGCCGCCTTCAGTGGGTTCCACACTCTCCAACTGGCCAGTTGTCTGAAGTGTACATGATTATGAGTACTGGAACAATCGTCAAACACCACAAAGAAGTACGAACCTCATACCAGTCCCTAAGACCTTGCAGGTTCTCTTCACTGACGCCTTTCACGAGAAGCTTCTTGGGCCGATTATCGAGCTTCATGCTGGCACGAGGAGGCCCGCCACGCATGGCGCCGCGGAAGTAGCCTCTCGGGGCACCCCGCCCTCGTCCGCGATATCCTCCTCTATACGGCGCAGAAGATGAGGGCAGGGAAGAATCCAATCCTAAACTCGCAGCCTGGAGTGAGATGTGTGTCATGATCAGGAATCTCAAAGTTCAAGAAGCAGGTAGAGCGCACACCTCTGCCTTTAACCTCTCCAGCTTGGCGTTCAGCTCCTCCGTCGTGCCTCGTGCCTCCTGCTCAGCAGGGCCACTGTGCATCTCGAGCTCGTTATCTAACCGCTCGCGCTCTGCCTCCTCTGGTTTCTTTAAGGTTATTGAAGGAGTTGTCACAGGTGTAGGCGTGGAGGTGTTCAAACTGGTCATGTCCTCGTTCAACTTTCGTAGCTTGGCCATTATCACCTTCTTTTCGTCCGCCGAGGCCGTGCTGAGAGAAGCCATGAGCGACTTTTGCTCGGTGATCATGCTCTCTAACCGCCGTTGCTTCTCAGCTAAGGCGGACAGAGCAGCAGAGGCAGTAGGCGTTGACGAAGCTTTTCGCGGTGCTGATGTCGCGGTGGAGGGTGCTGCTGTCGAGGAGGATGCAGCAGAAGTTGAAGGTCCCGTAGTGGGTGGTGGCTGAGGTGTATTCGACGAAGATTTGTTGCCCATGTTTGCCACAAGAGGGGCAGATGCCGCCAACATACGCGCACCTACCTGACCATGACCCTCCATTGGTCGATGCCAAAACACCTTGACGAACCGATTCCCGAAGACCGCATCCTCCGACTTCCACGCTGCGTGTGCCTCCTCGTGATCCGAAAAGCTGACCAGCGCCTTCCCGCCCATAGCGTCGATTGCGACATTCGTAACAGTCCCAAACTTCTTGAACCACTCGTTCACCTGCTCTAACGACAGCTTGTCCTCCGGGATCTTCTCTACCACAAGAGTTTTGTCGTTACGTTTTTCTGGTCGGAACTTATGCACCTCGCCGCCGAACGTTCCGCGTCCTCCCCCTCGCCCACCTCGGAAACCACCACGACCCCCACTTGGCGGCCTAGGTGCCGGAGGAACGTTGCTGTCGACCTCCATTGGTGCATTTATCGGCTGATATGGATTGCTGTTCATCCCGTTCATAGCCAGCATGGGGTTGAAACTTGGAAGGTTCTGGGGTGGTATTGGCATATTGAGTTGCTGCATATCCACATCAACCTGCGGTACAGGCTCAGCACGAGGTATGTCCGGTGGAACATTGGGGGTGAGGTCTTGTATCACGGGTAATTCGCCCGAGGCATGGATGGGATGCATAACGCGGCTGCCGTCTTCTTGTTGCACTCGAGGCAAAAGTGGGGCTCGTTGTCGGTTCATAGGCCGCATATCCATCCGCTCGTGAGGATCATATGCAGCACCAGGCATAAATGGCATGCCGTTTGGAGGAAACATGGGCATGAAAGGCATACCCTGTGCACCAGAGAATAATTGGCCTGGCACTACAGCGTCGTCGCCGTGACTGTATTTGCACATCGCACCGCGAGCACAATAGCCATTGTCTGTAGAAATGAGTATTTTACACCTCAAGAAACAATTTTTGTGAACGCACTGTGGTAGTCCCGGCATATACCCCGTTTCTGATCTGGCGGTTGGTATCCCTGCGGCCGTCTCCCGTTCATTGGGGCCATCCCGTTCATCCCCATCGCATTCATAGGCATTCCAAACCCTCCCACACCCATGTTCATCCCCATGCCCCCATCCCTGTACTGCAGCCGATTCCAATTTCCAGAACCCTGACCCATACGACCATCTCCACCACCAATGCTATTTCTCGAAAACTGCCCATCGTTCAGTCTTTGGCCTTTGGTTGGCCGTCCGTCGCGGTCGTCGCCACTGTTATTTCGTTTTCGAGACCTTTCCGACGGTGAGCCTCCTAGGAGTCCTTCAAGTGGAATGGGGATCCCATTGTCGAGGGGTTTTGTGGGAAATGCGGCGGTGGACGACTCGGAGGCGTATGACATATACGATTTCGTTCGTAGTACGGTGAATAGGGTATCGATGAAAGAGGAACATTCTGCTCAGTTGCGATTAGAACCAAAGGACACAGAAACAACCACTCGGCTCCACCTACCTTTTTCGAGGAACTCATCGAGTTGAACCGCGAGTTCCTGACGCATTTCGCTCTCAGGGACATTATGTTTCAGGAGAGCGAGAATGTAATCAGCAAGGGCGCCAGGCTCTGCATCGCATCTGGAGGACAAGTGGAGTAAGATGAGTGGATATCCACAAAATTGAAAAGAAGAAAGCATACATGGGCTCCAGAGTCCTAACAAGCCACGGCTTGAGGTTGGACGAGGATGAAGTATCGAACGCCACAGGTGACATGGAGGGAGTCTATGGAAGAGAGGGCTGTGGTTGTGGTTGCGGGGAGTTGGTAAACTTCCTAAGACTGGGCGTAAAAGTTGATGAGTCAGCATAACCTCGGCGCCTCCCGAACCAATGAGGCAGCACTCAGCTCTCATTCTTTTTATACCCAGCACTTTGAACGGTAAACCTTCAGCTCTTTCACTGGAACAATGATATTGACGAGAATGTAACCACTCAGACCTCAGGACTGACTACTATCCCTTCAAATCCTGACATCTCTGAGAGGGCTGCTCCAATTTACCTTTACTCTTCCGACCAAATCTTCTACGACCATGCATTCGCAAGCACAGAGGATTGTTGGCGTCGGTACAGAAAATAGTATTTCTTGCTCAGCAAAATTTGAAGATGAAACTTCATCGTGGTTTTGGCGAAGTGTTTTATATATCCTTGACACGGTGTGCTCAAATTCACGCATAAATGAAACTATTCATTCGACATCTCTTATTGCATCGCAAATACGGAAACGCGGACAGAGAACGAGGCATCAATAAGTACGAGCAGGGCACATGGGAGAACACATAACATGAACGGAAGAATCATGGCACATTGCCAGACATAAAATAGACAGGTCATCCTGGCGATAAATGTCGCCACGAAGTGGATAATCACGAACGGATAGATGAGCTGAGGTTGAGAGAAAAGTCGGACCAGGATCGCGAGAATCACAGGCTGGTAGGCCATTTGCGCTGTCGCAAGAAGAGACACGATGCGTTCCCGGAGAGTTGGATCTCCGGAACGACAAAGGGCATAACTAGGCACTGTGGTCTGTGGAAGTTCGTGCGTTCAAAAGTGTCGAAGTTTGAGACGGAAAAGTGCAGTATCGCGAAGGCGCTGTAGAAAATACCAAATCTTTGGACACAGAAACTTTCAAACGACATACCATGCTCGAAATGGTCCTCCCCATCGCACCACATGCTGCCCATTGCAACGACTGACGCCGAAAACCCCGCCGCGACCATGTCTTCATCATTTTCACTGTTCTCCATCGGAATTCCTCGAAGTTCCCGAGTCAGCGCCAAGGGTTCCCGAGTCGAAAGCTGACTCGGGAACTCGTCGTCCTTGTGACCAGGTCGTGGGAAAGATGTGAGGTGTCAACGGTGGACAGTGAGGGGGTGCTTCCGAAGTGTTGGCGACGGCCATGGGGTGAAAAGGGATGTACAATCAAATGACGAGAAGACATGGTGATCCTGAGAAGAGTTTAGTTCCGACGGAGTTCCGCGAAGAGAAGCGTGGCCATGGGCAGCGAGCAGGATGGTAGAGGGAAGGGAGAGGTCGGTTGGAAGACGAGAATAAGATGACAAAACCTTGACAAGTGGGGTCAACTGATGAGAGCGAGATGCAGTAGAGAGAGCGCGGTGAGCACGTCCACGTAAGCTGCAGGAGGACGATAGGTGGTAATGGAACCAAGTAGGGTCAATTCATGGACGCACCAAACTGCTACACCAATATGACGCTGCTTAACAGGTGTCCACCAAGAGGGTCCTGGCCTTTCATGCTCTCGCCAAGCTCTAGCAATGAGCGAGAGGAGGCTTGGAAACCGGAAAGGCGCCCTTCGCAGGCTAGAAGAGGGGGAGGAGGGGAGGAGGGAGGAGGGGCGATCGGGGGACGGGGGAAGGAAGGAAAGGACTCATGGAACTGGGCAACGGGGAGTTGAGGCCTTTTATACGTGACGGGGGTTTGTTTTGATGTGATGAGGCCTTTGAGCGTCACGCATTTCTGCGATTGGCTGGAGCTTTGTCGCAGGGACCCCGATCATCTTGAGGCATTTTTCCGAACTCTATTTTTATTCCCGTGCTCTGGAGCCTACGCCAACACAGCGCTCAAAAAACATTTTCCCACCGACTAAACATGCAGGCCCCCTGTCTCCCTATCAATGTCACTTCTTGCACTCCAACCCTGGTAAAGTAAACATCTGAAGAAAAAAAAAATTGTCTCGTTAGGCGCCGTGCGCACAAAATCGTCGATGAGGGGATTATGTACCTCGAAGATCGTCTCAGAGGGTACTCCCCATCCACGGACACCTTCGACACGACTGTCCATCCGACTTCCAAGCATCACACCGACGACAGAGCCACTTTCTTCGTCGATGATCGGACCACCGCTTGAGCCTGCAGTTGGTAGAGGAGTGAATAGCAAATGCGATAAGGCATCATATGTGCCAGGCTTCGTATAGGCAAATAAGTCAGTTTGATAATTCGGCGCATTCTCGATTCGATAACTTACATGAGTCTCACGTCCAGCAAAGTCGCGATATCCTAGGACTCTGCCTTCGACCCACTTACCCCAACTGTCACCAACCCAAGGCCTCCAACCTTTTCCCGCTTGAAACTCGTCATGTAAAACGAAGTGCGCGCGGATGGTGGTATCTCGATGCGCAGGGTACGGGGAAACCGGTAGCGTATTCACCACTCCGGGTGGGATTGAACAGGACAGCAGCAGTAAATCAGACATAGGAAGGCACGATACAACTCTAGAGACGGGATACACGGTGACAGTATCCCCTGTGCCAGCGACGACGAACGTCCCAGACAATTTCTTCATGGGATTGGAATTTCCGGCAAGGAGCAACGGCGACTGCCTGATCTACGCAGCAGGGATCCAGTAATCAAACGCAATGCCTTCAGCGGTAGAAAAATGAAATCACCTCCTCCAATGTGTGTGCACATGTTACAATCAAGGTTTCCCTATCCTTTTCTCGGGCGTTCACCGCAAAGCCCGACGAGAGGGTGATTTTGTGTTCACGGCCGAACTGAGGATAGTGCGCCACAGTGATAACGTCCTTGCAACTATCATGTACATCCTCCAAAAGCGGCCGCCTCGTCGCAGATGGTCGGGACTCGTAGGGAAGCGAGATGTCGAGGACCGTGCCAGCCTTGTCCACATACTGCTTGATGATCTCCTCCAATGTTGTTTGATCTCCCCTGGAAGCCGCCCGGAGAACGTGACTACCCACGCCTGGTGGAACGCCATCTAAGGATTTCTCTCGTGCAGGCTCAGAAGGGTGAGGAACTCCTGGAGCAATAATCAAGGGCGAGACTGTCGCAAATCTCCTTCGCGAGATCACCCGAACAGGCGTTGCAGTGACAGTAAGTCTGGTAAGAACAGGTTTCGATGTACAAGATAGAGCACGTTGAAAACGTCGAAACATCGTCGTGGAAATATGCTCAACCCCCGCAATGATTCAAACTATTTGAGGAGGGTTATGACGTCAATTTGTTGGTAGGCAGTTGGGTGAACCCTGATCAAGAGGCGGGGTAATCAGGCTTTTCGAGTGCATAGTCGAGAGTAAATAAAGGTTCTTACAGAATCTGGTCGCTGGGAACACCCAGGTGTATCAATATAAGAATGGACAGTTGGCGGTTGAGGAGAAAGTGTTTCCAAAGTAGGACGATAAGTTACAAGGAGATATATAGTTGCCGGTAAGCTACCGGGGCTGCCAACATGCAGAGCTTGTTCAACCACGTCCAACATATCTCTGCTTTTCATACTCCTTCCATAAAGCCTTCAGCGTCGCCTTACCACCGGCGTCAAGAGCAGAGACCATCAATGCGTCTCGGCTATGTTCGCTCATCATCCCACAAAGCACGAATAACCCAGACTCCAACTCCTGCCTCACCTCCAATGACAGGACACACAACGGGTCATTCATGGCTTCGATGTACGCCTTCAAGACATACGCAGCATGCTTGGAGAATGGCCTCGCCAGAGACTCCGCTTTTTGTGTTTCGAGGATAGATGATGTCGGCAGCCGCATTGTTGTCTTCGTGGTCAAACTCTCCAATAGGCGTCCAAGTGCCTTTGCTTCCTCTGGTCCTAGAGCTTTCACAGAGCTTATCCACCGCGGCTGTGTGTTCATCACGAGAGATAGCTGCTTTGGCCCAAGGTGTGGACGGCATGCACGCAAAGAAAGGAGGAGCTGACGGAGGATGAATCCCAGGTGAGGAAGTGAGAGGGTAACCAGGTCGCGTCGGAGCCGTATGAGAGGACTAATGGTCATGATGATATGCTGGAATATTTCTGGCTGAGTCGCCTCGTCGTGGTCTTTCGAAGGCGCCAGGAATTTGGATATGAGCAACCATATTCCAGCTACATCCAAGGAACGCAATGCCGCTTGCTGAAAATAGTGCGTTCAGCCTCAAGGAGCGTTAAATGGCCACATGGACAAACCTGATCTGCACAATGCTGGGCCACCATGTCGAGAACCTGCAGGCGTAAGGTTTGTGGTCCTTCCACGAATACCGAATGGCCGGTGAAAATTCCAATGCACTTCGTCATAAACTTTTGGGTGTGGACCAAGGAATCTAAACACGGCCAAGTCAGAAGACCAAGTGCAGCCCGATAAGATCATGGACGCACACGAAGGATGTTCTCGAACAAGTAGGGAAGCCAGTTGCACTAGGTGCCTTAGCTGACCGTCAGGATTCGCGTTTGGGGTGGACAGGAAATCGGAAACAGTGGAGAGAAGGCGAATATAGTCTGAAAGGACTATCTTGCGGCAGATCTTCGCCAGGTATGTGCCCATTCTACTGAGACCTGTAAGACTGTGAGTCGACGCATGGTGTGTTACGCCTCGCACAACGTACTGTCGACTCGGAGGACCTCAGCAAAAGCAATATGTGTTGCGACAATGGCATCCAAATGATCCTCGCGGTCCGCTTCTGCCTTGTGGTCGACTTCTTGTAGGAGGATGGAGTGCGCGATGAGGCAGAGCTCATCAACTTGTATGTTCCGCTCTACAGGCTGTGCCTTTATAGAAGAAATCGACATTGCGGCAAGATATCTGCCAATGCACGGAAGTGCTAGCATCAAAAGTCTGTAAAGGTGAACCGTCCGTGTTATCAGAGACTAAATACGTACTCGTCATTCCCGAAGATCCCAGCCACTTATCAAGACAGAGTAAACTATGCCATCCAGTGACCAAATTCACCAGATTCGAGATGTTAGCTTGCTGGATCCTCTTTGCGGTGAAGCTGCTGATGTGCAGCAACAGCGGCGACGATATGGTGTTATAGAGTCTACGGAGGTCAGCACGCACCGACTCGTGCATACTGTTAGGCAGCATTAGCTTTCTGCAATGTATACAAACACACCAACTGGCCTATGAACCGAAAAGTCGCGGGTGAGAATGTCAACCAGTCTTGTGAAGCTTGAAGATGTGATTCCAGGTGCCATGACGAAAATTTCTGCATTGTAGGCTGCTAATACGTTCTGCAATGCCGAGGGATTCTTAGAAGACCCTTTCAGAAGTTTCCTGTGTCTGAACGTGAGATTAAGACGTTTAGATAAGCGATCACTCCGCTTACATGAAATATATATCTGTGAGGTCCAGTGTGACTCGAATGAACTCGTCTCGGAATCGTTCATTCTGGGTATGCCTTTCGTTCAAGAAATGCAACACGTCTGTTGATTGATCTTGAATCTGGATAACCATGAGCAGAAGCATAGCCAATTTCTTCTCTTCATACTTACAGGTTCCTGCCCCCGCGACCCACTGTAGGCGTACGCCCTCTTCAAGAAGACGCGTAGAAGGATTAAAGCCTCCACCGTCGCGTCTCCTACGCTGGATGGCGGCTGGGTCAAGGCGAAATCGGCCTGTAGTGCATATTTAGTGAGGTGGCCCAGAGTCCGCGGCGAGAAATAGTCGACTGGGAAAAACAAGAAGAGTCGGTAGATTGAAGCCTTCTCCAGTATTGCGGATATTTTTTTGGGTTTAGAATCAACGTTGTCTAGAGGCGCCGTCGTTTCCCGCAGGAGATCAACGAACACGTCTAAAACAACATCAAACACTCGGCCTTCACAGAACACGACTGGACTTACCGCGGATGTTTCGGAACTCCCAGAATTGGGCAGAATGCAGAAGCTGTATCAGGAGGTCTTCTGGTAACATAATCCGGCCTGAACGAGAGGTCACCGAGAGATTGATGGCCATGACAAGTTTGAGTAGTCGTTTCAATTGTTCGGTCGATGCGAGGCGACTAAGCTATGATGAGTATTGCGAAGGGGAGAAGGGTACTTTTCATGCTCACTCAACGTCAGGAAGCCACCGGTCGAAGACCATATGTAGAATTGCGAACGCTGATTCGCTCCTTCCAGGTGCACTGTTTGTCAAATGATAGCTCTGGCCAGACCAGTGAACATGGGAAGGAGAGAAATGTTTCTCTAGGTGATCTAACATCTTGTCGATGGTCTCCTCGTGGTCCGATTCTTCCTTGAACGACATGCAATAAAATAATGCACGAAACTGGAAGGTGGAGGGTCAGGATGAGTGTCATCTGAGAATGCACGCGGCGTACTAATTCGAGAGTCAGCTCGGGGAGTTGTCCGTCTTGGGCAACCAATGACAGTATTTTGGCTTGGATTTCGGCGTCGATGTGACTGGATAGGGACAAGTCCCCTGAGATGCCAAGAGCATAGAGGAATCGCAGGTTGGCTACCAAAGATACTTCTGGAGCCCAGACGTCTGTGTCTTCCCTCTTTTTGAGGCTCTTCAGGGGTTTCGAAATAGAGTGCTCGATGAAGGTGGAACGGAAGTCTTCAAGAGACGTTCGAACTTTTTCCTGGGTGTCAGACGACAGAGACTTGATAGGCAATGAAGATAGCACAACGGAAGCCATACGAGCAACTAATGCGTATGTCACAGCCAATGCTTCACCGCTGCTCGAGTTATCGGCATTCATAGACTTGCGCTTCTTTTTCGGGCTGTCATTGCTGACGTCCTTTTGAGGCAGTTCTCCATAACGTTGCCAGGAGGTCTTGCACACATCGAAGACAAACTGGATCATAGGCAAACATTGAGCTTCAGTCGTAAAAAATTGTAAGGCTTTGGAAAGTCGATGGAGGTGATGATCGTGCATGACCGGACTCGAAAAATAAAGTTGATATGATTCTCGGGCAGAGCCAAAGGGAGCGGACAGAGCTGAAAAAGAGGAGAACAAAGTCTCGATCAACGCCAGTATTGTTCTTGTCTTGACATGGTGTTGCAAAATGGAGTCAAGAAGCAGGAAGTGCGCATCACTGCTAATTTGCACCTATTCAGAAGGTAAGACTGAGAAAGCGGTTGAGAAAACACGATCACCTCAAGGAGACGAGGCAGGACCCGCGGGATAAACGGAGAGAGGAAGTCGTAGTCTATCCGTGCGATTGTTGACAGGCACTGGACACCGAGCGTAGCACACTCCGGCGCCTCTGTTACGAGAGATTTGGTGAACGATCCCTTTCCAAGCAATGGAGAAGAATCTCACCCTTCCGACTATCGTCGAGGACGGCCACGATGCTTTCCATGATGTGATTGAAGGAAACCTGGGCATCCTTTTGCTGCCGATCGAAAAGATTCTCCTGGTCCACCGCTTGCAAAAGCGCAAACTTCGTTTCCCAAACAAGCTGGTCTGGATTTCCTCCTTCTACAACTCCCATGAATGAAGTAAAAGCAGTGATACCAAACTGCCGCAGTTCGTTGAGAGATCCACCAGGTCGGCCTTGTGAGCTTTGACTGAAAAGAGCTCCACGGTGCCTTGTAAGTGCAGCAATATAATCCCGGTAGAGGACTGGGATCAAGCGAAGAACCAATTCTCGGTTCTCGAGAGAGATCGCACACAGTTGTTGAAGGAGGTTATTTTCGGCCTTCGCGCTTGCATCATGCTGGTGGCGCAAAATATCGAGGTTGAAAAGGATTTTCGTACCGGCCTCGTGAATGAGAGCCGTAAGTTCGACGTCGAATACAGGTTCTTGAGGTGCAATACATCTAAGCCACGATCCAAGATGGGCTTGTAGGAAGGATTGGTGAAGCTACTTTAAATCGTCAATAGAAAATACCAGGCAATGCACGATTAGTGCCAACCTTTCTCTTATTTGATGAATTGACCAAATAACTGCGATAGGATGAGGCCACAATGTGCCCAATTCCGTGTATCCCTCTGGATGTTGTTCCCGGTCGTTGCATCAGCAGTGCCCCAAAACATTCTTGTAAGAGTTCGACGCTCATCCGTTGAAGCGCGACGGGCCAGAGGATCGAAAGGGAGGCGCTGACCACGTCGGCGAGGTCATCCTTGTTATCCACTTGCGTGTCGTTGAAAGAATCAAGGAAAGCGGCAACTACTGGGCCTTGTGGAATCCGGTGAAGTAACGGCGTTAACCAAGTTTTCACGGAGCGAGTCTCTTCGGAGAGTTGGTGGGCGATGATACCAAGGGTAAGTTGCCAATATCGCGCGTCAAAGATAGGGTTTGAAGAGCTTTTTCCTTCTCATTAGACGAACTAGACAAAAAGACAAATGTAAACGCACGTCTCTCCCCCCTTCTCCTTCAGAAATTTGCCTAGAACCCACTCAGCAATGATTTCCCCCTTGTTTGGAACGTAAAACTTTTGGTTATTCCACGCTTCTTGAGCGATCTCAAGCTTACATGGCCCTCCTGCTACCGGCGGATCCGACGCAGATTTGAGTGTTCGAACAAATTCTTGAGATGAGCGAAAATTCGTCGCAAGGTTGATTTCGGACATGAGGCCTTGAGGACGAACTTCGAAGTCCCTAACCCTGATTTTGGGTTGTCCTTGGGCAGCAGTTTCTGTTTGGTTCTCACCTCCTTGTCACTTGCGTCCTTGCGTGGCAGAACGCGAACCTCTACAAGCAGACGCTATGACTAGCTGCGTGTGCGAAGTGCCTCCTGCTTGACCGTCGATCTATTTCGAGTCATTCTTGCTGAGTCTGACTAATTCCTAACCCACAAGAAGTTCTTTTGTGAACGGGGACGACCATGGCCCCAGTTTATGACAGTCATATTGACATTGAAGGCTGTCGCTCGATGCAAAAGGAGGAGTTCGAAGTGCTAGAGGTACGTTTCTGGTCCTTCTGGACTGTAACTCAGCTCAACATCCTCGATTTGTGTCTTTAACAGTCTATTTACCCAGAATACATCTCTAGTCAGACCCAGGAGGCCATCATAAGACTAGAAGTTCCCGTCGAATTCGGCAGCTCTACATCAGTAATAATCTCAGAACCTCCTTCCCCCCAGCGATCTGCCCACGAACTCTCGACGAAGAAGCCAACGGTCCAAACCGTCTCACTAGCCGTGCTACCCCCTCTTCTGCTTCATATCGCTCTACCACCTTCCTATCCTTTATTTGACCCTCCTCGAATTAACTCTATCCGAGCAACACATGTCTGGTTGCCAAACGCCACGTTATTACTCCACGAAGCACTTGTCGAGATGTGGCAAGCGGGCGAACCTGTCCTTTATAACTGGATAGAGTACATCCGGACTGGGGAGTTCCTAGCGAAGCTGAACCTAAGGTCTTCAAGCCACGATGACCTTGTTCTGTGAGTGGAACAAAGCAACTCCTTTCCGCCAGCCTTTGTTCATCGATAATTTCCAGCCTCTCTCACCCGGCGCCGAGAGTGCTAACCCCGCTCTTAATAGCGTACGACGAGTCATCACAGTCTAATCGATTCTCCCAGAATTCTTTTCCATGCTCCATCTGTCTTACCTGCTTGAAAGGATCCAAGTGCTTGCAATTGGCATGCAAACACATATTTTGTCGTTCATGCCTTGAAGACTTTTGGAACATGTGCATCGAGGAAGGGGACATAAGTCGTGTCGGATGTGCTGACCAGGAGTGCGTGAAGAAAGGAAGTGAAGCAAATGAAGAGGACGTCGCCAGGATTGTCTCCCAAGCTAACTTGGAGAGGTGGAGATGGCTCAAGGAGAAACGATCCTACGAACGAGGTATGTAGCCTGAACATTTCGGACGTCTCTTTCGAAGATTTACCTGCCCCTACTCTCAGATCCTACGATCGTGCACTGTCCTGTTGCCGTCTGTCAAGCACCTGTTCCTAAACCCAGTGATGTCGAGAGTGAATCGGGTTGGAATAGATTGAGGGAATGCCCTCGGTGTAATTTCACTTTCTGTGCCTTTTGTAGACGCACATGGTAAGCGTTGTGCATGTGTTCCATGGATCTCACTCGCCCAAGAGGCTTCTACAGGCATGGCCCCCTTGATAAATGCCCTATTGCACAGTATGAAGATCTTGCGTTGGAATACATCAATGCGAAAGAGGGCAGCGCATCACGCTCGACACTTGAGTGGCGATTCGGCAGGGCCAACATTCTGCGACTGGTCGCGACCTATCGAGAAGAGAAAGCTAATCTGGAGTGGTTCAAGTCTTCCACGACGATGTGTCCTGGTTGTCGATGTTTCATCGAGAAGACGATGGGGTGCAATCATGTTAGTAGACTCCCGGGCGCCTACGTTTTCCAGAACGCTGATTGCGCGTTGCAGATGACGTGCTGGAAGTGTTCGCAGCATTTCTGCTATCGCTGTGGAGATCGCCTGAATCCCGACCATCCATACACGCATTTCTCGAATGCGCAAACGCCCTGTTACAACCAGCTGTTCGACGTCATCGACGTTGATCCAGAGGATTGGGAGCCTATTGTAGAATAGCAGGCTAGGCAGACAAATCGAGTGCAGGGTCTCGCATAGATTGGTGTGAAAGTGAAACCAAGGCCAGTTGCCGGGGCAACGGCGTGGTGGTCTCAGAGCTTGGAGAGAAAATGAATGGAGGTGAATCTGGGTTATGTCATGAAATTGAAAGCCCGCGCGGTATGTTTTTGTGCCGCGCCCTCCGGCTGAGACAGATGTTTCGCGCTGGACTTGTTGCAAATTGTTGTTTTGCTCCTATATATCCTCTTTATATCTTGTCTCTGCTTTTCTCTCTTCGTCTCGTCCCCGCTGTTTAGTCGCCTCCTTCATATTTCCAAAAAGACTGCGCAGGACGACCCGAACATTGATACCAATTCTTGTGTCAATACCCTGCTATCCAACATACCCCCACCGCACGCATATCGTCTTTCACGCCCGACTACCGACACTTTCTATTCATTCGCACACGCCGGACATGGACGTCTACACAACATCTTTTACATATCCACGCCGGTCGCGCCACATTCATTCCCCTGCCTCCTCACTCGACTTCCAGCCCGGCGACCTCAAGCAGCCCTCCCTCATCGATCCCTACCCCACAGCCCCCCAGCTCCAGCATGCAAACCCCGCGGTCTCAGACGTCTCCGTCGCCGCAGACGCAGAGGCCATCCAAAAACTCGCAATGATGGCCATGTCCTTGCACGGTTGCCATGTCTCATATTACATGGTCGACCAAGGCCGCGCGTGGAACTTCCACATCACTGGGGCATATCAGCAGGTCATGATAACTCGTGGGTTGATTCTGAAGGAGTGTCCGGTCCAGGTGTGTTTTCTTTCCGTCATATGCCGTTGCATTCCACTCACTGGTGAGAACAAACAGCATCGCGCAGCCATCAAGGTGACGCGGTCTGAGATCCTCGACTCACCTTTCTCCAAACCAACCCTTAAGCCTGAGGTCCGACGCCGGCTAGACGACATTGCGTCACAAACGTTGGCCCACATCGCCGTCGTCAATAGTCCCCTCGCCCTCTCAAACCGCACTCCACCCGATGGAATTAGCAGCAGTGCTGGCTGGTCAGGACTGGAGACAGAGCGTGTTTGTGAGCTAGTGGTGACTGGCACAGAGGATGCTGTGGATCTTGCTCGAGTTCGTTTGCTGGTCATGCTGGATGAACTCGTACGCACGGATTTCATTGACTCTTGAATTACGTCTCTGACTCGACTTTAGAGCGGTCTGCATTCCGAAGCTTGTGAGATCGATCATAAGCTGCACGCTATTGTTGCTGGTCGAAAACGAAGCGTACTGCAGTCCATTCAAGAAGAGACTGCCACCAACATCTATTACCCTTCGCCCTTGCAGGATCTCATGGGCCCAGACCTCAGTGCGACCAATTCATCCACTGGTGCTCGTAATAGTAATGTTATCTGGATTACCGGCGAGTTCTTCGGGGTCCAACGAGCTCGGGACATGCTCTATCAAGTTTCTGTCAACAAGGTATCCTTTCATGATATGCTTGCACTTCAGTTCTTAATTGACCCCGTTTATCAGAGTAAATCAGTGATTTCAAGGGATACGGCCATACTTCCCCGCAAATTGGATTGGATGGTCACTGATCGTGCCGAAGATTTGAAGACGATCATGAGCGACAACGCGACATTCATCCAATTTCCACCGCTGGGAAGCTCAACGAGCCTAATTACGGTCTATGGCGATCATAGAGTTAACATTCAACGAACGATTCGGTCTATCATGCAACTGGTGAGTCAATACGTTCCGTCGTGGTAACAAGGTCAGTGACGAACATGACGATTAGGCCTGCCAGTACTATGTTGGTTCGTTCTGGCTCCTGCCGGTTCAGTTCAACGCACTCCTTCCGCCTGCCAATCTCAATACGACTGCTATCACCGCTCTGCTCAAGCAGATCTCAATGGCGACTGGTGCGGAGGTCGTATTTAAGAGCATGTGCTTCGAATTACACGGCCTTGAACACGAAGTTCGGGCGGCAGTCAGTATGATTATGGAAGTTGACATCATCAAGGTAAGCCTCCAGTCACTCCGTGGTCATTGGAGGAGTAATAACGCATTACGTAGGCCTTCCACCACGAGATTCGTTTCCAGATCGAACTCTCAAATGAGCACAGAGATTTCATCAGTGGCAAGAAAAATGGCAAAATCAACAAGATCATGCAAACGACCAACGTCAAGATCAAGTTCGAGACGTTCAACGACCACAACTTCCTCATTGACATTGCCGGTCCTGATGGCTCAGTTCTTCAAGGTCTTTCGCTTTTGCAAGAGGAATTGCCTGCTGAGATATCATTCCACGTACCGGAGGGCTATCACAAGCGCATCATTGGTGTCGGCGGCCGCAGCATCCAACGCATCATGAAGAAGTACGGAGTCTACGTCAAATTCTCAAACGCTGAGGAATTCGCTGCTCTCGGCGGCTATAATGACAACGACGATAACGTTGTCGCGCGGACACCAGCGAAAAACGCTATCAATTTGGAACATCTAAAGCAGTCCGTTATGGAGCTCGTTAACCCGAAGGTAAATTTCGACCCCTACTTCTATGCAATTGCTGACGCAATCAAAATTAGGACAAAGACTTCGTGAATGAGACTGTCTCCATTCCTCGACGTTATCATCGTACTCTATTGGGCGAAAAGAGCATCTTCATCCGTGATATCGAGACGAAGACGAATTCTCGTGTACGCTTCCCTGACAAAGAGACGGCTTCAGATGTAGTCACTATCTACGGGCCTGAGAGCCAAGTTCAAATCGCCGCTACGATGCTTCTAGTACGTGAAGGTCAATGGTGTTTAAGATATCTTGCTAATACTTCTGCAGGACCACGTCCCCTTCGAGGCCGACATGGCTGTGCCTCCCAGCAGCGAACTTCCTCGTGTCTGCGCCTCTCCGGAGTTTAGCGCTTTGGTCGAGCACGTCAAACGTGAATTGCAGGTCTCGATTTCGCCCAACTTCAGGAGACCTGCAGGTGTCACGAATGGCGGTTCGGGAGCCGAGACGCCTTCTGAGTACTCCTTCAAGTTCCGGTGCCAACGCAGCAACAGCGACTTCTTGATTACGGCAAGGGAGATGCTCGAGCAATTCCTTCAGAACCACAACGTCCATGTTTACCCTTCGCCCACGGCGCATACGCACAAGAAGAATGATTCATTTGCGGAAGCCTTCCCGCATTTCGATAGCAAGGTTCTTTCGACGGCGCGGACCAGAGGCCATGGTGAGTATTTTCGAGTTTTTCGCCTTTTTTGAAACCGTCTCATATTGATGTACTCGTCGTAGAATCTATGGACATGGGCCGATCTGATATCATGGTTGACCGTAGACTGAGGCTCGCGAACTCGTCGCCTGACGTCAAGGCTCTGTTTAACTCGCCTGCCTATATCTATAACCTGGAAAACCAGGAAGACGTCGAGACAAACTTTATCCCTGCCCAAAATCAAGGGCTTGACTATTGGACCCCTCTAGCACCTATCGTACGTTCTTTTCCTCTTACTTCAATCAGATGCTTAATGTTTTTTTCCGTTCCGCAGGGTTCTGGATTGGCTCATCGTACAAGGCATTCCCAAGATGCAATTAAACGTGGCTCCGACTCTCTTCTGGAGGCGAAGTTGAAGGACCAGATCAACAAACCCCGTTCGCTGAACAATCGCGCTCAGTCTCTTGACTTGACATACTCTCTTTCCCGAATCACTGAGGCAGGCTCAGGCTACGTAATCCCTCCCGACTCACCAACGACGTCCACCGGCGACACTGGGGGTAACTCGAGTCCTAATTCCGCAACTGCTCCCTCCTTCCCCACCGTGTACGGTCCGCCACTTTCCGCCCGCTCTTCAGGGATATTCGGGCAGTCTGCTGCAACCCAAATGCAATCGCGGCCTGCTGGTGCCACCCACGACGACGACGAAGCCGTCGACGAGGTCTCTCGAGTGATCTCGAATCTGGGACTGTAGATATTTATCATTTACAAGGGGTTTCAAGCTCGATCGACGCGACGTAAAAATATTCGCTTTTAAACAAAAACGGACGCACACTCTCTGTTCCTCCCTCTCGATGTAACAAAAATATCTGCACTCGGTCAGGCTTGTTCTAGTTACTCCTCTGCCACTGCTTTTCACCCTCATTCCACTACGCTATCTATTGCCGTTGCCGACGCTTCCTCCTTTGTCTCCCGCTTTCTTCCCCGCCCGAGTGTTTTTAAGCTCCTGTTCTCGTTGATCAAGACCTGTACGAAGTGTCTTCCCATCCCATGTCGTGTATAGTACTTACCCTACAGCAAGTGGGCTGGTCTTATCTTTATCTTTTACTAATAGACAATATTTTAGTGCCATGAAAAATAGTCCATTTGATCTGCATTGCTATTTGAACTAAGTAATGATCCAAGGAACCTCGTAGAACACGAAATCGAAGAATTCTTGGTCCATGAGCGTTTGGTACTCTCCGAGTAACTCATCTCCTCCAGGTTTGACATTTTGACCAGCATTGGATTTCGAGCGGAGGTATGCGAACTGGGTTTGAAGAACGTTGAATATTTTCTTTGCGTTGGGTTCAGGCTGCTAAACGTTAGCAGAGAACCATGAGCTTCGTGGACAAGCATGCCCACCTTGACTACGATGCCAATGTACTCGGCTGGTAGACCATACCGCAGAACGCTCTCGACGAACAGTCGCACAACCTTCAAGTGTACAAGAATTTGGAACGACTCCGAGAAATTCGTGCGGGCGAGTCTCAATAGCTCCGTCTGTCCCATGGTTATAAACAAGAAGCTCCACGGACAAGCAGCGAAGACTCACCCATAGTTCCTTCTCCGTTGTCCCAGCCATTTCCAACTCTTGTTGCTGCTTGGCGATCTCCTCTTCTGAGTAGACGAATTCGCGAACGATGAACCTGAGAAACAAGAAGGTCAATGGGCGTCTAGATTTTCGGAGTCTAAGATTACTTGTGTTCCCGGCACTTCTGTACGAAGTCGTCATGGACGCGACGGAAAATGACGAGACCGAAGAGTGCGAATTCATCGTCCTCCGCTATCAATCTGTGGAGAACGAGTCAAAAAAGATAGCGCAATATGTCCGATTGACAACGTACTTGGACGTTCGTGGGACCACCATAGACGTCAATCTCTCGTATTTCGCGTTCCAATCCTTGACGAGAGCCCTTGGGACAAGTTAATGCAGTTCTCCGCATGCATAAAGCTTCAATACCTGGGCACTGCAACCAGGGCGGTCTCCAGGAATTCAGAGTCCTGGATGAAGTCGCCCTTGGACACAACATCGGCGAGGGAACGCGCGGACAGATTTCCTCTAGATGGCTTGCTCAAGCAATGGCAATAGCAACCACGGGTTTTACGTACGTCTTCTTGCGTTGCATGTTGGTTAACGAGCCCTTCACAAGGTTGTAGTTGTTCAACTTTGCCTTCAAGGCATTGTCGATGGAATTCATTTCCTGTCTCAGGCATTTAACGGAGAAAAGGGTGATCAGGAGGTCAGGTACACACCTTGTTCAGCGTATCGACCAGCTCACGCAGACTCTTCTGCACATCATAGCGTCCTTCCTTCCACATCCAGCCATTTAGAAGGTAGGTATCCACGCTTTTCTCGTCGATGAGAATATGCTGCGCTAGTTTCGAGGGGTCGTTGTTTAGCAGGTTGCGAAGTGTGTCGACTGTCTTAGCGACAGTTCCAGTGAAGAAATTCTCGAGTTTTGGCAGGTCCTCTGAGAGAGCGACGAGGGAGTCAAGCGTTCCCGTCTGTGAGACAATCCGCTCAGATATCTGTATGCTTTAAGCAGATGCCATGCCGACCTTGAACGAGGGGATAACCAGTTGGCCGATGTTCCTTGGGGAGATCTTTGCCTGCTGTATGAGTTTATTGGCGACACGCTGGAAGAGATCCTGTGGGTCATGGCCCTGAGGGGCTGCTACGAGCCAGGTGCTCTGATCTGAGGGCATTTGGGCGTTGTCGCGAACGGTGCATCGAAGACGAGCATTATCGGCAATTGTTGATCCTTGTTGTGTCTGTTGCCTCATCCGTCTATCCTTTCAAACTCGATCACTTGACTTCGCGTCTCTGCTCTCTCAGCAGCACCGTGACCGATGACTAGCATGGCCCTCTTTTCTCGCTGCCAGCTCCCCACCTCTCAGGCAATTCGCCTCTTGCGTCCTTTCTCCTCCAGAAGAATGTCGTCTGCCCCAGCTCCCTTTTTGCTGTCGCCCAGAGAGGTCAATGACCTCATCAAGTCCGGCGCGACCCCTGTCTCGCTCCTGGACGCGACTTGGTTCATGCCGAATTCACCGAGGAACGCAAACGACGAGTTTCTTGCAAAAAGGATCTCGGGTTCTCAACGCCTCGACCTCGATGAGGTTGCCAGTCCTCACGAACTCGGTGTAAAGCATATGATGCCCGACAGCCAGACCTTTGCCAGTGCTTGCGGTACGTTGAGGGTTTATGACCGCTATCGGTTGTCATCATGCTGATCCGCCTTCAGAGAAACTCGGAATATCTCCTTCGACCCACGTTGTTCTGTGAGATTTGTTGCGCATCTTATCCGAGCAGAATGCCTTACTAAACGGCCCTGAAAGTTATGATTCTCATGGCATTTTCTCGGCCCCTCGTGCCCTATTCATGTTCAGGTCTTTCGGCCACCAAAATTCCAGCATCTTAAACGGGGGTCTTCCCCGCTGGGCTGACGAGGGTCTCCCTGTCGATACCGATGCCCCCAAGACCCCAAAAACAGCAACCTACACCCTTCCCCAGCTCAACGAGCAGGCCATCAGAAGTACGTATACTATTAATTCCCTTCTACCTACCCCTTTGGCTATCACCATTATAGGCTATGGGCAGATTGTGGCGAACTCTCAATCAGACCTCTCAACCAACGCAGCGGCTGAGCTGGTCTTGGACGCCCGTCCCAAAGCAAGGTCAGCACCCAATCTCCACAGCCCGTCCAAATGATGCTAAACCCAGGATTTAGATATGCCGGTGTTGATCCCGAGCCTCGCCCGGGCCTGGCTTCCGGGCATATCCCCCACGCCTTCTCCCTGACCTTCAACCTATTCTTACAGAAACACAAGACCAAGGACGGACAGGAATATTCTACCTTCCTGCCTCCGGCTGAAATCCGTGAGGCTCTGGACGACGCGGTCGGTCCTGCGGAGGCTGAGAAGATCATTCGCGGCGAGAGGTCCGTCGTCGCCAGCTGCGGAAGCGGCATGACTGCGGGCGTTCTGTGGGTTGGACTTCAGCTCCTGGGTGTCAAACAGGTAGCGATCTACGACGAGGTACAAAACAGACATTTTATTTCTGTCAACTGCGCATCTTATCAGGCTGCGTATCTTTCTCTACAGTCCTGGACTGGCTACGCCATGCGTCCATCAAGCGTCATCGAGGAATCCACGTAAACCTTCACCCTGCTGGGCAAATGAATAGGCGAATGAATATCTTTTGGCATCTAAAAGTTGAAACAAACGAATTGACCGACGCAGTTAACCAATAAATATTCTTGTGCTCCCTACATGCGCGGAATGAAACCTGTTCTTCTCTTCACACCTTCACGATTGATAATCTATCAACTGCGCCGGTACCCGGCTGACCTCCGCTAAGGAGGGAATTCGACCACGTTTGAACGCGTGTTGCGAAAACGCGACAAATGCGATTGCACAGCCGATACACAAGGCGTGTACAAGAACTGTACATCAAACCACTTCCCCAAAATATGCGGATAAATATCTATCGACTATCATCGCCTCCAAGGGATTGAGTGGATTTCTGGTTATTACAATTGAGTGAAAGGGGATGGGGTACACAGCATGAAGGTGACATACAAGTACAACATTAGCTCTACAGCTCGATGATCAGCATGGGTTGAGCGGTCCTATGATCCTACAGTCTATCTTAGAAATAAATAAGTTGCTGAGAACACCACCGGCGCAGACAGGAGCCTGCCACCCCTGCACCCCCTAAAGGTTTCCCAACTACGCGTGGTGCTGGAGAACTGCCATGAACGGTGGTTGTCTCTTTGGCACTTTGTTCAGTGCACGAGCCGCTGTAAAGTAATGTGATAAATCGGAGACCCTGTCCGGAGGAGAGAAGAAACGTACGCCGACCGCTATATTCAACCTCAACCCGGTGTCGCTTGCCTTTACGGAATATAGTTACTCTCCAGCTAGGAAGGGGTAAAATCAGCCAGATGCATAAGCTAGAAGCGAGGAACATACCTTTCGAGTAGGAGGAGATTATAGCCGTTCTTGTTCATTTCTTGCAATAGCTGGTCGCGGGCGAATATGACAGCTTTATGGAGGTCGCCTCTCTGCTTCCCCTCACACTTGACGTCGAAACCATATATTCTCCGTACAGTGCTATCTTTGATGGAAGCAATTTCAAGGTCTATGGAGCAACAGAAGAGAATATTGAGCATGTTTAGAGGAGATAGAGGTCCACCATCACATACCTTCGTCCTCGTAGTACATAGGGACGGGATCCACGCTCCTGCTGTCCACAACCTCCCAAGGAATTTCGCGGCGACGGAAGAGCATCTTGAACAGCAAGTTTGACCACAAGCGGGTTGGCAGGTTGGGGGTGATAACAGATGAGGGAGAAAGAATAGACTACGGACGCGGGGTTTTCTCACATTGCAAGGGCATGGCCAAGTAATGCAAGGTGTCTTTATAAGATCCAATCTTCCGGATAAGGATAGCTGGCTCGCGTTTGGCCCGGGGCACTGCCACCAATTGGGACCCTTGGAAGGAGGGTGTCGTCAGCAGGGATGCAACCCTGCCGGAATGGCTGCGCGCTTGATGCATCTGACTCATGCGAACTTTACGAGGCTTTGCGATCCCCCCCTGCGATTGTGAGCCCCTGCACAACCTCTGCGCGTAATCCGGCGAACGCCCTCTTGGCTGTGATCCCTGCGCTCGACAAGTGCGCACTTGGGATCTGGCCCTCTTGCGACCTTGGAGGATGGTTTCCGTCGGATACGGGTCCGAGGATAGGCTCCAACTGGGGCCAACGCGCCGAAAACTTCGTGCTCCATCTGCTTGATTGACAATGGACGCTGACGAGAGCTAGTGTACTCCGGTTACTTTCTTGACGAAAACCGTCGGCAGCACATCTAGGGCGCTATTATGACACACCGACATAGAGCGTCGCTGCTGATCCCATTTTCATGAGTCACGAAGGAAACAATTTTGGTCCTGAAGTTATGGCAGCTGATATTGGGGCCGCTGGGGGCTGGGAAATGACAAGCACTTACCGATGTCCTTACAACTCGGAGGGAATCGGAGAACCCTGTATTGCGATGGATTCATTGGTTATTCTAGTGTCAAAAGACAACTTCCTCCTGAACGGCCACCAGAAAGATCGATCAGCCAGGAATCCGGGCGACGAGTTGTACACGACGAATGGTGAGCAAGCTCGAGGTGGGAAGGGAGATAAGATCACTTGCATCACCGCCCATCATTATACGCTTCCGATCACAGATGTGGCCAAGCCAATGGTCTGTCTATTTATATCCTCTTTTATTTGAGCGCCATGACTTTCGATGGACACATAGTATACAATGCACATCGTCATTTTCAAGATCACGCACACGGTAGGCCTATGACCGCCAGAGTCATCCATAATGCTGACATCCACGCAGTATCCCCTGCAAGTCCCGGGGGTGAAGCACCAGTACTAGTACCAGTAGTCGTGCCTGTAGCGTTCGAGCAGGTAACGCTGGACGAGATGCTGACGTTGTTTCCCAACGTAAGATCGGCGCACTGGCGAAACAATGGCAAGAAACGGGCCGGATTTCACGGGTTTCCCTCCCATGAAGTGAGTACTACTTGCCTGGAATAATTCGCCATCTCCTCCATCGTAAACAATCTGGAAGTTCGCCGCATATCAGCTGCGAAATATGTGACGCGTGTGGCGCAATCACCTGCACCGTGACATTCTGGCCGTTTTCTAGGCCAGTGACATGGGACTTGGAAAAATCCAAGGGAATACAGAAAAGACCCTCCCCGTTCATTTGGAAAAAGCCATTGACCTGGGAGAAATCATTGAAGGAGGTCGGGTTTCCAGCCATTGAGACCAAGACGCCAGCTAGATGACGTTGGTGAGGCATGTGAGCATATTCTATAGGCTGAGTGCGTAGGTGCTGATGACTAACCGGTCCACTCGGGGTGCTCCGAATTAAACGTAAAAAATCCCTCACTCAAAGGAAACTCTGTACGGTTGGAAGCAGGGGTGTTGTAGCCATCTATACGGAGCACATATTAGCCCTCAAGCTCACGCGTTGGCTAGTTAAAGAAAAAGGCAATACCGCAGAAGGTGGGCTCTTGGGCTGCGACAAAGGGCCCGCGGGGAGGAGGAAATTGGAGTTGAAAGTGTGCATTGACACTCAGGACTGCAACGAGAAGAGAAAGGAGGACAGCAACAATCGACGACCGCATATTGCCTTGTTGGATTGAACGATGAGTCCTCTGCTTTATATACTCCAGCCAACGAGAGATGGGAAAAGCCCCTCTAGGAAGCAGTAGCAAAAAAGTTTTTTAATCCACCACTAGAAGTTGAAAATAGCTCACTGGGCTATTTTTATCTGAGTGCTCGTATGGGAAGAACGAGAGATCATCGCCACCGTTAGCGGCCATATCCCTTCTTTGTGGGACAATTAGTTTCATAGAATTTCGTTAAGACTTTTGGTCCTAGCCCAAAACTTATTAGTGAAGTTGCGAGTAGGTGTGAATGGAAGGCGATCAACAGGTGTGTATTCATATAATCACGCTTGCGGGAATAAGAGGCCGGAACCCACTCGGAGTCCTTTACAAAGATAATACGCACCGCACACGTAGGGTGCAAATAGCCAACACCTTCAGAGAAATGCGAAACAAATTTGTTGCCATTATTTCTGTGTGGCGCATTCGAAGGTGTTCTTCTATATCGGGTTACCTATGACGAAGTCCAAGGATGTTCCAAGACTCGATTAACTACGATGGCTACTGTATAGGGAAACCGTTCGGATTTAATCATTTTACTACGCTTGGGTGACGAAAAGAGGCGAGGGGATTGTTCCCCCTACCCTAAATCATGAAGCCCTCGTTGTCTCAAAATAAATTTCGAGAAAATGACATTGTATTCATGACGTTCCAAACGTAATCAAAAAGCAAATAGTGAATGATGAATGCAAGGGTGTAGCTAGCTTGACTGAAGTGCTGTAAAGTGTCATTAACAATTAAGGACCATGCGTATCTCCCGAAAGTTTTAGAGGACGGCAGCGATGACTCCGGCAAAAGAGAGGACGACTGCAAAGCCAGAAGCCTCGTGAGACAGGTCGAGAGCAGCGCCTGTGGAGGTGGTGGCAGTGGGTGAAGATGAGCTTGTCGTCGCGCTGGCGTTGGAGCAGGTGATGTCCGCAGGAGGGGATGTGAGGGCCGCGGATAGAGTGAGGTCAGCGCACTGAGAAGATAGAGATAAGAACCTCTCCATGTGATCACTAGAATGACCAGATACTCACCTGGTAGAGATTACCATCACCGCCTTCGAAGAGGACCTGGATGGTCACGTTGGCGCCGTCCTGGACACCAGGAATGCCAGCCTCAGTTAGATTGAGGGGTATGCAGAAGGTGCCAGCGCCTTCATCGCGGGCGAATGGTTTCGCGAGCTGTTGCACGCCGTTGACGGAGAAGTTGTCAAAGTTATTGGGGTTTTCAACAGTGGAGATCAGAACTCCAGCTTGGGAAACGAAAAGGTGTGAATGCCCGATAATTCCTCAATGGCAGAAGACTCACCAGTCCAACCAGGGTGACCTGTACTAATGCTGAAGAAGCCCCCAGACAGAGGGAACGTCGTCCTGTTGGTTGTGACCTCGGTATAACCGCCTGGTGGGTACGATAGGCATCAACTATACAACCATTAAAAAATCGGGTCAAAGCTTACCGCAAAAATTGGGCTCTAGGTCTGCAACAAAGTTGCCACGGGGGAGAGGATACAGGAGTCGGAAGTGGGCATTAGCAGCGCCGAACAAGCACAAGAGGAGCGCGAACGTCGAGGAGATCATGGTAGCGGTGTGCTGAAGTCGTCAGGCGATATCGAAGGGAGAACGAGATGGGGGGGATTCTCTGAAGTCTACCCATTCTCCTGGCAGACTTTATAGTTGCGCATCGTCCCAGCAGCATGCGACGCGAATGGCTAATTTCTGCAAAGTCGGAACAGTGAAAAAGTTTTTTGTCCCCTCCCGAAGCAGAATGTCTTGGCCGGCGAAACAGATCGCATATGCCAAGGATGGAAGTCCTGGTACCTTGACGGTACCCCTCCCGAAAACCTTCTTCCATGCAAGTTTGCAACATAACCAACGACTTTTCCAAGATTTGTGAAAAAAAGAGAGAACCCTTTCGGCGCCAAGGACCGGGATGGGGGCGCAGAAGAATTGCCCCGGACGGTGTTGATTCAAATACATCAAACGTGTGCCTTCCAACAAGCTTCCAAAGTACATAATTTAGGTACATAGAGGGCAGTCAGTGGCAGTCACACCACACGAACACACACAAGGAATGAGTGGGGCAGTAGGTAATTCAGGCATGAGTGGTTAGACTAAGCATGTAGCAAACTTGGCCCAGAGAATGCAATGCGTCCTGCATCTTCAATGATGCCCGCTAACTCGGATGACCCTTCCAAACACTATTTCACCTATGCCTAAGCCCGCCACGATGGAGATGATGTAGGCGGCTTGATACGTCCTAGAAGGGAGCTCAGGCGGCGGAAGGCGTACGAACGATGGCGCTTACATGACTGCCAACATAAGACCATATCCAAGAAGCATCTGGAGGGCGTACAAAGCGCCGCGAGGAATGTCGTGGGCAGCGATGAAGGGAGTGATCGTTCGAAGACGGGATCGTACGGTTACAAGGTTTGAATTGGGTGATTCCTCCGATCGTTCCCTTTCAGCTTCACGGATACTGGCATCCCCGGTGACCAACGACTTGGTGGCTGAATCTCGTTCCGAGTTCGGGTTCTTCTGCGCATCGGAAGAGATACAGCCGTCGCGGGCGGCCGCCATTGCCTGTGCCCTACGATGAAGCTGTCAATGATCGTACCAAAAATATACTAGCGCCAGAGATAGAAACCTTCGCTGCCAGTGCGCATCGAAAACGCTTCTTGTAGCGGCCAACCATCGCTCGAGCAGGGCGAGCAGGACAAGCCCAATGCAAGCACCTGCGAGTGCACCGCTCGAGCTTGGTCGCCAAGTCTCGAAGAAGACGTTGTCTCCTCCGAAAAAATGAAGATATGGAACCATCATGCCAGAATGAGACGAGGTAGTCGTTGAGGTAGTCGACGACGTATGTCCTGAGTGATCCATCTCTTCAGAGTGTCGTCGTAATGATGTAGGACAATGTAGGCGTGCAATAATGGCCAAAAAGAATCGCGGGTGCGAAGCACAGCACCCAAGCGCCGTTTGAAGCTGAGTTCAAACCTACGGAGAGTGCCAGGAAGTACTAGGCATATCATGTGCAATGTCTGTCAGCTGGAAGGAGTTGAGGGGCGTCCATCACGGCCGTCGAGGCTATTTCAGAAGCAGCGCAAAAATGAATGTTGTCGACCGTTCCGATCTGGAGGAAGGAGGCGGAGACGCCAAGCCGGATGGTGTCGAGACAACGAGGGGGAACCCGGGCGAAAGAGGGCAAATCCACAGGCTGTAAGCCCAACAAAGTGTTGACGACGTCTCAAGAGCAGTGTTGGCGAGGCATGAAGCGGAGGTGAACGACCAACGGCAGAGTCCGCGACAAGCAGGGCGGGCGGCTCATTTCTAGCTTTGGATCGATGAGCCATGCGAGTTGACAGATCCTGTACAGTATTCAAGAGAGATAGATCCGCTAGACAATATCAAGGAGCTTTCGAGTCACCTCTGAGCCAGATGGTCGCCTCCGGGTACAGCGAGGTGGTGCAGAGGACATTGTAGTCAGCATCCAGAGGTCAAGTATTGCGTGGTGTAATAGAAGAGAGTAGCAGGTATTAACAGAGTCATTATTTTGTTGCGAGAACGGTCGTCGAAGCTATTGGGAAGACCGGAGGGGAGAACAAGGAGTGGATGTGGTTGGAGAAAAGGAAGAACAGGATGACTTGCCCTGATTTGTGCTTGCGGCATTTTCGCGGTCAATCCGTGAGGACCCCCGACACTCCAAAAATAGCCGAAAATACGAGTTGCCTCTATCCCGTGACTGGGCACGTGGTATGTCATCATTCTGAGGTGATGCCTTGGTAAGGACAGCACCAGTTCTCAACCTCTTCTCCTCAACCTCCCAGGTCACCAGTGCCTCCCTGCATTCGTGTTTCGCGCCTTTCTTTCCCCCTTCGGTGACACAATCGTCAAAATGTATCGTGGTGCCCTTGCCCGGTCAGTCAGGACCGCGTCACGCAGCCATGCCGTCTCGTTCACGGCATTCCGACCAGCAGCCGCTCATTTTATCCGGTTCAATTCTACGGCAACTCCACCAGCCTCTGATTCAAGCTCCAAGCCTCCCAAAACACCAGAACAGCTCGCGAAGAAAGCCGCCCTTGAAAGGCAGGATGACCTGCAAAGAGATTGGGACGCGAAGATCTTGACCTATGAAGAACTCCTTCCAAGGATCCAAAATCCCTCACCGGTTCGTTCTGTTTTGGATTATTCACCCTATACGCGCTGACTCTCCGCGCCTATAGAATGCATACCTCATCGATGTCCGGGAACGCGATGAAGTGATCCAGGGCATGATCCCTTCCGCTGTGAACCTTCCGCTGTCCGTTCTCGCCACTGCCTTCCACCTACATCACGAGGAATTCAAGACGAAGTATGGATTCGAGAAGCCGAGGCTTAACCAAGAACTGGTGTTCTACTGCAGAAGTGGAATGCGGAGCTCGACGGCGAGCGATGTCGCCAAAAGAAATGGATACACCAAGTATGTCCTTGCTGCCATATGGGATAGCACAATTAATCGCGCCTCTGTTTAGCATCCTGAACTATAAGGGTTCATGGCTAGAATGGACCGAGAAGCAGAAGCAGAAACCATCCTCTTGATTTTTCAGCCTTTCGTCCTCGTTTGGCGTTCGCACTGCTCTGCCCTCGAGTAGATACGCCGCAATCTATCTTCCCGTATCCGAAAGGGCCCGTTTCGAGATACCATTCATACTAGCATAGATGGCGACCCTTGCTTGCGATTTTAAACTGTAGTTAAGGAGAAGAGTGTCGAAGTGATTGCGTTTCTTCACATACCGATGACGCCTAGCTACTAAATTTAACCATAACCCTAAACACAGTCTTTCCTGCTAGCGGCTTCCACTTGTTTTTCCAATGCGTCAAGATGTTCTCTCAAGCTGTACGCTCACTTGCTCGTTGCTCGGCGACTCAACTACGGCGGTTACCGCTTCAAACCAACTCTTTTCAACCTCTGAGATGCTTGCCATATAGCCGCAGTGGCATGACGTTCCGGCGAACGATAAGCACGCCCGCGCCCCATATAACTGAGAGGTACGTGAAGACGACTGTTACTTGTTGACTCAAAGCCTGACCAATAGCTCTTTTTCGTCTAGTCATCTGACGATGGAAAACTACCATCTCAAGGCTGACCAAACCATGGAGGACCTCCTGGAAACTCTGGAAGAGATACTCGATAACTCGGAGCCCACGGGATACGAAGTGGACTATCATGTGCGTAACACCGTATCCCTTGCCTCTCAGACCCTCACTATTTGTCCTCCAGAGCGGTGTTCTCACTCTGAAACTGGGTTCCCATGGGACATATGTCATCAACAAGCAGCCTCCGAACAAACAGATCTGGCTGTCGTCACCCAGAAGGTATTCTCTTCCTTCATGATTATTCTGGCTGAACACGCTCCTTTGACGCGTTTTCTTCAACAGTGGGCCGAAACGTTATGACTTCGACGATTCCAGCGGATGGATCTACCTCCGAGATGGAGGGTCATTGAATGACCTGCTCTCCGAAGAGCTTAGTGATGTTTTCTCGCGACCAATCACTATTCGGATATAAAGCATGGGACTATCTTGTCGGTGGGATCCCTAGAAGCCCAAGAGTCACTTTCTCCACTGAAACACGACCCAATTCTCAATTGAACCACATAAATAGATAGCCTGTATTTACAATACTAATCACCTTTTCGTGGACCATAATGATAAACGGTACGACTCGTGAAAGCATACAGCAATGCAAGTTGTAGACACTCGTGACACGTGAGGCCTCGTGAGGGATAATGATAGGAAGATGAGAGACGTTGGCTGTTGTTACAAGTGTTGGACAATGCAAAATGGGGAATGATTCTAGAGTGAAAAGCAAGCAAGAACAAGAATCATGAAATAGGAGGGACCTAGGAGGGATGATATGAGTTACGAGTACAACATTAAATGAGATGAAATATCACAGAACGCACATCTTGAACGGGGTAATCACGTATCTGGGTCATTTGGAGATTGGCCCAGTGCAAGCCGACGAGACAGGACAACTTCTCCCAAGCACCTTGAAGGGAGTGCTTATTAGTAGTAGAAAGTCGAGATTGAGAGCCATTAGAACCCACTTATTAAAACCTTGATAACGCCCCGCAACACAAGCCGCCTCTTTTGCGAAAGTGTAATCGCTCTCCACTGGTCTGCCCTTCTCTCCTGCGTACATTTGGCGTGCTGTGTGGGGAGGTTCGTGGTGGTGTGGCAGCAGCTGGTCGTTATCGGGCCAGAAACTTGTATTTGTTAGAACCCCAGGAGCGTGCGCGTGCGATGGGCCATAATGAGATGGGTTTGACGAGGAGAACAGAAGGCGATGTTGGTGTAGAGTGTGAAGTTCGCGCAGTTTCGAGTTCTCAACTGCGTATTCAGAATTGCCCCGAGTCATTGTTTGGCGAGGGTAAGATTTGTCGCCTTCGTCAGAATAGTAATCTTCTTCATCATCGTTACAGTTGTCCTGAGCCCACCCACGAGCGCCACCGTCCAGCACGGGTGGTTGTGTTCGCCTTCGTTTTGTGCCTCTGTCGATCAGGTCCACCAAGTTGTCGGTCACCAGCGGCACGCTGGAGGAAGATGGAGGTGGCGATGAGGCACGTTGTCGCTTGAGCATCGCGGCGTTGGAAAGCGATGAAGTGTGGGCAAGGTCACGACGACGATGAAGGGGAAGAACAAGAAGACTGGGAAGGTTTACGCAGGGCCTGTGGAAAGCCACCAATCCAAGCAAACCATGTGCCCCTTTTGGAAATTGAGGTCCATGCAGCGCTTAGGTAAGGGGCTGACCTCAGTGGTCTAACAGGGACGAACATCCGAGGTTCAACTTGGAAACCCTTCATTTTCTCTCGTGTTCTCGCGTGTTCTCGCTGTCTTCAAGTCGAAATGGCGGACGATATGGACGTGTTCGCAGCCATGGGAATCTCTGGGTTTGGCAAAGCCACTCAGAAGCGAGAGTTGGACCCCTCGCGGTTCGACAAGAATAAGCGTTCAGAGGTGTGTGCCCTTTCTCCCTTGTGTCTCAATGAACTCTTCTCACCGATGCCCTAGGCTGCTCCTACCAAGGACTCGAAGCCAAGCGCACCTGTTGCCGGCCCCTCATCTTTGAGTAGGCAGCCTGAGGTGGCCGCGGAAGATGACGACGACGAAGAGCAGGGTCCCATGCCTCTTCCGAAGCCACAATCAGACGAAGAACCCGAATATGACCCATCTGAAGAGGAGGATGAATCTCCTACGTTCCCTACAACACACGAAATCATCCTCAAGGATCATACGAAGGTCGTCTCAGCGCTCGCCCTTGATCCTTCTGGTGCGAGACTCATATCGGGCTCCTATGACTACGACTGCAAATTATGGGACTTTGGCGGTATGGATATGCGCTGCAAGCCGTTCAAGAGTTGGGAACCTGCTGGAACATACTACGTACGTGCCCCTTGATTTATTTATCCAGTGGTTGCGAGTCCTCACCTTTTTCAGGTCAACGATCTCAAGTTTTCCAATGATGGGACCAAGTTCTTGTGCATCTCTGGGACGACGCAGGCTAGATTATTTGACAGGGAGGGTGAAGAACAGTACGTATATTCTGGTTTGGTCGCGAGCATGGTGCCAATCCCTGACGACTAGAACTGCTTTCGTCAAGGGCGACCCGTATATTCGCGACATGAAGAACACATCGTCAGTACGCTTCTAACAGTTTCTGAATTGGCACTCAACATCCATTTAGAGGACATGTGGGCGAACTGACGTCGTGCGCTTGGCATCCCAAGGATCCCAAGTTATTTATCACGAGTTCAGCTGATTCTACCATCAGGTATGTCATCATCCTGCGTTCCTCTCAGCGGTTTACGGTTTAGGAGAGCTAACCTGTGGTCTGATGCCAGGATATGGGATGTGGAGAACAAGCGGAAGCAGAAGACCGTCATCGTCGTCAAATCCAAGGAAAGAGGCGCAAGGACGAAGGTAACAGCTTGCAATTATTCGCCTGACGGGAGTCTTATCGGCGGTGGTGAGCTTCTGTCGACTCTGCATCACCCGTTCATATGTTTACCCGGGATCGATAGCGTGTCTGGATGGAGCATTACACATGTGGCAAACAAGCTCGAATTTTGTGAGGCCCAATATGACGATCGAGAATGCGCACGTCAAAGGAACGGAGACGGGATCGTTGGTGTTCTCGGTGGACAAGCAGACTGTGCTTACCCGAGGCGGTGATGATACCGTGAAATGTGCGTGTTGATTTGGGGTCACTACACATTTCAGCTTACTGAGGTGAACTGTAGTGTGGGATCTCCGTGCTTTCAAAAAGCCCCTGGCTGTGCATTCTGGGCTGACCACCCTATATCCGACCACTAATGCCGTATTCAGTCCGGACGACAAGTTTGTTATCACGGGGGCGGGATCAAGCTCGAAAGGCGGTCAAGGGAGGTTGGTATTCTTGAAGAAAGATAACCTGGAGGAGGTTAAATCGCTCGCGGTGGATGCAACGCCCGTGAAAGTGGCCTGGCACTCCAAAATCAATCAGGCAAGTCCTTTCAGCATTCCTAGTGTTGCGTGCTCATCCGTCTATGCCGGTCATTGATAGATCGTGACAGGTCTTTCAAATGGCCAAATTGTCGTACTCTACTCGCCGGTTACATCCCTAAACGGCGCGAAGCTGATTCTGAGCAAAGGCCCAGCCAGAAAGCTCGCAATCGAAGATATGTCTGATGCGCTGGCAGCGCCGCACATTCTCACTCCGCATGCATTGCCCATGTTTCGTGACATGGATTATGGACGAGGGACGAAGAGAAAACGAGACAAGGACAGGATGGACCCGAGGAAGAGCAGGAGACCCGAACTGCCCGTCACAGGGCCAGGGAAAGGAGGAAGGGTTGGCGCGAGTGCTACGCAGCATGTTGTGCAGAACCTGGTCCGAGACACGACAAGAGACGTGGATGTGAGTATTCAAAGAGCTTGTGTTTTCAGGGAGTCTGGCTTCGTTGATGGAGAGGCATTTGAAGCGCGTCCGCCCTTGATAAGCCCTTTTTTCTCTTCCTCATTAGTCGCGATGTGGCGGAGCCCGTCGTTACACATTTGCACTTTGATGGAAGATTTGACGCGGTTGCCTTTGGCGTCCTCTCACGGGTCTTCGTTATCATGATGGGAGCGATTGCTGACGATACCGTTCTCTTCAGCCTCGCGAAGCGCTCCTCAAGTACGCAGAAACCGCTGACAAGGATCCGCAATGGACAGCAGGTGGGTTCTTTAATCTCCTTTCACAGAGTCGCAGTGTTTCTGGCATGGTTGAGAGGCCGGCATGGCACGTGCCGAGACAACTTTGTATTTGTGTGTATTTGTTTGTCGCTTACTGACGTGGCGGTCCTTGCCGAAACCTTGTCCTGCAGCGTGGAAGACGACGCAGCCAAAGCCGGTGTTCTCGACGGAGAGCATGGAGGAGGAGACAGAGCAGAAGTAAGGGCATATACAGCACTGGTGGGCGGTGGGCGGACAGGGACGGGGGGAATGATGGAGGGAGGGAGAAGTTGCAGAGAGGATGGCCCCTGCGCGGGAGTCCAAACCTTAAATTTGAGCACCTATAAAGACCTAGCCACCGTCGGATCCCCCTAACTCCCCAAAATCTTCCCTTGCCCTCCCTTCTGTCACCCGTGACTGTCACGCGTCCCATGAACCACGCGCAGCTTTCCCCAGCCCCGGGTCACACCCACACCAACGGCGCCGTCGACGCCATCAACGGCGACAAAACCTCCCTCCTCGCCGTCGGCAACGCCCATAATGGTATTCCGCCCCAGATAAATGGAAATTCCACCCATAACCCCCCTTCCCCGGCGACAGACTCCCCTGCGACACCCGTCTCCACAACCGCTGCCCCCGATGTCAAAATCGACATGGACTACCAGGAGCAGGAGAGCGATGTCCGGCACGAACCCCTCCCCATCAAGCCCTTCGCCCCCTTCGACAAGCGCAACACAGACTCACTTGCACCCCAGGTCGGCACTCCCATCGATCCCAGTACGCTTTGACACCGTGCATCCCGTACCTGCCCTGTCTCAAAATTTCTAACTTTCCCAGGCACGATCCCCATTCATCCTCCGAATGGAACACCACCGCCCCCGCCAGGCGACCTTCTGGACGACGTGAAAATGGCGGAATCGAGCCAACACAATGGCGATACGCACCTTAACGGTCACGACGATGTCATTATGGGGGACACGGACACCCAGACACCAGGAGCAACACCAGGAGCAACACCAGGCATTTCAACAGACTTTTCGATGGCCAGCATTGACGGCGCCTCGTCATCGAACACGCGTTCATATCCAGAAGACAGTGATGATCGTGAACCACCGGCCAAGAGGGCGAGGATGCATTCAGATGCGGATATGGCTTCTACGGCTCATGTGAGTATTTTATTTCTCTGTGCGCCGTTCCGGGCGTGCTGATTTGTCTGTCTGTCTCCCGTCGCTCTTCTGAAGTCCGCCACTCCACCTCCAGCGTCGGCCGTTATGTCAAATGCCGCCAGCCCTGCACCGCCCCTTCCATCAACTGTTCCCCCTTCGGCTGCGCAATCTAACAATTTCGCTGCACCCATCACGACTGAGACTTCTCTCACTCTGAATCAATGGCGATTCTGCCAGTCCACAGTCAAGTCGTTGAAGAAAATGAAGGACGCGGGACCATTCATGCGACCAGTTGACCCAATTGGGCTCAATATTCCCCATTACCCCTCCATTATCAAGAATCCTATGGATTTCTCCACCGTCGAGCGCAAGCTCAATTCTTCCAACCCTCAGAAGCCCGACACCAACCCTCAAAACCCCCGGTACTGTTCGGCAGAGGAGTTCATTTCCGACATCCGACTCATCTTTACGAACTCTTTGACCTTCAATGGCCCTGATCATGTTGTCACTCTGATGGGAAAGCGCGTGCAAGATGTCTTCGATAAACAAATCAAACACCTTCCTCCACCAGAGGTATGTTTTTGCTCCTGCTTATCGTGTCCATATCTGGTCTGATCTGTTACCTAGAAGCCCAAGCCTCCTGTGGTGAAAAAGGCGACACCTCCCCCGCCCCCGCCGCCGGTCCCGGCTCCTCCTGTGAAGAAAACGCAACCACGGAGGCCATCGACGTCTGTACCCGTTATTCGGCGTTCTGAAGCCGAGCCAGTTGGACGTCCGAAACGCGAGATACATCCACCACCACCTAAGGATCTCCCTTACGCTGACCCTCCGAAGAAGAGCAGGAAGGCAAAGCGAGTTCGAGACGATGGGACGGCCGAACAGCTTAAGCACTGCGGCAAAATTCTTCAAGAATTACACCGAAAGCAGCACTATGCTTTTGCCAGTCCCTTTTATGAGCCCGTCGGTAAGCGCCCGTCATCACACGCATTGCCCCTCCTCTTATGTAATTACTCCATGAAGATTGGGTGAGAATGGAACTACCTCACTACCCTCGAATCGTGAAGAAGCCTATGGATTTGTCGACCATTCGTAAGAAGCTCGACAACGGGGACTATGAGACTGCCCAGAACTTCTACGACGATTTCAAGCTCATGATTCGCAACTGCTTCCTCTTCAATCCTTCGGGTACCCCAGTCAATATAGCTGGACAGGAATTGCAAAGACTGTTTGACGAGAAATGGAAGAATCTTCCTCCCCTCCACCTTCCGGCCCCTCCGGAGAGCGATGACGATGACGAGCCTGAGGAGGACAGCGACGACGAGCGTCAACGTGAGTCCCCATTATTATTACCACATCTTCAAGAGCCTTACATCAGTCTATCTAGGCAAAATCGCCCTCATGGAGAGTCAAATTGAGGCTATGCGTAACAACATCGAGAATCTGAAGGGCACAGCCAAAAAAGAGAAGGAGAAGAAGAAGAAGGAAAAGAAAGAGAAACCACCGGTGGCTTCGACATCCAAGGCACCACCCAAACAGACCAAGGCGCCGTCCAAGAAGAAGTCAAAAAAGACCGTCACCGACGACGACGTCTTAACTTTCGAGCAGAAGAAGGACCTCAGCGAGTCTATCGGCAAGCTTGACGGTGCCCGTCTTGAGAAGGTTATCCAAATCATCCATGAAGGTGTTCCTGAAATCAGAGATGTGGGTTAATTCTGCCGCACCGTCTACATTGCTTCGCGACACTAACACCTCGATCCTCTCACAGAGCACCGAAGAAATTGAGTTGGAGATCGATCAACTACCTGCCGTGGTCCTTACGAAACTGTACAACTTCGTCCTGAAACCCACTCGCCAGTCCACTGCACCCAAGCGCAATCGCGCTGGGAAGGGCACTGGTACGGGTGGTCTCAAACGCAAGAGCATGGATGAAGAGAAGGAAGCCGAAAAGATTCGGCAGCTTGAAGAGCGCATGGCTCTTTTCGAAGGTCGCAACCCCGCCCCTGCTCGGCGAGTTGACGACAGCGAGCGTTCCTCTGATTCAAGCTCTGGCTCGGACAGCTCTGGCAGCGACTCGGAGTAATCATTTTCTTTTGGTCTTGTGGTCTTCTGTGCACAATACTGGACTTTCGCGTATACTTGTTATATCCCCTGGCCTCGTCGTAGTGATCTTTTTTGCCCACCGCTCCTCGTCTGAGAAGCTCTCCCTTCGTTTCTCTTACGCTTGCTACCGATGTTGTCCATAAATTCATATTCTTAGTAGTATTACACTGTTTTTTGAAACGTCAATTATAAGATCATTCGTAACCAAATGTAGCTAGTAACCTTTCTTCGCAATTTCATGTACCGCACACCAAACCTTCCTTGGTCTGATTCCACGAAGACAGATTGGTGATACATAGTCAAGCAACGGAGCAAAGGCATTGAGGAAGCTATCACTTTTTTCTTCCTATTCCCTTCTGAAATTGTTGCCAGTTTGAACGTACAGGTTTTGCTTCAGGTTTCGCAGCTGGCAGTAGAGAAGGTGGTGGTACAGGCGGAGGCGGTTGTGGTGTTGGTTCGGAAGGTGCAAATGGAAGAGGGTCGGCTGCCGTTGCAAACGTGCTCCACTTCCGCGAAGAGTCAGAAGACGGTTCCACACCGGCAGATGAGGTGGATGTACGGGCCCAGCCGCCTTGAGGCGAAGATACCGATGACGAATTATGGGAATCGTTGACGCCTATTGATGCAGTTCCTGCGGCAGGAGGGAGCTCTGAGCTTCCAGTATCCAGAAATGTCCAGCCGGCATTGCGGAAAGTGGGAGTATGGCTTGAGTGTCCACCGTGGTAGGCAGTCGAGGACGGACTAGAAGAGGCGGAAGGAACAGAATGACCATGTGGTCCGGTATGAGTTACGGCATTCGAGTTGACCGGAGGTGCGAGAGCTGCCGAGGAGGAAGCCGAACCAACAGTAGCCCAACCGGACTTCTTGAAACCACCGGATGATGAACCACTACTGCCTTCCGCACTTGAGATAGAGGTCCATCCTTTCTTCGGCTCTATGGGTGTCCCATCGATATCCATGCTGGTAGATGCAGGGGCGACATCCGGAGTAGGAGCTAACGGGGTGGCCAGACTCGAAACGGTTGACGGTTTGGGCATCTTAATTCCATTGGCAGCTGCAATTTTGCGAAGTTCTTTCTCCTCTCGCTTTCGCTCCTTTTCCTTCCTCTTGTCGACGTCTTCCTTGGACTTCAGGCGGGCATTGGCTTGCATGTCCTGGAACCGGACTTTGTGATGATGGGCATATGAATTGGTGTGTTCATCGTATTGGGCAACAGTCTTGAATTGCTTGTCACAGAGTTCACAGTAGAACGCGCGCAGAGTGGATGAAATTTCTGATTTAAGAGCGTTTGTACGTGCGACGGCGTCCTGATCATACACAAGTGTATCAGAGTCAGAACATTTTTCCCGAATAATTATCACTGACCTCCCGATGTCTGCGCTGTTCCTCAGTTTCTTTCTGTTGCCGTTCCGAGTCTAAGCCTCGTCTTTGAGAAACAGTTGTTTCTATCATCTCAAAATCTTGGTCCGTCTTGCCGAGTCCAGTCAAGTCTGCTTTGATATGAAATGGGACAGGTTCCGTTCGTCCTAACAGAGTGGCGTCGGGTTAGAGTTCGATCATGGATAGCGATCTGTGTGCTCACCATCAGGAGAAAGGCCTACAGGTTGACCCTCCACCCATCCGAGCTTCGACAACAAGGCGAAACCCTTGTTTGTGGGCTTTATCTTGGTGTCTACAGTTATGACTTCTGGCGTTGGACGTCGGACATATTGATCATACTTGTGGATAACTTCATCCACGTCCATTGAATCGTTGAGCACAGGGGAAGGGGATCGTGAGACCAAAGATACATCGTCGTCACTATCTTCGTCATCATCCGGCCTTCCACGCTGGTGGATGAAGAGAGATATAGAGGCAGTAATTGTGGCCAGTAACGGAGTGAAGCTGGAGCGAGTACCTTCAGACTGCTGGGCTCGGCTGGACGTTCAAGGGCAATGGCGTTCCAGCGAGCGATTGTTTGCTCCGACATTAGTGCAGCGCAGATGAAATTTAGATTTCCTAGCAAATCCTAGTATCCTAACAGAGAGGAGAGAAGAGTGAGTCCAAGAAAGAGCAGTTGAGCTCAGTTGACGCCACCTCGAAATATGCAGCCTAAGCGGAACAACGGAATCAGCCTTGCTTCAAAGGCAATGTGGCCACAAATGTTTTCTTCTCGCACTGTGTTCAAAATGGTCTTGACTGAGGATTCTGACGGTTTTTATAGACAATGGCGGTCTTAGTGGATGAGCGCCGAGGAAAACGCTGACGGCATTGGAAGAACGCGCATGTGATAGGAACGCGTAAATAGAGCCACGGCCAAACCAAATTGATCTCGAATGCTTAACTTGACACCAACCTTATTCCATGCGCATACCCCGTTCCACAGTCACCGACGATGAGCTCTGACGACTACTTCGATGGAGCTGACGACTTCGATGCATCTGCCCTCCAACAAATTGACGCCATAGAAGCGGCGCACTACTCACCTGCCAAACGAGCAGTGCAGCCCGAGACACCTCCTGCATCTCCGCCTCCCAAGAGGCCCGCGGCTCTCAACAAGGAGCCATCACTTTATGATATTTTGTTCGACGTCGACGAATCTGAGCTCGCGAAGCTCGACACTTTCATCGAAGACGCGTACAAGGGCAAAGTACAACCTGTTGCTGGACCAAGCAAGTTTAGCAGGGCCTCCTCCAGCAACACTCTGCAGACCACACTATTCGGCGAAGTCATCCAACCAACTGCATCATCCTCCAAACCAAGATCGCAGATACAGAGGTCTAAATCGTCTACAAGAAACCCGTTTGGACAACAGGCGCGTAAGACCAAGGTATGGGACCAAACTGCGTTTTCGAAAACTGGAAAGCAAGGAAAGGCAAAGGGAAAAGGGAAAGCGAACGGAGATAGAGATGAATCTGGGGAAGAAACGGTCGAGTTTGCGCAATTTCCAGCACCATCCATCGCTGGTGCGTGATCTAATAGCTTCGAGAATGACTCTGGTGTTAACTTTTCCCCCGTAGACTTTGGGTAGGTTGTGATATGTTCTTTGACTTAACAAAATACTTAATATCCGGGGCGTTCTTGACAGTCCTGTGAGTAGTGCTCTGTCGATGCTTTGTTGCACACAACCTAATTCAAGTTCAGCCACCTCCTATGAAGTTAACACCTGATCTCCTCGAAGCGAAACATTGGATATACCCTATCAATCACCCCAAGAGAGACTACCAATTTAACATTGTTAAGAACTCCCTGTTTGAAAATACATTGGTTGCATTGCCAACTGGTCTGGGAAAGACATTTATTGCTGGAGTGGTTATGCTCAACTGTACGTGCACATTACCTTCCCTTTTGTCAATTGCTTAAGCTGTCTCAGATTATCGATGGTTCCCCGAAGGGAAAGTCGTCTTCGTTGCCCCAACAAAGCCACTGGTCGCCCAACAGGTTACTGCGTGCCATGAAACGTGTGGTATTCCTGGTAGAGACAGCGCTGAATTGACTGGAGAAGTTCCCAGAGCGACCCGGATGAGATATGTAAGTGTGTTGAATCTCCAGAGGCAACGATTCACCGGTGTCTAGTGGGAAGAAAAACGTGTATTCTTCATGACGCCGCAAACCCTGTACAACGACCTACTCAAAGAGACGTGCGACATTCGTGACATCGTTCTTCTCGTTGTTGGTATGGGCGCATGTCTGATTGTCCGAAAACTGCTACTAAGAAGCCGGTCTTAGACGAAGCCCATCGCGCTACAGGAGACTATTCTTATAATCTCATTGTTCGCTTGTTGATGGCCAAGAATCCACATTTTCGCGTCCTCGCGCTAACTGCGACACCCGGAAACAACGTCGACTCGGTTCAGCTCTTGATCGACGGCCTACATATCAGCAGAATCGAAATTCGAAATGAAGAAAGTCTTGATCTGAAGCCTTACATCCACAAGAAGGTGCATGCCGAGGCCTAGCAACCTCCGAAATGTGGACTAACTCGTTCGCAGGTCTTCCAGCCTCATCTTATTGCGGCTAATGAGAATGTAGCAAAGATCAGGACCCTGATTGCAAACGTCATGACAGCGAGTGCTTGTCTTGTGGAAATCCGAGTGACTCATTAACCCGTTTGTGCAGCCCCTCATGAAACCTATGCAGGCCGTTGGACTCTTGAGAACGAACGAGTCTCCTCTTTCAATGCACCCATTTAGACCTCAGGCCCTCTCCATGGAATTAAGGGATCCATCTCACAAGAGATTTTACGGCTCTTTGTCCATGCTGTCGAAACTCGCCCGCGCTATGCTCTATCTTGTAGGTTATTCTTGAATGATCAGTGAACCGTTAACTGAAACTCCCGTATCTCAGCTTACGGGTTCTATCGGGTCTTGCTACACGTTCCTGTATGACGTATCTCAAGAGCCAGCTGACGAAGACGATGGGAAGAAGTCCAAAGGCAAAAAACTTAAGGATGATCCCAACTTTCGTATTCTTATGACTGAGCTTGAGAGTCAGCGTGCTCGTGGATTCGACATCCATCCCAAGGTCGAGAAGCTGAAGACGATTCTTATCCAACATTTTGGCTCTCGGCTGGCAGAGAAAGATGGCGAAGGCAAGGACAACATCGATGAATCACGAATCATGGTGTTTTCGTCATACAGAGCCGTGGTCGATGAGATCGTCGAGGAGTTGGATAAGGAACGACCCTTAATACGAGCAACTCGTTTCATTGGCCAAGGAGCCGATAAACAAGGCAAGAAAGGCCTTGCTCAGAAGCAACAGCTCGAAGTGAGTAACGCCAATTTTGTGTTCGTGCACTTCTAAGGCGTGGCTACAGGTTATCAAGAAGTTCATGGCTGGTGAATATAACGTCCTCGTCGCGACATCCATTGGCGAGGAAGGTCTAGACATAGGCGAAATCGACGTCACTGTCTGCTACGACGCTGACAAGGCGCCGACTCGCATGGTGATTGTTATGATTAATCACGATGGCCATTCACTAACTATCGCGCAGATTCAAAGATTCGGACGGACTGGTCGTAAACGTACTGGAACAATCCATGCACTGCTCGCAGAAGACCGAGAAGAAATGAACATCGAGAAAGCTGAGGCAACATACAAGGAAGTCCAGAAGCTCATTTCCAAAGGCGAGATGTACGAGCTCTACAGCGACGTCGAGCGTCTGATCCCGGACCACATGAAGCCCGAATGTATCGAGAAGATGGTCGAGATCGAGAAGTACGTACGTGAAGAGGGACGGAAGAGGGCTTCTCCGAAGAAGAAAGGTGCCACGCAAGGAGTCAAGAGGAAACGAAACGACGATATTGGGCGAAATATTCCGGAAGGTGCCAGCTCTGGCTTCGTCTCAGTTCGTGACTTGGTCATTAAAGGAGCAAAGAAACCCAAGAAAGCCACCTTGAGCAAGAATTTCGACGCTGATGGCCAAGACGATGAAACAGACGAAGACATCATGTCTGGTCGCATCCTTGCTTCTCGACGAACGCAATCTGCCGCTGCTAGTACGTCGAACGAGAAGCCAGCGAAGAAGGCGACCTTGCGGAGATCCGCCACCACCGCTGGTAGCAGGTCCAAGGCACGAAGGAAGAGACTGGAGGAGCAGAGCTTAAGTCAGTTTTCAAGACAAGGCCAGGACGACTCAGACGATATGGATATCGAATACGGCGCCGTTGCTGTTACTCAGACCAGACTTTTCACGCCAAAGAAACAAGCGGATCCAGCATCCGAATCTTCTGACGAAATGGACGTGGACGAAGAAACGCACCCGAAAAATGCTTCACCTCAGGTTACTCCGTCACCCTCTAGACCTAGACCTTCTATGGTAAAGAGAAAGGTTGATTCGTCTGTCATCGAATTGTCTGATTCTTCTGATCATGATCGCCCAGCTCTCGAGCCACGACGTAGCAGGTCAACCTCTTCATTAATGCACTCGTCTTCGCATGAACGACCGAAGCAAACCGAGGACATAGGCTGGTTGGTCGATGACGATGATGATACTCTGAACTTCGAGATCGTAGACTCCTCACCCATCGCACCGAAAAAGACGCCGTCCTTCCAAAGAGTGCAAATTGGCGATGAGTCTATTGAGGTCTCTCAGCCAACTTCAAGCAAATGCACGCTAGTTGACGACTCTATCGAGCTTGTTGAACCTAATTCCAGCCCTCAGCCTCTCCGTAAACGGAGGCTAAAGCAAATTTGGAGTGATTCTTCATCTCCTCAAGTTCTTTCACCCGTCGGTGCCCCTCTGCGAAATCTGAATAAAGGGAAATCTCGAAGCCCTACACCCCCCAAGAAGCAGCCTTCTCCCACGTTGGTTGAGTCAAGCAGTCCCCTACACGCCCAACCGAAGAAAACCAATGCCACCATGCTGCCTCCGCCTCTCCCTGATAGACTCCTTGGTTTGAATGCCGATAACAGCTACGACCTCCCAGAACCATCTTATCCCGTCAGACCTGCCGGGAACCAGGCTAAGAGGCGGCGAATATTCGAGGAACCCGAATCTCCCACTCTAGAAATGCCACCCCCCTCTCAACGATGCCTCTATAGGATGGAATCAACGCCTGTGCGTCCTAAGACGAGGCACAAGACGAAGCGCGCCAAACCTTCACTACTAGCGAAGAACGTAGACCCAGTATTCGACGGCGAAGCTGCTCACTCGGGCGATGAAACTAGTGAAGGGCACTCCAGCGAGGACGAAGAGAACGACGAAGATCGCGCGTTCATCAAAAACTCGCCAGTGACGCAGGTCTCGCCATCCTACGAGCAGACACAAATTTACCGCCGCAGTCTGATGACACAGCCTGAGAATGGTCCGGCATTTGTTGGTCGCCTAGTTCGTCCCAAACCTTTTGGGAGAATCGATGGACCGAGAAGGCCGCATAAATCGCTGCCTTCTAGCTCTCCTCCTCCAGATGAGGAGCTTGATAATTATGAGTTCGGGAGCTTCATTGTCCATGACGACGCAGATATTTCTTATGAAAATTGAGACTACATAGAGTATACATCCAGACCCTGACTCACTAATCAAGGACTGGCCTCGCATGAACGAATGCATTTAACTGGTTGTACATCTACCCAAGCGTAATAGGATCTAGATCTACCCTATAAACCTATTTCAATCTTTGACATCGACATGAGATGAACGCTTGTACATACTCCAGACGTATCTAATCACCGCAACGAAATCACTGAGCAAGCTTTTTACCCCGTCTGACGTATACATCCTTCACTGCGCCGTTGACCTGTCCCTCCGGCTTCACAAATCCAGCAGCTTTCTTTTCCTTAGCAAGTTGGCGAACGGTAGCGAGAAAGTCATCAACAGCCGCGTCAGACGTTTGAATGTGGACTACAAGCCGCGAGCCTCCAAGAACAAGAGATTCAGGCAGCGCCTCGCCTCGTTCTGCGATTTCGTCGTAAGTGACACCGATCGTAGAGGGGTCATAGAATATCTGTCTCGCGTTCAGACTGGCATCGCAAAGAGCAAGTCGAAAGAGTCTTACCATGCAGGTCTCTGCCCTGCTCAGAATCTTCGCCCCAATCTCCTCTAGACCAGCTTCCAATCGTTTCGTTAGGGCATGCACACGAGGAAGCTGCGGGAAGTTATGCGAGAGTGCATATGCCGCACTTGCGGCAAGGATGCCCGTCTGACGCATGCCTCCACCAAATAGCTTTCGGAACCACCGTGCCTTCGCAATGAACTCCTTCGTGCCGACGAGACAAGATCCGACAGGTGCACCTGGATAATCGTAATCGATGAGATGAGAAGCGTTCCTTCGCCAATGTCCTAATGAATGATGAATTATCGGACGGACCTAAGCCTTTGCTGAAGCACAAGCTGACCGAGTCGAACGGGTCGCACAACTCCTTGAGAGGGGTGGATGTTTCTGCCGCGACGTGCCAGATCCTTGCGCCGTCGAGATGCGTCTTGAGACCCACAGAGTGGGCATACTCTGAAATGGCGACAATTTCATCCTGCGGGATGATTGTTCCGTTGAGTGTGTTCTCGAGGGCAACCACTTCGGTAGGCGCGCTGATTCGTAAATGTCGGTGAGTGGGTAAACAAAAGTCGCAGGACGATACATACAAGTGGATGTTGCCTGTGAGGATGACGTTGTCTTTGACGTCCTGGAGGGTGAGATGGTGATCTATCCGGAACTATCAGCAAGTGCGCTCTCCTTCAGTCTCGACAATCATACTGTTCGAGGGAACAACGGCTATAACAGCTGCGCCAGAGTGGAAAGCTGCACCACCCGCCTCATATCTGTGTCATGGATAAGCCTAAAGCGCCATGGGAGAGTTCTCTTTCACTCACTTGTGGATATGAGACCGGTGGTCACACAAGACCGAATAAGGAGGTTGCTTCAAGTGGGTCCTGAGAGCTATCTGGTTCGAAGCTGTTCCGGAAGGGACGAAAAGACCCGCTTCTTTTCCAGTCAACTGCGCGACATGGGACTCGAGTGCCCTGTTTTCGGGATGAATTCTCAAAATAGATCGTTAAGAACCTCAACAAACGCAGTCGATGGTTCGAAGTACACGTCGTCGCCCAGCGTCGCGAGCGTAGCGTAGGCGTACATCTCTTCCGTAGGCACTAATTCCTGGTTTAGACATGCATGACGAAGGCACAGTTCTGTTTTCTCAACCTGTTATCGTATCGGCTGGAAGACTGTCGGTAAAGAAGTAACGCCTGTATCTATTTATCACTCACAGACAAAATTCCTAGCGATTTCCTTCCTTTTAGCTGCATTCTCTAACGCATGAGTCTTCGATAAGATGTCTAGTTTGACCTGGTCGGCGATAGCAGAAAAGTTTGTCGTCGACATCGTTTTTTGGTGAACGAAACGAGATCTAACGAAGAGGGACCGAAGGGAACGCGATACAGAGAGAATCATGGGTACTTTATAGTTGAGCACATGAGTCACCGCTGGAAGGCCGGATCGGAAGCGTCCAGGGATTGGGGGAGAACGGGAGAAAATGACGGAATCGCGTCCCGGTTCGACCGATCGGCAGTGATCGTGTTACGTAATACAACAATCTTTATAGGCCTCATGCTGAGGACATCTTACACTGCAAAGCTCTTCCTCTGAACGCCTTCCTTGTTGCTCTATTTTCTCGGTCTCTGTGTTTTCTCATTTGCAAATACTCCTAGTACTTCAAACAAACATGGGAAATGTGAGCCGATACGGACATCCTCAACTTGCTCGAGGCTGAAGACTCGGATTTGTCTTCATGATAGGGTGCTAAAGCTGCACAAAAGCGCGAGCGCAACGCAGACAAGAACGCAGCCAAAGGATCCAAAAGCCAGGCCAAGGTCAACGAGGCCGCCAAGAACATCATCTGCGCCCAATGCAGACAATCATTCGTGAGCGCCTGCCATCCTTCTGCCGGGCTCTTACTGACCCTCCTCAAAATGCAAAGTTGGTCACCACCCGAGCGCCTGCGTAAGTTCTTATACCATGGTACATCTCTACTCAGCTTAGCTCGTGTTCGAACTTGAATCCAATCCACAGCCTTGAAGAACACTCCGCGAACAAGCATTCAAAGACGATGGCGGAGTGCTTCCCAAATTTTGCAAAGTGAACGCTTTCCCTTCTATCAAGATGGGTTCTGGGGGTAGCATTCAGGGTTATGTATGTCGTATCCATTACGTTGTCTACTGCAAGAGTCGTGCTGTTGTCGCGGACGGAGGTTCTACGAGTAATGTTGGAGGAGTCGGTGTAAAGCGGTCGATGACGATGAGTGGGGTGAAAATTATAGCGAGGTAAATCCCGGCCCTCCTGCTGCTGCTGCATTGGCAGCTCCTCGACTTTGAAGCTTCTCTCCGACCTTTTTCTGCACTTCGTTGAACTTCGCCACGCATCTGTCAATACAGACGCTCTCGCCCTTGTTCAGGTCGGGTTCGGCGTATCGTGAGCTAATGCACTTGGCATGACATGACCTGTACATGCTCGTGAGTTTAACAGACTGTACACGTCGGGTTCTACTGACTGCACCATGCGGTTGAAGAAGTCGGTCACCGTGTCAAGCCTTCAAGGGTCCGTGAGCTGCCGGCGAGAAAATGACGAAGCGCGACATACTCGGTAATGGCCATCTCAATCTTGTCCGTGTTAACGCCCCCAGAAGGAGCGGCACCGCCTCGAAGGAACGACATAATTGAAGTGAGAAGTTGAAATAAGTGACGGTAGTGGATTCTGGAAGAAGGCTTTGAGTTGGACGAGCGCGACGCCGAAAGTGTTTCCGTTGGTCACGTTTTCGATCAGGGTCCGATTGCCTTTGCCGAAAAAAGTTTTGGACTCACATCGACGCGCCGAATTAAGGCTGTAAAGTCCTCATATTTCGCCAGGCTCATCGTCATCGCGACTCTAGATTATCCACGCGAAGCGATGGAGAAGAAAAGAGAGACCACCACCCTCTCAGTCCACCGATGCCGATTTGTGGACTATGCCCCATCCTCCATAACTGCTCTTGCATACCCTCCCCTACCACTGCTCTCAATCAAAGGCAAGAAACAGAGGACAGCTGAAAAGCAGCCCATGAAATTTGGTCTGCTTGCTGTCGGACACGCCAATGGAAACATTGATATATGTGAATGGATGGGCGGAGAACGAGAACAGCAGTGCTCTCAAGCTTGGGTCGTTCGAAAGGTGCTATCATCACTGTTCTTTGGTCGATTCCATGAACTAATTATTCCGTAGATACTGCCAGGCCCCTACCCTTCCAAAGTAGACTCCCTTGCATTCGTCATCCGCCATCCAGAAGATCTCGGACCAGACGACGTTCCCGAGCAATCAGATCTTCGTCTCTTCAGTTCAGGCGGAGGAAGCGAACTTATAGAATGGGATCTGGAACGAGGATGCATCCGGGTATGTCCTCTCCCAAACTGCCTACCTGGAGCATGCTCCAACCCGCCTGCAGAAAACCATTAGTTCCCAAGGAGGCTCCATATGGTCTGTAGCCGTCAACCCATCCTCGACGTCCCTCGCACTCGGATGCGAAGACGGCACAGTTCGTATCCTCTCCGTCGCGAATGACACGTTGACCCACTCGCGACGCTTCGACAGAGTGAAATGCCGCATGCTAAGCATCGCGTGGGGTCCGCCTATGCCGCGACACCCTGCCGCCTCCTCCCAGAAGACGGCACAGACTCAGACGGCTACTGAGGAGTCCAGTGACGATGACGGTGAAGAGGATGAGTGGACGGACTCGTGGTTGGTTACTGGTGGCTCGGATAGTAGTCTGAGGAAGTGGGATGTTGCTACTGGGAGGGTTGTTGAGAGGATGGGTGTTGACAAGCTACGCGGCGAGCGTACTTTGGTATGGACAGTAGGAGCCCTAGGGTACGTGTTTCTTTTTCGCCCGACCAATACCAACTAATTTATCCCGACGCCTTAGTGATGGCACAATAATTTCTGGCGACTCGTTGGGCATGGTCAAATTCTGGGATTCGAGAACGTGCACCCAATTATATTCTTTCCAAGCCCATGGCGCAGACGTATTGTGCATGGCAATAAGTCCCGTACGCTTCCTGTGTTATTCTTTCTTTCCGGCAATTATTCAAACGTATATATTATTCAGGAAGGCAAAGCCGTCTACACCTCCGGCGTCGACCAAAAAACCGTCCAATTCTCCCTCGTCAAAACCTCCAGCACTGAAAAAGGCCCGGCCTCATCCCGGTGGACGCAAACCACCTCGCGGCGGATGCACTCACACGACGTGCGCGCATTAGCCATCTGGCCCCCATACACTCCCCTTCCTCCAGCACATAAAAGGGCCTTCCCAATCGACGTTGCACCCGTGCTCGCCTCCGGAGGTCTGGACATGTCCGTCGTCCTCACACCTGCAGCTCTACCCACGAGCACCGTGGTAAAAGTGATGAACCCGCTCGACACGAGCGTCGAGGCGACGTTTGAGGACTCGTACCATCGCAAATTGGCATATGTGTCAAGAGGGGCGGTGAGGGCGGCAAAAACTGCGCGCCTTGTCTCTTGTGCGCGAGAAGCTGGGCTGAGCATCTGGTGCATACGGAAGAAACTAGTGGAGCAGGAGGAACCCCAGCCACAAGTGTCTCCAGAGGCGATTGACCTCGACGGTGTGGACGAGCAGCCGTTCGCAGGTGGATGGGAGAAGGTCCTTGAGATGGACCTCAATGTACACTCGAATATAGTTGCCCATGAGATCTCGGATGACGGTCGGTGGCTTGTCGTCTCTGATCTGTATGAGAGCAAACTTTTCTCTTTACACACCGATGTAAGCCCTTGACCAGTCTTTCATCCATCAGCCTTCTGACTCTGTCCAGGACAAAGGTCTGATAAACCCCAAACGAATAAAAGATTTCTCCGCCATCCTCCAATCCCAAATCCCCACATCAAATACCCACCCTGTATCCACAGGCGGCCTCACCTTCCGCTTCACCCCCGACTCCTCTAAGCTCGTCATGAGCACCGCAATGTCGTCCTACATCCTTATTGTCGACCTAACAAGTGAGAAACTGCGCGTCCTGCGCCGGTTCGACCACCACCGGATGCAGGACTCGGTCGTGCACGATCGGGTCATGAAAGGCCGCGTTGCGAGTAGGAAGGGCGAGCTTAATGGACATGCTGCGGTGAATGGGAATGCTCAAGGGGATGAGGACGTGGAGATGGGTGACGTGGACTCGCCACCTCCGGTAGACCACAGTGAAGACGAGGGTGAGCAGAGCGAGCGGGAGGATGTGAAGTCGACGGCTGCGGTGGTTAGCATCGACCAGATCGCCATTAGCACGGATGGGCAGTGGCTTGCTACCTCAGACAGTAGGGCCCGGACGCATGTATTCAATCTCGACTCAATATCAGTAAGCTCTCCTGTCCACCTGTCCTTACGTATTTGTTCTAACCATTTTCTTATTTGTAGCACCACACCGTCCTGCCGTCCTTCCACCGCCCCGCCCAAGTCCTCGCCTTTGACCCTGTGCACCCGTCTGTGCTCCTACTCGCCTTCCCCGACAACACGATCCAGATCTACGACGTCGAGACGCGTCAGTTCCCCGCCTGGGGCAAAGAGCTTGCCTCCAGCTTGCCAAAGCGATTCACCAACGCCCACGACACCGTTCTCGGTGCCGCCTTCGACCCTCTCCCTTCGCCTTCTCCCCTGTGGCTTGCCACTGGTTCTGGAATTGCAGAGGACCAGGACCAGACCAGAACACGTTACGTCCTCTTCTGGGGCGCGACGTGGCTGTATAAAGTAAGCCTGGACACACGGGTGCGTACGGGTGGGAAGAAGCGGCGGAGGGATGCAGCGGGTCTAGGGTTGCCAGACGAGGGCAGACAGTGGCGCGACTCGAAGATGGTCACGACGTACCGCCCGATACTGTGCTGCGACTTTTTAGCGAAGGATGAGTTGGTGGTTGTCGAACGTCCGTTGGTGGATGTGTTATTGACACTGCCGCCGGCGTACTTCAAGCATAAATATGGAGCTTCTTGAGGTATGGTGTGCTGTATCAAAATTCCATTGTTGTACTGGATTGCCCATTCATTTTTGTATTGCATGTGCAGGTCCTACATCTGAGAGGCACGAAAAAAGGAGATTCAGATGCAATGAGACCATATCTACCGTTGTATGAATAATGAATGTTTTTGAAAGATCAAAATGAGCATGCCAGGCGAACCTTCTACCAATGTACGATGTAAATGCAAGTGGCAAAGGGAGTGGGGAGGAAGACTAGAACAAGGAAACAGATAGGAGAGATAATGTTAACCTAGAGCTACATAATGCGACGACAGATTAAGAGAAACTGTATACAATCTAGACAGATGATTGAGACTGCGCAAAGACGCAGGGGAGGACGATTAGCTCATGAGTCAACCGTTTTTCTCATGGCGTACTGCCGGTCCTGTTTCTTGTCCTCCCTGTCAACGGCTAATTAGTAAAGTGGAAACTCCCTTACAATGTTCAAAACGTACTCGGAGTTAAGGATAGACAGATACAGCGTCCAGAATACGCCGCATGATTGAGCGAACGGTACGCGATAAGGGAGAGGCATGTACCGGAAGTTTACCAGCTGCGACAAGATGTCAGAAACAGTTTCTTGGGCCTGGAAAACGATCGAAACACACCTGAGCAAGAGGCCAAACTTTCCAGTTTGCCAGGAGAGCGGTACGGTACAAATCCTTGAACCTCTCGCCGATTTGCCCTGGGCTGCGAGCCTCCATGACGCCCATCGAGCCTAGGAAAAGACCGAGCTATAGGTTCGTGAGCAAGTGTGCATGGAGTGGATGGGAAAAAGGTCAGACATACACCAATAGGCGCCCTGCAATAAGCTGGTTAGTGAAGTTGGACAAGGTACGGTAAGGCAGACTCACATTATAAGTTGGTCGCATGCAACGCGTTTTGAGAGTGCCGTGAATGAGACCTTACCTCTCTTCCATGACCTGAGAGGGAATCTTCGCTCTAGGAATGCGTTCCACCGTCCCATGATAGGGCCTACATAGCGGAGTCACATCGTCTGAGACATCGTGTGCACCCGGAGCGAAAGACAATCCACTCACTTATCGCCAGACCATAGCAGAAGAACCTCAAAGTCCGTGCCCCATCGTACCCTCTCCTATCCTGAGGCTCCGTCTCACCCAGCTGCACACCGAAATCATCCCTCAGCAAGGGACGCCCAGAGAATAGTAGGATCGATAAGACGCACCGTGTTCTGCGCGACCTGAGCGACGATGTCGCCGAGCGCGTTGAAGCATCCTCCGGTGAGTGCGAGCGTGAAATTGGGGTGGGCGTCGAAAGAGTGCTGGTACGCGCGGGTGAGAGCAACGGCCATACAATGTTATGGTTGGAATCTTTCGGGATTCGTAAACTGCAAGCGAGGTAGTCTTTTGGTGTCGTTAGATGACGGCTAGACGCAGCCCAGATGTGCGATTAAATAAGAGGAATGTGGCGCAGAGAAGAGCAGGTGGGTCAGTGGCTACAACACTGTGGGGGCGCCAGCGTCTTTCGTGGGGCAACCCCGAATTTTCGATCCATTTCTCTGCTTTTCTATTTTAATTTCGCCAAGATCGACGCCGCGTCGGCACGCGCTTGGCAGGCACGTGACAGGCGAGGCGTGACGTCATTCCTGATTGGGTGCCAGCCGCCGGTCGCGGAGGTTTGTCGATGGAGTCAGCCAACGACGAGTGTCAGCCGCCATGGGAGGGTACATAACGCGTCGCGCGACGCGTCTGGCTTCCTTCCAACTCTCTTTCCCAAACTATCATCACGACAGTCTATTCCTCATCTCTATACTACCACATTACTATTCAGCTACTCACAACCTCTACCAGCACTACCACAACACCAACACTCTTCACATTACTATGCCTTCCTCTATCAAAATCGCCCTCCTTGTCTTCCTCACTGTCTTCGGCCTCTCCGTCGCTGCACCCATTCCCGACAACAACACCCAACTAGGCAACTCATACTCTGGAGCAGGCGGCCACGCCGATGGCGGGGCTGTGAAGAACTCCAATCCAAACACTAATGCCCCCTTCAGCCGCTTGTCACTCATCAAGCTGTTCTCCAGTGGGTTTTGTCTTCTCATATCGAACCACAGCTGACAACCATGTGCTGCGCTAGGTAACGCCGGTGACGGTGGATCCTCAACCTCTGGGTCTTCTAGTGGAAGCGAGTCTTTCGCTGTCAGTCAGGCACAGGCAGCAACTGGCAATGGCACGGCGCCCACGGGCAACACAAACAACGCTCTGGGCAATTCGTATAGCGGAGCTGGCGGGCAAGCGAATGGAGGTTCCGTCGATGACTCCAGCGCTCCCATTGAGCTCTTCTCCGGTACGCCCCTCTTTGCTGTCGTGACCAGACTCTGACTATTGTCCCGGACTACAGACAACGCTGGAAAAGGCGGAAATGGGAAGAGCGGCGCCAGTGGCCCACTCGCCGGCATCCTTGTCCCCAGCAGCAAGAGCACGAGCACGAAGACCTGGAGGACCACCAAGTTTACACGCGTCGTCCACCTTCAGCTCGACTGACAAGGAAAGCGGACGACAGGGATATTATCCAAATTTTGTATTATTATCTGTACAATAACTGTAAATTTAGCGTAACACCATCTGTATGATTAGTGTGAGATAGCTACCCCAGGAGAGTAGCACAATACTTATATCCAGCATTCTCTTCGAAATAGAGTCAAATCCAACTCCTCACGAGAAGACTTACAGAAATGTACTATCCCTCTAAAAAGATCAAAGAAGCCGTAGCTTTCCAGTCACTTCGTTTATCAAGTTCACGGGTGCGGGTCCGATGGCGAGAACAGTCCGTGTGCCTTCCTCTACCTGTGTCAAACCTCTGCAATGAGGTGAGGACAATCCTATAGGCCAAGTTCGGAGGGCGAGAAAGACGTACTGATCTTGTATTGACCGCGCACAAAGGTTCAGGCTCTTCGCAATGGCTTCCAGCTCGAGGAGTTGGTCTTCTGATTTTGCCTTTAAGGCAATCTTCGCCTGGCTGAGTGGAATCAGGCTTCAGAATAGGTCCTAATCCTTAAGTAGCATGCCAGTCACCCTGTCCGTTCCCAGTGCTGCACAAGCTGTTTCGGCATTTCTGAATGAGCCCACTGTTGAGGTTCGAGGCGCGAATAAGACTCACCGAAGGATTGACTTTCATAAGTGCCTTATAGCAGGCTAATGTCGCGTGTCTATCGACCAAGGTTTAGACTTCCAAATTTCCCAGAGCCAACGGACGGGACACGCACCCACACCTAGATGTTCACAACACCCTTCAGAGCCCCCATCACGATGCGACGCATCAAAACACTCAACTGAGCCGCAATTTTGCCCTGGGTCATCTTTAGATCAGTTCGCACCACTAAGACCTAGTCAAACTACGGCATGAGTTGGTTATTCAACGCGAAAGAAAGACTAGATGCACCATTTTGCATCGTTCCAGGAATCCAGCAGATATGGAAGAGAGGTCTCCATCTGAAATGGATTCCGCATCTTCTTCCGCATCGCTTTCATCGGCGTCTAGTAGTGCTTCATTTTCAGGGCGCGGCGTTGAGGTTGTCTTGGGTCTCGCGAGTGTACCGAGTCGGTAACCCGCGAGGACGGAAACAAGGCAGAGGGTCAGTCCGAGAGCAACTGGCTCGTTATGGATCAGATTGTATGAGAAAAGCAGTCAAAGAAAGCATACGCTGGGAGGTTGGTGACTGGGATACGACCATGGCAGGAAATGGGGGAGAGGTACACGCACCGAGGAAAAGAAGTGATCGAAATTCGGTCATCGGCAACTCCCGAACGGATTTTTCTGCCTTTTTCCTCCAACGACCAAGTCCGACTTTCCTTGATATACCGTTGGACACCTAAAAAGACATCCTGAAATGTCATCAGATACATCGGCGGCTGCGTCGACCTCGAGATCCGATATGAGCAAAAAGAAACGAAGACACAGGAAGAAGGAAGCTGCAGGTGCGGCAGAAATAGAGCAAGAGCGGCCTGAAGCCTGGACATCTGTCTCTGCTGCTGGGTCCTCCTCTGAACCTGCACCCGAAGCATCTTCTTCGTCTCCTTCCAAATCCAAACCTACCACTACCCCGTCTTCCTCAAAGCCTACAGACCCCACCCCAACCATTCCCTCGAAGACGGACCGTCTCCCATTTTCCACCCTCGACCTCTCCGAACCCACCACCCGCGCACTCACCGAAATGGGCATGTCCACCATGACCCCCGTACAAGCCAAATCCATACCCGTCCTTCTCGCGGGCAAAGACGTCCTCGGTGCCGCGCGCACGGGAACGGGCAAGACGCTCGCCTTCCTCGTACCCGCCATCGAGCTCCTGCACCGGCTCAAGTTCAAGCCCATGAACGGGACGGGGGTCATCATAATCACGCCCACAAGAGAGCTAGCGCTGCAGATTTTTGGGGTGGCGAGGGATTTGATGAAATACCATTCGCAGACGTTTGGGATTGTGATTGGGGGTGCGAACCGGAGGGCGGAGGAGGAGAAACTGGTGAAGGGGGTTAATTTATTGGTAGCGACGCCTGGGAGGCTGTGGGATCACTTGAGGGTGAGTTTATATGGTCACTGATTTTGAAGACAGGGCTTGACGCAATTTTTTCTTATGAGCAGGACACAAAAGGCTTCGTGAGACGGAATCTCAAGGCTCTTGTCATTGACGAGGCAGATCGGATATTGGAGATCGGTTTCGAGCAACAGATGAAGGATATTATTGCCATGCTTCCAAAAGGTAAGCTTCCATAAAGCAACTTTATGTTCTCTTCTGATTCCCGGTTTCTTGTAGACGAACGACAAACCATGCTATTTTCCGCAACCCAAACCACAAAAGTTACCGACCTGGCACGGATATCTCTCCGACCAGGGCCTGTACACATCGACGTCGACAAGGAAGAAAGCACGAGCACAGTCTCAACCCTCTCACAAGGTTACGTCGTGTGTCCTTCGGAACGACGTTTCCTCCTTCTTTTCACATTCTTGAAGAAGAACCTCAAGAAGAAGGTCATTGTCTTCTTCTCGAGTTGTAACTCTGTAAAATACCACTCGGAACTGCTGAATTACATCGACGTACCTGTCTTAGATCTTCATGTGCGTATATTCTTTCCAGTTTCTTCAGCTTTCAAGGCTGACACGACTCTACAGGGCAAGCAAAAGCAACAAAAGCGCACAAATACATTCTTTGAATTCATAAATGCCGAGAACGGCATCCTACTCTGTACAGACGTCGCCGCTCGCGGGCTCGACATCCCCCGCGTAGACTATATCGTGCAGTACGACCCTCCAGACGACCCCCGAGACTACATCCACCGTGTCGGCCGAACAGCACGCGCAGGGAAAGTCGGCAAGAGTCTCCTTTTCCTCTTAGAGTCCGAGCTCGGCTTCCTTCGCTACCTAAAAGAAGCTAAAGTGCCTCTGAACGAGTTCGTGTTCCCCGCCGACCGGATCGAGAACGTGCAGGCGCAGCTCGAGAACCTCCTCGCGAAGAACTACCACCTCTACCGCTCAGCGACGAGCGGGTACCGCGCGTACCTCCAGTCGTACGCGTCGTACTCGCTGAAGAAAATCTTTGATGTGAACGCGCTGGATTTGACAAAGATCGCGAAGGCGTTTGGGTTCAAGGTGCCCCCGAGGGTGAATTTGGCAGTTGGCCCGGGTAAGGGGCAGTCGGCACGGGCTGGGGAGAAGAGGAGAAGGGATGAGACGGAGAGCGAGTCGGAGGAAGAGGAAGAGGAGGGTGGATCACCGGACAAGAAACCCAAGACAGGCGACGGGTCGATTCGTGGACCGATGAGAGGGAAGGATGGGAGGGCGAAGAGGATAGAGACGCTAGGCAAGAAAGCGGTGGAGAAAGAGAGATTCAGAAAGGGTAAGGAGATGAAGCAGCTGGGAAAAAACTGGAGTCGGTAGACTACATCCTTCTCATGTCTCCCCACCTTGCAGAGATCGAATATTTTTGGATGACTTCATTAGATTTCATTTTTGCAAGATTTTCCTGTGACGTCTTTTTTTCACGTGACCAACACCCGTGTGACGCCACGTTTGGTTCAACCGCGCTGACGATTCGATTTCTCAGTCCGTCACCTCAAGTCTTTTTTTTCCTGAAGCACCCAGCGCACCGCAGACTCATTCCCCTTCCTTCTGTACTACACCTCCTCCATCTTCTGCTCTAGTGACAATGGCAACGACACAGGTACGCACCCTCTGTCCACGTCACCCCGCCGCGCAGCATGTATTCACCGAGCTCTTGCGGGTTCGCTTGTTTCGCAGCACTATCTGTGGGCATCCGGCCACTTCCTCCTTCTCCTTGCATCTCTGCGATATATTCTTGCATGGGTCACCTTCAAGTCTGTCTCTGCGTGGTGGTACAAAGGTGCGTGCGTACCTCGTGTTATGCTGTCCTCAGTGCTGACCGTATCTCTCCTACCAACGTCGTAACTTTGTAGCCAGCTTCACGGGGGCCCTTATCAGTTATGCCATTGTGTGCAAGTGCGTTTGTTCTCTCTGTGATTCCTGCTTTTATAATCTAGCTGACGCCTGATGGACAGCAAATCGCTGGGGGTATGTTTTTCTCGGTTCTGCATCCAGGTGTTCGGACATGACGTAACACATGCTGTTGCTTGCAGACTCCCCAGCCGAATATCGCATACTTTAGGCGCGCCTTACTCGACGAGGTAGGTTTGTCTCGCTAGAGGATGAGACAGTATGACTGTTGGAGCTGACGTCGTATCGATTTGGTCATAGAACGTCCAATACTTCCTCCTCGCCTTCTTCTGGTGGACTTCGAAACCTATCACCAGTAGGTTTCCTTCTCTTGAAAACGATGTTATACCTTGCTAAAGGAATTGTTGTCATCCCCAGTTACGCTCCTGCCCTACATGATCTTCTCTCTGTTCCATGCGCTGACCTTCACCCGCACAACTCTGATGCCCCAATTCCTCCCCCCGGCGCCTCCCGCTACTGCCGGTGGAGCGCCTCAACCTCATCCATTCGCGAAGAAGCTCCAAGTCTGGATTAAATGTCAGTACAGGCACCCTGTCTGACAACTCCGCATATAGGCTTCTGACTGACAACTATGACCAGCCAACTACGACACCGCGATGAAGGTCGTCGCCTATACCGAGCTCGTCATCTTCATCCGTGTGACCCTCGGTGCAATCACCTTCCAAAACTCGCTGATTTCGCCCATCATCTACGCGCACTTCCTCCGCCAGCGATACTATCAGTCAGCGTTCACGCGTGACGCTTTGGCTGAAACTTCGAGCCGCATCGACGCGCTCGTGCGCAAGCCCGGCAACCCGCCAGTCCTCCTACAGGTGTGGGACAAGGTGCAGATGGTCACGAGGCGCTGGGCGGGCGTCGCGCTCACTCCCAATGCTGGTGTTCCCCAGAATAACGAAGGACGATGATCGTGTGGTTCAATGAACGGACTGATGATTACTTATGTGTGAGGTAGAGAAGAAGGATGAGAGGGTTGTTGTAAATAAGCACGCCGGCGGCGTATTTCTTTCTAGATTCGAGCTTGAACGCTTGTTCCCTTCTCTCCTTGCACAGGTGTATTTAATCAGCGCTTTATTAGATGACAGATGGGATGTGTTCTATTTACTACATACGGCGCGTTTGTCAATGCTAATTATGGTGTCCTGACCTTGTCCTGGTCTCTCTTCGTACATTTCTGTGGATAGAGGAGAATGACGACGGTGGTGTGGAACGTCAGCTTTGTATCAAGATGACGTCGGGCATTAGCAATGCCTATATATAAAATTTGCTATCTTGAAGTAAAAGACTCAAAATGCCGTCTGTAACACACGCAATATCCAACTTCGTCACCGCCGTCGCGGGGGTCTTCGCGTCGCTAGTCAACTCAATTTTCGCCATCTTCCATGCAATCTTCGCGCTCGGAGTGGGTGTCGTAAATAGCGCTCTGACTGTGATGAAACACCTCATAACGATAGTTATGGAGCTCTTCCGGAGCGTCCTTGGCTTCGTTTTAGGTATGTGATTGAGAGCAGTGCTCGAGATGTTCTCTAAAATATTTTCAGCCAATTTTGTTGCAATCGCTTTCGTCGGAGGGGCGTACTCTGTGTACACGGCGTACCAGGGGCGAAATAGGGGCGCACGAAAGAGGAAGCGCAGGGCATAATTACATAATTACGTAATGCTTCTAAGCCAACCAAACAAGCCCAACGCATCGCCTAAAACGAGCTCAAATTTGAGGAAAGGCTGCCAGTTGACGTCGGCCAGTTGTGCTCGCTGAATGTCCCGTATACCCGTGCCCACTCACACCAACCGCCCCCAGTCCCCCTCTGCTCCACCCCCTTTCCTCACTTTCCCGACTTCTCCCGAGCGCTCAGACAGATACAACGACCGTGACCGTGACGCCTCTCCTGCCCCACGCGCCAACGTACCCCGCTCGAACACCCTAGCAAGCAGCACAGCAGCGTCCATGTCGTCCATGTCAGGCTACCAGGGCTCCGTCTCGGAGTCGCGCAGGAAGCAGTCCAAGCGTGACGATGTGCGTATTGAATATTCTATTCCCTGGAATCTCGGGACCTCGTCTAACTTGACTATGATGGCAATGTAATGCGGTTCAGGCTATCCGCAAGAAGATCGAGTCGGAGCTCTCGCGCAAGCGTACGATATCGACGACACAGAACGCTGCGGGACGCTCATCGCGGCGGGCTCCGGGAAAACCGGCGCCAGCAAAGGGCACCGTCGCTGCTCTGAAACCCAGCCCGGCACTGACTGTCCCGGAGAACATTACCGTTGCGGAAGCCAGTCAGTTGTGCGCCGCGAAACGTACGGACTGCGTACTTGTCGTCGACGATGAGGAAGGCCTGAGCGGTATCTTCACCGCGAAGGATCTGGCTTATAGGGTACGATTCCTCCCGGGGGCTATCGGTATCGGAAGTGACACTGACTTCATTCTTTCGTTTGTTGTGGGTAGGTCACCGCGGAGGGCCTGGATCCTCATGCGACTCCCGTCAGCCAAATCATGACGCGTAACCCGATGGTCACCCGCGACTCGACGAGCGCGACGGAGGCGCTGCAACTCATGGTGTCGAGGCATTTCAGGCATCTGGTACGTGTCCTCCCATACATGTCTGGCTAAACTCTAACGCTTCATATCCGGATAGCCCGTCTGCAATGAGGATGGCAACGTCGTCGGTCTTCTCGATATCACCAAAGTCTTCCATGAGGCCCTCGGCAAGGTCGAGCGCAGCTCTGCCGCCTCTGAGCAGCTCTTCTCTGCTATGGCCGGCGTGCAGTCCGAGCTGGGCGCTGTCGGGTCCAACCCACAGGCTGCTGCCATGCTAGCCTGGGCCGAGAAGTTGCGCGAGAAGACTGCCCTGCCTGACCTGACCACCGTCATGGACTCACGGACGCAGCCCGCGACGGTCAGCCCGAAGACGACCGTCCGAGAAGTCGCGAGACTGATGAAGGAGCGCAGGACGACGGCGGTGTGTGTCATGGAGACCCTTAGCCCCCAGAGCCCCGGCCTGGCATCGACAACGAAGATTGCGGGCATCTTCACGAGCAAGGACGTTGTGCTGAGGGTTATCGCAGCTGGACTGGACGCGTCGAGGTGCAGTGTGGTTAGGGTCATGACACCCCACCCTGATACCGCACCTCCTACTATGACGGTGCACGATGCCCTCAAGAAGATGCACAGTATGTCAATCTCATGGTTTGCTGAATATTTAGGGTGCTAATACCGTTGTCGTATAGATGGACATTATCTCAATCTCCCCGTTGTTGAATCTGACGGGCGGCTAGTAGCCATTGTGGACGTCCTGAAGTTGACTTATGCAACATTGGAGCAGGTATGCTTGTCCTATGCCGTAAAGTAAGGTTCAACTTGATACAGTGTCGTAGATGAATGCGATGTCCGGCGGCGACCCTGCCCAAAACGATTCCGAAGGTGGACCGATGTGGGGCCGTTTCTTCGACTCGATTGGAGACAACGAATCGGTCCTCTCGGGTTCCCACCAACACACCGACCTGCGTTCTTTTCCCTCCATTGGTGACCTCCATCTACAGCAATCGCCTCACTCAGAGGTTCATCCCAACGATTCCGCCTCTGTGATGGACGACGACCACGCCTCTGCACTCGAAGGCTACGCTCGTCAGAAGGGCCTTTCCGTTCCACCTGGCGCTGTTCCCGTCCCGGTTGATGACGGCACCTACGTCTTCAAGTTCCGTACACCTAGTGGTCGTACGCACCGCTTCCAGTCGCGCCACGACGACGTGGAGCATCTGCGCGAAGTCGTCGCCGGCAAGCTTGCCACGGACCCCTTCTTCACGGAGTACCGGCCTCCTTCGGAGGATGCCCAGCGTCCGGACCCAATCGACTTCCATCTGTCGTACACAGACACAGACGGTGACACCGTGCTCATCACCTCGGACCACGACGTGACGGAGGCAGTGAAGATCGCACGTGCAAGCGGCACCGACCGCGTTGTGCTGTTTGTGCAAGGTGGCAAGGGATGGGCTGAGGCTGGCGCGGGCAAGAGCGAGGCCAGGGCTGCAGAGGAGGCCGCTGCTGCCAAACAGGAGGCCAAGGAGATGGAGAAGGCGGAACTCGCACCAGTCGGTGCAACGACCCCGACTGTGGTCGCTCCGGCGCCTGAGCCCATCCCTATCCCTGTTCATGTATCGCGTCATCACGCTCATGCCCATGGACACGGGCAAGGAGATGAGGTGTTTGGCATCCCGAAGGATCTATTGCTGCCTGCGAGCATTGGAGCATTGGCGGTGGCTATCATTGGAGTGTTCACGATCTCGAGGCTGACCTCAAACAACTATTGACTTGGGAGCCATCTGAAGAGAAGGCCAAAAGAGAGGATGAGGATGGGAGAAAGAGGAGAGAAAGAAGAGAGTGGAGAGAAAGAAGAGAGTGGAGAAGAGAAGAGATCAGTCATCGAAGATATCGATATACATGCAAAATATTCACGACATCACCCACCTTCTCTTTTCCTAGACGACATTTTTCGTTATGCCGAACTTTATCATCTCCTTCTACATGCTAGTAAAGTATTCCATGTCTACGACCTCATTCATGTCTTGCTTTTTCGCTTTTTCCTAGTACATAGTATTTACTGATTTGTCGTAATACTGTGGAAGGCTTCGTTCTCAGTTCTCAATTCTCAATTGCAATGACCGTCACGATTTTTATGAAGTGTTACATTTGAACATCCCGGGATCCGAATGCTGGTGCCGAGAGTGTGTAAGTATTTCTGCCCACGTGCAGGGAATCGTAGAGAGACGTGACTTGTAATTGCTTGTCGCGTACTGGACATCTCCTTCCAGCATCCACTCCTTCAACCGTCCGTCCCAGCCACTCGTGCACTGTCGTCCTCGGTTCCCAGCAGGCATCGCACTTGCCGCTGCCTTCCATGCCCAAGTCGGAGCGAGATGAGACTCTGGCTGCTTTGGTGAGCACTTCAACCTCGGCACGGTGCTTCGATAGCTCTGTTTCGTGTTTTGGCTCATTGGAATATCTGGTCGTCGGATTACAGACTGCTAAGATATTCTCCGCGATGCTGGATGAGCTGGTTACGGATGCGACGTTGCAGTCACACCACGAAGTGGCGCGTTCGAGGGCGGTATGTCCGGTATGCCATACGCGGTGCGTGTCCGTCTCTTTCGCTGGTTGGCCTTCGCATATCGACCTTCTTATTCACTTCTTCGTTATGCTTAGGTGTGGGTCGAGTGAGTATTTCTCCCCTTCGAATGTTTGAACAGCGTCTAACACGCCGATCAACCCGCTCTTCCTCCACCATGCACCAGTACACACACCTGGGTCGGCATCGGCGATAAACAACGAGGCGTTGCAGGCATCAGTCGCTGCTCAGGCAGCCTTACGTGCAGACACCCCATCTTCGTCTGGGAGCAATGACGTCGCGGCCAAGAGCAACGTTAACGGAACAGGGACCAGCACGCCGACGAGTGGCAAGGATGGGAACCTATACCTAGAGTGTGTCTCGTGTTCGCGCCAGGTGTGTATCCTACGTCTTCTGTTATTCCTTCTAATTATTTATTTTATTGACCATTCGGTATAGATCGCGTCTAACAGATATGCCCCGCATCTTGCCTCGTGCATGGGCCTAAATTCAGCCCGGAGAGCGCCTGTCCGTTCAAATGCAAAGTCGAAGTATGTTTATTTCCGCTCACCTTCTGAAAGTAACTCATTGGACTGGTGCAGGCAAGCCTCCGATGCCGGTCGTTCGGCGTCACCTGGGTCCGACGGTGGGAACGTCTCTGACGACAAATCGAAGGGCAAGGCAAAGGCAAAGAGCAAGAAACCAGGTCAATTCACAGCGGTTACGGCATATACCAGCACTCATCGAATTTGGGCTGTGCAGCGGACGAGAGCGAATTTAATCTCAAGCGGAAACGGGTATTTATCTCTATTGGTTTTCCAGTTTGAAAGTAAAATGACACGCCGTAGCCTACTTCTCCTCAGATTTCACCAAACAAAAAAGCGAAGAAGGGCAAAGTGTCTGGTACGTCTACGCCGTGCTGCGTCAAGATGGCACAGGTATCTATTTATTGCGCCATTTCTACAGGTTCGCCTGTATCACGCGTCAAAGCCGATCCCGATCTTTCTGGACTTCCGTCCAACGTGAGTGTATCTTCTGAGCGTAAAAATACCTGACAGAAACAACCTCTCGTCATTCAGTCGCATTTCTCTCCTTCCATCAACTCCCAATCTAAAGTCCCCTCGAAACTGCGCGACAGCTCAACGGCGTCCTTCCTCGAGCGTTCATCAGCGTCTTCACGAGAGTCGTCACCAGGGGGGATCTCTGTCCCCACGCCTGCTTCCTCCTTCTCCTCTCAACAAAGCCCTACCCGACCTCTGGCTGGCAACAGCAAGGCTGCCGGCCGACCCAAGCCTCCAGCGATGGGTACCGGTCCCCCTAAACGGCCGAGTCCACCAGTACCACGGCCTCCAATTCACGTCCCAGATTATAACGGTTTGTGGACATTCTCTCCTCTGTTTTGCTTCTACTCTGACAAACTCTTTTCTTCTCCCAGAAATCGACCACGCTAATGAAACAGGTTCATCAACTGATACTGATAGTGACTAATTCCCTTACAGTTGTTGCCAGCCCATCGTCGTCTACTTATTCACCAATTAACTCTTCTGCATGTCTCATCTCCACGCTTGACTTGTTACTCCGTATTGCTCTGTCTGTTTGTCTGTCTCCCTGTATATATCTATCATCCAACTCCGGCATTTCGTATCACTAGTACCGACCCAATCATGACATCTGCAATCGACTATTTACGAGTGTTCCACATCACTGTCCGTCATGAAACAGGCTCTAAGCTATAGCAAGTCCGTGGCATCTAATTCTGGGTAACGCGAAGTCCGAAAAGCATCTATCAAAAGCCTAAGCTCTAGGAAGTTTGTGTCTAATAGATATGCATCTAAGCATCTATAGGTCTAAGGATCTGAATCGTCTACAAGTCTAAGGGTGGCAAGTGAAGAGGAAAGAATATAGCATGTCTCAATCAATCAAGCTGATTGGTTATGAAATATTGTGAGGTCGTTAAAGTTGTTAAAGTCGTCTAGACAAGGGTAGTCTTGCAGGGTAAACGTGAAGGGAACAGGGTCCAAAGGCAGGCGATCGCTGCAGCGAGAGGCACAGTGACGTATGTCAGCGTTTGGATGCCTTTTGCGTCCAAAATGGCTCCGGTCTTTAGGGGGAAGATCGCTAGAAACGCGGTCAGCTATAATTACTCCATCGGTTGAGAACTTGAGTCAACATACCTCCTCCAAGGCTGCCAAACGATGAGCTACACAAGATACTTCTTAGTAATCTCATTAAAAGCACTGAAGACGAGAGAAATGCCCTACATCAACGCCATTGCCGCCATGTGGACTTCTTCGGGCAGGATATCGTTGGCCATGCTCAAGCACGCAGGGAAGATGGGTCCATATAAGACGCCAATCAGGCTCGTTGATACAGCATTCTGGATGTTGGATTTGATGAACCAGACGAGCAGATGCATAATGACTGCAACCATTCTAAAACAAAAAGGCATTAGCAACTGTGGCGCATGATCGGGGTTTTTGAACTGACATGCAGGCATGCACAGTGTATTTGCGTTGGGTGAATGTGAGGCTAGACAGATGTTGAGTGGACTCGCCTCTGTTGGAAAGAAAACAGCACGTACGACGGAATACAATATCCCCAGATGAATCTCCCTACGCTGATGCCAGCCCAAAAGCCTGAGGTGACATACCCAACTGTTTTTTCGTTTGCGTGCCTAGTCTGGAGGAGGTACGTCACTGTCTACAACCACGCAAATATTCAGCGCTGGTGAAATGCCTGCTATAGTCATGTAACACTCACAAAACCCTGGGTTGTCGTCTCGCTGGGGGAAAAAGGTGGACCCATTAAAAAAAAAGAGTCAGGAGCGCAGAATATTGACAATAAATATACCTGCCGCAGTAAAGCAGAATGAAGGACGATAATGCCCACTGATAAGGCATGGAAAGAGCGAGACGCAGAGCTAATCGAAGAAAAATGCTGTCAGATAAATCATGAAATAAAGCATTGGCCAATTTACCGCTGCGGGGTTTCGCCCCAAAGTTAAATTTGATAGTCGAAGCTGCTGGGTTCTCAATATCGTTCACGGGAGAAGAACGTCCGGAACGAAGGTGTTGGCTTTTCTGGAAACGAGCTTCCCCCAGAGCATCCTGACGCTCTCTGTACGACTCGCTGGGCGTAGGCCTGAACATGGATGCCAGAAAGGCGATGTTGAAAGCAGAGAGAGCAAGCGAACCATAGTAGAAGTGATACCATGGCACGCCTATGGCAATAATCGACTGACAGACAAGAGGAGATGCAACACTGCCAAAGCCTGGGCCCGCGTTAATCATATTTCACAATGAAAAGGAGAGGAATGCATTCACTTGCAAGACCGAGTCCGTAACCAAGGGCCTGCTTGGGACCCGCAGCAAAGAAAGCATTTCTACGACCGAATCAGTGGTTTCCTCTAGGCATAAGCAATTTTAAATCCCGTACAAAGGAGCTGCAAGAAATGTATCAGTCTGTTGTTCGTTTTCCGCGTAAGAGAAACGCACCGGTAAGCAACGCTCGCGAGAATGCTGAAAGCACGTAGGCTAGGAACATGACAGGGAATCCACTCCTTGAACCCATCATAATGAAATACATGGCATGAATCACGCTGGCAACAACCAGGACCAGGAAACGGGCCTGAGTGTCCGAGTGTCCATAGTCGTCGTTGAAGGCATGTCGTTTACTGAAAACCGGAAAGAGCACAAATATTGACCTTGTGTTGCGTTTGACTTGAAAGCGGCCAAGAAATTTCAAGATGGTTTCAACGAGGAATGTACCGGCAAAGAAGCTATTGAAAGAATGTCAGTCTCGAGTTTGAGAGATTTGAAGATTTCTCAACAAACCCGCAGGTCGATGCAGCGAACAGAGAGGACGAAAGTGTCGACGTTAGATTGAATTCCGCAGAAAGGTCTGTTGAATGAAATGAGCGCCCGTATGACACAGGCACGTTGAGGTCTGCGTACATGGCATGACAGTTCCAGTCACTGCCGAATTCGGTCAATCTAGGATCATGACACATGGGTTCGAGGCTTACCTCCGTCGGCCCAGCCACCCATGAAACACGCGAAGAAACCACTTGCCAAACGCCAATTCAGGCGGTCGAAAGTAGTGACCGGGTCATCTTCCTCGTCAAGCTCCTTCGTCGGCGAAGGCGCCCGACTGTTGACAGCGGTGGACGGGGAACTCGTGTAGGGAGAATAGTCGGAGTATGCCTGGTGACGCGCAACAGCGACCGTTGTTGAATATTCCGCCATGCGGACGTTGGACAGAGGAGAAGGGAGATCGAATCGAGGTGTCCGTTTCGACATTGTTAAGGACAGAATTTCGGCGAGTTGCTGGTGCTCTGCGTCGTCGATAGCACCTTTGTCGGGTTGAGGAGATGCCAATGGGTCGCGTCCTTCAATGTCGTTCTCCTGGTTGGGCATGGTATATGGCGCCGCTGGCAAGCTGGAAGAGAGGGGACGAGGGAAGGTGCGCTGTGGAATGGAGAGACATGGATGGTTCAGCCTCTCGCCTTATACTGCGGCTAGCCAGGACGAGACAATATTATTTTCTTAATCTCCAACCACGATACATTCTGGTCGAGTCAAGGAGAGGAAATGTTTGATGTGACATCATGCTGCATGCGCCCTCCGCTCACGAGTCCCAACCAGAAGTCGTTCATTTACGAGAGAAAAAAGGCGTCGGGAGGATCGAAGAGGTAAAGATAGGTACCACGAGTCCGACTCTCTTGGTTGCACTCTTAGATGAAGTAGGGTCGAGAAGATACCAGTGAGATGATACCAGCTATCGTCATTGTGAACTTACCGAGTGCGGCTCCTCTCCGTCGGAGCGTGCTTCGAAATGGAGTGGCGGTGCCTGAAGTTTTTTTGCGATTGGCTGATAGCCATGTTGTTCGCGAGATAATGGAGAATACTAGGCATACCCTGAAAATTTTCAAGAAAAGCGCAGGAGACCCTAAATTCATTCAGATAGCGCGAAACGGTGCGAATGAGATGGCATGGTACAAGATTGTCGGTTTTGTTAAATGCCATTGCTTCCGTTGAAACGCGTGCGTCCCTGTTCAACCTGCTGTGCCCCTCCCTGGACAAGACAATCTGAGATAATCATTTATCCTTGGTTCCGTGATAAGCGCTGAACGTGCTGAACGGATGTACATGTCAAAGATGTTAACACGCTTCCGACTAGGAGATTACCAGAAAGCGCAGGGGACGAGCCTCAGAGGACGTTTATGACGTGTCATATTGGCGATAAGTATACCCTGCTGTGTCTGTAGGAATGCTGGTTTGGGAGCTGACTACCGGTCAGTGGTGGTTCGGGAAAAACAGGGCTTACCAATTTCGGAAGCGACCTTTGGACACACAAGTGGCCAAACAAATAACGCCGTTCGGCCCTGACCCTGAGGTCACCAGTGACCAAACCGAACACGCATTAACGCGCAACCGAAGGATCGATGCGTACTTGTCGATATTCTTGACTGCAGTACTAAATAACCACAATCTAGTTACGCCTTCCGCCTATTTGTACAGACTTTCCTTGTCTATGCACGCGTTTCTCGGATGGGACAATGCGATGTCGATTGCGCGACCAACCCGACCAGTCAGGTTCATTGAATCGCCGACACTCCGTCGACTTGTGGGCTTTTCGTCCCGGAACTCACAAAGGGGATGGGTGGCTCCATTAAATCTTTGTATTTTCCCTGTTTACTTAGGGAACCATCTGCCACTTCGGACATTCGGTTCATGTGCCTTGCGTACTGCCCTGGTGGATGATGGATGGTTCTAGACAGCTATCTTCATGGCGCTGTATCGCGAGTGCGGACTGTCTTCCCAGACGCCTACACACGCGAGCGAGTTGCGGCATTTCATCAATATTTGCGGTCTGGAGAGAAAATGCAATTGGATTGCAACAAATCGTCTATGTATTTGATTCCATATTTGACACAACCAACCAGCAAGCCCATAAGAAAGAGAAAGAGAAAGCCCGTATCTATATCCACTCTACGGAATGCCCCTCGGATCGACAATGTAACGTAGGCCAAAAAGCTGAGAAGGAAATTCTAAGCAGCTGATTTTCTCCGGGGTACTCTGGAGGGGAAAAGAGCCCAGAGGAAGGTAATGGCACCTGCGAGAGGTACGGTTATATATGTAAGGGTGTGAACACCTTTCATGGTCGACAACAAGCCAGTGAAGAAAGGAAATAATGCTGCAGAAATCTCATTCTTAGAACAGGAGAGAAAGCGCGAAAATGATGTAGAGCACATACCTGCTCCGAAACTCGCTGCGGCAGATCTGGTTGTTCATGTTGTTAAGGAACGCGAGCAAAAAAAATAGCCACTACTCACATTAACGCCATGCTGACCATTCGCACCTCAGACGGGAGAATGTCGTTCGCCAGGGTGAGGATGGCTGGGAAGACTGGGCCGAAGACGAGGCCAATGACACCCGTGGCGAACGCATTCTGAACATTCGAATTCACGGTCCAGATCAGGATTTGCATGATCAAACCCATCACTGCAACGAAGAAGTGAGAAGCGGTTTGGCTACGGTGAAGAACCTTCTTACCACTAGAAGGAACGTGTCAGTTAAGCGTAAAGAAACGACGGAGACTAGTAACTCACATGCAACCTTCAATAACCCATTTCCGTTGAGTGTAAGTCAATCTAGAAAGATGGGCGGAGAGAGTAGGCACTTCAACAAGTAATATAGATGACCAAACGCACTTCGGTGTGTAATGGCCCCAAACTAGTCGGCCGACCGTAATTCCACCCCAGAAACCGGAAGTCACATAGCCGGCAGTCTTTGGATTGGCGTTCTAAAGGGTATCTTGTAAGCTCAACATGAAGGTTCGACATATCAGGTAAATCGTACTCGTATTCCGCGAAGATATGAAACCATCTGAAGACAGGGTCAAACGAAAAGTCAGAATCTTGCAAATGAGGCTGCGTACAAATGCTTGTGTGGAGGTTTCACTGGCAGGAATTGTCAAAGCGTTGAACATCAAAAGAAGCAAAAGAAATAAGGAAGACTGACCAGCCGCAATAGAGTAAAGAGAAAATAGAGATTGCCCATAGATAAGGCAGGGTCAAAGCAATGCGAAGGGCTAGGAAGACATTTAACGGAAAACAGGACATCTTCATGAGAGGTTAACCCACTTGTTCCGTCCTTCGTGGTGACCTTGGTGGGGCTCTTGTGTTCTGTGTAGTGTGTGGAGGTGGTATTTCCTGATGACGGTGGCTTCGAAGCCAAAATGGCCGTTGTGCGGTCACGAAGAAATTCAGCCGCAGTTGGCATGAAAGTGAGTACAAGGAAAGTGGTGTTCATTACAGAGAGGACGAGAGAGCCAAGGTAGAAATGGTTCCATGGGACACCTTTGGAGATCAAGACTTGACAGACCAATGGTGACGCGACACCCCCAAGACCTAACCGGAACCATTAGACATAAAGGGAGACAACGAGCGTAAGTGAGAGTTGAGCATCGTTGTGCAATGAAACCACCTACTCCAGAGCCCATACGCATAACCTAGAGATTGTTGTGGCCCAGAGGCAAGATATGCGTTTCTACAGAAGCGTCAGCATGACGTATCAACCTTCAAGATCGAAGGAATGTACAGCGACGCTATTGATGACCAGGAAGGTTGATAAGGAAGTTATGTTGGCGAAGATCGATGCGCACATACCGGTTAAAATGGACCTAGCAAAGGCGGCGACGACATAAGCAAAAAAAAGGACCCAGTATCCATTTTTAGACCCCATCATCACGAAGAACATGGCATGTACGGTGCTAGAGAAGAGGAGGGTGAGGAGACGACCTTGGGAGGGCGAGAATCCCAGCTTCTTCTGGGTGTGTTTCGGAGAGAACAGTATCGATGCAGGGAACCAGGACCAGCAGGTCTTCGCCAGATTGAACTGGCTGAGATAGTTGATTATCAGTTCCACCAAGAAAGTACCGAACAAATATCTGAAATAGGATGAGTTTTGAGCGCATACATGGGGCAAATGAGAATTTACCCAGTGGTACTTCCAGCGTACAATAATGAAGATAGCGTATAGCTTACTTGGAACTCCGCCATGAAATCTAAGGGAAATCGTCAACGGAGACGGTGGAAAGTGTTTGATGTAGCGCACGCGGTAGGATGGTCCCCGTCACTGAAAAAGAAAGGATGGATTAGGAAATATGCTTTACAGAAAACGAGGAAGAATGCTAACCAGAGTCACCCCATCCACACAGAAAATAAGCGAAGAACCCGCTTGCTAGACGCCACTTGAGCCTCTCCATCTCGGAGTAATCAGGCGTCGTCTCCTCAATGAGTGTGGTAACTGAGGCTTTGCGACTGGGGACGGCGGTAGGCGGGGCGCTCGAGGATGGAGTGCACAGATCGTAGGGTGTAGGAGGCGGAGAATCAAAGTGACGCAGGATGGTGATTTTGGAAGCATGATCAGGTAGCTGGGCGTGCGTCAAAGACGCCAGAGTCGGAGAAACAAAGGCGGGCGAATCATTGGGGTCGAACTTGTCGTTGTCATCCGTAATAGCACATTCTTCCTGCGATGAGGAAGGGCCAGTTAAGAAAAGTCGGGGAACAGCAGCGAGGGGATGGATAGAGCTTCGACGACGCTCGCGCAGAGTTGTCTGGCAAGATTCGAGGGCGATAGGCCGCAGAAGAGATGTCATGGTGAAATATTTTTACGACCGACTCTTTCGACCAGCGTATGCTTATAAACCAGAGAGTGATTCATTTCGGCGACTCGACTTCCTTAGAAACAAGGAGGAAGATGCGGTAGATGCGGTGGGCGGAGAAACGGAAATCTTCCTCGAACCTGGACAACTTGACCTCAAAGCTTGCCCATAAGGGATTGGCGGACAGAGGTATTTAATTTGAGATGTTTTCTGTTAGGTCAAGGGGTGCCACAAGGTCAGCTTGATCATGAGGGCGTTTTGGTATGGCACATACCAAGCGTATGGGTACCGCCGGCCTCCAGACAGGCTGCCCTGCATAATTGTTCCGGAGGGTGGAACGAGGTCTGAGGGCAAAATTTTTCATCGATGCCATCGTGCCCACGTAAAAACGTTGTCTATTCGTAACCATAAGATGGCCAGTGCATGAGGAAAGTCTAGAGATACAGAGAGAGCCATATGTTCAAAGACAAGTAACAAGACGCCGGATTCGAAGGAACCCAAGGTCTGTCGTATTCTTGTGCACCTTTGGTTCTGGAGAGGTTCCATTGCATGGGGTTTGATTGTGCAACTCGTTTCGCGGTCTACGTCTTGAGCCTATCGTAAACAGTGCATCGACAGTGCTCAGATGAAGGTCCGAAACGTAACAATCATCTCTAGATGGTCATCGCGACTTGCGGTAGTCGTCGGCAGAAGGGCGAGAAATATTGTTGGGCGGGATTGTGATGATGCTGTCGGACCCGGAAGCCGAAGAGGACATAATGAAGCACACCGAACGAGAAGAATGGCTGCCGAGGGGTGAGGACTGGTGGGGACCATCTGGGACCATCTTCAAGTTGTCGTGGTGGAAAGAGACCAAATGCGGAAGGAGTAAACGCGAATGGTCACATCACTCCGAGGACGCGTCTTTGCTCGTGACCACAACGGTGTCCCGACGCCCCGACGCCCCTCCTGCCTGCCTCCTGCCTAACCTGATCAAAGCAAATTTACCGTTGCTTCTTTTTCTTCTTCGAGCTCCGGCAACCAGATGGGTCAAAATCATGGTGTGTTTTCGCCGTCACCTCACAAGCTGTGAGCCCTTTGACACACGTTGCAGTCATTCGGGTATGCTGTTTTAGTAGCTGCCTCGCTTTCCCTGGGGTTCTGGGCTGGCAGGAGGTCAACATATCGGACCGGAAGCAAGCCTACCGCAGGCCCGGCGCGGCTCTCCCGCGGTTCGGAGAATTCTGTGAAAGAAACAGACGGAGATGAAAGCGATGACAATGAAAGTTCGAGCGAGGTCGCAGATGGAGACATTTCGTCTCTCAGCGTGGGCGAGGCTGATCACTGCAAGATGGTACGTTACGGTCCGACCAACGAAAGACGTTTACGGATATTCATCCAGACGTTTCCGCCATTTGGATAGGTCCTCGTTGTTCGAACAGACCTAGGAATGACTTCTGGCAAGATCGCTGCCCAGTCAGTACATATCGGATCTCTCAAATTGCTGCCATTATTGACGTTTTAAAAGATGCTCGTAAGTCTGTCTTGAGTCTTGACTGCCCTCTATTTCTGTCGTTTGATCGGAGCTAGTCATGCCGTCCTTGCTTGCTACAAGACGCTACAGGTGAAAAATCCAACAGTATGCTTGATTTGTCGCCTCTCGATCTTCTCAAACTTATCTCCTCGCTTTTAGCTGCTGCGACAGTGGGAACGAGCAGGGTAATAATTCCCGACCTCATAAATGGTGTTATCTGACTCACCATCCTCGGCAGGCAAACGAAGGTTGCTCTAAGGTGCGACAGCGAAGACGAGCTGCTTCTTATGCAAGCTCAGGCGCAAAGCCTGAACCTTTGCGCGCGTTCAATTCAGGACGCGTACGTGTCAGTGTTTGCCACTGCGCTTTATCTCTAATGCACTTTGATCAGCGGAAGAACACAGATCGCGGCAGGCTCAAGGACTGTCCTCGGTATAGCAGGTGAGTCTAGCGCCGCGGAACACCTCCCACAACTCAATGTTGACTTGAGACCTGTTACGAAGGACCCTCTCGGCTTGTTAACCAAATCACCGGAAAACTGCGACTGCTTTAGGCCTTGAGCTTGAGGCTCGAAGCTTGAAGGTATCTGTCTTGCATTCCTCACCAACCAACCAACCAACCTCTCGTTTCAGTCGGAACCATGCCTGCCATTCGTTGAGAAGTGTTACCCGGGATGGGTGCGATCCTCATACTATGCGGCTTTTCTTGACCCCAATGCCATGACAATTGTGCACCGCAGCTGCCGCGCGTTTTTTGGATCTGTTGATGGCTGTGATGAACTTGCCTTTTCATTGCAAGTTGCCTACAAATATCAGCCTCCTGGCAGCGTAATTAAGGCGTATTCTTCAAGTCGGATGGTACGTTTACCGATGTAAATGAAGTATGAATGGCTTTCGTAGCGTACTCACGGTACAGTTTAATTGTGCCACTTGTCGAGAAGGCCTAAGAATAAAAGCAGAGCCAAACAGCGTGACGGGGATGTGATACCGCCTGGTCTTGGCTGGGAAAGTTGGCTCAACACCACAACATCACTAACTCTCGTTAACACGCTCTTTGCCCCGACCATCCACATTCGTTACCTCTCGCAGGACGACCCTCCTTATCTGCCGCCATGTCGGCTCAGCGCACCGCCTATCCTGACCAACAACCCCCAAACCACCCATATCTCGATCCGCAGCCTGGAAGAACAGAGGAGGACGTCAAGGCCTCGTATGACGATCTAATAGACGACTATTCGACGCCCTATGCTGCGAACTCTGGACACCAGACGTTTACCGTAGGGACCCCGGGGCAGTCCCACCGTAGAACGGCGTCAATTACGCTCTCTGGTAAAGGTGCCTTCTCCTCAAAGCAGTCCGACGAAACGCACGAGACATCATACAACTACCCCCCAGTAGGAGCTTCGAAGGAGGTTGACACACGGAGCTTTTGGGAAAAGGTGCGTTTCTACTCCTACTGCTGGTCTTCTTTGCGTTGTTCAAGGCCAGCCTCGCAAGATTCTGCCTGAATCTCTGGCATGTCGGCTATACGTTGCGACAGTTCTCATAGAGACGACAGTAGACCTCGCCATCGAGGGAGATTTATTTTTGAGAGTGCGGGAAAAGGACAAGGCGGACGCGTTGGCGTCAAATGGGAACGTTCAGCCATCTCGAATGCCAGTGTATCTCAGTATATTCGCACTTGCCCAGTGAGTGCCAGTTGGGTTACTCTATCTGATTCCGGGCTGAGTGGTAATGATTCAAGCGTCTTCCAATTTGTTATGGCTGTGGACGCCGTCTATGCCCGCAATACTCTCCAATTCATAGCCCTGACGTGCGCATCCTCCCCTCTCCGTGCGACGTCCAATTTTTCTGACGCACTGCATCCGGCTCTAGAATTTTCAATGCCCTCTTCCTTCTCTATGCTGTCATCCAAATCAAGGAAGTTCAAGAAGCAATGGCCAATTCTGCTGGCGGCGGTGTCTCCCCCATCCCTATCAACGTCCTCACCACTATTATCCCTATCGTCATCTCTATCGCTGAAATTGCCTATATCGCCCTCGGTTGGAAAATATACCACGAATTCGGATGGAAGGTGTACAAATTTCTTGGTGCTGATCGGCAAATCAAGAAGATGTATGCGACGTACCAGATCTACGAGTGTCTGGTTAAATTCGACGTCTTCTTCTGGGCGGGGTTCTCGGTTCAATTCATTTGGCTCGTCCTGCAAGATACGGATTGGGAGTACTACGTCACCTGTGCTGCCCTGCCTCTGTCGATCGTCCTTCTTATCGAAGGCCACCTCGCTGCTCGTCACGAAAACAAATGGATGATGGCGACTTTCATGTCAGGTTGCGTTGGAGCAATGATATACTTTATCTACAAGGCAAGACCTGCCTGACTTGACCTCTTTTTTTACAATACTAACTTTGTTTTAGCTCATCAAAGTGCTGATTTTCCACAACAGAGACGAGTACAGGCTTGTATGGAAATCTTTGACTGTATTCTGTGTGTCATCTTTCTTGGTACAATTTGCCGCTGGCTGACTCAGAGGATCAGCTGTTATTGCCATCGTCCTCTTGTTTACTACTTTTGTGTATTCCGCGATTGTGCTACGGAATTTCGGTCGGGGTCTAAAGGAAGCTCGTGAGTCGCATGTTACCATTCAAATGGCCTCAGAGTGAAGCTAACATTTATCCGACAGTGGCGCGGAAAGCCCAAGGGCCAACCGTCCACCGCCGTGCAGCGAGCACAAACTTGAATCGCATGAGCATTGAATGAAAGACAAGCGCCTTCGACGACAAGAACTCCAAGCATTGTACTGATAGCCAGCCCACACATCACGAAGGCGAAGAACGGACATTACACATCTACCTAGCATTTCATCCCCTCTGCCACGCATGCATTCTTCCAATACGCACCACGCATTGTCCCCCTCGCACCTACCCGACCTTTCGTACTTTATTATCCCTAAATATTCTACAGTGTTTACTACGTTTGTGGTATACGGCGGTTGATCCAGATGTAACCACTTTCACTCGTTTCTTCATACACCATCATTATTCTTTCATCCACAAGGATATAGATTGTATTTGATATAACTTCGCCCTCGCTTCTGAAAAAGTGCATTTTCGAGAGGTGATACATAAGTACGGGCCGACAATGAGACGCGCTCCGCGGAATCAAAGAGTTGGGTCCCCGGCACGTGATGGATTACATTACATAACACCCTCAAATTTGCGAACAAGTTCCCTTTGTGGCTTAGTGGACTTCAAAATTTTCTCAGTCAAACAGCGAAAAAACCGAGTGTAATCTATCCATTGCTTCGGGGCTCTCATCCACTGAGAATGGAATTTATGAAGAGCTATATGGCATATATTTCAAGTTACGTAGCACAAAATATACGAAATTTTATCAATCACGTCGTAGCAAGGAGAGGCTTTGTAGCACAGGCACGTCGTCGGGAATGTAGACCCCGTGATTGGGAGGGGAGCACGAAACACAGTGGAGGCACCATGTAGGGGGTCGAGGAAAAGGCGGCCTGGGCGAAGAGCCCCGTCCACGACGATGGTGGCCAGTAATGGAAGAGGGGGGACTCGCTGGCGAAGGCGCAAGCCGGACGAGGGGAAAATGGTGGGCGTTGGGGGGCGTCAATGTGGGATGTGGGCGGTGAAGGATATGGCAGCGGTGGACAACGATGGCGGCGGCAGAGATGATGGTCGAAGGGAAAGAGTGATTGGAAGACGCGCGGGACAGAACCGATTCGCGAACCAGCATGTTTATGTAATGCGATCCATGGTGCAGGGGGCAGAAAGTCAAAGGCTGAATCAGAGCGAGAGTGACGGTCACAATGTCGGTTTGGGAATATTCCCACGATCTTCAACAGACGGCGATTGTATTTTGAATCAATGTCACACCTTCACTTCCCCTCTACTATCCAGCCACAGCCGTTCATCTCAACCACTACTGCATCCCAGCGCTGCTGCTCGACTGTCGTGCACACTACTTGGACTGCCCATTAACACGCGTCGTGATTGTCAGCGTGGTTCCTAGCAGGTCGAACGCCCCACACACCCTCTGAGCTGTGGATCCACACTTCACCTCCGCCATCCATGACCTCCATGATTTCGCGCAAACGACAAGCCCCAGAAACTCTCCTACCCCTCCGCAATCCAAAACAACCGCGTAGGACACTGAAGGGATACGGCGGCGGCCCACCGAGCCCATCTCAAGAGGTTGGAATACTTGCTAGGTATCGCCGTATCGGAAAAGACGCGGCCGTGCTGCTCGCAGACACCGTAGCCTACTGGATGCCTGGTGAGCGGGCTCAAGCTTTTCCGCTACCACCCTTCTCATCGTGACTAGCCACAATAACTATGTCGGGACAAAGCGAATCCTTCGTTCAAGATGAGGTCACCTCCGGGTCATCCGTTTCCTCTTCCTCCTCAATTTCAACTCCCCGGCAGACACCATCCCCTGATGTCAAAGTCTTCTCGAACGACAGCGATGGGTCCCAAGGGGATGTCAAGTCTCAGAAACCGCAGGCTTTCGTCCATCTACCAACCCACTCGGAGACCAAAATCCCTTCAATTCAACAATACTTATCGACTCGACAGAGTACCTTCAGCTCTAGTCGAAATGTTTCGAATGCGGTTGCCAGCACCTCGACTTCCAACACGCCGTCAGCTACAACATCGGCGTCGGAGGACAACACACTAGCCCTGTTGGACGACACATCACTGGACACTGTTGAGAACTTCCATTCTACCCCAAGAGCAGGAATCTCACAGAATAGCACGTCTATGCGTTCTGATAAAATCCCTGCTTCATCATCGAGGTCGACTGAGCCAGCAGATCGGATGCTGAGGAACACCGTTGTACCCACGATGGCGGACCTCCGACTAGATCGTTCGCTCAACTCTTCCCAGCTGTCGAAGAACTCGACCCCGTTCTCATTGCAGTCCGACACTCGTACCTCGTCAAGAGCGTCCAACACATCGAAAAGACATCCGCTGCGTCATCGAAACAGGGAGCATATATTTGCGAAAGTGGTGAGTTTGATTCTCCCTATTTAATTCTCTTATCTAACTTCCTTGCCTTTTGGAAAGCACAAAGCTAATGTACAGCGAGCCAAACTTGAGTTACGAGAAAGCATGGTTATGCAGCTGTATCAAATAAAGCGGCGGAGTGGTATGCCAAACCTCCTATTGACTTTGACCACGACCTGATCCTTTTTCAGGCTTCACATCAGGGCTATCTGACTTCAGAGGCACGCTCTCTTTTCATTATATTCGGATTTCCATAAATCTGACCTTGTTGCAGGGCTACTGGACTATCAGAGGCAGCTGCAAAATATTGATTTCGAGAATGCGCCACGCCCTCACCGTTCGTCTTTCTGTACTGCCCTTGACGGACCAGTAGCTCATTGCTGTTAGCAGGGCCGTCATCGTCATTTTCTACTCCATTAGCGAAAGCCCGCCAACGAGATGCGTCGTTAGACGTATGTGGTCAAACTTCTCCATGCGTTGATCTTCTCTAACCGTGTGCATAGGATGTCGACGATGCAAACACTTTCCTGTCACGAGCGCTGAACAATGCGAAAGCCACATTGAACAGGTATGCCTTCCTAGTTCCCTACCCTTCTGCCATTCTGACAGTTGGTAGTCCTAAACCGCCTCAACCATACATCCCGAGCCTTGAGCAGCTCCAGATTTCCCGCAAGGCACAACAAACTGCCCTCGACCGTCGCCATGCTGTCCCAGACAGCCTTCCTCCAGATGACGATATGGCCGTGAACAAACTCCTGCAAAAGAGAGGCGTCATTGCGAAATTCGCACGAGAGCAAGTCTCCGACCAGGACATCTCTCGTCTCAGGCCAGGCCAATGGCTGAACGACGAGATTATCAACTTCTACGGAGCCATGATCCTGGCGCGGTCCGAAGCCAGCAAGGAGAATCCCAACTCCAGCAAGAAGCCGGGTAAAGAACCGTGGAATATCCACTACTTTAGCTCCTTCTTCTGGGCGAAGTTGGTCAAGGAGGGGTACGATAAGGGCAGGTTGGCTAAATGGACGAAGAAGGTATGCTCTGCCTTCATGAGTACGCTAACTTGTATTGACGGGCGTGCATGCTAGATCGACATCTTCTCAAAGGATATGGTCATATTTCCTGTTAATCATGGCAATGCCCATTGGACCACTGCGGCGATTAACTTCCGCAAAAGGAGACTCGAGACCTATGATAGTATGGGCATGGCCAAGGAGGCAGTGTTCAAAGTTAGCATTCTTCCCTGTTCCTACACTGCGTACTGATACTGGGCCTCCTTAGCACCTCCGGGCCTACCTGGATGCAGAACACGCCAACAAGAAGAGTAAACCCTTCGATTGGACAGGTTGGCAAACGTGGGCACCTGCGGTACGTTCCTAGTCCGTTCACCCCTTCTACGTAGCTTAACTCACTTCAAATCTACAGGATACGCCACAGCAAGAGAACGGCTACGACTGTGGTGTATTCACCTGCCATTTCTTGGAGGCCCTCTCTCGAGGAGAGGAGTCGTTCGCATTCGCGCAGAAGGACATGCCGTACCTTCGGCGGCGGATGATCTGGGAGATTGGCAATGCCAAACTCCGGGATGGGTTTTATGCGTAACGCTATTTCGGATCTCAGAGTGGGATGCAGCGTGCGTTCCTTTGGCTTTGTTCGCCTGCTTTTTTGTATATCGTGCTGTATTTTATCGTACTTTCATATGGGTAGTTGTGGGGACGTTTTGAATTTTCACTTTCTGCGGTCAGTACCGCGCTGACTTGTTCGAATAATGTGATGCAGGATAGTCATTGGTTGAACTGAGTGTTGGTGATGCGTGCTTATTGGGAAGGTATGCCTTCGACGTTCGTGCTTGCAGCGGTGCGTGGATAGCGTGAAGAACAATATGGATATGAGATAATAGTGACGAAAAACATGCGAGGTAAGGAGAAAGGAAGCAAAGGCAAAAAGTCACCGTCGAAACCACCATACGACCATGAAAAACCAGAACACAATGACGAGAAAGACGATGTACCATAGCCAGCGACAGCCCTGCCGTGCAGCCATGTTGTTCATGCGCCTGAACGTGCCAGATAGGATCCCGCCTGTCTCTGCGAATGCGTCGTTCTATGATGGATAGGAGTGCGTTCAGTGCGGAGTTTGGGGAGGAAGAGACGGAGTAGCGGCGCACCATTTGGCTGAGCTGGATCGTCGATTCCCGGACCTCGTTCCCAATGCCAATGGTAATCTAATCCAACAGTCGTCGAAGGCGGAAAGGAACACAACACGATGCCATTAGCCAGAACCAAAAGACCCAACTTCACAACTCACTCACATCCTTCAGCAGCTTTACCTTGGCACTCAGGCCCTCCAGCGCCTCGTCGTTCTGCCCCTCGAGGTCATCAGCATACCGGTGCCCATTCGGCTGGTACGCACTCCCACCCCCGTTCCCGTTCCCATTCGGGTTCGGGTGGTACACACTGCCGCCGAAGGGTGTCGAGCGTCCCGACGCGGGAGGAGTGCTCGTTCTCGTTCTCGTGGTCGTGGTCGTGGTCGTGGTCGTGGTCGTGTTGCTCAGCAGCGCGGAACGGTCCCGGAGAGAAGGTGCAGCTCTTGCTCTAGCATAGTCAAAAGTCGGTCAGTAATAAGTAGAGGGTATATGGATGGAGGAAATGCTCACCGGTGGGCCATTAGAATAAGAAGAAAAGAAAGAATGGGATGGTTCGTCTAATTTTGCATTCGTACTTTTCGCTGGTTTGTTCGCAGTGATGACACGTTGGACCACCTCGACTTGGTGGCTGTGCCATATGTCCCTGACCGGCCTTCCTGATCCGGTATACGTGACATGTGTCGCGTGACTAGTTAGCGCCACATAACGTCACAAATCTTCCAAGGCACATGAGGCTTAAACTTGCTCCGTTTACAATGCTTCCTTGGCTCAGTTGGTTAGAGCGCAGGTCTCATACTTTGAGTATCAGTAATCATTGGATTACGTAATCCTGAGGTCGTGAGTTCGACCCTCACAGGGAGCATTTTTGTCCGTTTTTACTCTATTAAGGTGAGTTTCGCGTTGAAAAGATGTGTTTTGCTATGGAAAACTCGAGAAATCGCAGAAAATGTACGAGACTTCGACTTGAAATTAGCACACCCCCTGCAGTCGTGAGTTCGACCCTCACGGAAGAGGTTTTTTTTTGGCCTTTTTTGGTCCAAAAGTTAAGGAGAATTTGTCTGAAACAAAGAGAGAATTTGGTGAACAGAAGAAGCAGGAGGACTGGCCAAATAGGAGAGTAACAAAGAACGAGATGCAGAGTTCAGGTAGAGTGTTGTATTGTTTTTTCTATCTTCAAATATAATTTGTAGTCTCTTGTAGTTGAATTGAACGAAAACGGACAAGCAGCGCACGGTCAACAGATAGCCAGCAAACGAGTCTTTTGAGGATGCAGTTGTTGACTCTGTCTTCTTAAATAGCCCTTATCTTTATACGAATAGTTGGATGGAATAGACAGGCCGCGACTTATTTTTTCTGACGGACTTGTAGTATATACACGCTATACATTGGGTTCAATGCCGAGCTCGAGGGATAAGTTTTGAGGAATGTGTTTATTTTTAGGAAGCAAAGCAGATGGCCAGCGTCTTTCTCTTGGAAAAGTGGAAGTGATCAACGATGCTTCTTGTCTATGGAGCGAGAATGGACATCAAGCTCAGCAACAAACGATTGTTCGAGGTCTGTTGACACAGGTCATCACCCTGAATATGGCGTATCTTTACAATGTAGACAACGAGCACGAAAACACACCAACCCCGGGTCCAGAGCAGGATCGGAGAAATACGGCAGGGGAGATAAGTAATGCCATCGGGATTTCTCAAAGCCTGTGGGACGGGTAGGACATGGTCCTGCGGCACAGTCGGCCCAGGGAACCTGCAGGAAACTGTCGTGGCCTGTGGCAGCAGCGAGAACAGAGAAAAAGCCTGTAATAGAACGCCCAAGACCAGCCACCAGAGTCACTTGCACTATTCTATCTTCCGATGCAAGGGCGGCATCTGACCGAGGCCAGCACAGCCTTTTTTGAAGGAAGGAGGTGATATCTTCAGAGTAGATTATGCCGTTGAAAAATGCACCCCCGGGGGAGGGTGTGGTGTTAGAAGCAGGCCGGAACGGTGTTAGAGCGCGAGAGGACGGCCCTGAGAGTAAGCGAAAGATAAAATCGCGATGTAAAGATAAACCAGAGATAATGAGAAGGGTCAATTAGTGTCAACGTTTCGCTTGGGCATTCTCTAGCCTGCCACACGGGCGACGCATGGACCATTGGAGGCCCAGGAACGACGGGGAAGGGCGTGGATACCAGGTGTTGTACGATAGATCATGAGGGGAGGAGGAGAATGTGGGCGTGACGGCACGGGAGAGACATGTTTATGGCAATTTCTCGGCTGCCCACTCTGTCTGCTATAAAATCCGACAGTGTGACCTCACCGCCCTCTTCCCCTCACTCACCTTGCTAAGCACCCAGCCTGAATCAGAGCATTGTCCTCGCGCATTAGCCTCCCTTTGAACCAATCTCTCGTCTAACCCCCTCCAGATAGTCTGCAACGATGGGCATGAGCTTCCGCCGCTACCTCTCGGGCGAGCGCATCTACGGATGCTCGACCTGCAAGACCCACCTCGCCACCATCCACTCAATGATGTCCCGCGTAAGCACCCCTTTCACGTATCGCCCCGCAGACCTCCCTGCGGGCCACCATTGATCCCTCACTAACCCACCATGCTCCGCACAGGCGTTCAACGGGCAGCACGGGCGGGCCTACCTCTTCGACGGCGTGTAAGCCCTCTGCCCGCATCCCTACAACCTTCCTGACCTCGTCCCTTTGTTCGATCTAGTGTGAACGTCGTCGAAGGCGAGCCCGACGACCGCCCAATGACGACGGGCAACCACACCGTGCGAGACATCTACTGCGTAAAGTGCGGCACAACGCTGGGCTGGAAATACGTGAGTCTTCCTCCCCTCTCTCGCCCCTTCTTTGGGCCTTCCAAGAATACATTCCCTCCCTAGTTTTGTGACATGCAGATGAGAGTACTCACCAAACCTCCGATCACGTAGGACAAGGCGTACGAGCCGTCACAGAAGTACAAAGAGGGCAAGTACATCCTCGAGCGGAACCTGCTCGTGGACGTGCAGTAGGTCAACCTGCCTGCGCTGCCGTGCCCGTCGTCTGTCTGGTGTCCGTCCGTCGCCCTCCATAACGTCTCCAGTCCGAGTCGGTGCTCGGCCATCCGTTGGCGACTGTCTCCGCATACCCTCTACTCGCCAACGGGGCCGAGCATCGAGCACCAAGCATCTGAGTTCAATCTAACCGCATACATTCACGCACACGCACTTGAAGCCACCACTGTAACAGTACATTCACTGGCAAGGACACCGGCAGGCCGCTCTCTGATCACCTCTCTTGATCACGCTTGATCCTTAATCGTCTTCATCCAGCTCTTCAAACTTCACACATTTGCATCGGACTCATTCATTCCAGGCCTCTTCCAGCAGCTTCAAAGCTTCAACTTCAACTTCAATTCCAATTCCCAAATGTACATTAGGAATTATGAGTAGGAGATGGGAGGACGATTCAGCGTGACAGCTCAGGAGGAGAGGAAGAAAATCACGCAGACAGAAGAAGATAACCCAGAAGAAAGAGAACGAGCAGAAGAGCGACATTTCCCAATTTCCGGTTATCGATTTGATTCAACGTCATTTTGTACAACATCTGCGCACCAGCCAAGGACTCGGCCTTATCCGCTAATTCTTATTCCCTCCCACAAATACAACGGCCAGTTCCACACAACCTTCTCATCTCGTCGCTGATGTTCCCAGGACCACCACCACCACCGTCGCCACCAGCCATTCAGATTTACGTTCGCATTCATATTCGCATCGCATCGTACCGCAGCCGTCTTTGCATCCTATCCGTAATACACCCTTTTCGGAAGCCCTTCCCTTTCTCTCTTCATTTATCTTCATATCTTCATCTTCATCGGCATCTCCATCGACGAACAATCGTTCTTCAAGTGCATATAGAACCCTCGCTTTGTTCGCTTCATGTTCTGTTCGGTGGAAGCGCGCGCGAACCATCTTCCCATCTTGTGCTGTGTTTATTATATCCTCCATATTTGCCTTCCCATCTCTCCCCTCGTCATCTATATATTCGCTCAGTCATCACATCCATCCACGGCGCTGCGTCAAATCTCAGGCTGCTGTGCTTTCCTCTACCCTCTTCCCATCCTCCATCCTCCTTTCGTCTCTTACTTCTGGTGTTGACTCCCCTCCTCCCTACTCTTTTTACCACCACTCTGGGCTTCAAAATCTTTGTATTATATTAGTTATCATCGTTCGTAGACGTTATCTGTTCCTTGTGCGCTGAATATCAATGACAATATCAGAATCAGAATCAGGATTATATATCAGTCAGTCGGACTCATGTGGGTTCTTGGGCGGCTCGCTCATGCATTTCTGAGGTTAGTCGGTCCCGATACAAGGGTTTTGTAAAGTACTCTAGTAAGTATGAGTACGTATGTGCAATACATGACTGATTTTTGAACATGTAACGCGCAGCTTCTGTCCGACCGAAGAGCCTCCTCTCGAGCCAATGATCAAGCTCAAGCACCGAACCTATTTTTGACATTCAACCTGTACCACAAAGTTGTGGGGTGTAATGCCAGCGGTCAGTGCCACCAACAGCGTAATGCCTGAGCCTCGACGGACGTCATACCCTACTCCAGCCTACCCCGAGCTCGAGCTTCCTCGCTCTGGGGTAGCCTTGACACCACCCTCCATATGTGCCATGAGTTATTATTAACTTCAAACTCAAGGCTCGGGCTTCAGCGAAATTGACGCAAGTCATGATGACAAACAGCACACCCCGCGCTCGCGGACCGGGATTCCAGAACTCGAGGCCGCGTCCGAAGGGCATGGACGTCCTGTTGTTAGATCTACGGTGCCCTCCAATGCCCTCTGCCGGTGTGGATGTTAGACGTCGGATGGACTTTGGGTGGTTGGAATCTGGACGAAGATCGAAGGTTGAACGCAGACGCTGGCCACCGGCGTGAAGTCTACGAACCTGTTGGGAATTAGGTAAATGAAAGCACGGCTGAGGTCGGGTTAACTTGAGGACGGTTGCGTTTAAGATAAGGGTGATTAAGAATAGAATAGAGTCTTGGAGTGATGGAGGGAGGAGGCCGGAGGGTCGAGAAAGCTGATAGTCGAGAGTCGAGCGATAGTGAGTATTGGAGGTTGGATAACGTTGAAGGTTGAATATTGAATGGGAAACGAGAAGACGTAAAGTGTCCAACTGACCGCTCATGCTGAGAGGTCCGCGGGTTTCATGAAAATGAAAATGAGAACGAGAACGAGACGCATGCCTGTGGGCAAAAATCGCGTTCAACACGACTAAACGTGGAACGTCAAACACCGGTGCAAACGAGCTTGAACTCAAAGAATAACTTGGGTGCTCGTGCCCGTGCTTGAAAGCTGAAGGCTACACACCAACCAGGCTTCAGTGCCTCAAGATGAGGGTCGTCTGCATGCTGCTACCTCTTTTATAAACCCCACGAAAAGTAAAACAACAAAACACGATGCACAACAACATGAAAAGAACACACACGAAGAAGGTCATGCGCCCGCTCAGTCATCCAACGAACCTCTAGCTCTCGAGTCTTGAGAAACACCCAGTTATTCCAGGAGAGAGGAGCGCGAACGCCAAGCCAACCCCTCCGCCTTTCCTCGGACACCTTGCACTCTCCTGCGGCATCCTCTGCGCATACCTGCCTTTCCCTAGTCAGCTGTGCCCCGCGAGAGAAGGCACACGCACGAAACGCGCCAAGCCCGTGCACGGTCATAAAAATAGAGGAGGAAAGAGCACAGAAGGCGAAAGAGGCTTCAGGATGACATCCCGTAGGAAGCGACTGTCGCCTGCTGACTCTTGAGCATTCCAACTGGCACCTGCTCGTGCGAGTGGAGGTTTAGGGTTTACGCGTTAGGTCTACGTCGGAGGGTCGGTGTGTATTCCGTGCGTACACGAGGAGCACGACCGAGTGCTGATGAGGTGCTCCGCGTACAGTCAAAATGTCTTGACTTTCATGCGTGCTTAGGGCGATGATCGAGCAGATATGGATGGGTGTCGTGTAGGAAGCTGGGACGGGGTGGAGGAATTGAGCAGGAGTTTATTAGGATTATCAAGCAAAGGGAGTGATAGGAGTGACTTACGGGAAAGAGCGGTTGAAGAGACTTTTCGTCGCCTATTTTCGTGTTCCGTGTATGCTCTCTGTGAACCCAAGAATGCGGGGTGGGTGTGAGTTGTATGAATTCGCGTGGTTTTAGGTATGGAGCTGAGTGACAGCCAAGGCGAAGTGTAAGTATTTTGAGGACCCGGACGATGAAGACTGGGGGGTCTCCACGTCTTCCTGTCACCAGGCAGGTTTGTAAGAAAGTGCTCTGGCGGTGTCTTGGAAAATAACGCAATCTGAGCAACAAGAGTGCGTTGATAAAGGAGAAGCAGGGAGGCGGCGGTGCGCGCCACATGCTCTTATCCCAGTCAGACAAGACGTAGATAGACAAGGCTGACATGCATGTTTAGGAGGAAAGACGCGTCTCACGGCGTATCCGAGTGTGGGCGAGCTGAGCTTCTTGCCTGAGGGAGGAAGAGGATACCGGGAGAGTGCGTGAGATGGGTGAGAGCAGGGAGTGTCAACCCAGGAGGTTGGTAGCATCGTGGCTGTTTCCGGTGGCAGAGTAGATTCAGACGGCGACGGGGCTGGGCGAGACGTTGATAGAGTAGGACGTGGACGGGTAGATGCATACTGGAGATGAAGAGACGCGTCTGTCTGAGTCTCAATCGGCCGGCCAATAAGGAGAAGCCGGCCTAATTTGGAGACGACGATGCCGGCGCGCGCTGCCGAATCCCCAAGCTTTGGCCTCGCCCTCCACTCTCCCCAAACGCTCACCAGTATAAATACTCCCGCTAGTCTAATTCTCAACCCGCCCACCTCCTGTCTCACCGCCACACACCTACTTGTACTGCAACATTCGCTGGAACAATGGGTAGGTCGCTACCTCTTGTGCACTGCCAGCAGTCCCGCTCACCGCCGTCACTGTTCCCCACTGCTCAGCCACCATGACTATGACCGTCACCCGCCCCGTCGTCTCTTCGCCCCTTGCAGACTCTACTCAGGGCAACATCCCCGCCGTCAAGCGCGTCGTAGCCAAGCGTAACCCCTCCTTCGCGCCCTCGCGCGCTCTCAGGCCGTTCCCGGGCATCGCCCACCTAGGCCTCCACCCAACAAAAGCCAATGCGCCCGGAGGTCAGAGGTCGGTCAAGCTCATCGAGCCCCCAAAGAACTTCAAGGCTACCTTCGTCCTCGACCTCACCCAAGCCGAGTTCAGTCGGCAGTAGTCCGCTGTTCCTCCCCCCCACATCACCAGCACGACACGACGCGACTCTCTCTTCCCTCAGATGTAATACCACCTGTGCGACCACCGAATCGACGAACGCCTGCAAAACAAACCATGTTCTATCACCTGCACCCACTACTACCGTTCATGTCCCGCATATATGGCCCCCGTCAGTACGAGCTTCAACACGTTACTTCTACTACTTATTCCCCTTCTCCTTCTTGCACTTTTTTCTCTTTTGCATTTAACCCAAGCTTGTACAATACTGTCTATACAGTCTCCCGGCCTTCTGTCTGTTGAGTTAATTACCCCGCTTTCGCAATTGAACACCTGTTAGGCTTGCTCCTAGATACCCCGCAGCCTCTCCCCATCTATACCAACCTTCTCCCGCCCACCAAAACGCCGCTTCCCTACCCGTCTCCTCCCTGTCGTAGAGGCTGCATCCCTTCGAACCCTTCTCCTGCTCGTCTTGGCCTAGTTCATTCATTCATACGACAAGCTTTGACCACCGTAGCAGCGAATAGTATTCCATAGACGTCCTTACAACAACAAAAACAATAAAAAACGGCTTCCAAACGCTTCATTCCAGTATATTGCTCTGAACGAATTTGGAATGCAAGGCCTATTCAGTCCCGGACATGAAACGAGGGGATAGTGGTCACGGCGCTCGTTGATGTGGACGGAGCCTAATATTCTATTCTCGTTCGTCGAGGGGCCTCTCCGCGTCGGACTGGTGCAAGACTGGTGACGCGCGAAGACAATAAAGCAAATGAATCTGACTCCGGTGCGTTCTCCGCCCAGTGATATTGTACACCATATTGCACACCAGCACAATGTAATGCTGGTCCAAAGGTATTTACCCCCGGGTCTGAGGGTCTGAGGGGACTACAAGAAGTATAGCAGCCAGACAGTAATCTCCGAGCATTCAGAAAGCGCACCGCGGCGCACGTACGCACACGTGGAAGCAAGACGCCTAGTCCCCAGCCGATTGCCAACGGCCAACGAAAGAGTCCAACACACATTCGTCGCTCCTGCAGGCTGCAAGCCGCAATAACGACGCCTGTCAGCCAAGATTCGCCGCAACCGCAACCTTTCCCCAGCAGAAGGTTCAGGCAAAGGGAAGGAGCCTACCCAATCCACTGTTCACGTTCATTGATTATTTGATCCCCAAAGAAAAAGAGTGCGCCACGCCCACGCTTCGCGTTGCCACTCAGTGTCATCGCTTGGTGTGTTGTTGGTCGGTTGGTCGGGTGAGGTCGGCGTCATTGCCGGCGTATCCGTATCCGTATCCGTGTTCATGTCCTTGTCCATGTCTGCGTGTCCGTGTCCGTGTTCGCCCCATGGTAAGTCTCTTGGTGCCATTCGTAAACATTGCCTACTGATGATGATGATGATGATGCGGCAGAATCATCAGTTGACGGCGCAAGTGCAATAATAATACGTGCCAGTCTGACAAAGCCGAACACCGAACAACTGCTTAGCGCCGAGCTCTCTCCGGGCCTGTGCCTTGCGAAACTCAAAAGCTGATTCAAGCTCGAGTGTCGAAGGTCTCTTGAAGGAGAAGAGGCGCCTTTGACCAGTAACTCGTCCAAAGGCAATGCTCCGCAGTAGACCACCTATCTTCGTATTCGTATCTTCCTCCCAAACCGCAACTGGACAATTCCCTCGCTGCCATTCGTGCCCTTGAAGCCCTTCCCCAGAGTCCCTGAGCCTCTGACTGATGTCAACGAGCGTGAACGCCGAACAGTGGTGATGGTGCCGCGACTGTCGACACATCATGATGACGCGATGCCCTGAGTTGTGCGTCATTCCCAGAAAATAAGCCACAGTCCGACGTTGGTCCGACAAGCATCAACGGTCAGAGGATGATATACACCCCAAGTATGTCGCCGTCGCACTGGTGTGTGTCGATGTTGCGGAACGAGAGATGACATGCGCAACACGCCTTCGCGGGCCGCAGGACCGTGGCAGCGATCTTATCTCATCTGATAAGATGGGCACTGTCGAGATAACGGGTCAGATAAGGATAAGATCTCCAACCCCAAAACTTTTGAATGGCGAACGAGATTGCGAGCAAGTGGCGACATGGACACGGTGGGGCAGGGTGAGGCAGCAGCTCGGAAGACCGACTTCCAGTGGAAAGAAGTTGCAGCCTGTTAACTTAAGTAGTCAATGTGAGCACGGTAGGGCATCAAGAAAGAAAAAAGACAAGCCTTGACATCGGAACTTGAGGGTTGCCAGAAAACTGGTGGACGAAGAGAAGTATCTTGAGTGGTCCAGTAATCTTGCGTCTTCGAAGTCGACGTCCACTATAGTCCATGAGGTCCAATTAACAGCTTTGAATGCGAAGTCGCTTGGACACTTTTGCCCATTTCTCCAACAACGAAATGGTATTAGCCAAGTTCAAGGAATAAAGCAATCCCGACCCCAAGCCTTCGCATGTGGGGTACTGTCTTCCAACTGAGCCAAACATTGCACACACAGTGGCCAGAACCGCAACCGCGTCGGGAGGGACCACTCGAAGAAGGCGGACTTGCTGGATTGCTAATGAAAGGCATGATCCAGTCCGCAGCGTGTCCGATCGCATAGAGCGAAAAATCTGGGGAAGCGTG